AGGCAATCCTGTCTTTCTTGTACCACTCCAGCAGCCTCTCCTGGTATTCATTTTCAGCAGTTGTGTTCAGTGCTTGAGTCCTTGCTCTTTCGGCTGCTTGTTCTCCAATAGGGACAGCAATTGGGAGCAATAGTTCTGGGGCTTCTGGTTTTGGCTTATATGCTAGCCATGGGATGTCTTCAAAGACATATGCTGCACAATCCTTGTCAACAAGAGTGGCCTTAAGCATGTCTCTCTATGCTTGAAAGGAGGCTCCCTTCTTGAGGATGTACTTGATAGATTTCTCGCTTGTTTGGGTCTCCATAGCAGAACAAGGTGGATCAGGTAGATACAAGGACAAGGGTACTGTGGATTCTCAATCAGAGATAATCAAATGAGTATGGTTGAATCAATCTTGAGCGCCGGGCTCATAACCTGTTGTGCAGCGGTTATTAGGCCTTCATAGATGATTGATTACGGGAGCAGGTATCTACAAGGACTGTGAATTCAGAAGATGTGGCCTTCTTGGCACTCACGTGATCCCCAGGCACAACAGATGTATCTGTCGATCATGGCTGGATTCGTTGATTGTTCGCCGTGAGGCCACAGGGCGTTTGCAGCTGTGCTGTACGACATACCTATGTTGGACGCTGAAGACGCTGCGGTGGGCAGTGCGGCGATCCTTGGAATCATCGTCCGAGCTGGGTCATCGTCTATGGCTGAGCAACTGTGCAGCTCGAAAATTGCTTGAATTGTATTATTAGTGCATTGTTCGAAAATCGTGCTTGGTAATTTGTTGGTATATTGTGAAAGCAGTCTTCTTGACGCACTCATCTGCAAGTACAACAATTCCATGCGTATCCATCACCCTCGCCATCGCTATGCTGGAATGTGCGACCTGCTACTTGATAATTTCTATCCTTGTCGATCGTCTGCCGCTCCATCGCTCGTCGTCACTTGCGAGACTGGCTCTTCTATATGCTTTTGCACTTGAGCTTTGATGCGCTGCGATATCTCATCTGTCTCGTCAGTGCCAGTCTCTGTCTCTCTCGAGCCGCCGACTCTCGTGCCCAGCACTGGGGTCTCCATGATTGAGCGCTTTCCTTCGTCACTTGGCGTAGAATCCTGTGCCTCGAAATCCTCTTCTGTGAGGTCATCACCTTGGAGGAATCTCTCCGCTGTGTTGGCTCTTCCAAGCCCTGTGACCTCCTTGTTCGTGCCAACATCACTGCCTTCAGAGAGCTGTTCCCTCTGAACGTGCGTCGCTGCTTCGGTACGCTCTGCCTTCACCTTGGCCTCAACTGCATTAGAGTCGTCAAGATGCTCTGGATCATCGTTTGCACCGCTCTCCAGCTCTACTGTTGAATTCTCCGCTGCAATGGCGTCGGCGGCACCTTCAGGAACGCGCAGTCCAGGCGCATCTGATGATGCGTCTTCGTCGGCGTCCTTTGCGTTATGGGATTGATCCTCATCATGTTGTTGTGGTGATGAAAGATTCTCAATGAGTTGCTCTCTTCGAGAGTGCTGTCGCCGCACAGGCAGCGGCGGCGGGATCTTTTTGACTTTGCTAGGAGTGTCGTCGACGCTTCGCTCTTGCTCTTCGTCTGGCTGTTTTGTCCGAGGCGTCTCAGGCTCGGCTTCACCGGCACTGAGTTGTAGCAAGTCTTCATCCTCGGTGATGCTGGCGCTTGAATGCCCATGGGTGGACTGTTGGTATTCAGCACTTGGGTCAAAATTGACGCTCTCGCTTGATCCCCCACTCGGTCCCATACCATCGTCCACCACGTTCTCTTGCCAAGTGCCGAATTCATCGTCGCCTCCATTCCCAGCAATCTGACTTGAGCCGCTTTTGGTCCTGAAGAGCACGGGAATTTTGCTATTGGGTGTCGTGCTGTTTGAATCACTTTCACCTGGCCGTGGACGCCGGGGTGGTAAAGCAGGGACTGGCTTCCTCCTCATGCTGCTCACACCACCCCAAAGCCCTTTGTTCGGTCCAGGTAAAGGCTGTCCAGGCGGAGGCAGAGGCTGTCCACGACCCATCGGCTGGCTGGTGCTTTGAGGACTGGCCTCTTGCTTGGCACCTGTTCGAGGTAGCATACCCCGATTCTTTTGTATAGTGTTCCAGCCCCAGTTCCGTGCAGCAGTGGTAGCCGCGCCAGCTGCTGCAAGAAGGTTCGCTTTCCTCTGGCCAGGCTGTTGGCCCCGCGCAGACGACAGTGAAGTAGCGGTTGAACGTTCCGAATCTGTGCTTCGAATCGAGAATGATCGCGGTGTTGCGGGTATCGTTGAATCTGACAGCTGGTGGCTGCGAATGGAAGCTTCATCGGAGTCGTGGCTGCCAGGCAGCTCTTCCAGACTACGATTCACATTGTCGGCTCCCTCGGCGGTGGTCGAGACGGACGGTCTTGCAGCCGCCTGGTCTGCTCGCGCTCTCAAGTCCCGCAGCTCATCCATCGCATCTTTCTGTTGCTGCTGTTGAGGTATAGAGCCGCGAGATCGCCAAAGCCGTCTGTTCTGAGAGGGAAGATTCTGTAGAGATGGGTCATCTGCGCGCACTTGCTCTACAGTCTGCCCATCTACCGCCACGACAGGTGAGGGCAGCGTGATGGAAGGCGAGCGGAGTGGTTTCGGTGGGAGACTCGATTGCTGACTGATCTCCGGACTTGACGAAGGGTCGTGAGTGTTTTGCGACGACCCAACAGGGCGGCGCTTCACTTGTCGTTCGTCGACTGGCATCGTCGCGGAATGGTGCATCCGTGCGATGTTGACCTCTGAGTTTGAGGAGAGACCAGTGGATGCGCCTGAATCCATTGCAGGGGGGAAAGATGGCATAGACATCGTCTTGTCATTTCGATCGGAGAGGACCCGGGCAGAGCCTGGTCGCAGCTCCGGGTGTTCATCCTCGCCCTCGTCACTCCATAGACCTCCTCTTGCATGACTCCCTCTCGTATCGATTAATGGCATTGGAACGTCATCCCAGTTAGGCTTCACGAGTCCTTCACCAAGGGCAGTGCGTACTCTCTCCTCGATAGCTCTCAACACAAAGCCATACGTGATCTTTCGCTCACTCACGACGGGCTCAGCACGAACTTCCAGCTCCGGCATGTTCTCAAAGCAATACCAGAGCCTGTTGGAAGGAGGCGGCTTGATATGTAGAAGCATGGTGCCTTGAACACGCTGCATAGATGCCTTGAGCACCAAGTCTACCGTCCTGGCCTTGAAGCGAGGGCCCAGATCAAGCTTTGCCACGGCAAGCAAAGTGATTGAAAGGCCCCCATTGTACCGCATATCAGCACTGATGGTAGTGTCGCCATTGATGTTCAAGTCTCGAAGTTTTAGGTTGGTGAAAACCGGGGCGGCGTCTCCAAGATCCAGCGATCGGATCTGTAGTAGAGGGATGAACGTGGGCTTTTGGATTCTTGCTAGCTTCTTCTCGATCTTGCCCAGAATGAAGTTCTTCAGATAGTCGGTGTGATGTATCCCTAAAAAGACTCGCCCCAAAAGTGCGTTCAATGCCCTCGTCTCTGGCGTAAGACTTGATGAATGGAGTGAGGACTGGAGCTTGATCAGTGCCTCTGGATCGAGGGGAAGGAGAGTTGGAGGATGGGATCGAGTCCATAGCAAGGCGTGGAAGAAGTCTTCTTTTTCAAAACTTGTCGCCGAAAACAGATATATGGGCTTCGTGGCCTTTTGGGATCCTGAGCTTTGCATGGAGCCGTTGGGCAGCTCGACAGGAGTCAACACAATTGCGGTTCTCTTGATAAAGAGGTCAGCTTCTGGAATCTTTCGATCATCTATCTCGTCCTCGGCCTCCTTGCCAGACTGGAGCGTGACGTTGTGATGTGCAAGACTGAGCACATGCCGTACCTCCATCGGGGCCGGAGAGTCGTACAGCATCAAATGTCCATGGCGCAGAACGATATACATTACGTTGGCGGACACAGATCTACGGCGGTTGGCAGGAGCTTGCTGGGTATCATCGTGGTCCAGAATGGATGTGCTGCTCCCTGTGTTCTTGTTGCCGGAAAAGACGGAGCGGTACATGCTTTGGTATACCGACTCACTGCTGTTCCCAACTCCGTCTCCAGCAGTGGTATCATGCCCTTGACCACCAGCTGCAGCGCTTCCATTCTGCCGCGCATTCAGCGCTTGGATCGCAGCTTGGAAGTCGTACTTCCTGAGCACGGCAAAAGTACCACTGGCTCCAACGTCGCTTGTTGATTCCTGGCGGCTCCTACTCTGATCCTGTTCTTTGACCACCTCTTCAGCTGTATAAACCTTCCCATCGTCTGGTCCATCTCTTTGACGTTCTTCAGCGTGATCGGCCTTGAGTAGCAGATACCATGCTGACGCGAGGACGGCGGCGAGTACGAGCGGTAGGAAGGTCAGACCGCCAACGAGGTAGGTGATTGCGAGCGTTCGGAAGCTCATCACGGCGGCGGCTCATCTTCGCTGATGAGGGTTATGGCGTAGCTGTACTGCAGCCATGGCGACAATGGCGAGTCGAGGGATGGATACCAGTTGGCTTCACCAACACGGGCAGCTGCGATGGATGCGGTGATGCCGATCTTAGTCAGCGCGGATTTTCAGCTTCACGAAAACGAGGGTAGTTGAGGTGCACGTCAATATGCTTGTCTTTGGAATTGACTCTCCTATGTGATCAGCTGTTCGAGATGGCTGCAGCCAGTCTGCGAATGCTTCAGTGATGGGAGCTCGATCTGTGCGCCACATCGTGATCATAGCCAGCAAACCCAGCTGACTTCATCAAACAGCGTATCTGCCCAATCTCTGAATTCCAAGTTCGTTCACAGTACGCTGGACCATAGCTTTGATGGCCCACTCATGCCTTGCTTCCTCGTCCTTGAATTTCAGGCCACCTCATGGTCAACATTCTCGTCCTTGATGAATACAGCCGAACCCACAGCAATACTGCTGCCAAGCGTAGTATCTTCCCGCAATAGCTTGGCCATCAAACGAGCTGAGCGACCGACCTCAACGGGATGCTGCTCCCCGAAGGCAAGATGCTGAGCGGCCTGTATAGAAGTTAGTACCGTCTTGTCAAGGGTTCAGTATAGCACACCTCTGGCTTGAATGATCTCATCCTTGTTGGCTTCAAGATGCGCACGGCGACCACTTTGCCTATACACTTTCGCTTGCTCTGTTGCAAAATGTCCATGGGTTGTGGTTTCTGTCTGAGCACGAGCTGAGGATCTGCGGAAGCCTTGGCTATTCCCCCGACGAAGCTTTCGACTTTGCGTCGCCAGTGCTCCGCGATGAGTACACCCTGAGCAGGAAGAGACTGCATCTGCACCAGCCGGTACCCGGGATGAGCTGCTTCGATTTCCTTCGTCTTTTCGGCTTCGGGATTGACAGCCACGGGAGCACAGAAGCTCTGCCATGGTGGAATCCGTTGAGAGGTGCCCGGGAAGACGGGCGAGGACGATGTGGCCTCGCGCTCCCGGAGCTCAGCATTCGACAGCACCTGGTCAGCTTTCACAGCATGCATGATCAACATGAAGATGGCAGTGAAGATGGCCTTGGCGGTGACAAAGAAATGCTGCTGAACGCGCGAGTCGCCGAACAGTATCGGATTATCCCTCAGTCGCTGGACGTGCGAAGTGACGTCGAGCAAATCCGCGAATGCCTCTCGAAGTAAGACGTCTTGGGGCAACTTGAAGTCGTGAGACTGTCCGGGCCTCGTGCACTTCAGCTCCCACATCGCAAGCCTCATCTCGATGCTGTTCATCTTGCAGATGAGCGAGTCGAGGTACCGTTGATCGCAGATGAGCACGTCGCTGCTGCTGTCTTGTTCAGCTGCTACCGTCAGTGGCATCTCCAGTATAACGTGACGGGGCATGCAAACATGTTGTGCGACCGTGGTCGCCGGTGATGTAGTATTTGTTGGCATGCTCGGAGACATCGCCTAAGGTGAGCTCCTTGAACATGCGCGGGAAGTTCAGGCGGAGTAAATCCATCTTTGTTGTTGCTCGGTGGTGTAATGAAGCCAGAGCCAAAGCCAAAGCCAATAAACAGGTCCAAAGCGGCGCTCACGTGCTTTTATCGATTGACCGAGATCTCCTCGCTCTCACACACGCTGACAGGCGCCATGCAACGTCAAGCATATCAGTAGCATAGTCGTTAGGATAACATGGGAGAAAAGTGTTATGCAGCATCTCCCCTTGAATTCGCGAGCTGCCACATGAGCTTTGAGCATGAAGTTTTCCGTATACGTGGACACCTGGAATTCGGGAGCTCAGCCGTCTCCATCCTCCTTCTCACTCAGAGTGATAAGGTCTACGCTCCGACAAGCAGCACTGATAGCATGGTCGTTGAGTAAGAAACGGAGATATATGCGCGCACCATGCCTGCACCCTCCTCTGCAACATGTACACCGAGACTTTGGTGTCACGTCCGCCCACGTACGGCACGCACATACTACGGAGTCATCCTCCAGCGTTCTCAGTTAATTGCGCCGCTTTGGGGCATGGCTGACCTTCAAGGACCATGGCAAGTGCTCCATGTTTCGCACTGGTACTGACTCAATCAAGACTCGAGGACCGCAGAGCTTCCATTAGCTATATACGTTGTCATTACAGCAGCACAGGACCAAAACACAGAAGCCGAAGCATGCCTCTCCCCTCAAGCCTCTCTCACGTACTCGAGCACAGGAGTCAAGTCAACCCCAAACCCCTCCAAGTCAAAAAACGTGCCGACATCCACAAACCCCTCAGGGGAAGCCTCCCCAGCCAACTCGTCTTGGCGAAGCTGCTCAGCGAGGTAATCTACCGTGAAAGACTGCTCGTTGGTGGTGGGAGCGAGGAACGACACGTCCTGGGCGGCATTGAAGGTGGCGAGTGGGTCGGCATTGTGGGTGGTGAGCTGTGAAGTGTTGTTCTGGTGAGGCGGCATGACGGTGCTGACGGTGGTCTGCCCGTTCTGTTGGGCTGGGAGAGGGGTCGCATTCGTGGTAGCGTCGGTGCTGCTGGACTGCGCAGCAAGCTTGGCCAGCTTGTTCTTGGTCATGCGCTTCTTCTTCTCGGATGGCTTGCGTGGCTGGTACTTGTAGCCCGGATGGTCGATCGCATGCTGGCGCTTCTCTTCCTACTTCTTGTCAGTGAATCATGGTGGTACAAATTCGAAGACATGACATACCTCAGCTCTCTTCGCGTACTCGGCTTTGACTTCTGGGCTGGCATTGCGCCACCGCTGGCCAGCGATCTTGGCTAAAAATGATGTCAGCTGATTCTCACGTGAATGGGACAGCTGTGCGACTTACAGATGTCATTGTTATGTATCCCGGGGAACTCGATCTTGATCAGCTCGTGCTGGTCGAGGCGGAAGATCACGAAGGGGTTCTTTGGACGCTTCGTCTTCTTCGCAGCGTCCTCGGTGCTGGGCATGCTTGCGTGGACCGCACCTGGCTCGATGCAGACCAGGTCTGCATCTGGGTCGGCGGTGAGCGCGAAGTGGGTGAGAGCGCGTTCGCTATGAATGTCAGCTACAGTCGATAATTTTCGGGGGTCTGTGGTGATTTACTCGATAGTTCGCTTGAACAAACCAAGAGCATCGCCACCAATGCCAGTGATGTCGGACATTGACACAGCTATCTTGCCACGGAAGCCACGCTCGCACGCAGCAACAGCGACATCGACGGCCTTGCTAAATCTCTCGACGGCCTGTTCGACAGGAGCGAATGGAGTGAAAGTGATCTGAGTAGCCATTTTCGTTACTCGTTGCGTCGCTGGTGTGGTTCTTGTGCTTGTAGCGATGTTGCAGGTGATTGTGAGAAGGTGTGCGAGATGTTGTCTGGATGATGTTGCGAGAAGGCCGAAGGAGATCAGAGAAAGTATTTCTTGCTCGTGGGCTGTGGCTGGGCCAATGGCCCACATTGTGAGGCGCATGAAATTCAAACTCTAAATCGCCATTCGCGATAAACAGCTGACATCCGATTAAAAAAATGCGTGACGTACCGCTGGCCGATTCTTTCCCTTAGATTCACCACACACTATGGATACACCCGCGACTCGAGACAATCTGGTCCACAGCGCTCTCTCCTGCCTCGACGACCTGATACGTACTTGCAATGGGGCAATCGGCACCTCAGACGACGTCACCACCGATGAGAGTTGTGGCCACACTGAAGAAGCCGCCGAAGGATCTCGCCTCGCACAGCTCCACCGTGATCGGGATGAAGTGAACCTGATGGCCGCCAGGTACTGTGCCCAGCAGAAGGAACGTCGAGATGTTCCAGCTCCGAAACGTAACCTCCAGTGTGGCACGAAGCTGGCAGCGATCGAGCAAGGACCTCGGATGACCAGGGCCGACTACGAAGTTCTAGCACGAGGTCAGCAAAGAAAACTCAACATATAAGTGATATTTTGTCGTGACGGCCCACTTGTCTAATGCGTTGCAGCGAAGTCGATTGCTTCGCAAGGTCCTTTGGTCTTCAGCAAGCTTCGAATATGAAATCAACTCCGCTCCTCAACCCCCAAGCCGAGGCTTTCCTCGAGAAGTTCTTCAAGAAGTACGGAAATCCGAGCCTGGGAGATGTATTCGTCTTATGGCAAGTCCTGAAGGTCCACAAGGATATAATTCTGCAGTTCTGTACGTACACCTGCCACTGTCGTCTGGATTGCTGATGATCATCTGAAGTCGAGAACAAGAGGAGACTCTATGCACCGGTAACAGAAGCCAGGAATATGCTGCGCACGAAAGCGCTCCTGCAGGATTTTGAAATGAGAGGCACGCTGAACTGGTACCTGGAAAAGAACCGTCAGGAGGATGAGGCGTATCAGCCGGCTGCGGATGACATGGATTGATGGTTTTGTGTATCACATACGCATCATCGTCGTGCACAAATGCGGAAGGTTCGCGTCAAAGACCTTTGTTGCAAGACAGATTACCTTGATGCGGATGGAATGCGCCTTGTTCCATATGCGTCTGATTGCGGAATGAGAACAGAATGAAGCAATGAGAAGAATCTCTATCTTCTCATGAATGCAATGAGGCTTTTCCAGTACATTCATACCTCCTTGAAGGCTCTCTTGGCCTGTTATACTAATGGATTCTCATATCGAGCGCGAGGTGAAGTCGAATTTGAGATGAAGGATCAGCTCCACATCCTTGCGCCAGGGATGACTTCCACGCGACAGAGCTAGACTACAATCAGCTTCCCGACCCACCGGACGCGAGACGACATCTCATCAGCCGCAACAGCACTCGACGCCTTCAATTTCTACTGTCTCGGCCTGCTGCGAAGAAAAACAGCGACTGCCATGCCCAGAACTCGCTGGATCGATGGAGATCATCTGCGGAAGGCTGTGCCGGAGATCTGCTTTGAAGCGTCACCGAAACCACACTCCTATCCGAGCCGTCACACGATCCCCAAATAGCAAGAGTCCTGAGAATGCAATGGAGCAGGCGAGTGTTTAAACATTGGACGTCGGCTATCGAGTGCTGAGACTGCCTTCTCAGCCGTACTGACAAGCAGACGCACAAGATACTCCGATAGCTCTCAATCCGAACGATCTTCCTCCTCCTGCAGACTCCATCCGCCGCTAAAAGGGCTATTCGAGGCTCTGACTCCATCCTTTCCTGCATTCCGTACGCTCATCCCGTGTGAATACGAAAATTTGATCCTCCATCCTTGAGATCCTCCTTGCCCCTGCAGTCGCCAACCGTACAGGACCGACATCGTGATGCCCAGAAGAACCGCAATTCGTTGGAAAAGTGCCTGAAACATCACACTTGAAGACTGTGTGAATACCAAGAGCAGGGGCTGTTGGCAGTAGGACCCGGTGATACTCATGCCCGGATGTAAGATGACCTACACGAGGTTCTGCGGCGTAGATATGAACGAGACGGGAGTCATAGGGATGAGGATATGGTCGTACAGGTATCCTTTTGGTATATTGCGAAAGATATGGATGGCCTGTAGGGGCTTCGAACAGTCATCATGGTGTCGGGCGCGGCAAGATTGAGAGACTGCCTCAAAGGACAAAGCAAGCCACCAGCGGTATGTATGCCTGTTCAGGATCTCAATAACTCAGTCAAAAGGGGTTCCAAGCATTATGATGTTCTGCTGAGCTTTGAAATGAGGCATTGCCCCCAATCTGAATGACATCGCAATGGCTCACGACAATAGCGCATTGTTGAGTACGGCACAATCGCATCAGTCATTCCAGACACAAAAGAAGGAAGATATATTGCTACAGGTTGAATGGACTCCATCGACTGCCCGTCAAAATTGTTGCATCGTCTCCCAGGCGGCCGAGAACCACTGCCATCGCCCTCGAAACATCCTTCCAACTCCCAAAGGCCTCCCGACGACAACCTCCCTCGACGCCTGAGGCCTTCCATGCTCCAATCTACGCCCGCGTGCGCTCGTGCGCGCCCCGTGCTCGCAAATACGCCGACCGTGCCCATCGCTCGTCGCCGGAGTGCTCGATAACCAGCAACCACACCTCCGGATGGCGTTCGTGCCTGAATGCCACAGTTGAATGCCTGAGCTGTGGCGCCTGTTCACCAATGCGGAAGCATAAGCGAGCCGCAGCTGTGGCACAGGCGCCGTTCTGAGTCACAGGAGGCGTTCTGGAAAAGAGGTGGTTGGGAGGCGGAGGCCCGTGCGGTTGGCCAATCAGCCAGGTCTTGGCGCCCGCTGGGAGTGAAGGAATTTGGGATTTGCCCGGCGGCGATGTAGCACAACGTCAACAGCTTTCACGTACTTGTAAAGTGTCATAATTGTGTTCTTTGGAACGAGGAGATGGAGCGCCAACTTGAAAGAAGTTCGTATGTGCTCGGGGAGCTGAGACATGGGACTTTCAAATTTGACATTCGTTTTTGCCATCCCAATGTATATTAAACACCATGAACTGTTCCAAAACATATACGAGCTTGTAGAGCGTGTCCAAGAGTACAATCTCTATGCAGGAATATATGGGCTGGTGTCACTGTTCGGGTCGGTAGAGGCCGGCAGGGGAAGCTTCATCATGCATATCAGCTTGGCGACCGCGTATGAAGGGTACGGTATCTTCAAAGCACTGCTGAGCTTGATCTTTTGGGTCGGTGGGATCCAGAAATCATAATATGTCCAGTGGAAAGAAGCGGTGTTGCGCTGGTGTGCTATGGCGGGGTTGAAGCTGAAATCTGACGACGACGACGTGGCACCCAGATACCACCAGATGGACCTGAAAATTATATGAGCTCCGTCTTATAGTCATTCGAAAGAAATTTCCCATATTTTATAGGACCTCTGCACAGGGTTGCTCATGTGGTAGGTCTAGAGGGCTGGCCCTGGGTCGGGACACTTGGTGTATCTGCTTTGCAAGTCTCCGGGGCCAGAAACTCATTTACTGAATTCGTTTTCAAAGTTTTGAAAGACCCCAGACCGGTCTTTGATAGGCCCTGAACTCTGGTTTGGTGGGTGTACGGTGTGGGCGGCCAGAATCCATGGGTGAGCCATCACCCATATCAGCTGGTACAGCAGCGACTCGGGACATTTATCGCAGATAAGACTGAGGATCCAGCTCTCAAAACGAGATCTATGGGCCGTGTACGTTGCTTTGGTACGGGGATAGGCCGTGGCAGATATGAACCCATCTCGATGTTTGCCCTCCGAGGCTGACTATCGCAGGCCTGCGGCACCAGCAACACAATACCTCTTTCAGTAGCTCTCATGCGCTTATTAGAAGGGCCTCGAGCCTTTGTTGAGTCCAGTTACCTGACTTGAAGGCCAAGATATAGTAGGTTGTCCTGGAAAATGGGGCTCTGGCCGGACGACGCCATTGCGCGGCAGCAAGGTGGGTGCAGGTACCAAGAACACTTCCATACGACGCCTATATGATATGAAAAGCATTCTGAATACTGTTGATGGTTGTAGACAGTATAAGATTGCGTGATATGGGCCATCCCGAAAGGCCTTCTCGGCGGCTGCCATGTTTTCCAGGTCTATACCAGCCAGAACGCCAAAGTCATACTCCCAGCTCTTTCAGATGGACCTTCAGACACCCCCTACGCTTTGTTGCGACTCTGGGCCTCCTCTTTCGGTGGATATATCCAAGTACTGACGCCTTGAAGCATGGGAAATCGGGATGAAGTCCAGGAAGCTGGCGCCTTCGCCCAGCACTCCCAAAACTCCGCCAGACACTTTCAAGTGGTATATAAAGCATCGAGTATGTCCAGGACGCAACCGCCGGCATGGGTTCGTGGGCGCCAGGCTCGAGAAGCCGGATTTCGAGGCCAGAAAAGCGGTATAGTACGGCCAAGGGGTTTCCAGTATCACAGAATCGCTCAAATGGGATAACAAGAGTCGAATAGTATGATGAGAAGTAGTGTCAGTGGTTTCATACAGTTCTATTCGACTATCTAGATCCTCGAAGACTGGCCTCCCATCCAGCCAGAAATCCGTCTCCCAGGCAACGGCGGCAGCGACGACGACCTTCACCATCTTCTCAGATGTCAGCAGAGTCCTCGAAGACCATCTCTAGATACCCTCGAACACTTTCGGCAAGTAGCGAGCAAAGGCGGCACCTCAACAGGACAGCATGGGCGACGACAGCGAGCGAGGAGCCATTCTAGCCAGGGCGGTGACGACTCGGACGGCAGCAAGTACCCTAGACGGCATATGGGACCTTCAGGACCACGAGGAATCACTCAGCAGTCCATTTGGCTACAGGCAGGACGGCGCCGGACGCACATAAGGGCGGTTTGAGAGCACACCTCCCAGCGGCGGCGGCGGCGACGACCTGGACAGCGAGGTATGTGACTACAATAGATTACGAGTCCTACAGACCACTGAATACAGTTGGAAAGATACCAGGCTCCCAGCAGGACATCAGGCGAGGGCGAGGAGACTGCAGCGACGGCAGAGGCGGCGACGACGACACCCATCCAGATATCACCACCCAGCGTGAAGAGCGCCTCCATCTTCACTACTTACGAGGAGAAAAGGCGGTTCGATGACCACTATGAGACTGGTCGACATCAGCCGCAGAGAGACCTCGACTCTGAGCAGGCATTCCTCTTTGGGTGACGGGAAGGCCAGGGCGACGAGTCAAGCACGGTGAGGCCAGAACGACAAGACCAGAGCATATCATGCCCTTCGGACTCGTATGTCGACAGCAGAATACACAGAGACGGCAGTGGTGGAGGCGTTCAGGCGAACAGCTCGATCGGTCTAGCCGTCGGACGAGACGGCGGCGGCGGCGGCGGCAGCAGAGGAAGAAGACAGCATTACAAGCCTGATGAAGAAGAGAGACGGGAAGCAGATTTCGACATCATGAGAGAGAGCATTCGGCGGCAGCGATGAGAGCAGCAGCTGGGTCTCGCAGGCTTCACATGGACGAGTATGTCGAATCACCAGGGCAAAGAGCTTGGGAACAAGAATGGCGATGGTTATATGAAGAGCTTTCGGCCAGCAGCAGCATACCCAGAAGCACAGGCATAGACCAGAGCCGCTTGGGCAAGACCAGGACACGAGCAGCTGGGAGCAAGAGACAGGAACAAAATATCCTTCGCTGAGCACGAACGCAAGCAGGTGATGTGAGGCCGTGGAAAGGACATCATTCGCATTACGAGCCATCGGGCCAGTGAGAAGTATCTACTGCGCGGGCTGGCTCCAGGCAGACTTCAAGTCGTGGGTATCATATCATCCTAACATGGCAAGCAAGCACCCCATCCCTCGCGGGCTCTCAACCTCGTTCATCCTTTCGCAGGCGACTTCACGCTTGCACCCTCTTTCTTCGGCTGCCAGTCAGAGCACCAGATGAAAGTCAGGCAGCGCCATTGCGTGCCTCGCTCTTTGTCACCACTAGGACCCAGCGGTCGGGCACACATCCAGAAGCTTCGTCCTTGATTCGAGCCTTTCTTCTTGGTCTGCATCGTCTTGCACGGCTCCTGATGGCTCTCGCACAGCGGCGCGACCGGCTTGGAGAAGAGTGCACCCCATGAGCGTTGGGTCTGCTCAGCGGAGGCGAGTTGGGAGGCGAATTTGCTTGGGGATGGGCTGGGACTGGCGAACTCAGAGGGCTGGGTGTTCGTGGGCGTTGCAGCAGACTGTGACTGCTCGGCATCAACTTCGTCCATGGATTGCGTGTCGCCAACGATGTCGGTACTCGCGGCGTCCTTCAGCGCGGCTGCTGGAGCAGGCTGGCTCTTGGCTTGGAAGAAGCCCCTCAAGCTCTGCTGTCCTTTGGACGGTGCCTGTGCTTTCGAAGACGAGGTCTTCGGCTCCGACTTCTGCTTCTTCAGGGGGGACTCTTGGTTGACTGATGCCTTGCGCTTCGAATCCGGGCTTGTCGATTGAGACGGACCAGAATCGTTGACGGACAAGTCCGACTTCATCTCCAGACCTTTCGACTGGGCTATATCTGTCGCTTGAACCACACCATCTTGGGCGTCTTTGGTAATTTGCTGAGAAGGCTGGGGCTTCTTCAGTGCTGGTGCTGCGAACATCGACTTGATCGACCGCCTCTTGTCGAACTCGGGCATTCGCTTCGCCGAGAAACCAGGCGTCGATGCTATCTTCCACTCCTGCTTCCTCTCACCCTCAACAAATGCACCAGGTGGGTTCATTACGTCCAGCAAAGAGGTATCCCTACCATTCCAGGGTATGGCATCCTTGAAGTCGACGAATACCGGGCAGTGGTCGGAGCCAAGCAAGCCTTCTTGGATGTTGGCGTCTTTCAGCCAAGGACGCATTGCTGCCGACACAAGTACGAAGTCGATCCGACTGCCATAGTTGCCAGGTCTGGCGTTGATCTTCGTCTCCCAATGTGTGTACATGCCGGCTCGATCACGATGGAACTCGCGCGTGGTGTCGTAGAGCACGCCCTGCTCTCTGCCTTCATCCCGCTCGTCCAAGACCTCGCCACCGATCAGAAGCTGGTTGAAGATGCGCCGGTTAGGCGACATGAGGTACTCCTCTCTTGTGATCAGCGACTTGCGGATGTCTTCGAGGGTTGGTCCAGAATCCATCTCGTGGCGGGTGACATTCAGGTCGCCGACCAGAACGACGTTCTTGCCCTCCTTTATCAAGTTACGGATTCGACAGTCCAGTGCGCGGATGAAGCCATATCGGAAGTCGTCACGCAGGCCATTGCTATTAGCTGGCGAATACACCCCGAACAGCACGAACGCTGGAAATTCAACCACCACGCATCGACCTTCGGCATCGAGTGCTGCTGCATCCACGCCTAGCTCGGCTTCTTGCAACGGAGTTGGATAACCACCAATGCTCTCGTTCTCAGGCAGGTCACGATACGGCGTGCCAGATGGAGACGGCAGTACTCCGAGTAGTCCTTCCTCTGCTTTGATGGGAGCACATGTTGCATTTCGTGTGTAGATACCAACGCCTGAGTATCCTTTCTTATGCTTCGGCAAGCTGAAGTAGCAGTCCCATCCATCCACCAGGACCATGTCATCTCTAAGATCTTTCCTCTGAATCTTCAACTCTTGCATGACTACGATGTCGCTCTCGAGGATATCGAACATGGCGGAGAAGCTGCGAGCGGTGTTCCATGGCTGGTACGAGAAGGGATTACGAATGCCATTGACATTCCTGCACATATATCAGTATCAATATACCTGTTTCCAGGGAATCATCCATACCAGGTTGTGAGTCTCATCTTGGCCACCGCTTCCGTTCGATCTGGATGTCGCAGGGATGCAGCATCGTCAGCGCTTGCAATGACTGTCTGTAGCTTCTGAAGGCGTCTCAAAGATGGAAGAAGAGTGAGGAACTCATCGCCTCTTCGACAGACACGTCCACGACCAGGTTGACGTGAAACAGCCAGACCTCGGACATCCCGGTCACGTGCGCGCGTCAATCTCGCGTGGCTCCCTGGCACTTCAACCTACCATTTCCAGGACTCGACATCAACACCCACCACGAACAGAACGATGAGATGAACGGAAATGCCTCGCTACCTCACGCCGGCGCGCATTTGCTGCCTGGTGTTGATCCGCCAATATCAGTCTGGCCATACATCGTCTGAATCCTCGCTCCGCGTCCTCGACTTTCTCGCAACCCACGTAACCGCTTCACCCGAAAACGACTTCGAAGCGGTATCAGAGCGCAACAAGCTTTCTTCATCAGACATCACATATCTGGCCGAGAGACTTTCGCCATGGAGCTCCAAAGTTACCGGCCGGAATATGTACGATATGCTACTCAAACGCATCTGGTCACTTCATGGTCTGGATTCTCTACACAACCTGATCAATCGCCTCAACTCCGACGGTGTTCCTTTTGATGAGGAAGGCAATCCTATCCCATCGAAACAAATCACCCCTGGCTCGCCACTCGGTCAATTCATTCGAAGATGTTATGTTGAATTCACAAGACTGCAATTTGCTGACTCTCAGGCACTCTGGAACTCTTTCGTAGCCTATCGCGCACTGACATATGAGGACTGGGCAACGAAGAATCCAGACGCAGCAAGAGAGCTCGAGGAGACGCAGAACCTGACCAACGTGCCGGCATTGCCCAGGAATGCCTTCAACGACGACACCGCAGAAGCCAAATCCAACTCAAGCGTCGTCGATGCTGATATGCTGCTCGGCTTTTCCATCTACCAATTGCAAAACCTCGGCACGCGAGTACCAGGAGATGTGAAGACGCAGCTGGGCAAGTGGATTGGCGACCAGTGGGATTCAGGGACGCAATCGCTTCACTTCTTCATGGAGTTCTTCGATCATTGGAGGTCTGGCCAGTACAACATGGCACTCGAGAGCCTGCACCGATATTTCGATTACTCGCTTGCCGCGAGGACAGGTGCTGACAACATGAGGGTCTACTACCAGTACGCTTTGCTTCACTTGAGTGTGCTGCATGCCGATTTCGAGTGCTGGGATGAAAGCGTCGACGCGATGAACGAGTGCATAGCAACGGGTATGCCATACGTACCGATATCTTACCCACACGTGCTGACTTCACACAGCACGTGAGAACCAGGATACGGCCTGTCTGAACTTCGCCTTGTCCTGGCTACTATATCTTCGACATGCTCATCCAGACAAGAGCAGATCATCGTTCGCAACTATCTCAGGCGCCGTTGGCAGTGGTGGTGGGGAGCATGACGAGATAGCGTTTTTGAAGCAAAAAGCAAGAGATGGCAAACACTGGGTGCTGCTCAGCAATACGTTGCTCGAAGAAGCGAAACTGGAGATGTTCAGCGTTGGTCAAGACGCTTGTACCTGACTGCTATGTACTGACACTTTCTCAGGGTGGCAGCGCGAATCGTGCCCAAGAATACATACTTCAGGCGATGTACCTGAATGTCCTTCACGACCTTCAAAACCTGGCACCTGCTGCTGCGCTCTTTCATGGTGCAAGTCATGATCGCCTTGGTAAGCTAGGGAGGATGAAAAAATCGGGCGTCTATCTCTGACCATCATGCAGGCCAGGCACAGCTCGCAACCAGGTCGTACGAGTTAGCCACAGTTGTGCACGATGTCCATTGTTCACTAAACGATCGCGTTCGCTCAAGCTGTCGACTCGCTTTTGCTTCGGCACTTTCTGGGCATTACTCCAAGGCGATGGCAATGCTTGACAGCCTCAACCCAACCATCAGAGGAGTGCTAAAGCTGGAGCAGCGCATTTTGGCATTTGCCACGATTGTGCAGCTACGGCGACAACTACATCGGTATGTCTTGCATGAGCATATTTGGTACATTCCGGCTGACTTTTTACACAGCGGCGAACTTGAAGCGGCAAGTTACTTCCTGAACCAACTCCGTCCACTCCGGTCCTTTAGCGATCCTGAGATCGTGTTTGAGGTGAACTTGTTGGAAATTGAGTTCTTCATCAAGCAAGGATCATTCGAAGAAGCATTGACCAAAGTCGGCGAACGCATCAGAGAATCGAAAGGAAGAGGGACTGACATGGCCCAACGTCTCCACCTTCTCATACTGAAAAGCAGGATATACCTTGCTGGTGGACAGGCAGTCAAAGGGTTTGCTGTCTCGTTGAGGGCTACTTCAACTGCGGAGCGTCACCTGCTTATGCCTGTTTTACATGAGGGTCTCGCAGTTCTAGCACGGATCCTTATCGAGTTGTCCGAGTACGCAGTAGCCAGAGACCTGATTGAGGCCACTCTGCCACAGGTAAGTGGCGTTCCACGTTAGATGAATCATGCTAACGCCTCACGCAGGTCCTTGAGTCGAAGAACGTCACATTGACTGCCAAGATGTTTGTGACCATGGGCGAGGCATGCGTTGGGTTCGCTGGCTATTGCTGCGAGGCCGGCTCAGCTGAGCAGGCTCGCAGTATGCGGAGGGCTCTCGGCCTCATTGAGCGAGGCAGAGTTGGTAAGGAAACTCAAATACCTTTTACGGCAGAGTCGAACGCTGACGATCCACAGCATACCAAAGGATAGAGGACATCAGTGGCATGCTTGACTGTCTGCTGATGAAATCGAAGATTGCCAACTGGAGCGGGGACGAGACAACATCTGCGCAGGCCGATGAGATGTACATGCAGCTTCTCGCTGACCGCTGAACGCAAGAACAAGGAAGCAAGTCTAATCCACCACCATCCACAAGGCACCACGATCACAAATGACTCGTGAAGAGCTACTATTGCAGCCGACTGCAGAAAGGCGATTATGAGCGGCACATACATGGCGCGCATCCTTCAGGCGCTGAGATGGCTAAACTGAGGGACGAATGCACACATGATCGGACTTCATCTCGACCAGAATCTGGCGTCGAGACGTGAGTACCATGTGCCCATTCCCGACGGCAGTCGACTTGGGAAGATATTTACGAAGCATCTGTACGCCCTGGCATCCGCCAATGTCCGCCCTCGATCGAATTCGATACCCTTTGCGGCGGTGTCACTATTAGAGTGTTGGCTTCGAGAATTGACAGGAATCGTGTGGGCCTGGTGGCCGTCGGTCGATGGTGGAGCACTCAGCAGACGGCAAAGGCTCGAAATCTGGACATCACGGAGCGAGGGACATGTTCAGATGGAAGCTCTACCGCTCGACACATGCGCACCAAGCAAAACCGCACAGAGTATAGGTATTGTGACATTACGCTGGTACAGCCGGGCAGTTTGCTCATGGCAAACACTCGTCACAGGCGACATGAGACAAATACCTTTCAGCTGCTAGACAGCGCAACTTAGATATGATTACATGTGCCAATGTATACAAATTATTCACGAGCCGCCTACTATTCACCTGCTCTCTCCTCCTCCGAAGCCCAGCCTGGCATCTATATAAACTTCGCCCACCCATGTCCACAAAGCCACGCCCTTCAAAACTTTCTCCACACATCACCTCGACCCGAAAAGCACTCCATCGACTCACAACTTTCCTTCTACACCACTACTGCTGCTGCTGCATACCGACCATGGCGGACGTCGTCACCAAAGTCGAAGTTCCGGGACTGAAGAAGACGGCGAGTGGGAAAGTGCGCGAGATTTTCGAGATTGATGAGAAGACGCTGCTTTTTGTTGCGACGGATCGGATCTCGGCTTATGATGTTGTGCTGGAGAATGTGAGTATCTGGAAGAAGACAGTATTGTGAGGAAAGGATGAGAAAGAGCAGGGCGCATTGATGTGAGAAGAATCCTCGAGGCGCATTGGCGATATGCGAGTTGCGGTTGCGCCAATGCCTGGAAGCTGGCATCGAGAGGTTGTCCAGTGGCGATCCACAACCGAACACCAATGCCTCCGAAAGAAAGACTCCATCCAAACCCACACGAACCAGACTCGATGAAAAGAAACACCAGCTAACACCTCTCTCCCAGGGTATTCCCTCCAAAGGCGCCATCCTAACCCAACTCTCCGCCTTCTGGTTCACCCTCATCGCCACGCACCTCCCAAACCTTAAAACCCACCTCCTCAGCACAACCCTCCCCGCCTCCCTCCCCCAAACCCTCACACCGCGGAGCATGCTCGTCCGCCGCATCCCCGTCATCCCCCTCGAGTCCATCGTCCGCGGCTACATCACCGGGTCGGCGTGGGCGGAGTGCAAGAAGCACGGCACCGTGCATGGCATGCGCATGCCGGAGGGGTTGAGGGAGAGTGAGAGGCTGGAGAAGCCGATTTGGACGCCGAGCACGAAGGCGGAGCAGGGGGAGCATGATGAGAATATTTCGAGGGCGAGGGCCGTGGAGTTGGTCGGGGAGGGGGTGGCGGGGAAGGTGGAGGAGGCGAGTTTGAGGATCTATGAGATTGTGAGTGAAGTTCTTGTTCTTTTCTTCTGGGTTGGTGATGGGGGTTTGTTGGGCTAATTTGTTTGTGTATAGGCGAGAGACTACGCCGAAGAACGCGGGATCATCATCGCCGACACCAAGTTCGAGTTTGGCTGGGACGAAGCTGCCCAGGAGGTCGTGCTCATCGACGAGGTGCTCACGCCGGATAGCTCGCGGTTCTGGCCGAAGGAGAAGTATGAGGTCGGCAAGTCGCAGCGCAGCTACGACAAGGTGAGTTGCCCCTTTCTTTTGTTGGCAGTGGTCGTGCTGACTAGATGTTCGTAGCAATACCTCCGCGACTGGCTTACGAGTTCCGGGCTGAAGGGTAAGGACGGTGTCAAGATGCCGGAGGAGGTCGTGCAGGAGACGGCGAGCAAGTATCGGGAGGCGTATGAGATGTTGACAGGGAAGAAGTGGGCTTGAGCGATGAGTGCTGCTTTGAGGAGGTCGTTCTGATGGAACATGGAACCGCCGGTTGGAGGTCTACTCTTCCGGCAAGCACTCACATAGACGAGAACACAAAAGACCATACTCTGCAAAGACACGGCATAGATGAGAAGAATGGAATCAATCAGGAAACAAATCTGCTTAGTTCGTTCTTCCTACAACTTCGACTGCCTCGCCCCAAACCACGACTTCCAGCTCCAACTGGGCCTCGGAGGAAGAAACCGCTCCAACTCGACCGTATTCAAGTACGAGAGATCCCCTCTGACTTTCCCCAGATCCGTCACGCCGCACAGCCGCATCGCGGTTTCGAGTTCGTCTTGCAGAACTAACACACCATCAATCAGCACATATCACCCACACGCAGTTCGAAAGTGAGATAGGTAAGGGGTTTGGATATGACAGGACTTACGCAACGCAGCATGTTCCACCCCTTCCTTGCCATACATAACGCTACACTGGAACGGTCTGCCGACACCGACGCCCCTCGCGCCGAGACAGACGGCTTGGAGGATATCGCTGCCTCTGCGCACGCCCCCGTCGACGAAAACTTCCATGCGGTCGAAGACTTCCGGACAATCTCGGCGGAGTTCTAATAAAATCCCCACCGTCCCTGGCGCGCCGTCCAGCGCCCTCCCACCGTGGTTACTCACCACGATACCCGCGCATCCGAGCTCGAGGGCGAGTTTGGCGTCCACGGCGGATTGGACGCCTTTGATAACGAGGGGTTTGGTGGTGTGTCGGCGCAGCCAGGGGATATCACTCCAGGAGAGTTTCCAGTCGATGAAATTCCCCGTCGTACGGGCGAGCCCCGCGCCTTTCTTGTCCGCGCCGGAGACTTGGCCGTCGGAGGAGGTGTAGACTTGCTCGGAGACGACGAGGCGTTCGTCCGCTTCGCGCTTGGATACGACGGCGAGGTCGACGGTGACGAAGATGGCTTTGATGTTCGCGAAGGCCTCGAGGCGGGACAGGAGGGCTTCGGTTTTGGAGCGGGTGCGGTCGACGTACAGCTGGAAGAAGTAGGGGTATGTTGGCGGGACGCTCGTCAGGATCTCCTCGGCGGAGAAGGACGCCGTGGTGCTCATGCAGTGCACGATTCCTGCGTTTGCGGCGCCGGAACCCAGTGCCATCTCGCCTTCTGGACCGGCGGTTTTGGCGATGCCCATCGGGCAGATGAAGACGGGCATGCTGACTTCGGCGCCGAGCATGGTGGCTTTGGTGTTGATGGCGGAGACATCGCGCATGATGCGGGGGCGGAAGAGGATCTTGGACCACCAGGATTTGTTGAGGTTCAGGGAGATGAGATCGTTGGAGGCGGCCCAGGTGTACGCCCAGGCCTTTTGGGAGCCGAAGCGGCCGAAGGCTTCTTCGAAGTCGTGCAGGTTGATGAGGGTCGAGAGGGGAGGTTTTTCGTTCATGTTCGAGATGTTTTGAGGGGAAGGGGAGGATTTGTCTTGTGAGCTCTCGCGCCAGGCGTCGTCGATGGTGGATTCATCCAGGGCGCCTTTCTTTTCTTCTGTGGAGAGTTCGTTTTCGATTAGGTCGGCGGCGTGGAAGTCGTTGTAGGCTGATGAGCCGTCTCGGCCGGCCCATTTGTGGATTATGTGTGCGCCGCCTGGGTGGTTGGGGGCGAATTTGGTGAGGTCGTAGACTTTGCCGTTGACGACGATCCAGCAGTCTGATGGGGAGGAATGTTGTATTACGACTGAGACGGGGATTCTGCCTGTGGATGTCATTATAGCGGATGAAGCCAATGGCTGTAGCGAAGCTGTTAGTTGACTGTCAATGTCCTTCTACAAATCGTATACGAAAGAAACAGATTAAAACAGCACAGTAATCCAACCCAGAGAGACGTCAAGTATAAGCGTCAACAAGCAGCAAGCGATTGGCTTTTGAAGTACGTGCCCGCCATGTTTTATCCTCGTCTCGCGGCATTGACTCCGCATGCTGATATTCCGCTCTGGCGAAAGGTTATTTGTGATAGCCGAAAGGTGGGAGGAGTGGGAGATGGATGGGGGCGTTTGGCGGGAGTGGTGAGCACAGGCCGGCGTTGTTCCTGGAATGATTTTTGGGGGCCGGGGGCTGAAGACTTTCACTTCACGTCTTGTTCCTTGTCAATGCTCTTCAGCGATGCTCTTGTTAGAACTCTCCGATAAGCCCCTCGCTTGATTGTTTGTCAGATCCTGCCAGTGTCCTTCAGACGGTCGGGCATAGAGAGCTTTACGCCACTCGAACGAGGTAGATGGATGGTGGAAGTCCAGGTTACCATCCTCTGCACTCTCTCGGCCTCTGCCACTGCTCCCAGTTGTCGCCATGACAGAAAATAAGCATGTTGTCGCTGCTCTTATGGGCGTGTATCTCATCGCAAGAAGCCGTCGATAACATGCCACGTTGGATCGAGCCAGGCAGGCCACCTTGAAGAAGAATCCACCTCCGCAAGAGAATGTCCTTGGCGAATAGATCAAGCCGACGATGATGTGGGAAAGAGGGGTACCAGAAGGAGTAGGAAGGAGAAGAGATAGTACCAACAGTCGCGATGGGTATAGGCTGAGGTCTGTGAGGAGGCTATCAAGAGCATGCAGAAAGCCAGGACGTGGCCGGCCTTGACACCCCTGGCCCCGCAGAAGCAGAAGCAGCCGGCACGTTTGAAGGGGGAAACGAGCAGAGAATGATACGAAAAGGTAGGATGCTGCGAATGAGGCAGAGAAGAGGCGTTAGATTCCTGCGGTTAGGGGGTCAGGATCGATACATTATTGCCTATGGCGGATCCGCCAATGAAGTGAGTATAACAGTGTTCTCCAGCGCCTGGAACTTCTAGAAGCCAGATGATTTGCATGTGATGTAGGGGCATGTAGGCTGCCGACGGGAAGCAGCAGCAGAAGAGGCGTGGGAAGTGCCGTCCGCCAGCTTTGGATGTGCCTTCCCGCGCTGCGACATGCTTCTGCGTCCGACGTCCTACCACCTCCACCTCCATCGACAACACCGACACCACCAACGCCGCCGCCTGTTCAACCACCTTCGACCTCCCGCTCTTCACTGCGCCCTCGTTCATGTGAGTATTCACTTGTGATTGCGGTCGCTTTTTGTCCGATTTTCCTCACTTCACTTCACCCTGTCCGCCGCTTCTTGCGCCTTCTCGCCCATGCCACCACGCCGCAGAGCCAACCCGAGCGCAGCCAAGCTGCCGGCCAGTCGTCTCCCTCTCGGCACTCACCTGCCAGGCGACGACCGTCCAACGTCTCGCAACACTGACCGCAGCGCTTCTTCCCCTCGTGCCACCTCCGACACCGATACAGCCACCCACATCGACATCAAGAACCACCCTGCCTACAAGCCTGTCGACACTCCCGTCGACACTCCATCCGACATGTCCAGCTCCGACCTCTCTGAGGCCAGCCAGCCTGCTCACTCCATGGCCGAGGCCAAGTTGCGTCGCCAGCAAGAGCGCATCCAGAACGCTGAGGCCGCCCTTACTGCTCCACTCCATCTCGATCGCCGCGAGCCGTCACGTGGCAAGAACAAGCAGGGCTGGAAGCCGCTGGACATCGAGTGGGACACCGTCAACCGCGCTAAGAACGAAGGCGGCATTCCTGTTCAGACTCGCACCAACACTATCTACGGCCCAGCCTTCTCTCGCGAGACGTCTCTTTCGCGCTCACTTTCCAGCATCTCCCAGCAGACTACCACAACCGATCCCGAACGCCATGATTCCCTCGTCGATAACGCCGGCTTCCAGACCTATCATGGCCGCCGCGGACGAAAGCATGCAGATGACCTAGGAGCCACCGAAGACACCAAACCAGAAGAGCGCCAGGCCACTGTCGAGGGCAGCTTCGACAAGCGCGAGATGTACAAGGTCTTCGGTCTCGAGCTTCCTAACATCGACTTCATTTCCAGCAACTGTGGCTTTAAAGACGGCCAGCTGCAGTTCGTCCAGCATCCCAACGGCGACGTCTCTGCTCACATGTGGTCGCACCACCGATACATGTGGGAGAACATTGGCAACTTCTCCAACATTCGCAAGAGGATCGAGGGCCAGCTTGCTTCCGATCGCCTGAAGGGCGAGACTGGCTGGCAGACGCTGCAGAGGAACACCCTGGCTTACTTTCGTGTCATTGCGAAACAACGTGAGCAGACTACTCAGGGCAACGATTTTGGCCAGGTGGAGATTCAGCAGATTCTTGAGCAACCACCAGACAGTATGAAGCCACCGGAAGCGTCTCGTCCAGCTTCACCCACTACGTCAACGACCAGTCGGCAGACTTTGGTTCCCAAACCACCTCTTTTCAACCCGGGTCAACCGCAGGCCACGACTACGAACAAGGCTACAATTCCTTCTGCACAAGCGCCTCCAAAAGCGCCTGCGACTGCTGGTGTCGGCAGAGGCTTCCCTTTCTTGTCCGATGATCGAGTGACTGCGAAAGAAGACCCATTCAACGGCTCAGGCATCTTCCTTCAGGCCACGAAGCCGGCTGTTCCAACCGCAAAGGCTGTTCCCACTCCTCAGCCACCAAAATCTATCACCACCGGCAGCTCTTCCTCAAACCCATTCCTTCCCAGCGACTCTGCTACGACCTCGACCGCATCTTCTCGCGCACCAACCGTTCGCCCGTCTCGGGATGTTCCTCCGGCATGCTCGGTTTTGCCTGGATTGCCACAGCTTAATGTTGCGAAGCTGGGTGTGATCAACATAGGCCATCAGGTCGAGCACAGGCAGGCATCGGTCAGTAGCGCGGGCACTCCAACTCGTAAACCAACCCCATTGTCATCCCGCGAGGCAATGCGTGATCAGTTGTGGAAGGTCAGCGAGTTTGCGCAGCAACGTACCAACAGTCAGGCCAACATTCGGACTGTCCTTCATGACCCGTTCCAGGCTCAGTCTGTTCAGAGCGATGATACCCGAGCGGAGCCATTCCCAGACTTTGATGGACGCAGCGAGAGCGAAAGCACGCAATGCTACATCCCGCGTCGATACACGAAGCCTTCATTACCAACCTACCGCACCTGGAGAGACACCCAACCTGCCCTCAACGGCACAAAGCCAATTCCTCTTATCCGACCAGAGGAGAACTTGGCTGATAGTGTGCCTGACACCGATGCTCGTAGTAGTCGAGTCACCTCTTTCGAGTCGTCCGGTGCAACATTCGTCATAGATGAGCCAGCAGCGAGCACCCCTCCTGCCAGCAAGAAGAGCTACGACGAAGAGTTGAAGGATTGGTGGACTTCTGGAAACAAGTTTGCTCGTCAAGAAGACTTGTACCAACGCATCAAAGCCCACGAGGTTGGCAAAGCTTCAGCTCGTGTTTCGAGGTACACAACCACCACGCCATCGACTCGTCCACGTCCTATTGGTGCTCCTGGATCAAGCCGCTACTCTTCATCTACCACTGCATCTCCACAAAAGACCGACGCACCCTTCAACAGAACTATCACTCGCGTGCTCATCCCCGTCTACGAGAATCTTGCTTCATACGTCCAAGGCCCCATCGAGCAGCGTCGCGACTACTGGAGCAACTGGTCTAAACCACCGGAATGGTGCATTGATCGTTCTCCAAACGGCAACAACTCCTTCTTCGACGACGGATGGGGCCAGCCGCCGGCGAGAGTTGGTAGAGATCCAAGATACAGAGCTTTGCCGGGTGAGTTGCGATTCGGCGGGTTCAGTCCGGGTTCGATGGGCGGGAGTCCCAGGGGAAATGTGTTGAGTGGGATTCCGGGTATGAGGGCTGGTATGGGATTTGGTGGTGGCGGTGTTGGCCGGTATTGAGGATCAGATGATGTGGCGTGAAGTTGTGCATATGAGGAGTTTGGGATTTCTTCAAGGAGTTTGAGGAGTGGATTGATCGGTGGATGATATGAGGTTTCTATGATACCCTGAGAGACAACAGCACGGCGATGGTACATACCGTGGGAGACACTTGGCGAAAGTCTGTGCCTAAGTTCCCTGCGATGAGATGAATGAAAAAGAAAAGCTACCGTTGGAGTTTTTTGGAAGTCTCGATTTCTCGTGCTGGTGGTGTTCTTTTCTTTTGCATTGTGTTTCTTCACGCCGTGAATACATTACTGCATTGACTTTCCTTTTTCCATTTTCCATTTTTGCTTTCCACCCTTTCGACCATCCATCCATGCACTCCCTCAGAAGAACCAACAGAAGTATCCATTGTTCTTTTCATCGTCGTGTGGCGCGTGGTCGAACTGCTGCTGTGTATACATCTCCTCCTTCCTCTTCGCTCTTCCGATCTTCCCTTGCAGCGAGTCATCGTCCTGCAAAAACTAAAACAAAACAATATTTACAACAGCCATGGTATGCTGCGAAGAAGAAGAAAACAAAACACAAAATGTTGGAGTTGAATCGAAAGTAGGCGTGAGCATCACAGTCATTCGTTCGTTCGCTTCGTGTGTGTCCCGTCGGCTCATGCAGACTCTTGAAGAAACTCCCAGTGGCTCTACCCCCTAAATCTCTTCCTTCCAGAATGCTCATCCTCCACCAAGCTCACGACGAGCCACCGCCATTCCCACCCACCCTCGACCCATTCGCCAACACAACCGTATAACTCCTCAAATCGCACGCGAACCCATTCCCCAGACTGACATTCGTCGCGTTGACGGTCTGACCCTCGTTGTCGTCGCCTTGCCGGAAGTAGTCTTGTAAGTTCTCTTGCGCCGTGGCGGCGGAGTTGAAGTCGCCGGCGGCTTGGAAGACGTAGAGGACGGCGATGCGGGCGAAGTCGAGGGCGACCGGGGTGGAGATTATGCTTGTGGTGGAGGTGGAGGTTGGTGCGGATGAGGAGGAGGTTGAGGATGGGGAGCCATCGGCGTAGACGATGCCGATGCTGGATGTGGCGGTGGGGGATGGGGAGGTTTGCTGGCGTTCGTCGAGGGTCGGGGTAGGGGTTCGCGGGATGAGGACGTCGATGTAAGAGCGTCTGCCGCGGCGGCGGTGTTTGGACGAGGCGCCGTTGAAGGTGACGAGGGCGTTTTGCGAGGTGCAGCTCATGTCGGAGCTGGAGAAGAGGCCGAGGAGTTGTTGACCGTCGAGAGGGATGCTGAAGTTGGCGTTGGAGCCTGAGAGCAGACGAGGAATGGCGTCGCCGACGGTGGCGTTGTTGGCGGAGCCGATGGAGGCGGTTGTGCAGCTCTGTTGCTCGTAGTTGGAGCACGTCAGGCCGGTGTAGCCGTTGATGCAGAGGCATTCGCAGAAGCCGTTGTTGCTGAGGATGTTGGTGCCTCCGTTCTCGCATGTTAGCTTCTTCTCGCATGCAGTCGCCGTGTTCGCTTTGTGGTCACTGTTCTGCTTGGGTACCACGACTAGCATGATCGGTACAATGACAGCGGCAGCTACTAGCAAGACCAGCAGCAGAAGTAGTAGGAGGAACAACCACAACGGCATCCCGCAACACTTGCGCCTGGGCTTCTCCTTCTCCCCAGCGTCACTATCACTGGGAAGAGCCGAATGCCTCAGCCGTGAAGACCATCGCGACATGTCTCCGCGAGAAGCATGCGGTGTCTGATTGTGGGGAGCTGGGAATGAGTTGAGAATGTCGGAGACACTGCCAGAACGCCTCTTCTCACCGGGCTCTGCACCGTCCAGCCAATTTGCCATGCCCATTCGACTTGCCGTCTTGCCGCGATCGAGATTGGACGCCAGCTTTGTAGCGCGTCTGATCAGATCTGGCAGACTAGTCAACGACCCTCTTGCCTCTGCATCGCGCACAGCATCAACGTTCAACCGTGGAGGTCGCTTTCTGCCGGCGCGCTCGGACAAGCCAGGTGTCGGGGCTTTCAACTCCTCAGCGTCCTTAGCACTGATGGCGCCGCCCTTCTCAAGGCTTTCGAGAATCGACTTGACACGTTCATCGTTGTCTGGTGCAAGGGGAGAGCGTGCGCGTGATCGTGTTGGGTGCAACTCATTTGCGATGGATGAACCCAGCAACTCCCTCGACCTCTTCTTCTTGACTTCCCTTTCGGACTCGTCAGAAGATGAAGGGTCAAGGAGGCCAGTTCCCGATCTGAGAATCTCCTCAGGCGTTCGACTCCCAGCGCCTTCTCGTGTTGGCTCAGACTTGTGCATGTATTCAGTAGCAGCCGCAACGGCTGCAGCGTTGCGAGCTTGCTGTTCATCATCATGCCGATCGTCTGCTGAGGCTCCTGAGGTGGTAGGATCGTCTCGTACTGGACTACGCCCGTTCGTGATATCGACCATCGTGGGTTGCGCCCTTCTCTCCTGCTGGCTTGGTAGACTTGCAAGGCCCTGCTCTCCGCTCACTTTGCGCATCCTGTCTCCACTCTTGACTGTCGTCAACGTTGGTTTGCTCTTCTTGCCCACACTTGCTTGCCTCACGAGCACCTCAGGACTGGGCTGTCCTCGCGGTATATCTCTATCTGCGAGCTTGTCCAGTCGTCGACCTGTAGCAGCCTCTATGGAAGAATCGTCATCGAAGTCTTCGGGTACGGAAGACTGATCGCCAGTGCTTGGCCGTGCTGCACCATTGTCGATGTAGAACTGTGGTATCCCAATCGGTATCGCATTGCTGCTGGCAAACGAATTCTTGCTATCATGCCCACCGGTCTGCGCGCTGCCTGTTCTTGCAGTCCTCGTACTACCTCGCATGCTGTCTGTCTCTTCCACAATCGGATGTACGGGTCCAGATGCGGGATAGTACGATGGTGGACCTTTTCTTGCCGAAGGCGGTGGGCCGAGTGGTGGTCGTCGATTTGCTTGGCCGTAGACTGCTTGTTGAGGTATCTGAGGTGGTGCATATTGTGGGATAGCAGACTGAGGATCGATTGGCCCTCTTGACTGCGGTAGTGGACGATTCGGCGGAGGATAATCGGGTGGAGCGTAATCATATCCATCACCATTCCATTGGCCTGAGCCATGATGTGGCATTGGTGGAGGAGCATGGTACTGGCGGTTTGCAGCTGCTACATGAGGACTACTTCGAGGTTGGTCGCGGACAGGTTGTCGATGATCAGGTCTTTGCGGCGATTCATCAGGTCGTTGCGGTCGTTGAGGCGGTCGTCGTGGGCTGTTGCGAGGTGAAGGTGTATGCGCCTGGACTGGTAGAGGCCATTGATCGTACTGCCCATACTCGTCCACATATCCACTGCCGTCGTAAAGATGCTGCGACGCATCCCACGCAGATTGGTCCGGGTAGTATTGTTCCTGCGCTCTTCTCGGACTTGGCCCAGCGGCCGGATGATACTGGTCTGGTCTCATCTGCGGGGGACTTCGCATGGGATCTTGGGCAGCGTGTTCGGGGCGTGGTATGCGACTTTGGTGGTTCGTTCGCGGAGGAGGCGGGGGCTGCTCGGTGTAGTAGTCCGGTATGGGACTGTCGCCATAGTCGTCGTAGTATTGGCGGCTCATGGGGACTCGCCGGGGGGTGGTTGTTGGTCAAACGAGGGTCGGTGGGTCGGAGTAACGAAGGTCACGGCGTGCGTCTGCAGGCCAGGATGGCGTTTTCGTGGAGTACGACTCCCCAGCGTCGCTTACTCACGGGGATGCAGGTGTCCGTCGAGGTTCCTGCGGCGATCCAGTCGAAGTGGGCGGGTGCGCGGCAGTGTTCGCTGAACCTGCGTGCGATGCTGTGCGAGGCGACCGGCTGCTGTGTCGCCGGTGATGTATGTCCCGCAAGGCAATCTCGTCGTTGATGTTCTTGCGCCAACGCTGCTGGGCGCAGGAGCGGAAGGATATTCGTGTGTGAAACGAGGGTGGTACAGGCGCAAACGAGTGGCTATAGAGGCCTGTCGATAGGTGAGCTCTTACGACAATGCCGCCGCCGCGATCGTCGTCGAAGCAGAGCGCGAGCGAGCGAGCCCGCGCCCGCGGTGATAACAAGAAACGTACGGTTCGTGTGTGCCGCGATGTCAGATCATACGGGCACTCCAACGGCCAGTGGTGACGTGAAGTGGGATAGTGGGATATTATTAGGCGTCGGCCGTTGGACAGGCCAGGGGCGGATTGGGCGATGGGCCAGCAGCGTTTTGCTCGCCCAACGCAGAAGTCTCGCCCTGTGACTGCTTTGTTGATAAGGCCGGTTTGCAGAGGAATCGAAACCTGCGGAAACGCGCATCAAACAAGGTCAGAGTCAAGTCAAACAGCGCTGGCCGTGTCGTGTATGCAGTCGAGGAGGGACGAGGGGTGGTGATCGGCAGGCCAGCAGCGACAACAAGAACGACAGTAGAAGGTAGGTAGTGTGTGAGTGAATGAAGACGATGAGGTGAGGTCGCTGCAAAATCTTCACTCTCTCTTCCTCCCATCCACGTCTCAAACAACGTCGCTTGGCCCGGCCAGTGCACTTTTCTGATGGTGTTTGAGGACTCCAAGATTGCCTTCAGCCTTCGCAGCACGCTTCAACCCTGCATAGCGTGTGCTCTCCACCCAACTCGTGCAGCGGAGGGGTCGGATCGCAGCACGACGGCCTCGCTACCCGCGAATCACTGCCCCTGCCCAATCTCATACCACGCCCAGCGCGTCTCACGTTGATGCACGCGATGACGGCCGATGGGAATTGATGAAAAAGGCGAGATGAACGACAGCTGCGCGACCGACGGCCAGCCTGCGCCGCGACCAGGGCTCTCCCAACGCTCTGGCGGGATTTCGAAGTTTGCGCAGAGAAGGACTCTGTTCGAATGCGTGGCACTGGCTTCCTCGATTGCCGGCTCGGTATAGCAGTGATGGTATTGCTGGGGTTCCCTCGGAAGCAGACGTCCGTCGACGTGGAAGATGAAGAAGCCGATGCTGTGACACTCTCGGCAACGTGAGGCAAAGCGAAAACAGCCCTCCCAAAAGGCCCAGCTGCCCGTGTGTGCAAATCCGTCCGTCCGCTGTGTCGCCGTGGCAGTTGTGCGAGTCGTGGAAATCACGTTGTCGTTGTCGTCGTTGGTCACACCAGAGGAAACAAAAAATTGAACAATATACCACTACCCAGTCCCAACCCCCTTCAATGACCTAATCCATCATGAACCGACCGCAATGTTTATCAGACGCTCGCGCGCGCCCTGGCACGCGTCTGCCCCATTGAATTATTGATCACTGCTCTGGGTCTTTGAATGCTATCGACCTGGACGAACCCAATCTGAAACCTTGTGCAGCGACTTGTGTGGTTTTGGTCGAAAGCGTGTACGACGGATTTTCCTACAGCTCACATTTTTGCTGCGCATTCGGCAGTCGCCAGCAGGAGCAGGATGCCGGACGCCGGATTGAGCCATGAGGTGATGAGAGGTATTTGTATTCATTCTTTTTGTTTCGCGCTCTTTCGCAACTTTAAAGAAGAGCGTCAGCTTGGGTCTATACCTCTCTCCTTCAGTCGCAAAAGTGAAAGATATATCATCAACATGTGTCAAAAGTGCCTCCAAAACATGGTCTACCACTCCCTAGACCTAGCCTGGTCGAGACTTCTCGAATCCGTCAAACACACGGCTCGACTTCCCGCCCTACGCTCCCCATACTCCGACCATGGCAGCAGCGAGAGCGTCTTCGAAAACCTGGCAGTGCTGGAAAGAAGCGCTTGCTGAGTGGGAGTCGCCCCAATCTCAACATCTCCAAGACTTGCCGCTATAGCCATGCATCATCTACCAGTCTGAGCATCGAATGACCTGGCTACAAGACTGCGATGAGCATACCTTCACCCGCAACAAATAGCAAGTATGGATGAAGACCACTCGGATAAGGAGAACCTCGCGCCTCGTGAGTCTGCCTCCTGCAAAAGTGAGATCTTGTGAATTCAACTCACAACCCCCTCAAAGCCACCACCGATGTCCCCTACCCAGCTCCACCCCTCCCCCTCAACTCCAAAGGAAACATCTTCAAGAAACAACTCGCCATCGACACGCACTATGAACATCACGCATCTCCCGCCAAAACTTCCTCAAACCTCGCCCGCAAACGCCAGAAATTGGGAGCGTTGAGCAACACTCCCCCACGGCCTTCGTATGCCTCACAGATGAGCAAGATCTTCGCGGGGAGGACTGCCACGAAGAATGAAGTCCCCACGCCGCCGGGGATTCCGGAGGATGCGATGAAGGTGTTTAATCACTTCAAGCAAGCGCTGCGATGCGAGTCGAGTAGGGAGGAGATTGGTTCACGAGAGCAGGGGAAAGACGACGACGACGGAACTTCAGATTCCTCAAGCGCCTCAGACGCGCACAGCAGCTCAGGCGAGACAGCTGACTACAAAAACCACCTACGCACCGGATCAGGACAATCCACCATCCCCCTCCTCCAACAAGATCCTCCCACCAGAGCCGTCGACTCAGACCCCTTCGCCGGCCCCTCCCCGTCCTCGCACAACAGCCTCTCCTCCATCTCCGAAACCACTCTCGCCGAGCTCAAAGCAGCCACAGCTCGCTCCTGGCCCTCTTCGCCCCTCCCAACCAACGCCCTCGAACGCGCGATTCATGCGTCCTTCCCTCCGACACCCTCACGAGAGGAGAGGCGCAGGACACTGAATATAGATTTGAGGAATACGCCGCCTCCGCCTCCACCGCCGTGTGTTGAGGCTGAGCCGAAATCGGCGTCATCGTCAACGGAGTCCTGGACGGGCGATGAGCTCTTCTTCCCTCGGCTCCAGACCCAAAACCAAAACCAGCAGACATCCCCAATCTCCGTCTGCGTACCCTCACCAGCCAGAACAACCGCGCCCTCGCCCTCGCCGACATCCCCCCTCGCGTCTCCCTGGGCGCCCTCGTCGACCACCACCCCCAACTCAACCTCCCGACCCTCGGTGCGGTTCTTCTCGCCCCTCCGCGCGATCCGTCCGAAGAATCGCTTCCACGTCCCCGTCGTGAGGAGTCCGATGGGCCAGGGCGTGCCGTTGTGTATGGAGGACCATCCGGAGAGTGGAGGGAGTGATGCTGATGATGAGGATGAGGATGGGGCCAGTGGGAGGGAGGTGAGCGATTGAACGACTTGTGATGTCGACGAGGGAATCACTTTGATGGGTGGTGATGCTTGAGTGGTTCGCGTATTGCTACGCAGAAGGGTTTGGTCTGGACAGGATAGGAGGTGATTTTGGATATCCGAGAAAAAGGTACATGTACTTTGGCGAGTCGAGATTGCTGGGTATCATCTCACTTACTCGCACTCTCGCCCTTCTCCTCTATCTCATTTTTCCATCCGCACCCTCTTCCTCCTCGACTCTACTCCTCCAAGGCGCCAGCTCTGGCATACTCGGATCACTCCCCTGACTCGGATGCGTCTCGAAACTGCTCCTGCCCTTGGACAACTCCCCTTCACTCTCCCGTGACCGCACGCGTCTAGCTGCCAACACACTCTCCGCCAGATACACGGCTTCTGGTGGCATGATCTCTGATTGAACTTCCACCACCGTCTCCGTCTTCACTGATCTTGACCGCCCGTGCTTGCCGAACAGGGCCTCCATGCTTGGTCGTACTGTGGGAGATCCGCCGCTCGCTGCTTGTCTGTTTGCTTCGATGGTGGTGGTTGTGCCGAATGCGAAGTCGGGTCGCCAGTTGCTGTCGGTGTTGAAAGTGTCCAGCGCCGTGATGTCGCCGAGCATTTCGTCGGATCCAAAGATGAGTGCTCGGCGGGTGAGGCAGTACAACAATACGTCCAGCCACCCGTTGCTCGTGATCATGGCGCCTGCAACGCAGAGTTCCTCGAACGACACGTTCTGGCCCGCCATACTCCGTAAGCGTGCGACCACGAGCGGTAGGGTGCACACCACGTAGATGATCGGATAGGCGACTATGAGTTTGGCGGCGCGGGAAGCGGGTGTCGATGATTTCTTGCTTAGGATAAGAAGGATGATAGTGTAGATGACCAATGTTCCGAACTCGCTGATGATCACCCAGAAGTAGTGCAGCCACAATCTTTCGTTAATGTAGGCCGCGTTGATCCAGCACCAGGATCCCGCGCGAGTGTAGAAGTCGGCCGGGTGCATGGCGATTCCGATGAGAGCTGCCAAGTAAACAAAGGTCCATAGGAGGGCTATGGTGATCAGGAACATTGGCCGTGAGAGTCGATACGAGCAGACAATGTCGGCAAAGGAGTGGACGGCGATGGCGAAAGTGAAGACTCCTGAAGCGAGGTCTCCCGTACTGACGAACCAGCCTTGTGCCCAGCAAGTGGCCGTACCGGCCGTGATGCTATTGGTGGTTATCCATTCGGCATTGAGAGCAAATGCCACTGATTGTTGAATGTCCGCGAGGACCAGATTGAAGATGAGGATGATGAATTGATTGGCGTGAGCATGCTGAGGATGATTCGTACGCCGTCGGTGGCCTAGGACCAGAAGACGGTACGAGAGATGAAGGAACAGTGCCGATGAGGTGACCAGCGAGAGAAGAGCTAGAATAGTTACTGCTGTCAGGCCATGATGCAATCCGTTTGGTAAAGGCGCCAACGTCGACGGTTTGTTAACGGTGCTATCCGGCGAGTGGATGAAGGAGTCCACCATCGTGATGGCATTGGTCTCTCTCCCAGGATGGTAGTGACGTTGGTACAGAGGGTACCTAGGAGAGAGGGTCTTATGAGGCTGAGAATCTTGCGTGTGGATAGCAGGCCTTTCGACGCGGAGGCAAAGCGGGTCGTCCTAAGGCAGAGTGCCTAACCGTGCAGAGGCACCGCTCTCCTCGACCGCTGTTCATGCCGGTTGGCTGACCCGATGTTACGTGCGAAAGAATTCGGAACGGTAGTCAAGAGTCCGTTGTCGAAAAGCCAGAGCGTCCATGAGAGAGGCGAATCCAGAGCGTTGGGTCTCAGATGGTCTGAATATAGGAGAGGCAGCCGCCGCCCAAACGCTGCAGTCCATCCAAGGCATGTAGAAGATGGTAGGAGCTCGATACGATGACCTACCGACATTCTGTCGAAAAGTTACGCACCATGCCGACATGTGAACCTACTGCACCTCCATCGTGATCTCACCACAGCGGTAGGGAAGCCGCAATAGGAGCATCATCCTGTCAGCTGCACCAAATTCTGTTGGGCAATGGGGCTGTGGCGCGGCGTTGATGTCGGCACTGCACTCGCGAGTCGTGGAGGGCGAACATGTTGCGATGGTGGTTTTGGTATGCGAATGTGGTGGTGCAGACTGAGTTTGAAGTCGCGTGAAGGATGCAAGCCGTCAATCCTGACCTCGTCGGACCTGGCGCCTTCCCTCAATCAGCATAGCGTGAAGTTTGAGGGAAAACTTCGGCAGTTGGGAGTCAACCTTCCTTGACTTCTTCCTCCTTCCTCTTGCCTTCTCGAACAAATCAACCTTTCTCGTTGCAGGCCCTCGAAACCGAGAGGTCGGAACTGAACCCGACAGTCATGCCACTCAACCATGTGCATTCTCGTCCCTCTATGGCCGTATCACGCTAAACTCGCCATTTCAGTGCTTCCGCCCCCAATCCATGAACGTATGAGCAACAGTTCAAGTTCGACGCAGCGAATGGCAGCGAAGCGAAGTAAAGAGAAGAGAAGCTCAGACCTCACATTCCCGTACATGTGCTAGATCAAGCTCACCAGGGCCGCATACGAGACCGAAAACTCAAGCTCGTACCAACAGAATGTTCGACACGACTTCTTACTTTTTACCCTATCTCTTCTGTTCTCGCTGGTACCAGATGCCTGTATCACATTGGCCTCATTGACGAGTCACATACTTCGACGCGATACTGTAAATGAGAATCATACACGGCCTGCTCGCCCTTGCCCTGCTTCTTCCCAATCTAGTTCTCGAAGATTCAAACCCGAGAAGCACCCCCCTGTGGAAGACTTCTCAACACCAGGACGCTTTGGGGGATCAGTCACCCTGGACACTCTGCACGCGGATCGTCGTCCCGATCATAGACGGAACCTTTCCGAAGAGGACGATGTCGCGCTTATTGATCAGGTTTGGGTCTGGACTGCAGGTCACGGACACCGAAGCATGGATGCAGGGGTTCTTGGATTTGGACATCTGCTAGGAGAGAGTAGATCAACATGGCAGGAAATCGATGTCGTTTCTATGGTGAGTGTAGTCGCCCGTCCGCTTGGGGATGGGACTTCGACCAACAATGCCTTCACAAGACCTGTCAACATGCGCTCAACAATGAGGCTGCCTAGCAAGTCGACTATCTTGCCGGATCTCCGCATTGCACCTTTTATTGTCTGTCAGGGGCAGGTCAACGTTCATGTGAGAGAACACGGCCACAGCAGCAAGACTTGGCGAACGCAAGCTTCGAAAGAAAGTACTCAAAGGCAACTTAACAGTCCCATCAAACGGACGAAAGACGACGTATCTAAGCGGTACCCATCTCTACCACCCGCTCATGCACCAGCTCAACTCAGACAAGAAACACGCAAAGCAATGCAACCTTCCACCGCCCGGTCTACCTCACCAATGCCATACTCCCCCACCCAACCCACTCACTCCTCCACTCACTTGCTCCAATGGCTCCCAACAACCTCCCTCACATCCTCCACAATGCCCCTCGGATCCTCCAAACAAGCAAAATGCCCTGCATAATCCCTCTCCTTATACCACACGAGATTCCCCGTCCTCGCCACCGCTTTTCGCGAATTCGGAGAGGTGTCGTAGAACATACTCGTGTAACCCAGCGGACACTTGATCGTGTTCTCCACGCGCGTGCAGTACTCCGCGAACTGATCGTGGCGAATGTTCTCGTAGTAGGGCAGAGAGGCCGTCATAATGCAGCGAGTAAAGTAGTACAGAGATACCGTGGCAAGAATATGGTCAAACCAAGCCGGGGAGGAAGAGACGGATGGCGAGGCCGCTTCGTGATACTTCTCGCCAACGAAAGCCATGATCCCTATCGGGTTGTCCATGAGCATCCAGCCGAGGGTCTGCGGACGAGTGCGCATGAGGACTGCATATCCGATGTGGTTCGTTCGCCAGTCGACGGCTTTGGCGGCGACTTTGGATTCGCGGTCGACGGGCTCGACGCCTTCGGGGAGAGCGCCAGGGCAGAAGTTCAGATGGACGGTGCGGCAAGAATCAGAGTACTTAGCGCCCAGCTCGCGAGCGACGAACTGACCCCAGTCGCCCGCCTGCACACAATACTTATCATACCCAAGCCGACCCATAAGCTTATGAAACAGACGAGCCGTATCCTTCATAGTCCACCCGCGCCTCTGCGGAGCCGAAGACCAGCAAAAACCGGGCAAAGAAGGAACCACACAATGAAAAGCCGGCTTATCCTTCTCGCCCTCGGCCAACGAATCCACGACCTCGCTAAACTCATAGAAACTCCCAGGCCAGCCATGCACCAGCAGCAGCGGAATCGCATCCGGGTTCTGGGAGGGCCGGTGCACGAAGTGGACTTGCATCTCCTCGATGTGCGTTAGCTGGTGCGTGCCCATGCGTTTCATCCGGTTGAGGGCGTCGTCGAGTGAGAATTTGTGCAGCCAGTGGTTGTACAGGGATGTGGCCCAGTTGGTCGGCATGCCGTATTCGTTGCCGGAGCCCGGGACGATGTCGCTGGTTGGGATCCGGGCATCTTTGAGGGTGGCTTGGAGGCGGTGGATGTCTGCGCTTGGGAAGCCGACGTTGAAGGGGAGGATGGCGGAGACGGCTGTTTTGGAGCGGGTGTGAGACATGGTGATGGCGGTGAGGAGGTGAAAAGAGGGAGGGAGAGATGTGTGTATTTGACACAATGAAGAGTCAGAGAAAGGTAGAGGTGAGGTCCAAAGAAGCTCAATGGCAGCTCGAAAAAAAGAACTCGGTGTGTTCAGGTCGCGAAGCTCCTGTCGACATTGCAGTAGTGTGGAGTTTAAAGCTCCTGACAAAGGAGGAGATAGGGAGGAGTGCATGCGTGCGGCTGTCATCGAGAATGCCTATTTCTGTTTTGAGGCTGTAGTCTTGCTATAAGCGAATCTGTATATCTCTCGTTGGAACATTCTCATCGACGACAGGCTACTGTTGACGGAGTGGCGACTACTGGCAGTCTTGCACGTCGAGGTTTATGGGTGCTCAAAGAACGGCAGCTGGAGAGCCATACGCATTGTTCAGGGAATCGACATGATGAAGCCGAATGTGGAAGTTGCGGAATCCTCTTCAGGGGACGAGCGGTTCCCCTGAGTGGAGAGAAGTAGAGAAGCAGTTGGAAAGGAGGAGGGGCTCATCGTTTACGTGTAGTCTCACGGTAGAGGCTACTACATATTTGGACAAGCCCCGATCTGAGGCAGCTGAGACTAATAAGAGCGAAAACAACATTGCCAACCTGTCGCGTCGAGCAGTTCATCAATTTCTCTGCGACTCTTCGACCTCACACTGCAGCCCAACATACTGGTACTAAAACATCACGACACATCCCCCTTCGAAACGGTCTCAGCTACCCTCATCCTTCCACACCATCAACATCCAACTTCAACAACCGAACAGCATTCCCATACGCAAACCCATCAAGCTCCTCCTGACTCTCAAAAACCTCTTTCTCAGCAAGCTCCTCTAAAAACTTCAAACCCCTCTCGCTGGCATTAAAAGGCGTATCAATACTAAACAACACCCTCTCCTTCTTCGTCACCTGCAGCAACATCTCCAAAACCCTCACACTGAACATCCCACTCGAAGTCACCCAGATATTCCGATCCCACACATCCGAGAACTTGCCGACGTCGCCTTTGCTGAAGAACCGCGAGCCGTCGAGCCGGTCGATCATCATGGGGATCAGCTCGCCCATGTGGCCGATTATGATCTTCAGACGAGGGAATTGTTTGAACAACCCGGCTGCGAAGAGCTGGATGATGTGCAGTCCCACGTCTTCGTGCCAGCCCCAGCATCCGGTTGCGATTCCCGTGGAGACGACGGTAGGCCATGGGCCTGCGAATCGAGTCTTGAGGCTTTCGGCGCTTGGTGGTGAAGGGTGGGTGTAGATGGGTACGTCGAGCTCCTGCGCGGCTTCGAAGACGGGCCAGAAGCGCTTCTCGTGGTAATGCGTTCCATCGGCGAGGTTGTTGTCGACCATGGCGCCGACGAATCCGTGTTCCCGAACTGTTCTCTTCAATTCTGCAGCGGCTTCCTCTGGCCTCTCCATCGGCAATGCAGCGAATCCGGCGAATCTTCCAGGATGCCTAGCGATGTGAGCAGCAAGCTCGTCGTTTCCTGCACGACAGCCTGATGGATTGATACTGGCCATGCCTGGCAGAGAGGAGATGACCTGAAGACGGACATTACCCCCATCGAGGTCTGAGATCCGTCTACTATCAAAGTCTCGCAGCGCCTCTCGAACGGCGGGCCATGTCTTCCAGACATTGTTGTAGAAGTCAATCTCGTCGCCAATGGCGGGAAGTGTGGCATGTTCTTCCAAGGTCACGGCGAAAGGTGGTGGTCGCATGCTGATATTCGGCGCATTGGCCGGTAAAAGTGGTATGCGGTATCCTTAAAGCAGGGGAACACACCGATATCTGGATTCAGGAGGTCTATTATATGTCGCTTTGCTCTGGTCTTACTTGGAGCAGTCGGCCTGCGATTGCTCCATCTCGGATCCGAGGCATCCTGATTGGGGCATCGGTGAACATTCAGGTTACTACTCTGGTAAGACTCCAGTCTTCCTGAGATTTGTGCGATCTTTGCCCACTGCTTTCAGAGCCCTAGTTGGCAGCGGACAGGCTATTAGATGTCGCAACTTCTTCCTTTCCGGTCGATGCTAACAGAAGAATATACTCGTCCTTACATCCTGGTTACATTATGAGCGGGCGGTCCTCGTTCAGCAGCTGATCAAAGGATGCAATCGCCCTTATGATCCCTGGATGAAACGAACATCATGTCCTACTGTATACAGTAGCCTCGATGCTCCACCGTCCAGTAGCCCAGTGAATGGAGGTCCTGGTGCAAAGGATCATCTTATCACCGCTCTGAGGCATGGGGACAAGTACTAGGTCCGAGGTGATTGAGCGGCATGTTCTCGTCACACTCAAGGCCACACAGGCATAAGGAGAGATGAAGGCGACAAAGTCCGTTCAGAAGGAAAGTCGACCGCTCCCACAATTTCGGCCCCCAAAATCTGGAGGCTCCACAACGCGCACGGACCTGGAATGTCTCAGATCTGGACGTTGGAAGATCTTTCCTTGATCAATAACAAACTCAAAGTATCGTTCAGAAAGAAAGCCTTGGTAGTTTCATCGCCTTTGGACTTTGCTGCCAACACTAGCAGTAACTTGTTTTGTCCGTCTGACGGACACGGACACGGAGTCACGAGTGAGTCAGCGTCGTGAGCGAATTCCGCAGATAGGATAAAAGAGACCAGGAAAAGCCGTCCGTACCTTCAAGAAACTCCAGATTCTAGACAACAGTACAAACCGTCTTTGTTGATCATGGGCGACCACATCCTCCAGAGCGGCAACTTCGAAGTTAGCGGAGGCCACACGCTCCACTGGCAACTATGGGGCAAGAAGGACGGAATACCCGTAGTCTGCTTGCACGGCGGACCAGGCGCTGGTTTTCAAGATTCTCACAAATCCGTCTTCGACCCTGAGCGACATACAGTGCTCCTATTCGACCAGCGAGGATGTGGGAAGAGCAAACCGTACGGCTCCACGAAAGAGAACACCACGCCCAACCTGGTGGCCGACACCTGCAAACTGATGGACCATGTCGGTTTCGAGACCGCACACATCGCCGGCGGGTCTTGGGGGTCTGCGCTATCCCTCATCTTCGCCATCGCGCACCCGGAACGGACGCGAAGTCTTCTGATATGGAGCGTCTTCCTCATCCGTCCGTTCGAAAATGCCTGGGTCAACGAGGGAGGCCCAAGAAATCTTTTCCCGGACGAGTGGAAGCGGTTCATCTCGAACGTGCCCGCGGATGTTCCCAAGGACAGCGACTCGATCATGCGGTTTTACCAAGAGAAGATCTTTTCGGACGACGAAGAGATCGCGTCGAAATACGCCTTGGAATGGACGCTCTGGGAGGAATGCCTCATCACCATCACGTACAACCCTGACACCCTCGAGGCCGAAGTGCGTGAAGACCCCAACGCCGTCTCGATCGCCCGACTGGAGCTATATTACTTCTTGAATGGGTGCTTCGTGCCGGAGAATCATATCTTGAACAGCATTTCCAAGATCCAACATATTCGGTGTCAGGTCGTGCAGGGACGCTTCGATATGTGCACGCCTGCTGTTAGTGCGCATGATCTCCGCGATGCGTATGGGGACAAGTTGTCGTTGAAGGTGGTTAATTCTGGGCATTTGCGATCGGATCCGGAGATGGCACCCGCACTTCAGCGAGCAGCGAGCAGTTTTGAGTGAGGGAATTGATTGAACGACGCAGGTTGAAGGACTGGATCTCTCCCTTTGAGGGCGGGACCAGACGATAGAGACAGCTTTGACACGGCAATGCAGCTTCAGCAACGATACGGCTTCAACGGTCAGGACAAGACAACGAAATCTAGTATGGCCTTACTAAAAGTAAAACACATCAATGCATCGACAAGACGACAAAATGGAGAATGAAGTCGTCCAGTCTCCTTTTTGGCCCCCAATCCATCTCCAAAGCTCCACAAAATGCTCGGGCCAATGACGTCTCCTCAAAGATGAGATCAGATCTCCACGAGATGGGATCTCTCCGATCGATCCCTCACCAACGTCAACGGTCTTCTGCCCCTCTCGCAGGACATGGCCGCCCGCAATCATGACGACGGCAGGCATGACCAGCCTCAATGGCCTACAGGTTTGATGTATTCCTTCTATTTCCCACCCTTTCATCCCTCTCCACATCGTTCTATCTTGCAGTCTCGCATCGTCTACAGATCCCACTACAGCACTTCCTCTAAGTGGTCGTCGAAAATGCCCCCCAAAAAACACGCCCGCACCGCCTCCCACGACGCCGACCCAGCCCTCTCCCACCCGTCCACCAAACGCGCCAAAGAAATCGACGCCGATCCACCTTACCACCGCCTTACATCCCTTCTCGAATCAACCGCCTCGTCCTCCAAAGAACCCAAGAATGTCCTGCACTGGTTCCGCAGCAAAGACATCCGGATGCAGGATAATCGCGGGCTATATGCGGCGTCGAGGAAAGCGTTGGAGGGGAAGGGGAAGGGGAGTCTATTGGGATTGTATGTGCATTCGCCCAAAGATCTGGAGTGGCATGGGGCGAGCCCCGCGCGGGTGGATTTTATGCTGGAGAGTTTACGACTGTTGAAAGAGGAATTGGAAAGTAAAAACATCCCGCTCGCGATCGTGACGGCGGAGGAGAGAAAGGATGTGGTTCCCACCGTGCTGGAGTTCGTGAGGAAGTGGGATGTCAGTCATGTGTTTGCGGATATGGAGTATGAAGTTGATGAATTGAGACGGGATATTTCTGTGGCGGAGAAGGCGAAGGAGGCGGGTTGGGGGTTTGAGGTACTGCATGATCAGACGGTTGTGCAGCCTGGGACGCTAAGGACGGGGAATGGAGGGCCGCATAAGGTGTTTACGCCGTATCATAAGGATTGGTTGGGGGAGACGAGGGAGAAGTCTGAGTTGTTGGAGCTGGTGCCAGAGCCGGAGGGGAATGGGGAGGAGGCGAGGGGGGAGTTTAAGGAGTTGTTTGGTGGTGAGATACCCTCATTACCATCAAGCAAGACCTTCGCCTCCGACGAGGAACGTTCCCGCCTGAGGAAACTGTGGCCGGCGGGCCACGCAGCCGGCCTGCAACGATGCGAGGACTTCCTCCAAAACAAAGTCTCCTCCTACGCAACGCACCGCTCCGAACCCGCCAAGGACAACTCCTCGCGCTTGTCGCCCTACTTCGCCACGGGCACGCTCTCCGTCCGCGAAGCACTCCACGCCGCGAGGAAACACAACGCCGGGAAACATTTCCACGAGGGGGATAAAGGGATCGATTCCTGGGTGCGGGAGATTGTCTTTCGGGAGTTTTACAGACATACGCTCGTCTCGCTGCCGCATGATAGTATGAACTTGCCGCATAACCTCAAATTCGACTTTGTGGAATGGGAGGAGGATGAGGAGGGGTGGAGGAAGTGGTGTGAAGGACGGACCGGGGTGCCGTTTGTGGATGCGGGCATGAGGCAGTTGAATTGCGAGAAGTGGATGCATAATCGGTGTCGGATGAATGTTTCCAGTTATCTGAGTGGGAACTTGTTGATTGACTATCGGAAGGGTGAAAGGTACTTCGCGGAAAACCTGATCGACTTCGATCTTTCGAACAACACACAAGGCTGGGAACCTAGCTATACGATTTTTAATCCCGTCGTGCAGGCGGAGAAGTGCGATAAGGAGGGGGAGTTTATCCGGAAATGGGTTCCTGAGTTGGCCGGGTTGAAGGGGAAGGAGGTTTTTGATCCCTTTCATCGGTTGGGGAGGGAAGAGTTTGAGGAGTTGGGGTATCCGGAGCCGCATGTGGATTTTAGGGAGAGTAGTCTGAGGGCGAAGGAGAGGTATAAGAGGGATTTGGCGGAGGCGGATCCTTGAGTGGATGGGAGGGGGTGGGTGAGAGAGGGGATGTTTTAGCTGGTCGATATCAATTGGCTTGGTTTGCTCTTGCATTGGCAGCGAATATGTGAGAGGCGAGGCCGTTTCTCATTTTCGAGGTAGCTCGAGGAGACCAAGGCAGAAATCACACGAAATGATTGTGTCGTCCAGATAGGATATTTTCCTCACTCCGTCCACAGATCATGTCTCACCAAAGCACTAAGATCCGTAGACTTGAGCACATCGGCACTTGACTGGACGTAAGCCACGATTTCTGAGTAACGTCTGCACTTTACGAATGCAGGCTGCCGACATGTGCGCCGTGAGACGGCCGATGGGCGGCAAAGAGACGAGAAGAAGAACTTAGGAGCTGGTCTAGAGTCGACTCAAGAGAGGGCTTGTTGAATCAATCAGCTTGCCCGAGTCAGAGTCGACGATCATCGCGATTGCTATCATTCGTCAGTGGCAGAGAAGATGCTTCTCCGTTGAATGCCATCCGGCTAATTGAATCGTTCGCACTTCTCCCGCGGACGCAGTTCCTGACAGCAGATGGCTGGTGAAACGTGTGGCACAATGGTGAAGCAAGCAGTCGGGAGGATTCGCCGCGTCTCACAAGCCAGCAGGCAAGCTGCTTCGCCTCAAGCAGCGTACGCAACCCCTCTGCACAAAAGTTGGAAGAATGCTGCAGGCCAAGTGCGTTGATATGCAGATAGGCCAGACAATCGCCATGGCAGGCGTGAATGGCGTGGCTGGCCGGGCAGAGGCGTTCTCACGTGCCGTGCAGTGCTTCGATAGCGTGGATGCATGGATATCCTGGTGGCGGGCCGGGGAAGATGGGATTGCCAATTTCAGGTTTGGCCATGCTGGAGCGTGTCGCGTGTGCTGCTTCCGGGATTGATATTACTGTTGCGTGGTGGGAGAAGGAGGAGGAGAAGAGGACGTGTGGTGTTGATTTGGGCGGTTTGACGATAGCCGTTGGCAAAGTTTAAGGATAGATAGCAACGAGATGAGGCGAAAGCATGATGCTGATGCCGGGCCTCACGTGTCGGCGCTACGCTTTGATTGCATGCTCTAGCGCCCATCCACACCTATCCTGCTTCCTTTCTGCGGCGGGCGAGTTGCAGAGTTGGCGATACATGCGCGGGTGCGGCTGTCGTCTGTCTCTTTGCATCTTGTGCGTGTCGTTCGCTTCCCACTCCGCCCCTCCTTTGCACCCGTCAGCGCCCAGGCGCCGCCAGAAACCTTCGCCCGCCGGTCGCCAATTGCATGCAGCCGACACGGCAATACACTTCAGCGCCCACTAGCAACGTGCGAGCTTAATCCATCCTGCGCCCACCCGCGTCGAGACCAACTTCCTGCTCCGACTACATCACCGCTTGCTGTCCCACCGGACTGCTGCGTCCACGCCGCTTCTGAATGCGCGGCAAGCGCATATCGCTCCGACACGGCCACCCGGCGACCTGACCTCCCACCGACCGCATTGCGACACAGCAGCAGCACTTCCACCCTCAGGAGTCGCGACTGCTCGTTGTTGTCCAACACCACCGCGGCCGACACTCGCTCGGCGGCAGCGAAGGCTCACCACTTCGTCCACACCAACTGCATACCCTCGTTTGATACACCCATTGACCACCACCATACCCGCATTACTCCGCCACCATGTTACGCCCGGCGACGCCCTTGTCCATCATCTTCCTCGTCGCCTTCGTCTTGCTACTGCTGAGCACCATATCAACACCCGTTATCAAGGGAATCCCGCTCGGCAGCTTCCAAGGGTACAACTTTGGCGTGCTAGGGTGGTGCAAAGGCGATCGCTGTGAAGGTCCGCGCGTGGGATACAGTACAAGTACGTCGTCCACTTTTCATGTCCTCGATATCAAATCTAACATCATACCCACAGACGGCCTCTTTAGCGGCCCCAACACCGATCAGGACTTTAGCCTCCCCCAAGATACCCGAAACAGCCTCTCCTCCATCCTCATCGTCCACCCTATCGCCGCCTTCCTCGCACTGGTATGCTTCGGCCTTGCAGTGGCCGCTCACTTCCATGGCCCGAGCCATTCGCCGCGATACCTCCTGGCCCTCCTCATCCTCACCTTCCCGACCCTCCTCATCACCCTCCTCGCCTTCCTCGTCGATATCCTGCTCTTCGTCCCGCACATGCAATGGGGCGGCTGGATCGTGCTGGCGGCCACCATTCTCATCATTGGTTCCAGTATAGTAACATGTGCTATGCGGAGGACTTTGGTCAGTCGCAAGGCTCGCAAGAAGCGCATCGAAGAGAATGCAGACATGAGCGGTGCCGCATACTACGAGAATCTGGCGCAGGACCGATTGATGGTTGATCAACTCCCCAAAGCGGACAGTCCACCTCCAATGAGTGGCAGCACTGCGGTGGATAAGTCAGCCAGTCAGTTCGCGACCTATGAGATGAAGAGGCAAGATACGCATACAAGTGAAGGCGGCACACATAGCTTTCAAGACGATCGCACCCCGTTGAACCCAACACCGAGCATTCGATCTGGAAGCACCAATGGAAGAAGCCCGTACGGTCCTGACGCGAATGCTCCACCAATGCCTAGGCCGAGTCAAGAGGCAGCGAATGGAATGCCTAGAAGACCAAGCAGAGATCAGTATGGCAATCCTATTCCGCCAGCCGCTGAGATGGGGATGCCGATAGGAGGCGTGTTGAGGCATCAGAACTCACAGGGTTCCCTTGGATCCAACCGATCGAATGGATACCCACCACCACGAGGCAGAGGATACGGTCCACCACCGCGAGGCTACGGTCCACCCAGAGGCGGTTACGGCCCACCACCTAGAGGAGGCTTTCCACCACGAGGCAGAGGATATGGCCCGCCTCCGAGAGGTTACGGCCCTCCCAGAGGTGGGTATGGCCCAATGATGGGACGTGGAGGACCGCCACCGCGACCAGGTCCACCGCCTGGCTATGGCAACGATCCATACTACGGCGGACCCAGAAATGGCCCTTCACCACCGATGGGACCTCCACCCATGGCACAGCCACCGCCGCCACAACCGATGCCCGACCACGACCAATTCGTGGCAGGGCCTGTTCTCCCTATAGGTCAGGCGATTGAGATGGATGAGCGCACAGGCAGCCCACAGCGAAGCCCACAACACGAGGACCCGTATCAAAACGGCCAGTATGGATTGAGGGATAGCGATGTGGATGTTGCGGGAATGGTAGGCTTGCAGCAAGGTCAGAACCAGCATCAACAGCATGGACGATTGGCTCCCGTGCGGCAAGACAGCAACCGAGAGAGTGATGTGCGAAGTCCGAGTAGCATATACTCTGACCAGTAAGTAGATCTACACAGGGGTGCCTTGGTATGTGAGGAGTCTGACAATGGTCTCGTAGAACGTACGTGCCACCTCGACAGCAGTGGAGTGGAGTGCCAGCTCCGTTAGGAGTGTCTCAGCCGGGAGGCATTGCCTCGCGGGCGACGATGGAAACGCAAACGTCCGGATCGTCTGATCCTCACACCTCCTCATCTGCGTCCGCTGCAGCGCCTTCTTCAAGAGTGCTGCCCCTCTCGCCGGTGCCAGGGTCGCCAACTTCATCCTCTGTTCGCGGCTCTCACTCACCACGACATCATCGATCGAATAGCGAAAACTACTACGAAGATGTCGACCCACGATTCGCAGAAGACCCGCAACAACAAGTTCCTGGTGGCTTCCACGCCATGAGCCATGATCCCTCGCATCGAGAGAGCGGCATCCCCAACGCTCTCACTCCAGGCCCTCAATACACAGGTCGTACGTCTTTCTTTTCCTTACCTCCCACCCCACCCAGCTCTTGACATGACTTATCTGCTCCCCCTTAATGCGCCGCTGATTTTGGGCCTACAGCTCATCGCTTATGATCATAGATCCCACCCAAACAAACCCTTCATACCTCCAACCTTCCGACGAGCACTCACGTCCAGCTTCGGACACCTCCAACGGCCTCCTCGAACCCATCCCAGACGGCGCACGCTCTCCGGCCGAAGGCTCCGAAGCGTCTCACTTCACCTCCATCTCCCAGCGCGGCATCAATCCTGCATGGCGACCTGGCCCAGGCAGCGCACCACCAGGCCAAGCATCCATCTTCGCAGGCAGTTCCGCAAGCGCCGTCCAGCGAAGAAAAGAAGACGTCATCCTCAACGCAAACCCCGACTTCGCCCTCCCAGGCATGGGCCGCGGCCATGGCAGAGGACGCGGACGAGGCGGAACTCTCCCACCCCCAAGTCTCACAGGCGGAGGCCTGACGCCCGCCGGTCGGTATCCCAGCCCAGGGGACATCTAGGTAATGCGCGGAGAACAACGGAGCGGTATTATGCGTGCTCTCCCCAACGGCTCGCCGCGACGACGGCGAAGCGCGGAGTGGAGGCGCAGTGAGTGGGGGATTGACGCTTGGACGCCCACGAAGAAGAATAAAAAAAGAAGTGTTGGTGGGTACGCGGCTTCCAGCGCCAGTATGAGCATGAGCATGGGACGGAGGAGTCTGGGCAGTTCGAGTTTGGCGGGGATTCAGGAGCGGTGGAGTGAGTGGTCGGATTGATTTGATTGTGAAGGGGGAAAAGCATGGCGCCTTTGAAAATGAGATATTGACGGCCTTGAGGCGCGATAGAGACGGCCTGATTGTTATGTTATTTTTTTTGTTTGGTGCATGGGGTTTTTGTATAGATCGCTATGAGAGAGAGAGAGAGAGCGTTCGTGATGGAAGGATTGAGCGGGTTTAGAAGACAGAGAGTCTTTAATGAAATGATACAAAGCCTCTTAGCAAGGGCGTATGTGAAAAACAGATAGCTTTTCATGAAGACGTAGGTCCACGGTGGTAAGTGTGCCGATCGTGCATGTGAGAGGAGAAGGAGGACCCATTTCACTCTTAAGACGAAGATTTCTGAGGGTAGAATAGGAGAAGAAAAGTGAATGAAGGAGACGAAAGTAGGGGACGTCGTGGATTTCTGCTTGTGTCTTTCCTGCTGAAGTGGATGGCTGTTACAGTAATAAGTACCACTTCTCTGAAGAATTCTTGCCCTCTCTTTCCTTTCCCCTTAACACTTGACTCTGTCTTAGGTCATTTCTGAAGCCCCATCGTTTCTCTCAGCCCACCGGATCCGCTCCCCATTAACCCTTCACGACACCACCCAACCCACCCTCTAAACCACACAAATCGGCCCCGCCTTCTGCACCCCATAGTACGTCTCAAACCCCGTATCATAACTCGACTCCGCATTCCGAAAATTACACTGCGTGCTCTGCCCGCCCCTCGAACAGTCCCATTCACCGCTCCCCTCCACGACGGGGATGGAGACGTTGTTGAGCACGCTGTTGCGGTAGGCGAAGTATTCCTGGATTTGGAGCGTGAAGTTGTAGGCGCCTGAGTAAGAGGTGAGGAGGGCGTAGTAGCCCCAGCCGCTGTCGGTGGTGGCGCAGGGGGTCCAGCAGGTTGGTGGGGTGGTTGTCCTAACGTAAGTTAGTATTTGGTTGTTGATGTGATGTTGGGGGGGGGTTGGAGTTGGGGTTGATGGATCTTTACCAGCTTATGGTGCAGTTTGCAGGGTTGTTGCCGCCTTGTTCGAAGACGGCGTCGGGGTTGGAGATTGTGAAGGCTAGGGCGTGGGATTCGGAGGGGATGCGGACGTCGCTGGCACGGAAGTCGGTGAGGTGGAAGTACAGGGCGTTGGTGGTTGTGGCGGCCAAGGAAGCGAGAAGGGCGAGGGATTTGTGGAGGAGCATGTTGCGATTTGCTGGTGTTGGTGTCTGAGTTTGTTGACAGGGTTGAATGGATGGCTGTTTGCTGCTGAAGGAAGAGGAAAGTCGATGGTTGAAGGAGCTGTTCTTATATCTTTACCCTCTGTGGCGAGTTCAGCTTGGTCGTCTACGTTGATGGCGATGGTACAGTAACATCTTGCACTCCGCCAGACGCTCGGTCATCACTGACCAAAACCTGATCTCAACAATGAAACGGAGATCAAATACCAAGCCAGAACACGAGCCGATGGTTGCACAAATGAATCGCCGGTGGTGGATTTCTGGGCCAGTTGCACGAAGCGACGTCGGCTTGGCCGAAAGAAATGTGGGTCGTTTCTTTTCTTGGAGTTGAGAAATCGTTGAAAGACATGTTCATAGTGAAGAAGTTTGGACGGTCATCTGCTTGTCATCAGTAACAAGGACGATGTGACGTCTCACAGAGGGTTCTGCCGGCAAATGCTGCCGTCTTGGAGCGGAAGCAGGGGCGGAGCGATGCAAAGGGTGCCTTGCAGCACAATGTGCCATTGGATCGCGCCATGTACAATTTAAAAGCTTACCTCGCTTTGATGACCAAGACTGCACAGCATGATGTAGCGGTCGACCAGCTTCATTTTCCCGACGCTTTGTGCTTCGATTCGCACGCCGACCGCACAATAGGGCCATCTCGAGCCTCATCTGTCGTCGGTGAAGAGAAGCATTCAGCTCCATGCCTTGATCTCACAACTTGTGACGTGCCTCGATAATAGAATACTCGATCCAATCCCGGCATGTGAGGACTTGACCAAGCTCAGCAGCGACAGTCGCGTTGTGGTAATGCCGTGGAGGAACGGAGAGAGGCCGCCGATTTCTTGCGAGTATCGATGTTCATGCCTCATCCTTCAAACGTTGAAACCTTGTTCGCATGTGCCGAATCGTGGTATACAGCACCGTCCTGAAGGCCCTGCCCTCGTCTTCGGCCACAGATGACACCCAACCACGCACTTCAGAATCAGAACATGTCATGAGTTCGCGAATCTCGCGGGCTGGCAGACGGCCTACCCGTTCTATCTCCGCGAAACTCAGCGTTGGCATGAGTTTCCCCATACCGAAGTCTGTTGTCAGGCACCTGGCTATGTCTTGAATGGCCTTGGGGGAGAGCCCCGGTTCGAGAAGGCGGTCGATAATGTCTTGCAGCAACTCAGACAGAGGATCGCCAGCTTCATGACCGTACCAGTACCTTGCGTCGCCGTCCTTGTCACCAGTGTGGGCCTTCCAGCACGATCCGGGCAAATGGCGAAGGACACCCTCCTTCACATTCTGCTCAAGTCTTAGGTCGAAAGCCGTCAGCCACTCAGCAGTCGACTCTGTGATGTGTAGCTTCGTAACATATTTCAAATACTTATATCCTATCGCGTCAATCCAGGCTGCCGGTCGTACCCTCTTCGAGCTGCAGGTTGGGGAGGTGCAGAAGGCGGGCGATTGGTGGCGATGTTGATAGTTGCAGCTATAATGCAAATTGTCGAGGATGAAGGAGTTGACATGATAGTACATTGGCAGTGTTTCTTCTCTGAACTGAGAACATATACGTGAAATGCCGGGTTGATGAGGTTGCGCAAGCACTTTGATCGGCTTGTCTTGGTAGAGGGCATATCGCCAGATAGTGGCTCTCACCTCGGCGGGGAGCTTGAACAAACCTGTCGAGATGGTCTCGGGTGCCATAGTAGTTGTTGGTTTTGCGGAGAAAGAGCAGTGTTTCAGTGATGGAGCGCTGTTGTTGAATCAAGGCCCGTGGCTGTTCGAGTGAAGCTGCTTAGATGATTCGAAGCGTTGTGTCTGCCAGTCTGGTACCGCAAGTGACGAGTTGTTGGAACTGAGGAATCGCGTTGTCTTCTAGCCAAGGCGAATTGACGAAGTCGCGAAGTCGCACGCCATCACGTGATTGCTCATCCTGTACTAGTGCAAAGCCCGCCAAGACTGCTGCCCACTTCGGCGAAAAGTTCAAGACCTCGTGCTGGCTGGCGACATCCAGCGGAGTCTGAAGACATCGACAACACCACCGACACCCCCGGGACACCGCCAAAATGAGTACGTCGAACCACACAGACTATCGCGATGGAGGAGATGGCCGTGCTAACAATGGACAATAGCCAAGGGAACGTCCAGCTTCGGAAAGCGCCACAACAAGACGCACGTCCTGTGCAGACGCTGCGGTAAGTCGAGCAGAACAGAGATGAGAGGAGATGGACAGAGCCTGGGAGTGTGAATGGAGTAGTCTGCGATTGGACATTGTCGGGGGGAAGAAAGGCGATTTGACGGAACGAATGCTGATTGATATTGTGACATCCAGGCCGCCGCTCTATGCACGTCCAGAAGCACACCTGCGCCAACTGCGGATACCCAAGCGCCGGCATTAGAAAGTGTACGTCGAATCATTCCCCTTCCCAACCACGCACACGACCTTCGGGATCAATTCGACCGCCAAGCCACGAGACGACCAATACTAACATCTAACCCACAGACAATTGGGGTGAGAAGGCCAAGCGGAGAAAGACCACCGGCTCCGGCCGCATGCGATCGCTCAAGCTCGTCCCACGCAAGTTCAAGAACGGATTCCAGCTCGGTACGCCAAAGGGCGCTCGCGGCCCAGCCAACCAGTAAATTCTTCGCATGGGATGACAACGGGGATGGATGAAGCATGAGCTGGGTTGCACGGAGTTCAAAGGCGGACGGGCACACCTCGATTTGAAGGCAGGCATGGACACAACAGGTGCTTTCGCGATTGCGTTACGCACAGAGCTTGCTGCGATGAGCGCTTTGCTGGCGTGGGCTTAGTAGCTAGCTCCAGAATAAGAGTATGGCGAACGGCTGAATTGAGCGACTTCAATGAACGACATGTGGCATATCAAAGACTCCGTCACAGTTACTATCAGGGATGTGAACGCTTGGAGCATGTTCCGCTGTGAGACAACGCATACGAGCGTGCCTACATGAACGTGCTCACACCACCCCGAAACCCTTCAAACACCTCCACCGGGAACGCATCTGCCATTGCCAGGTACCCTGCCACATTCGGATGCAAGCAATCACCAGAATCAAACCTCGGATCCAACATCGTCGCATTCCTCTCATCCCTAACTACAGCATCAAAATCCACCAAAGCGTCAAATCCACCAAAGCGTCAAATCCACCTCTCCTCCCAACATTCTCCCTAATCCACCCATTAACCCTCACCCTCGTAGCCTCCCTCAAAGGATCCGAATATGGCTGCAGTGTCGTATTCACACACCCAAAAGGCGTAATCGTCGCCCCCAACACAGGGATACCTCTGTCGTGAATCCTCGTGACGATCTGCTGTTTTGCCTGGATCAACCTATCGCCCGTGAGGGTTTGATTGGCGACCGTGGCGTCCGCATCGCCGATGTCGTTGACGCCTTCGAAGACGAGGGCGTACTTCACGCCGGCGTGCGCGAGGACGTCGCGATCGAGGCGCGAGATGGCGCTGGGTCCTAGGCCGTCTTCCAAGACGCGGTTGCCGCCGGCTGCTTGGTTTGAGATGGCAATTGTGCGGAGGAGAGGAGCCTTTTCTTGCTGGAGACGGTCGAAGAGGAGGTCTGGCCAGCGGTTGTTGCCGTTGTTGTCGCTGGCGCGGCCGTCGGTGATGCTGTCGCCTATGAGGGCTATGGTGGAGTAGGAGGGTGGTTGCCAGGCTTCGAGGGCGGAGAGGAAGTACCAGTGGAAGACCTCTTGGGTGAATGGGGAGGTGATGTTCGGGCTGGTGGTGAAATCGCCGGAAGAGATGTAGGAGGACGTTCGTGAGCCTGGGTGCGAGGTTATGTATTGCGTTGCTTGGCCTGTCGCCAGGTAGATGGATGTGGACAGGATCTGGTTCGTTTCGATGGGAAAGGCGAGGGGGTCCGAGACTGCCAGCGCGCCGGGAGAGATTGTGATGCTACGATTCCCCGAGAACGTCACTTGCTGTAGGGTGGTGGCGTTGATGAAGCTCGATCCTGTGAGGTTCTGGCCTGCTGGTGCCGTGGGTATGGCGATGGTCATGGAGGTTATTGGGAGGTCTGTCAGGCCGAAGGCGTTGGAGAGACGGATGCGGATCTGTGAGGATGGAGTTGTTACGTGGAAGGTTTGACGGATTGTGGAGTTGAAGAAGACGAGGTTCGTTTGGTTGAAGGGGGAAGGATGCAGATTGGAGAACTCGGTGAGCTGAGGCATGGCGGTCCACGTGTCGACCCAGTGGCCATTGGGGGGATCTGGCTGAAGGACTCCATCGTGGCTAGAGCTGAATGACGAGGCGAGAGAGAAATCGAGGAATAGCAATACATGAAGGAACAAGCAGAATTGAGACATTTTGGGGTTTGCTGGGCTGATTTACAACCCCAAGATTCATCTAACTCTCGCTCACTTTTGTACAGTCCTTCAAGAAGGAGCGTGGTAGTATTGCCGACATCTGTCTCCCATTCTCCCGTGCCGTGATATCCTGAGATGTGTTAGAGGGGGTGGTTGGACAGCATAGATTGCTTGACTCCCGGCTAAATGCAGAGGGGCAATGGAATAGACTTTGTTCCTGCGTGCAATTTACACGATCATCGGCGGCTCGGCTACGAGATATTGAGGCTGATATCTTGAATGAATATGTGTTGTGATGGATCCTGAGAGCGAAGATGGTGCTGCCGTTGAACAGAGTTGACGTTGGACACAGTTAGCCGAGATATCCGAATTCAGGCAACAAGGCAGAAAGGGTTAGCCGGTCAATTATCCGAACCTTGGATCTCGAATTCTCTGCTTGAACACGGAAACATCAGACAACGCACCAACATTTCGAGGCGATGCTCACAGAGCACTTCATAGCCTCTGTGGGCACTCCCACAAAGCCGCCGGGGACAAACATTGCCAAAGATGCAGCCATCTTCCTCCACGAGTTCCAGCCACTTTCTCAGCAGCGATCCATCCTCAAGAAATCCGCTACAGCTCCGAACTGTCTGGCTGTGAGTGAGACTCACATATTTGCCGCTCAAGAAAACAAAGGCGTTGTACATGTCTACAACCGAGAAAAGGGCAACCAGGAAGCAATTGTGCCTTTTACCGAACGGATCTCCTCCATCACTTTGGCCTGCAATGACTCCGTACTCATCCTTGGAACTGTTGAGGGACGCATCTTTTTATGGGAGACATACTCCGGGAGGCAAGTGACGACTACACAAGCACACCTGCAAGCGGTCACTTCGGTCAAGGTAGATGCGACATCGAACTTTCTCCTCTCGGCATCCAAGGATTCCACGGTGCATGTTTGGTCGGTCCCAGCTCTGCTCTCCTTTTCAACCGCTGGCGATGTCTCACCGCTGAGGACTTTCTCATCACATCGCGGTGAGATCACTTCGCTGGTACTTGGACACAGCGCCTCGCATTGCAACTTCGCCGTGTCTGTATCGAAGGATAGGACTTGCTTGATATGGGACTACCGGACGAATCACCTGCTGCGAACATACCTTTTGCCTGGTGTTCCGCTCTGCTTGTGCCTGGACCCTGCCGATCGATCTGTCTATGTGGGATATGAGGATGGCAGCATACAACAGATAGACTTGTATGCCTCACCTATTGGATCTCTTGATGCCGTTCAGAATGGCAAGAATCCGACCGATCCCGTTCAGCCGCCTACTTCCTCAATATGGAAAGTTGCGGACTCTTCTCATGGGGCTACGCTTAGCCTCGATGTTTCCTTCGACGGAAATGTGGTGATATCTGGCCATCAGTCCGGTGCTATTCTGAGCTGGGATGTTGCAAGAGGGAATTTCATATCGTCGCAGACACAACACACGCTGCCGGCGCCGGTGAACTGCCTGTCTTTCTTGCCCGTCACTGGATTTGCTACATCCGCTTCGACAAGTCCGCAAAAGAATACGAAGATCCATGAAGCTGTCAAACCTAAGTTCGCCGCCTTCGATACTGCAGACTCTGGTACGGTACCCGGCAACTATACTGTTCAAGTCCGGTTCCCCAAAGACCTGCACCTCTCACGGAGTCACAAGAAGCCATCAGATTTCATGACTGCCCTTACCGCTCCATCATTTCCAACGGCATTGCTCGATGAGGGTCTCTGTGAACTCGCATCTTGGGGCAAAACTGCCTCAAATCAGTCCAACGGACATGCAGACGGCCCCGATGAGGACTTCATGGCCCTCGACGAGCCTTCTGCGGACGCCGGCAAGATGTCTTTGGAAGATGAGAATGCCCAACTGAAGCTCGAATTGGACGCACTGAGGAGAGTCCAAAAGACAAGCTTTGACAAAATGGGAAAGCTGAATGAAGACAGAAAAGCGCTGTTGAAGCGCGAACAAGCCCGGTTGGCAAGAAAGGGTAGTCGAAAACCCAACGGCAAGATCGCCCCACAGAGCGACGAGGACCTTACAGACGAAGATTCTGGATGATGGAGATTTGATGTTTCGAGATCAGTATACCAGCAAAGAGCGGATGTGTGTACAATGTGGCATTGCGTGGCAAGGAACCAATTGTTCCCAAGCCGAACCACCTTGGCATCACATTTCATGCAAGGTCGCCCAAAAAAGAGATTTCTATTCCAGGGCAACACTCTACATTCCTCACCCCGGCCTCCACAGCCACGTATTTGTTTTGCGTTTCGGAGATGGAATGTAGCCTTTACCTGATCATCCAGAGCGACGACGAACTCTCCACAAACGCCACGGCCGAGCACTGGTTGCGTCGACAGTCAGTCGTTGTATTGGGCATCCATCGCTAACACGGAATCTTCGTTTCATTATGGGCCTCGCTCGTTCTTTTGTCGCATTGGCGACTTCCACATTCATTCTTCAAGCACAAGCTGGACCTCATCCACGCCACTTCAAGCATCAGGCGGTCAAGATTGAGCGCAGACAAGATGGTCCGCCGATCGAAGCACCAACAACACAGGCAGAACCAGCGGTTACTACATCCAATGCAGTACTTACCTACATTACGCCATCTCCTGGAGCCACGCCGATACCGATCACAGAGCAAAGCCAGCTCGTGACTTCTTTCGTTCCACAGTTCACCATCTGCGACCTTCCTCCCCAGGCCGTCTTCCCAGTCACACCGTTACCGCAGACAACGATTACAGCACCCTACAGAAACTACTCCATCTCGATTCCTACTGGAACTGGCACGTGCGAGACTATCTACAGCCCGACAAACACTATGGTCTGCGCGACCACCCTGACTGGGCTGGTCTCGCAATACACCGTCAGCGCATGTGATCAGGATATTACGTTCTCCACTGAATATGGCTATGTCTTGGCCAGACCAACTGTGAACGCAACGGTATCTGCTGGCCTAGCAGCAAGCGCAAGTGCTGCCATCACACCGGCACCAACAATCCAAACGCTCACCACGTATCTGGTGGCTCCATGGGAAGCGGTCACAGCTGGACTTGCACCTGAAGAAGTCCGACTAAAGGTGTGCGCCAAGTACGCCAACGGTACCAACGAGTGTATTGAGCAATACGAAGTCTGGCATACTTCGCTTCTCACGGAGACTGCCACAACTACGACGTCGGTTAACATATCGACTACAATCCACGGAAATGCGCAAGTCATCGTTGCTACCTACGCCGCGAACATCACTGAAGCAGTCAGCACCTTCAGGATGACTACAGACATGGAGCTGGAATACAAGACCGAACTTGAGACGACTGAGCGTGAGAAGGTGACACCAACCACAGCGCCTACGAGCTACATTACCATGACGCTTGAAAATGCCACTCCAACGAGTTCTGACGCTATGTATGTCTTGTCTACATCCTATTATGGGAGTTTGCTGACCATTCCTGCAGTACCACGATAAGATCAACCATCCGCCGTACCAGCACCACTACTGTTTATGTCGGCACATCCACAGCTACTCTTCCTGACGTTGCTGCTCCGGCTACCACTGCGCCGCCTGGGGACGATGGCGCTCTTCCCACTCCAACGTGAGTAGGGTATGAGCTGTAGCGTCTATATGCGACACTAACATCTTGCAGGGATTCCGTCGATTGGGTGAGCATGCTCGGGATTGAGACTGCTCGTTGAGCAGGAACAACGACACGGCTGTGTAGGTAATAGTGCACGTAGAACCTCTGTATGCCTTCTCAATGTACTGTAATCTATGCTGTAGCGCTGGTCGTATCTTCAATTTCTTTTCAAGTCCTTTTATGGACACCACAATCGAATGTAAAGGGGTCGTCCGGCTTTGTGCGTGCCTGAGGCGATTCATACTTCGAGTATCCCAGCCACGGGAACAACGCCTCTCGCGTATGGAAACGCGAATCGCAATACAGTTGAGAATGAGCCTCCTGTCTCGGTAGAGGACAAGTCGAGCATGGTGAGCACAAGACGTTGTCGCCCGCTTTCCAACGGTCTTCTCATCTTGAACGTTCACTTCACTTCCCCAGACCCACCTCCGCAATCCACTCACATGCAAGTGAAGGATCGTTCACTCAATACTCTGTAATCTATACAAACATCGACGGCCAAACGCAAAGTCATCAATACTTCAATCTAAAACCAGTCAACACCAGCAGATATTGCAGGCCTCGACATATGCCAAGCCCTCATTGATTGCGCCGTTCGACATTGCTGATTGCCACAACGTTGCTCAGCTCGCTACGCTCCTCCAGCACTGCATTTGGCGTGTCAGCACACGTTCCAGCGAATAGTGGACGCCGATCATTTTGTACAGAAGTACATCGACTATGCTCTGTATAAGACTCTCGTAACCCGTTCCTGCGACCATGGTTCGGCACATTACGTCTACTACCTTCGTTGGTACACACGTTCGCTCCACGAGACTGTCGTTCCAAGGATCCGCCAACTCCCTAGCACGACACGACGTTGAAGATCACGAGAAGAAGATAATTTCACGATGCAGGTCCTCAACACAATCGTTGCCCTTGCTGGCCTCGCTGCTGCTTTGCCAGCACCTGATGCTTCGACTTCAGCGGCTTGCACGAACTACGTGACGAGCTCGACGTGCTCTGCTGTCTACCAGCCTTACGTTTCGACGGTGTCTTACAATGCCGTTCAGACGGTTACTGTAACACAGTATCAGCCTGTTACCACGACCACGGAGGTCAAGAGCTATTACACTGTCACCAGCTATGGTAAATCCAATATCCCTGCCAAATCCCTCGATCAACCACTTACACCTCACAGTCCCAACGACGTACTCAACAGTCTCGACAGTCTACCCAACCTCAACAATAACCTACACAACCAGCTCCGTCACCACAATCTGCCAAACCTCAACGGTGTCCTACAAAGCCTCCTACACCACCGTCGTTCCCTCGGAAACAACCTGCCCAGCAACCTCCTCCTACGAGACGCTGTACACGTCAGAGACATACGTGGAATCAACCGTCTACACCAGCACGCCGAGCTCGTACACCACGACTTCGGAATACGCGACCTCAAGCACGAGCATCGCCACAGCGACGTCCACCTCGTGTGCGTATTATAGCAGTTGCTCGAATGGAGCTGTCGTTGCTACTTCCACAGCGGCGGCCACCGCCACGGAGTATGGCGCTAGTCCATCCTCTAGCTCTGCGGCTGCGGCAACGGCGTATGGTGAGAGTTCGTCGACGACTTCTGCTGCGACGGCCGCGGGTTATGGCGATAGTTCTTCGTCCTCGGCTGCTGCTGCCTCGACTTCTTCGGCGGGCGCTCTGGGGGTGTTGTGAGGAATGATGAGATGATTTTGTTGATGAATGACTTCTTGACGCTCGCTGATATGACTGATGTTATGAATTGATGGGATGCATTCGAAAGAGAATGAGATTAATGCTTTGAGACGGTGGGAGTGGAGATATGTAATGCATAATGTTTCAACGAAGATATATTGCCAGGTATCGAGAGACTTGTGAGAGGGATTTGTTCCTTCCTTTCCCACTCTTATGTATGTGAGATTTCTGACTACAGCAAGCTTTGCCCCCTTGAACAGGCAGCATCGGGGACACAGATCCCCATGTATGTTTTCTTGGGTAGAGCCCCGGATGCATTGAGCGGCGCGGTGCCGCCGAGATACAGTATCTTCATCAGCATCAACGCAGTAGCAGCGGCACTGTTGAACGATCTCATTGCGTCTGACTAATCATGTCTTTGTATTGTCTCGTAGTGCGATACTCAGTCGGAATCCCATCGACAGAAAGATCCGGACCTGAAAATACGTCGACAATCCCTTGGATGATCTCCGCGTAGAGGAGATCGTACTCCTTCGTAGCTGCGGCAAAGTCCTTACACTCTACCAGGATATCGAAGTCCAGATGGGGCGCGGTGGTGACGATGAAAAGAGTCGTCGGGTAGGTCGTCTCGTCTCGTCGTGCGTAGATGTCTGCGAGGATGGCTCGGTCGGGTGGTGTGTGCGTGTCTGGCCGGACTGTACGCGTGGCCATCTTGAGGTCTTGGATATGTCGTGAAAGGGTATGTAGTGAGCTTTCTGCTCGTGCTTTTGAGCCTGATAGGGATCTGTTGAGGAGTGATGGTCGTTCGAGGATCAGGTCTGGAGTGTTCTGCTACGGACTTTCGAATGGAGTGCTCTGGATTTACAACAGACGAATCTCCTACACTCGCATGGGATAGACAGAACTTTTCTCGGGGATTGACTATATTTTAACGTGGGTTCAGTGCCGTATAAATACACGACGTCAGCTGGCAGCTCTGGCGGCACAGCAGACTGGCTCTCCGTCCTGCCCACATTTTTCGCCTGACATGATTTGGAACGACTTCATGATTGAATCCCGAGAGCGAAACTAGACGTAACTTCAGTTGTGCCTGCCACCCGGACCCGTCTCATGTGTCCTGGAGCGGGGCGAGACGAGATCAACATCTGGTCATGCATGATGATGAATCCCAGTCGATTGCTCTATGCAATAGCATTTTGACGACGTGAGAAACTGCCTTTCTAGGCACTGCTCCTCACAAATGTGGTCAAGGGTCGCCTCGACAAGTTATAGATGTGTGGAAGCATTCACCGCCAAGTCGATATTGCAAGGGAAGCGGACTTGTTAGATTCTACGGAGCGTCGCCCCTCTCCTCCAACTCGAGTCTTTCGACCCTATCCCTCGTCTCCTCAACTCCACCCTCCCGCCCAACCTCAACCCACTTCCCCTCATGAAAATCATACTCAAACCCATCCCTCACCCAATCGAACGGCTTCCCACCCTCGCCACCAGGAAACGTATCGGTATGCCTGAAACGCCAAAGGCCATCCTTCGCCACGCGAGCTTCCTCCATACACTCATCAAAACTAATATCCCCGATCAAGAGCAAACCAAGCGTCCTATCAATCACGCTGAAAACGGAACGGACGGTGTCGAGAACGCCGTCCCATGCGCCATCGCTGACGATGATTGCCGTGTCGTCGCGCAAAGAGCGCTCGTCCAGAATGACGAAGGCGGACCAGTTGAGCTCGGAGCCGTTGTCTCGTTGGAGGCGGCGGAGGATGGCGTGGCACTCTCCGGGAGTTTTGTTTTTGAAAGGGCCGTTGACGACGTCGTGGTTCTCGCCGTGGACGGCTTCCTCGGTGTGTTGTGCCGTTAGATCGTCGACGAAGACGAAGAAGCTTTCGACAAAGTCGCTGGCGTTGACATCGAGGAAGTGGTCTTTGAACTATGCATTTTATTTGAGTCAGTTCTACGATTGCATCTGTATGCTGTTGGAATTGTGAGTACTCGCCTCCGCGGTCACATCTACAGTGCAGCAGACTGGCCGAAGACGTCCAGGGCGTACTTGCTCGTCCTCGGGTGGAGGCGATGGGGGTGGCATGGCTGTTGAGTTGAGTGGTGATAGGGCATGGACTACCAAAGGGTATCGTTGATATACTGATATCATAGCGTGCCTCAAAGTTCAGGCAGCGACTCCTTTGCCTAGCTGCCAAGCCTTTTCGGCAGAGTCCTCCAAATCATCAAATTATGGCCAAGGCAATGTTTGACTTTAGGAACAAAGAACATTTGGCGAAAGATGTGTCGGTTGCGTATATCTCGAAAATGAGTGGTCGTTCACTCGATCGGATCAAGAAGGGGTTGGGGGCGCTCGAGTGACCTTCACGACCAATATTTCGTCCTGTACTCTCGCAGTTCCATTCGAAGTGATATACACGCACAAGTCTCTAAAACCAGGCAACGTGTCGACCAACCCGCACTCCCATAGTCAGCTTAATCGCTACAAGCATGCAATAGAAACGATATCCTCGTACGGTCCAGGCTGAGCAGACCAACGAGGACATTCTCACCTGTCTCTCACCTACCTTCTCCAAGCGCCAGCCCATGATCAACACTGAATACTCTCAGGACACAACAAGACAAGGTCTGGGTTAGGAGCCAACGGTCTTCAATCCTGACAGGGGCCTTCATCGATTGCGAAACATTCGTCATTCCAGAAGACGGTAAGACCAAATGCGCATCAGAGGCTGATTGAATGTAGTCTTGAATCTGCGATTGCGGTCCATCACAGATCCCCATGAAGGCCAGTCAGCAAACATTTCGTCTGCGCACATGGCTGCACGTCAACGGCGTCCCGAGAGGTTGCACAACATGTCGGAGTGGAGTCCGTTGCTTGTCTTTTCCATCGGCTCCGAGTTGATGGATGTCTTTTCCGAGCTGGATATACGTCAGGGGGCGTTGGTTGCGGTTACACGACATATCAGGCCAAGATGTCCAGACATTGTCTCCTGCTCCAGAGACATCTTGAGTGCCGCGATAACCGCGAAACAGAACAGGCATCTGCGATCTGGCGGGGGGCTTTCCGTGCTCAAGAGGCAGGGCAGATTGCACTCATTGTTGGACCGTGGGCCCAACGTCATGGCATCGATGTCGTATACCCTTCCTGGCGCAGGTCACGGGCCAAATCAACAATCAACCATATAACAGACCTTCTCCGGAAGGACGACCCGGCACTGGCGAGAGAGACTTTCAACAGTCGGCAGGAAGGCGGTTGTGCACTATGCCATGCATCAACATATATGAGCACGGCGCTCGCGCCGAAAGCGTGCCACCATATCCCGAAGATGGGTATCGTGCAGTGACGAGAGAAGAAGCGGAACGCTGCATGAGCAGCGTTGAGAACCCTGCATAAGTAGTGGCGTCCATGCACGCTTGACAAGCGGCTTCCCTCTTTACTCGCGCACACGAATGGTGTCTCCAGAAGAAAGGGTCGAAGTGGCGAAGAGAAGGCTGATGAAAAAGTGCAATAGCACGAAGTAGGGGTGAAGTGACTGAAGGACATGCCTTTCTCCGCGGAAGTGAAAAGCGTGGCGAGCCCCCACTCACTGGTCCGTGCCATGCGTGCACGTGCTTGGGCCGACGACGGGGCATCCCGCCGAACGACCTTCCCGATGCAACTCACACCCTCATCGTCATCCCCATCAATGTCTTCAGCACGACTCCATGCACATTACTAGCAGCTGCTTCCTGCTGTCGAAACTTCTTCACGCCTGACCAGCTCGAGCACGGCGGCAGCACCACTAGCGTCATCCACCTCACCCAACTTTGACCTCGGATGCAAGTCCGTGCATCCGGCCCAGTAGTGTACCACGGCCATCCTTTGCTCTGCCCTTCTCCCGAACATCGCTTGACGAAAACCGCCCACGAGAAACCGACCTGCTCCCAGCACGCAAAGGAGCCACGCCTGACCGCCTCGTGGAGTCTTTGTGTCACGCCCTGGTTGTCGACAGCGGCTCGCTTGGCATTTATCAGCACGCCTGGCCCTTTGGCGATCGACGTACAGACCTTGTTCGCTACCTGCGGTCGACTCGGGCGGGCAATGGTGCCATGAGGATTGCATGCTCGAACGCATATTAAGGTTCGACACACCACTGTGACGGAACGACCTTGCCCCTGCCCTCCTCTCTCTTTGCGGGCCATCTTCACTCAGTATGAACCAACAGAGACCTCTGGTGCCGGATGGCGGTGCGTCCACTGCCTCAGGTAAGCTCTGCCATCGACTCCACGCGCCGTGCTCTGTCTAGATGCCTCCGAAGTGTTGCGTCCCCTGCCAATGAGCGCGCGCACGGCCAATGACCTTAACATTAAGCTTATGTTCTGCAGCCAGTAGTCAGGGTGAAATGGTCATTGACCACACCTTTCCCGACCCGTCGTCGTCACAGCAGAGGAAGAAGAAGCCTGGACCCAAGCGTGATGCAAAGCCTGCCCCGTCCGAGAAGCTCGAGCGGAATCGACAAGCTCAAAGGTAGGCTGTTCGTATCCATCATCGCAAAGCACCACTGACCGTGTCAAGAACACACCGAGAGCGCAAAGAGCAGTACACAAAAGAGTTAGAACTCGAAGTCTTGCGCCTGAAGGAGCTCTTCGTGACTGCATCTCGCGAGCGTGACGGCGCATCCAGTGCTCGAGATGAACTGCTCAGCGAGAGAGACCGACTATTTGCAGACAATCAAAAGCTCCTCGAGGAAAATCAACGGATGCGTGAGATTATCCAGTCGTCCTCGTCCTCCACCGATTCTGGCTACGAGGGCACCTCTGTAAGCTGCGACGTCACCAGAAACAACAGTCTGTCCGTGGCTGACGGGTATCCTGGTATGGTCGTCGACCCAAGCGGCCCAATACAGGAATACGGTACGCAGGAACCCGTGACGACCCACTGGCAACAGAGTGCGTGGGAACTCTGCGAGTCCCGGGGCTTTGCGTCTGACGGAGCGCTCCAGGAAACCTCACCACCGATAAAGACGGAGTCGACTGAGTTGGACGTGAGAAGATTCAGCTCGGCTCAGCTCGTCGCAGAACTTCCTCCTATACAAATGGACTACGACGATTTAGCTATGGACTTTGTATTATCGTACGTCGACGAAAAAAGTGCTAGAGAGGCATCTGCGATACTGACTGTATGTTCAGATTAGAAAGACCCTGCATGGGCCACATCCAGTACCTGCACGTACGAGCCCACAACTACCAGGCCTCCCAGCAAGGCGAGATGAGCGGCCAACCCCTCGAAGTCCCAGACGATGGCAAGAACCAACACATCAGTGGCCATGCATTGATGCATACCTCGCCACCTTACAGTCTCCTAATGAATGATCCCGGTAAACGATATCCAACACAGTTCCCCGACGGCCTAAGACGAGACGATCTGCTTCGGCTGTTGGACCTCAGCTCACAACTGGAAGTCAACGATCCTGAACTACCGCCAGTGAAAGCGTGGATGAAGATTATGCAAGACCAACGCTTTCGGCATTTGGGTGTGAATGACTTTTCGCTTCTCAAAGAGACCCTGCTGTCCAAGGTTCATTGCTACAGGTGAGTCTTGGCCCTTCAAGAGCAAACATAGACATGTCGACTCACAGTCCCCAGATTTGGCGCAATCGTCGAACAAAACGACCTCGAATTCGCACTAGAACATGTCCTGACATGCAAAGGCGCTGTCCTCACAGAACCCACGACGACGGCGATCCCAGCTTCAATGGCGCCGCGCGATGCAAAATCATTACCGCCCGGGACGGCATTATGATCTGAGACGACGATGACGGCCAATCAGTATTACAACGCGATGTTCGACGATCAACGATAATATTTCTCGGCAAGCCAAAAGCGAGGAGTTTCGGTCACGGTAATGTGCAGAATTCTGGGGAGTGGACGGAGTCTAGGTGTGAAGCGGGTTATTACGACACCACGATATGTCGACACGAGCGACGGCAGTATACACACGAAAGATAATGAAGGAAAGAAAGAATCAAAATATCAAAAATTCGCAAGCGGAAAGCAAAGCGAAACGAAACCAGCACCTCCTTCGACCCCAATGCCCAGCGCTCCCGAATCCAGCCCAGTCCCGGACCCAAACACCCCCTCCCCCTCCCTCGCATCACACTGTCCCTTCCCGCAGACCAGTTCTGTCAAAACTGAGTGTCTATAAGTCGAAAACCCCTCCCCTTCTACCAAGCGTCTTCGCAAAACGTGGGGGAATGGTGCAATCGGTAGCATTCAGAGGGGGCTATGGGCAGAGAATCTCTCTTTACTTTCCGGTTCTGGGGTGATAAGCTTTCGTTGATGTCGGCGGCGGAACTCTGAGAACTGGGTTGGGGCATTGGGACCTCCATGGGAGTTTTTGGGGTGGGATGGTGGGCGATGGGTGCCGTCTCTGGTTTTCTTTTTGTACGTTTGCCAGGCTCGATATGTTGTTCGTCGGGTGTTCGAGGACGCTGGACTTAGAGACGATGATAGCCGTGAGTGGGTTTTCTTCGAAGAAATGACTACCACCACAGAATCAATCCCTTCCCCATCTACACTCAAACCCCCCCCCCCCCACACAAAATCTACACAACCCCCTCCTCCACCTCCTCCTCACCCACAACAACCACCATCCACAACCCAATCCTCTCCTCATAATGCATCAACGGCGTACAATGCACCCATCTCGTCCTTCCCTCCTCCTCCCCGCCCCCTCGCTCATCCACAACATCCAACCACTTGACCTTCGCCGTCACGGCATTTCCCTCGCGAAACGCCACCTCCAGATCCTGCCGCAGCCGCCCGCTGATGTGGTGCAGGAAGTGCGACTGCAGCATTCCTGGGCAGCGCAGGCGCGGCGAGACGAAGAGGATCCGGAGGGAGGGGTGCGGGCGGACGAGGAGGTACTGTTGATGAGATGGGGTGTTAGGGGGGCGTGGATTTGGGGGAGGTTGAGTGGCACACTTACGTGTTTGTACACGCCCTCGAGACTCCCCGCCGTCTGGTTCTCGACGGGGTTCTTCGGCGCCACGCCAGGCTCCGCAGCGGCGGGTCTCTTCGCCTCATCGAACCCATCCCCCACCCCGTCTTCGATCAGCACCCGCCGGGGCGCTTTGCTGGTCGTGGCGGGTCCTGCGTCGGAGGTGGTCGTGTGCACGTAGTGCGATCCTTGGAGCAAGTACCCGCCGTGCATGCGGATGATGTCGAGTTCCTCGGCGTTGAAGAGCTGGCTGAGGGCTTTGATTTCGCGGTGGGGGTCGAGGGGTTGTTGGGTTGGTGATTCGTGAGATTGTGCGTTGGGAGAGGGTGGTGGTGGCTGTTGTTGCTGCTCGATCAGTTTTCGTAGACTCGCCATGCCGCTGCATTCTTTCAGGAGGCCGGAGACGTCCACCTGGGCGCCTAGGAAGTAGCGGACGTTCCCTCGACTGTATCGATCTCATTAGCGATATATCGCCAAACCTCGACGGTCTCAGCAACCTACCTATCCAACAACGGCGCATTCATAACCAAACTCAAAAACGGACTCCCATCCCTACGATAATTCACAAAAATCTCCGTATGATCCCGTCCCTCCTGACACGTCACCGCAAAGCGCCTCCTCGAATCCATCGTGGTCCCAGGGCCCTGCATGAAATTACAGTTGCGGCCCAAGATGTAATTCAGCGCGCAGCCCGAGTGGCGCGTGAACTCCTGCGAGGCGAGGATGATGGGATTGTTGGGGCGCGACGGGTCGGTGATGCAGAAGACCTCGGCGAGGCCGTGCGAAGTTTCGCGCAGGTGCGCGGAGAGGTTGCCCGTGATGCGGCGGTGGACGACGGCGGAGACGATGGTGATGTAGGCGTGCGAGATGTAGTAGTGCAGGTCTTCGCGGCGGAGTTCTTCGAAGGCTTGGTGGGAGACGGCGATGAGGTCTGGGCTCGCGGCGTGGGTTGGGATGGCGAAGGTGGTTCGAGATGTCGGGGTGCTCGCGGAGAGGGCGTCGATGAGCGAGTTGGTGTAGTGGAGGGCTTTGAGGGCTTTGTAGGCTTTCCAGTAGAAGGCGAGGACGGGGAGTCTCCAGGGGCGGTGTTTGCGGAGGAAGTTGGAGAATTTGAGCCGGAATTTGGGGTCGTCGAGGATCAGGCTGAGGTGTTCGCTGCTGTAGAGTTGTGAGGCTCGCTCTTCGAGGGAGTATACTCCGTTGAGCTGTTCCTGGTGAGTGGACTTGATCACGTCCCAACAGTCAGGGTCGTCGACGTTGTTGAGCTCGGTGTGTGGTACGTCACATTTGTCGGCCAGTGGGTTCTGCAGAGCAGGAAGCTGTTGTTGTTGCTGGACCGCGGCCGTTGAGCCTGACAACGCCGTCCGAAGGCTGCCGTGCGGTCGATCACGATGTGGGCGCTCAAGGCCATTGTCGTACGTATACGGAACGTTGCCAGCCCTGGATGGAGCTTTCGAACTGACTTCAGGACTCGGCGGTGTTGGTGCCGGAGGTCTCGTTCTAGTCAAAGAGTCAGCTTGTTAGTGACAGCCCTTCGAACTACGGCGACTCACGGCGGGAAGATACTATACCTTGGCCTCCCCCGTAGCGACGTCCCCTCACTCGCCTGCCCTCCACTCCCCTCCTCCTCAAGCCCCTCCAAATTAAAAGACGCCCCATCAGCCTCATCGACATGCTTCCCACTCTCGCTCGCACAGCTACCATTCTGCCCCTCACCCGCACATTCATCTTGCTCACCAACCAGTCCCGTCCTAGCACTCGACATCCTGACCGGGATAGGCATAGGCGTGTATCTCGGCACAGGCGAAGCCGCAAACTCCACCAGCGGCTCGCCGTCGACGTCTTTGTCGTGGCCCGTGATCAAGGCCTGGCCGATGGTGTGCGCGCATTGGTCTGGTGACATGCTCGAGACGGACTCGTCGGCGAGGTTTCTCTGCAATCAACCAGTCAGTGTGGATGGGCGACACGATTGAGAGGGAGTCTGACCAGGCTGTAAACCAACATCTTCGACTCATCTCCCCCATTCGCATGCCCTCCCAGCGCACTCTCCGAATTGACATGTCGGGGCCTCCAGCGCCGGATTTGAGGGAATTTGTGCAGGAACTTCTGCGTAGTTTGTCGTTGAGCGGACTCCATCGCGAAGATTGAATCAGATAGAAACCCAAACCTGTTGATGAAGGGGACGAGCGCGCTCTAATGAACCCATCAACGCGGCCGTGCATGATACTGCCACATCCCCTGGGAAAAGCATATAACGAAAGCGAGAACAACGTGAACATCTCCCGCCCAATGGTTCGCTCAAATCAAGCATGATTATCACCAATGCCGGACTTCGCTGGGTCAATCCATTGGCGAAAATCCATTGCCTTGACCACACAATCTTAGCTCTTGCCGCGTACTTTCTGATAGAGTTCACTTGTATTGGAAGAACCTTGCCGTTGGCCAGGGGCAAGGCTGCCAGGGAGTGGGCTTGGCGTATTTCGGTCTCTTGATGTCGGCGAGGTGCCTGACGAACCTTCAAGGATGAAAGGGAGAACCGACGTCATGTCGTTTGTGAGGTCCGATCTGAGGAGTGTGCTCTGCCTGTAACGGGCGGTTTGAAAACGTCTATGATAGACGTGCCCGAGGGCTACTGTTCACAATCCTCTGCATTCCATTCTCATCCCTATCTAAACAACAACTCTTCACTGCACAAATTCCCAGCACACTCACACACACAAAAATCTACCTGTATCATCCCCATCCCATCCCATCCATCCCAAAAAAATCATCTCACATCAAAAACCCGTACACAAACACCCTCCATCCATCATCATCTCCACACCCTCCCATCTCCCATCTCTTCTCACTCCCACCCACCCCTCCCCAACCCACTAGGCGTCCACTCCTGCCCGGGATAACTCGCCCCCCTCATAACCAGCTCCTCCTCCCCCACAGCAGGCTCATCCCTCCGTCCACTATACCCGGAGCTAGGACGTCTCTGATGCACCACCGGGCGCGGCGGGTAGGAGTATTCGCCGCTTTCGAACTGTCGTGAGGGTGGGTAGGGGTACTCGCCGCTGTTCTGGCGGGCGTAGAAGCGCGGAGGGCCGACGCTGCCTCGCGGTGGGGATTGTTGTTGTGGGGGGTGGTTGTAGGGTTGGTGGAAGGGAGGGTAGGGGCCTTGGCGGATGGGTTGGTCTTCTTCCCAGGGGATGGTGAAGGGGCGGGGTGGTGGGACGCCGCGCGGGGGAGGCGGGTAGAAGCCGACGTTTGCTGGGGCGGTGAGGACTAGGCCTTGTCCTTGCTGAGGTGGTGGAGGAGGGGGAGGTCTATACTGCGGCGGAGGCGGGGGAGGGACAAACTCCTGCTGCGGAGAACCCATCCCCATCGCCCACGAACTCGCTCGAGAGCTCGGTCCGCTGCTACCGCCCTGCGGAAGCGTGATCGCCCAAGGCGTCTGCTGATCCGCATACTCCCTCGCGGGAGACCGCGCGGTGGTTTCTTCTGGGATGGAGTTCACGCGCTCATATCCCGTGCGGGACTGTACGGGGGAGATACTCGGCAGCGATCCATAAGGTCTCGAGCCGGGGGCATAGTACTCTGAGCGTGCTGAGACCGGCGGGGGCGTGGTATCGGAGCCGTAAGAAGGGTAGCGTTGATGCTGCGGAGGCGGCTGTGGAGCGTACTGCTGTGGCTGCTGATAGGGATCCATCATCCTCTCCATCGCCGCCGAGGGCGTCTGGCCAGGATACGACGGCTGTCGTCCCGGCGGGCCTCCTCTCCCCGACATCCTCATCACTGGTGGTTCTTGTCCTGCGGGCGGACCAATAGGTTCGACCGGACGATTGAAGGACGCCTGGACGGGTCGGAACGCCTCTGGTACTTGGGCGAGACCGCCTCGTTCGCTTCCTCCGCGGCGGCTCTCGCTGTGTAGTCTTCTGAACTCAGGGCGAGGGGCGTCGGTGGGCGACATAGGGCGCTCTTGCTGCTGTTCTGATTGCGGACCGTACCACCCACCAAGAGGAGGTTCAACACTCTCCCCAGCAGGTAAAGACGGCAGTTGCGCAGGAGGCGACCCTTGAACATTCGCGGCATTCTCCTGGAAAGCAGGCATATCCCTCCTCCGCATCGCTTCGTAAGCCTCATAGCCTCGCACGCTTCCCACAACGGTACTGCTATTCTGCGGCGGCTGCTGTTGCGACGGTGGCTTCGGTGCCTGCGCGATACTGTTCTCCCTCGTGGGCGGCGCATTCTTCGTCAAACGATTCGGTTTCGTAGTAACATTGCCTCCCGTCGTGCTCGACCTGCCAAAGAGGGACCCCAGCTTCGAGAAACGCTTCTTCTTCGGCTCGGCATCCGCGACACTCGACGAAGCGCGCTGGGGTTTCTTGAGTGTCTTCCTCTTGCTCTCTTCTGAAGTCGTGGGCACCTCAGCACTTGCAGCAGCAGCGGCGGGTGCAGCGCTCATGACAGGAGCTTCTAAAGGCGCCACAGAACTCTCCCGACTCGAATCAAACCTCTGCGCACTCGACCGTCTGCTCGTCAACGACTCCCAGAGTCCCGAACGTCTCCTTGCTTGCTTCCCATCGTCCTGCTGAGGTGGACGCTGCACCGCATCCGCACCGACTTGTCCGTACGCATGCAAGCCCTCCAGACCATGCTGATCGGAGATTCTGCTGGGTGGAGGAGCCCCAGCGGCCTGCTCAGGTCGTCCGCGAAAGAACCCTGAAGGCGGCCGACCGCCCGTGTCGATGCTTGATTGTGGTGTGTGGCCGCTTCCAGTGGAGATTACTGAGGAACGGAGTCGTTCGTATTGAGTAGGCTGAACACTGCCGCTGTTCCTCACAGCGGGATGCTGTGAGAACGGAGGCGCACCAGGTGGAGGACCCGCCATATTGCTGAGATCCACAGGCATTGCAGGTTGCGACGGTGGAGGACGTGGAGATTGTAGTGCTTCTCCCGTTCCCGTCGAGATCGTCTCCTGCACAGGAAGACCTTGATCGTCTCTCGGCAGGGGCATATACGACATCGGCCGTTCGCCCATCCCAGGCCTCTGCTCGGTGTACTGACGACTCGCGAAGCGCTGTTGGTATTCTCCCGCGTCTTGAAGTTGCAACTGCTGAGGTTGTTCGTGCCTCCTCGCCGCGGCAGCAGTCAACTCCTGTAGCACCCCAGCATGGGGGTGAGCTCTCTCAGGCGTCGTGTGCGGACTGGCTCCCGTGGGTCCAGCAGGTACAGCCTGAGCAGACATTACAGGCTGTTCATCGACGGCCTCTTCGGCGGTAGCTCTCCGCGCCCCAGCTCCCAAGCTCGAAACAGAAGAATGTCTCGAAGTCGTAGGATTCGTGCTGTGATGTGAGCTTTCCTGCTGCGCGCCATCTTCAGCAGAGACTTCACTCCTCGCGTCCTCGAAATCCGCAGTCGTCGAAGCTGAGACCTTCCTATCCTCCTTTCCCCAATCCTCCTCTTTCATCTTCGTAGCAACAGGAGTTCTCTCGTACAGATCCTCGTCCCTCCTCTTTGCCACAATAGGCGTCCTCTCCTCCCCGTCTTCCTCTCCAACTTTCTTTCCACTAACAACCACAGCCGGACTCATCTCCTTGATCGTCACCGGACTCGCCTCGTGCACCTCCGCCTCAGCATCCACGCTCTCATTACTCGAGAAATTCAGCGTCGTCAGCGTCATGCTGTCCGAACGAGCGATGTTCAGCGGCGAGAGACGGCGCTGGCTAGGCAAAAGCTGGAGGTCCGAGAGTTTGCGTGGACGTTGTGGTGGAGGTCGCGAAGGGCTCGGTGGAACAAAGGTCGGCGATGTCGAGATCTCTTCACCAGAGGTAGGGCCTTCACCATCGCCTGTTCGCTGGCTAGGCAAGATTGCCAGATCACTGCTCTTCCGAATCGGCGCCGGTCTCTCCTCCTCTTCCTTCACAACATCTTCTTGCTCCTCTTTCCCCAGTCGACTCATCTCCCCCTCACTAGGCACCGTAGCCAACTCCGGACCCTCCCCATCCCCGTCTTGAGTAACAGGCCTCCAAGCAGCCGCACTACTCCTCCTCCTCGCCACCTCCCCACTAGCTCTACGTCCCTCCTCAAACGTCGCCGCCGTAGGAGCCGGACTGGGCAGAATGCCCAGCCGTCTCGGCGTTCCCGTCCTCTCCTCGGGGGTCTTCGGCGGCGGGAGCTGCGCGTCGGGCTCATTCCAGGCTTCAGTCCGCGTCGGTGAGGCCATGGACATGACGCGGGTGATTCCTCGGGTGGAAGAAGACGGCGGACGGGGTTCTTCCCAAGAGTCTACGCGGCGTTCCGTGGAGCGGATCCCCATGACGGAGAAGCTGGAGGTAGAACGTGTGGCTTCAGGACGGGTAGCCATGACCGCGACATCTGAGAAATCGCCCAGAGCGAAATCCGTCGTATTCGTCTTCCTCAACGCCGCATCTTCATTGCTGTCTTCCAACAGATCCGGATTCCCCAAGACAAGACTCGCCGGCCGGCTGCGGCTTCCTTTGTCACGTTTGCTCCTCGTGGAGCTGCGGCTGATATCCCTCAATCTGTCGAAGACTTGGCTTAGAGCTCGACTGCTCGTGCGCGTGCTGGAGGGCGTGCGTGAGCGAGGACGGCGGAAAGGGCTGGCGGATGAGGTGCTGCGGGAAAGGGGCGGGAGGGCTGGGGAAGGGGAGACGAAGGCTGTGGTGGAGGGTATTTCTTCTGCTGGAGGTGCGGCTGGAGTGGGAATAGATGTAGTGGCTGCCGAGGTGGTGTTGCTGGGTGAGGGATCTGTGTCTGTGTCGATTTGCTCGGCTTGCTGGGTTTGCTGAGAAGGAGGCTCGGGGAAGGTGGGAGTATTCGCTGTCGTAGTATTCTCTTCAAGTGGTTGGGTCACTGTATCGACTGGTTGTGAGGGTTTCGTGTCGGGTCCTGTTGGGGTTGCGGTCGTCTCATGCAAAGCGCCTGGGCTGGCGTTCTCTTCTGGTTCATCGGCAGCAGTCATGGTTGCCACCAATGGGCTTGCAACAACAGCAGATGTGGTGGCGATAGGACCGGCATTGGCAGAGGATGAAGTAGACGGCGAAGGAGAAGCCTACACCTACCATAAGCATGCATTCTTCGCCAAAATGATGTACAGCACCAAGGAGGTGGGAAGAAGTGCTGATGAGAGGCCAAGCCAAAAAGGGAGGTGTTAAGCTATCAAAAATACAAAAGCCAAGAAGATAAATATTAAGGTAACGATCATGATCTCATCGCCATCGTCCAGCAAGTGGTAAGACAGAGACCAGGGTATCGCTCGCTCGCTGTGCTCAATCAAACGTGCCAATGTCGCTTCGTGAGTCTTGATGTTGCTCAAGTTTTCTGTTCACTCAGATACCCTGATGCAAAGAAGACTCAGTGACAGCACAAAAGAATGAGAGCATCCAAGCAAGCCAGAAAGTAGAAAGCCCGTCCCAACGCCCCAAAATGTACAGAGAAGATATAGTGTTCGTGACGGTTGTCAAGGATGTGAAGAAATAGGGGTCACTCTACCTCATTGCCAGGCTTTCCCCTCACGCTCCCACCGCCGCCGCCGAATCGATTCTTGCCCTTGGCGAACAGGCCTTTTGCACCTTCTTGCGCCTTCCCGCCAAACATTCCAGCTTGTTTCATGAAGTTCTTGCCTCGCTGCTGCATCTTGTCCATGTCGATTCTTGGGCCGTCGCCGGGTGCAGCAGGTCGAGTCGGCTCAGTGCTTTCGGTAGCACTGCCCACAGATGTTGAACGCTGCTTGTCGTCACCACCGAACTTGTTAGCAAATTTGGCGATGCTTGGACTGGCCTTGTGGCCTCTTCGGAACGTGCCGAACCCAGAACCTGATGACTGCAATGCCGGTGGCTTGAATCCGCTGTTGGATGTCGAGAGGTTGGCGTGTTCTGGATGTTGTTCAAGCATCATACTCAGCCAGTCGTTCAGGCCCGTATTCATGTCTGCGAACGTCTGACGAGTCTCGTTGTACGTCTTGATCCGCTCATCGCTCGACTTCATGGCAAGAATGCTTCGGAACGGCTGGATCGATGCGGCAGGCTTGGCTTGTACGGTCGATACTGGAGACATGGATGAAGCGGTGGTGTGGTCCTTCTCTGGAGGGGGTAGAATGTCGTCTTCACCATCATGCGCACCAAGATAGTACGATGGGAGCCGGGAATTGAAGCCATCGTGCTCCGATATTGGCGAGGGAGCAAGATTGGTTAACGACTGCGAAGGGCTTCCGGCTTGGACATTGGTCTCGGGGAGAAGGCGCTCCTGACTCTTCGTGATTGGTGAAACCACTGCCTCAGATTGGTCCCTAGAACCCACTGCGGGTGAGGGGATCGTGGAATCTTCTGCAGCAGATGGCTCGTTCAGAATTGGCACAGGGTCGGCAGGGGTGAGTGGAGACTCGACGTTCTCTCCGGGATTCATCACATGAAGGGCTTTGGTCCTAGGCCGCTCGTAGGCCATCTGCGGCTTGATTTCCGGACTCTGCGGCTCAGGCTCAGGTGTTGCTCTAGAGGGGACTGGTCCTGTTGTAGGCGCCAGCGACCCATCATCCCTCTCCCAGCTGAACTTGGTCGTCAGTAGTCGAGAAGGAGCGGTCTCGGCAGCGGGCAAAGCGGTCTGACCGTGCTCAACCCGTCGCTCATTGTCAGGGGCATTGAGCGCATCTTGAGTCCTTTCGGCGTCTTCCCCGATACTTTCCCGCTTGAGCTCATCTTTCTTGATAGGATCAAGACTTCGTACAATCTCCTTCCTCAGGCGGTCGCTGTCCATATCACCGGCGCCCGTGTCTGTTGACAACATTGGCATTACAGTCGGACGCTGTGGCGAAAGCGACGTGTGTTGTTCAGGGGAAGGTTCTCGAGAACGGAGCCTGAGCGGCGCAACAGTATTGAAGTAGCCGCCACCATCATCAACAGCGAGGTGTTCAGATTGTTTGGGAGTGTCTTTGGCGGGTGGTGTAGGTGCGACAGAGGAAGCAACCGAAGTTGGAGCATCGGTGCTGTCAGTCTCATGGCGAAGCAAAGGCGGCTGCATGGCAATCGAACCTCGCTCTGGCTTGGCCTGGGTTTCGGGCTGGTTGATTGGTGCCGGCGGCTCAGAGGACGCGAAATCGCGGGTCTGATGGCCAATCCCGTATGTCGAAAGCAGTGATGCCCCGAGCTGATCACCGGCGTTCTTGACAGCGTCAAAGGCATTTTTATCACTGTGGGTAGACGTTGCTGAAGTAGGCTCGACAGCGGGCAATTGGCGCTTCTTGGTGGTAGGCGTTAAATCAACTTCTTCCTGAGCTGTGCTTTGGCGGGGCGTAATTTGCTGCGTCTGAACAGGAGGGGACTCCAGAGCCGGAGTTGGTGCGCTGCTGATCCATCCACCTGGCAGGTCTGGCTTGAACGACTCTTCTCGACCAAGCTCAGGTCTAGTTGCCTTGGATCCATCGACATCATCATCCACAACAGCGTTATCTACACCAAGCTGGGACTGCGAAGTGCCCTGTCGGTTGAGCCGCGGTGCCTCGAAGTTGCTCCAGGACGATTTCGACGAACCGATCGAATTTGCGGAGTTGCGTCTTGAGGCATCGTGGAGATCGTGGTACCTATCAGCAATCTCTCGCACCCGACCTTTGGCAGGACTGTCAGCTCGTGTAGGAGTTCCACTGCCTGTGAAACCAGTCCCAGGCGGCATGGGAGACGAAGGAGTGCCGGGATGTGTCTCCAAGAACAGCTTTTGACTGTCTCGCTGCGCTTCAGCGATGGCAGGTGTAGCAATACCCTTGTCTGGAGAAGAGTTGACGGTTTCGGCAATGTCAGCCTCGCGCAGGCTGTAATCAGTACTGCTCCGACCTCGGGTGTGACTTGCCACTGCGGCCACCGTAGATCCACCAAGAGCTGCCACTTGGCTGATCTCACTTGCTGGTGTCTCGGCGGGCTCCAAGATAGGTTCAGGGACCTCAGCAGCTTGATCAGCGACATCCGGGGCCTCTGCCTCCGTCATGTGCACAGCAGACATTGGTGTACTCAGTCGCTTGTTCGCGGTGGTCTCCATACCCGGGGTTCTCGCAGGTGACGTGCCGGTAGAAGGAGGGTCTAAGCTTCTCCTATAGCCTGGTTCAAAGTCGGTAGACGCAGCCGCTTCGCCACTCACGTTCCTGCTGTGACCTGGAGATGGTTTGCGTGGGATGCGAGACTGCCCTTGAAGACCAGACGCAGGTCGGGAACCTGTTGGAGCCGCCGACGAAGGCTCCTCTGCGATAGGTGGCACTTGTTCGTCTATCCTCTGCTGGCGTCCAAATTGTCCTGCCGCACCGGATGGTACTCTGCTCATGATGGGGCTGATGCCAGCAGTGGAATTGGTGTCGCTTCGACTCACGCCGCTGCTACCAGGGCCTGACTGAGAGCTGTCTCGAGAGGGAGTGCTGTTGTCACTGCGGTCGAAGGCTTGGTGTACTGCCGAACGAAATCCCTGTGAAGGCTGGTGCTGTAGTCCCGTTGAAACGTCGTCGGTTGGAGCATCTTGCTGGCCTGAAAAGCCATTGCCTGTTGCAGCTTTAGAGGTAGTTGGTGTGTTTTGGATAGAGCTGAATGTCGTCTGAGAGCTGCTGCCTCCTGCCGTATTCACGACTGGCCTGTTGACAACGCCAGGCGTAGATTCGGAAGAAGTGGGGTCTGAGTTGGTAGGCCGCTTTCCAGACAGAAAGAAGTCGTCGCCAAAGCCGGAGACTCTCGATAGTTGAGGAAGCGTAGGACTGGGTTCTTTCGGAATGCTTGACTTTGCAGGTGGTGGAGCCATTGCCGTCTGAAGGCTGGGCAGCTGGCTTCTGGTAGAGGGGCTGCCGACTCTGTCTGGCGGCGCATTGCCAGCTCTGGCGTCGGTCTTTGGCACTTCGTCATCCATGAACAGTCTTGATTCTCGACTCTCCTGGACCGGCTCCAGACCAAGCTTCTGTGGCGACGATTCCCTCTGCAAGGATTCCATTGATGGTCTGCCACCTTCCTCAGACTGTCTCCTAATCTCATCAGGTATCCTCCTATAGATATCGCTCGGTCTGATAAAGGGCAGAGGCTTGTCGGTGTTTGCAGATGACAAGTCGGCCGCAATAGCCCTCGCTTCGTCTGCTTGCGCTTTCGATGCGACCTCGCTGCCCGACAAGCTACTCTTCCGCGGTGGGAACCATGTCGGTGGAGGAGGGGTTGCTTTGGTCATTAGAGGCGGCGGGACCTGCTCCGGGTTGGTAAAGTCGCGTGGCCTGCTGGTGCTGCGTGGAAAGTCATTGCTGCCCCGGCCTCCACTTGTTGCGCTGCCGGGCCCTGCCGACCGTCGCTCGTCATAAGCTGGGAATGATGAAGTGGCCGCTGGGGCGCTGAACTGTCGGGTGTCGTCGCCTCTATCAAAACTGCTCTTTCTGCCACGCGGTGCACCTGACGGGACTTGTGACGGCAACGGTGGCGGTGCCTCCTCTTCTGGACCGCCGTACTCATCATACGGATCGTAGCCACCCCAGTCGTCGCCGTCGTAGTTGTAGCTGGGAGCCTTATTCCATTTCTGCGTGCGATGGCGACCCGGCACCGTCTTGAAAGAGAGGGGGGCATTAGGAGAGATGGGCGTCTGGTTGCGCGACATGGTGGGCGAATGCTGCCAGAGCGCTCGCTTCGAAGGGTGGTTATAACGACGGGATCATGGTCGGGCTGCGGCGGCGAATGGAGTGGTGTGGTGTACAGCAGGTGGTGAGGCGCAGACGGCGTGGTGAGGAGGCGAACGCCAGCAGCAGCCCGTGGTCGACGAGGGGTTTCACGTGCGAACAGCCTTTGACGATGAATCGGCGGGCAGAGTCAATGCTGAGTCGCGGAGGGAATTAAGGATTAAGGTGGTATGTAGCAGCAGCAAGCTGGGCGTTGGTGACGGTGAGCCCGTTCCCAGTTGGCGTTTGGTCTTGTCCAGCATCCAACGCCAGCATCCCCGTCTGAGCCTCAATCCTGGTCAGTGGCCAATCACGTCAAGTGCCGCGTCTCCACTTGACGTGTCGATTGAACTGCAGGTGAATGCCTCTTCGATATATTGATTAGACCAGTCGCGACGCATTGATGGACGATTAACTGTAATAAAGTATCTCTTCCCCCTCAGCCTCATTGCTGCGTGTCCAAGGTGCTGTCTGCTTCTTTGCTTTGTCCCTTGTCATCAACATCCGGCTTGGCACCACGTGCAACCTTCTGGAACCCTTCCGCCCCTGCCACTTGGACAACTTCCACTTGCACTCTTCGACTTCGCCCTCCGCTGAACATTCACCCACGACACCCACCTTTCCACCACTCAACGCACTCTTCCGGTTTCGCATATTGCCGCCAGCATACTGCGATCAGTTTAACCACATCCAGAACCCGACAAAGGCATCCCTGGCCGCCTGGCCGCCTCCTACCGGCCACCCTTACGATCTGGACACTTTTCCCATAGATTTCGCACACATTCATGTCGGCTCTCACCATGGCCTCCCACGCCTCTATCCAAGATCGCACTCCCGAATTCCACAGCATCCTCGCCCAAGCACAAAAGTCCCTCGCTCGCCAACGTAAAGCCGGCGCGCCGCAGTCCCAGCCCTTGCTACCGCAGCAGAACGGCACCGCGACACCACCAACTCGAAAACAGAGAAGCGAGTTTGCGCGCAATGCAGCTGCCATCGGACGAGGAATCGCCGCTACTATGGGCAAGCTGCAGAGACTCGCCGAGCTTGCCAAGAGAAAGACGCTTTTCGACGATAGGCCCGTGGAAATCGCAGAATTGACCTATGTGATCAAGCAAGATTTGGCAGGACTGAATCAGCAAATCGGCGCACTGCAACAACTCCAGCGACAGACAAACCAAGGCGCTAAAGGTCCAGATCAGGAGGGTGAACACAACAAGAACGTGGTGGTGCTTCTGCAAGGAAGACTGGCGGATGTGAGCATAAACTTCAAAGAGGTGCTCGAAGTTAGGACCAAGAACATCCAAGCCAGCAGATCGCGACAGGACAACTTCGTAAGCAGCGTGAGCCATCAAAGCCAGGCCGCTGCGCCGCATTTAGATCCTGGCAGGACAGATTCGCCCTTGTACAGCACACCGCAACGGGGACCAAGCCCGAAACCTGGACAGATGTCATCGCAACAAGATGTGCTCTCGCTCGAACCTTCATCCGGCAGCTCAGGCGCGCTTTACCAGAATGGAGGAGGTGCCGTGTCGCAACAGCAACTGCAGATCATGGAAGAGGGCGCTTCATCGAATTCATACATCCAACAGCGAGGCGAAGCGATAGAAGCGATCGAAAGGACTATCAACGAACTGGGCGGCATCTTCGGCCAACTGGCACAGATGGTCTCCGAACAGTCAGAACAAATCCAGCGAATCGATGCCAATACCAACGACGTCGTGGACAACGTCGAAGGTGCACAAAGACAGCTTATGAAGTACTGGTCTCGAGTGCAAGGCAATCGATGGTTGATTGCAAAGTTGTTCGGCGTGTTGATGATTTTCTTCCTGCTGTGGGTGCTGATCGCTGGATGATCAAAAAAACCATCCATCTCCCAAATTATGGCATAGCGCAGGCGTTTTGGCATCTTGGACAACTGGAGCGTAAAGAGAGGATACACCGGCCCGATGACCGTCAGCGAGCTTCCTAGCATTGGCGCCAACCCTTGGGATGCACGAAAGAGGACGCTGGATAGGCGACTTGGTGTCTGTACAGATACGTGTTTTTAATTACCTGTCTATACTAATAGCTGTCATTCATTTTCGATGTACAGAGCGCTGCGCGTCTTGGATCAACAGCCCCTTTCCTCTTTCTCTACTTCCATCTCCCAATAAGAACAACACGACCACATTCGGCAGAGCCCATAGCTCACCCAACGAACGCGTAGAGCTCAATGGCAAAGTCCTTCTTGCCCGCTAACACCACGTGCAGGACAATCAGAGAATGCCACATGACGTTCAATGTCTTCACGAGCAAGTCTCTGTGATATTCAGCAGAAGTAAGTGCCTGGCGGCGGATACCACGCGGTCATATGAATTGCACGAGTGAGCGGATAAAAAGGTCTCTCCTCTTCAAGACCGCATTCGCTCTCTTTCTTAACACTGACACGACACCATCACTATTCCAACTCCGAGCGAGCCATCATCCAAACCTCGCTGAGGGATATCAAGAACATACTCTACCTGCATCGCCTGCCGACACCCCTCCACCACCACAACCCCAACAACAACACGCCCACCGCAAATACCCCCCCCCACAGAAAAAGCTCATCCTACTCACCATCCTCACCCTCCTCCTCTCTCCCTTCACCCGCACCTCCGCCTGGGAAATCGACTTCTTCTCCTCCACCACCTGCTCCGACTCCGACGCCTACAACCAATCCTCGCACTGGGGCACCGGCACCCCCTCCGCGGGGTGGTGTCTCTAGCCAGGAGAACCCACTGGCGAAGGAGGCGAGGATGGGAGTTGTGCTTGGGTACGTTCCACGCCCCACATGATAGCATGATCATGGCCAGTGGGAGGGCGGTTGTTGCTGACGTTGGGATATGTATAGTTCACCGACTCCTCCACCACCATCGAAGAATGCACGACACCCACGCGTCCCTGGCCGGGGAGCTACCGCTTCCGGGCGGGAGGAGACTGTTGTGTGGGCGTCAGCGATCGGGGGTGTGATGTACGTTTTTTGAATTTTCGCCTTCCCCAAACCCTACTATACACGACTTCTGTGGCTGACGATAGGGTGTGTTTGCATAGAGCGTGAGCTGCTACGGACAGGAGGGCGCGGAGAAGTGTCTTTTGACGGGGGATTTGCCGAGGGTTGGGGATGATGGTGTTGGTGGTGAGTTTTGGTCGTCATGAGGGAGGGGTTTTGAGAGGTTGGAGTTTGCTGACGGGGTTTGTAGAGTTGAGGATTGTGTTTCAGTGTTATGATCATACGGATTAGGTGATTCGGGATAGAGGACGACTTCGACTCCGGGCACATGGTTTGCTTTGACGACTAAATGGTAGATTTCGGGCTTTGGAGGAGGAGCGGTCAGTGAGCTGTAGCGGGATCAGGGGAACTGACACTGCCTGTCATTGAGGTTACGTTGTGTTCTTCCCGCTCTTCACACTTTTCACATCCTACACTCGAGATCATGTGAGGTTGTCATACCCCAACTCCGGGCAAGATAGCAACTTGTGGCACGCTCAGCAGGAATTCGCGCTCTGGCTTCATCGCTCACGCACCAGAAGCAGCAAAGACAGCGCCAGCCACGACTTCTCTCCAACAGCGCATGATCTCGTCCGCTGACCTTCAATATCGTGCTAGACACCCTTCCCTTGACTCTATCCTCTGCAGCACAGCCCCGAAATCCAGACCAGTCACTGACATCGTGCTGTAATCTAGTGAAGATCAAGGCTGCCAAGCCACACAACAATAGATGACTAGCTCCAATCCACGATCCAAAGCACCGGAACCTTTTTTCCTTCGTGCCAAAAAGCGCCATATAAAATCCACCTCAACTTCACACTTCTTCCCATCTCACAGAATTTCCAACAGCATCAGCCTGTGCGAAGGGTAATAGCGATGGCGAAAAAACCAAACTTCCTGGCAAAGAGATCCGGAAGCGACATGCCAACTCCTACGAGGCTGTCAGGTACGTTCCGCGCTGGCCCCTTTACGCTTGCCGACAAAAAAGAAAAAATTATCCTGCCATCATCAGACAAAGATCATCCGCAACCAGCGAGCAGTTACTAACAACATCATCAGAAAATCGTCCACCGTCTGCACCACAAACCCCAGCGCCTTCCACCGCCGAAATCTCCCACCTCACAAATGCCTTCTCAGCAACCATGTCCCTCCCCCGCCAAGACTCCTTCTTCAAAATCGCCATCCCAGACTGCGGACCCCAGGGCGTTCCTCCCTCCCCCGATGGCCATGTATACGACATCAAAGAACTCGCGCAGCCGATCGAAACCACAACCTTCACTGTCGATGCCACCTCGGACATCGCCAAGACCTGGCTGGCGTGGTTGAAGAACCTGGGCGATGAGAACGCGGCGTGGGTGCGGGAGTTGGCGATTACCGTGCGAGGTGGTGTGGAGGTGAGGGTGAGGATCTCGCCGCCGTTGATCAGGCGCGAAGTGAGCAGGGCGAAAGTTGAAGTCAGTGGCGATGTCCAGAATCAGGAGAGACTGCACGGGGATCTTGTGAAGTGGCTCAACAGGGCGGTCGAGGATGTGAGGGAGAAGCGGCTGCTGTTGCATGGTGGAGGGGAGTTTTCGAGGAAGGAGATTCATAAGATTGCGAAGGTGGCGTTTCGGGTGCCGGCGGTTTGTCATGAGTTGACAATGCGATATGAGCGGGGAGAGGGGCTTGGGAGTGGTGGGGAGGGTGAGAAGAATGAGGAGTCGGCGATTGAGGATTCGGATGAGGAGATGGATTTGGGTGGGCTTATTAGCGCTTGTGGTGGTGGTGGGCAGAAGGAGAAGGTTGAGAAGAAGAAGAAGAAGCCTAAGAGTTTGGCTCAGGTCAAAAAGGAGGCGTTCATCAACGACGATTTGGCCTTCCGAGAACACGCCAGGTCCTGCTCTACCTGCGAGTGCAAATGGGTCGATTCCCTCGACGGCGTCTCAGAGGTCTACGCCCACAGAGTCGCCAGGAGCGGCGGCAGGATGAACCTCGTCTTCGCAAAATGCGGCACAACCATCGACGTGTCTTGCACCACCATCGCCAAAGCCACCACCACGGCCGCCAAAGAGACCCTCCCCTCCAACACACGCCCGCAATGAGACACCACCCACCCTCAATACATCGCATACCCCCCACTGGCACTCAAACACTGCCCCGTCACCCAACTACTCCTCCCCTCGGCCAAAAACGCCACAATCTCCGCAATCTCCTCCGCCCTCCCGACCTTCTTCTCCACGGGCGTCGCCGTCTTCTGCGGCTCCACAATCTCGGGACTCACCTGGTCCAGCATCTCACTCTGCACCGGCCCAGGATTCACCGCATTCACCGTCGTCCCATCCCCGCCCAGCTCCGCCGCCCAGCTGCGCGTATACCCCTCCAGCGCCGCCTTCGACGCCGCGTACGTCCCGATGCCCGGGAAGCCCTGCCGCGCCGCGACGGACGAGATGTTGATGATGCGCCCCGGCCGTCGGAGGTGCGGCAGCGTGGCCTGCAGCATGAGCAGCGGTGCGCGAACGTTCACGCAGAAGACCTCCTCGAAGTGCGACGGCGTCACGTCCTCTACTTTCTTATCGCTGATCCCGGCAGCATTATTCACCAGGATATCGATCTGGGGCCCGAACGCCGCGAGCGTCTCGGAGACGATATGCTGCGGCGCGGAGGTGTCGAGGAGGTTGCATTGGATGCCTATCGCTTTGCTGTTCGCGGAGGATTCGATTCTGGAGATGAGGTTGTTTGCGCCTTCCTTGGAGCGGTCGCTGGAGTAGGTTATGGCGATTTTGGCCCCGCGCGAGGCGAGGTCGTAGGCGATGGCGGTGCCGATGCCGCGGGAGGCGCCTGTTACTATGGCGCTGGGAGGGTGTGTTAGTTGGAGCTATTATGGGGGATGCGGAGGGATTGGGAAGGACGAACACTTTGCCTTCGAGGGTTTGTGGGGGGAGGGTGAAGGATGTCATTGTTGAAGGAGGGGAGACTGTCGTCTGGCTCTGTTCGATGAATGAAAGTAGTGTTTCTCAATGGCCAGGATTCAATTGAACATAGGATGTTTGTTGAAGTCGAGTTGGATCTATAATTTATATGCACCTGCACCTTCCCGTCCCAAGCAAACATCGCCGCTTGACGTCACCTCAATCAACTCGCATGCCTTCCCAGTCGCCAGTCCACCTCACATACGCAACTTCCACCTCAACAACCCTCTCTCCCACACGCAGCGTCAGCTCCGGTCATACAGAGGAACCAGACCCAGCCTTCATCACTCTCAGCCTTATCCCTTCTCGATGCAGCTAGCTTATACGACCTAACCCCTGCAGCGAAAAGACATCCACTGCGCTGGGCGTCAGCGAGTTCTGCAGTACCACCGTTGTTGGGGTGTGTTGTTTGGATGGGGGTTTGGATGGATGGGTGGAGTTGGAGGGTGGTTTGGGTGCGGCTGATTTGGTACGGCGCAACGCTGATGATATGGTACTTTGCGTTGTCACTCGAAAGCCTGTCCTCCTCGACCTCTCAATCTGCACAATATTCTGACGCAAACATCATGAATTCTTCCGTGCATTGTTGTCTTTGTCGTGGACCTTCACAACTGCTCAGAGGTCTTCCATGAGTAGTTCTCGATCAGCTTACTTTCCGCCAATGTTACTAGGATCATTCGCCTGTAAACTCGCAGGTTGGTTCTCTAAGGCGTTGAGTTGGGCTTGGGCTTGGGTGTTGCCCCTCTTATTGTAGGAGATGTTGGATCTTCAAGCTTGTATCACTCTTTCATGCCCTTTCTTGTTTTCGAATGGGTGCACAGCTCGAGTTGTACCATGGGAGAGTGCCGTGGTATACGCCCTTATGAGATTATGACGGTCGAGCCTTTGTGGTGGTGGCAGTGATTGCACAGGTGTACGCCAAGCGGTCCGGGTCAAGATCTAGACCTAGAAGTGTGATGTTCCCCGAACTCGGTACTTGCAACTAGGGCTCTGGACGTTGTTGTTTTAGACGATTAGAGGTTATTATTTGCGTCAAACGGCAGCCGGGAACGATCTTGCCCCCATCGTGAAGCGCACATGCAGTCTGACCTACAGCTTCGACGGCCTCGGATTTGGTACATGTACTTCCTCCAAAGCCTTCCCTGCAATGTCGAACGGCACACATGGGATGGTGCACGCAACGAATCGAGCGGGTTTATCTTTCGAAGGGTTCGACCATCGATGCATCGTTCCTCGTTGTATAATGTGATCCTATCGAGGGTTGTCAGTCGTTTGAGAATATGGTAGTGTGCCTTCCGACCTACACCAGGAAATAATCGAACTTTCTCCCCAGAGTCCAGTTCGTGATCTATCTCCCCGATAACACAAATCGAGAAATCGATAGACACAGTCCGGTGCATCATACTAACACCACCAGGCTCCAGATCTACAACAACGAGATTGGCTCCAGGTTTGACGACAATGGCCCTTTCCTTGTAACTTGCCACCCCTTCCTCTGCTCGGTAGGCTTTAATGTCGGCGTCGTCTTTCAGATTGGCCGGGAACGAGTCAATGGCGTAGGAACGGGACATACCGCCTACGTCAGGCACGGCATTGAAGACCTGCTCTGGTGATTCGGTATAGACGCTTTTGCCGCTGCTATCGTGGGTAGCGATGTATCGTTTGTTCGGCCGGAGTCCCTTTGCCGCAGAGCCGATACTTTGAGACATGGTTCTTGGGTGCAGAAAATGCGTGACGGTTATTTAGAGTTAGCAGTATCGTACGACCGAGTGAGGCTCAAGATGACTTTGCAATCGGAAGATGTGGTTGGAAAGGTACGAGATGTCGTCTTCTCATCCTTACCTTGATCTTGTAACGACAGGATAGCCGGCCAGAGGCGGGGTTGAGCGCTGTTCATCAGTTCGGTCTTGCCTCGCAATGTGAGGGTCACCCTCGTCGCTCGCTATCGTATCTGGTGCTTTGCTGGTTGTCAGAATTCATGATTCTTTTCAACACCGTTTCACCCACCGTCGTGATGTCCTTTACGAGCGTGCCAACGACGAGAGAAGATTCATCCGAGGATAACGATCTGCACGCGCTAGCAAAACGGTAAATCTACCGACACGGACCGCCGACCGGCCTGACTTGGTTATGCTTTTATGCGGTTATGCAGTCGCCCACAGAGTGAAGTAGATACGTCTTCCCTGCCATGTCGTCCGCGAGCCCAACTCCATTCGACGGGAGCCGAGTGGACGCTGCAGGCCCATGGCATGATCCGACGCGACAGAGGATTTTGGGTGTTGACTCGGGCAAAAGGCCTAGATCTCACGCGTGGCTGGCATCTTCGCTCGCTTCCGGACTTTGCTCGCTTTCCATCACTCAGTAACCCTGTCTGCCAATCCACCAGACCCCGCGGGGCGGTGATGAGTGCATGAACCTGGGGGTCTCCACTTCAAGGACGTCCTCTCATCAACGCTGATCAAATCTTGCCGTGCTTTCTGGAGACACTTCACATCTCACTTGCATTCAAGAAAGACGACTCTCGAACCAATGCGACGGAACAGCGAGACGATGAGTAACTGCCGTATCGAGCGGAAGCGAGCTCACGACAGAGAAGCCCAGCGTGCAAGTCGAGCGAAGACGAAGGCGTATATCGCTCACCTGGAAAAGGTCGTCGCAGATTTGAGCGACAGCGCCGGAGACAATCGAGCAAACTACCTGGCCCAGCATGCCTCAAAGCAAGCACAAGAAATTGACAATCTCCAAGGCCTCGTGGGCAAGATACGCACTCTCGTGCATGACCATGCAAAGTCGGAGCAGAGCTCATCGCCTCAGACGGAAGCCGCCAAGCTGAAGTTTGAGGGTTCGACCGCAGAGTCCGTGTTTGAAGAGGGCGAATCTTCGCACAATACGGAATCCTTTACCGCTGGCATCAACTGGGAGGACTCGCCTAGTGAGGACCAGGACGTCACAGAAGTAGCCAAGCCTGCGGAAACGGAAGCTCCCAAACCCAAGGCCCGCGCAATGTCAGCAACTCGCAATCTGATTGTCATGGGCATCAATCTACTATGTCAGGATAGCGACGAGTGCACCTACTTCTCTCGTCTCAATCAGGCAATCATCAAGGTCGAGAAGACTCCCGATCATCTATCGACTCTGGAAGAAGATCAAGATATCCTCATTCGTGCTATTCTGCATGGCTGGGATGCCGCAGAGCGAGTACATCACTTCGACATTGTCTGGCGATTTTTACGAGCGTTCGATGAGGGTTTATGGTATCGTGCCGCACCTTTGGAGAGAGCTGCGCATTTCTGGCAAATGCGTTGTACAATGCTGCACAAAATCAAGCCCAAGAATCAAGAAAAGCGCTCAGCTCCAGCGTTCATGGCTCCAACGGTCGGACAGCAGACCGTTACCAAGTACCCTGCGGTTGTCGATTACTTTGGCTGGCCGCAAGTTCGAAACCATTTGCTCAAGCAAGGCATCAAGAACTGTCCCGGAAAATGTTCTGTGGCATTTGCAGAAAGCTTCCGCTTCGTCTGGCCGTACGAACTCCGCGATGTGTACAAAGTCAAACGATCGACAGGCATGTATTCATTCTCAGAAGACTTTCTCAGGAGCTGGAACGACTTGTCGTGCTACCGCATGCTACAGAATAACCTGATCCCGTACTACGTCCACCCGAGCCTTGCACAGGCGATACCTCAGCCCAAGTTTGATTCTACATTCAGCTGTGATGACAGCGACGATTCCTCCGACGAAGAGGTCCTGACGACCACGGCGGCGTCTGCTGGTTTCCCGGCTCTGGACGCTCTGATGCATGATCAATCTGTACCGGACTGGATCACCTCGTTCAACATGGAAATCTCTGGCGACGCCTCACAATACTTCGCCGACCCTTTTTCGATCGCTCACGAGACAAATCTCGCACAGTGGCCCGGCCTTTGAGCATGATTATCACCCCTCAATGCAGCATGCTTCCATCGCGGACTACATCAGCCGTTCAGGTTCCATGCCACCGGCTTCATCCGGATGAAGATGCATTGAGATACATCCTCATCACCCGACGTCCGCCCACGAAACCCCTCGATGGCCTGATCCCAGACGTCAGGATGCGTTTCTGGGCGTCTTGTTTGTTGCTGAAGTCGATTTATGGGTGAGATTGACTTCAGGGCCGGATTGAACAGGCAAGACCTTGCTGGGAAATGCGGCAAACACGGCAATTCGAGGACAGCGACATGTGATGCTTGTACGGGGACGGCGAGCAAAAAACTGTGCCGTGCGATTGCAGCAACATCACTTCCTGCGAAAACACCACCATGAAACATCGCAAAATGAGCAGAATTGCCTCAGGCACTGGTATCATTCCCACGTGACGATTGGGAATAAACTCCACGGGAACAACCCTCAAGGCCTCCCAAGAATCCCTGCACCTGCATGGTCAATATGAGATTTATCAACTCCGCCGAGATGGGTCGTTCAAAGTCCGATGAGAAGTTGTGCTTCTTGACGAACAAGCTGACCAAGAAGTGCGAGAACCCCACCAGATTGCTTGGAGAGACCGCCACCTAGCTATCACCCCGCATCGTGTAACAGACCGAGGATGAAGGCGGTCCATGGGGATGCGGTCCTTTGACATTGTCGTCGTTAGGGCCGTGTCAGGGCAGAAACATGGAGGAGTACGAGGATTGAACGAATTTATGATTATCTGCTATATTTCATTCACTCACATCTTTTGATCTCCATCAAGATTCCCTCCCTTTTTTGTACATCTCTTTCAATATACATATTGCCCAGCAATACCGCCAATCATGGCAGAAACAACCCCCGTCCCCAACACATGCAAAGCCGGCGTCGTCGTCAACGAAGGCCCCAACTTCCACCTCGAAGTCCAAGACGTCCCCGTCCCAGAACCAGGTACCACACCCTCCTCCCATGAATACCCCCTCTCCCAAGCCACGACTAACTCACCCCCCCAGGCCCCGGCGAACTCCTCATCCAACTCGCACACACGGGCCTCTGCGGCTCCGACATCCACTTCATGCTCAGCGACCTCGGGATCTCCATGTCGACCTTCGCCGTGCGGTCCCCCGGCCACGAAGGCGCCGGGCGCGTCGCGAAACTCGGCCCTGGCGTCACCGGGTGGGCGGTGGGCGACCGCGCGGGCATCAAGCCGATTTGGGACGTTTGTCATAATTGCGAGCAGTGCTGGAGTGGCGAGGAGCAGTATTGTGTCAAGGCGGTGCATACGGGGCTGATGACGACGGGGAGTTATCAGGAGTTTTGTTTGAGGTGAGTTTTCAATACTTTTGATTTTCTTTCTGCTCGGTGGAGGGGAGGTGATGAGGGATGGGTATGGGATGGGGCCGAGGGTTGATGTGCGTGTGGACAGTGCGGCGATATACACATCCCGCATCCCAGACGGGGTATCCGACGAACAAGCCGGCCCGATCATGTGCTCCGCCTCAACAATGCACCGCGCCCTCAAAGACTCCAACCTCAAACCCGGGAACTGGATCGTATTCCCCGGCGGCGGAGGCGGCGTAGGAATCCAAGGCGTGCAGCTCGCCAAAGCGATGGGGATGCGACCAATCGTCGTCGACGGCGGTGAGGAGAAGAAGGCGTTGGCCTTGAGCGTAGGCGCGGAGGAGTTTGTGGATTTTAGAACAGAGGGAGATGTCGCGGCGAGCGTGAAGAAGATCGCGGATGGAATTGGCGCGCATGGAGTCCTGGTTACGGCGTGGCAGAGTTATAAGAGTAAGCCCTCCACCCAATTTCTTCGCCGCAGTCCACTGACCAACACCTCTTCCTCACCAGACGCCATCTCCTTCATCGGCGACCGGGTCGGCGGCAAAGTCATGTGCATCGGCCTGCCTCCCAATGACCAGAACGTCATCACGGGCGACTCGCCCACGCACATGGCCATGAAGAAGCTTTCGATCACGGGCACCATCGTGGGGACCATGCAGGACACGGCGGCGGCGTTGGATTATGCCCGGAGAGGGTTGTTGAAGCCGATCCACGAGGTTAGGGGCTTGGGGGCTTGGCCGGAGAGTGTGCAGCAGTTGAAGCGTGGGGAGGTTGTGGGGAGGGTTGTGATTGCTTTTGGGAAGGAGTAGGTGGATCCGAGGGGTTGGAAGTCTTGGGGCATGCATTCGCATCGCTCGCAGGCCGTGTAGCCACTTTGGAGTTCGTTGCGGAGCTTGGTCGCTTTTGAGAAACGGAAGACATCCCGTCTCGTACGGCGTGTTGCCTTCGTCGTGCTTCCAGTAGCCAGACAACAGATTGATCTAGATATTTTAGATTCGAGAGTAGTGCAAATGAAGCTGCGAAAGTGCATGCCGAGAATGTGGTGCATTCGATACTTTGGCTTTGAAGGCTGGAGAGGGCAGTCGACTTCGAGGCTTCGCACTGGTCGTCTTGGCTGGGAGCATTGATTCATTGCAGTGGCGAACATATTCATCCGGCCACGGTGGGTGAGCACTGTGTCGTATAGACTGTGTTCGGCGAAATCATCGAGCAGTTCGCAAGCCGTTTTCAAAGATGCCAGAGTACGTCGGCTGCATACAGTTCCAACAATTCGACGGGCAACCTGGTGAGAGAAGAAGGTTGGGGATAGTCATTGCATGACGATGTCTTTGAAATTTCGATGCGGCTTCAAGAAGATCTGGCAGCCGTTCGTGTATTTGTAGAGTTGCGTCGTGGTGCAGCTGGCGTACACTATTTTCTTCAGTCGTCTTCTGCCTCAATGCTCAGCCGTAGGTTGCAGCATCTGCCCGGTGGTATAGAGTGACTCCCCATCAGCACAGTCACTTCGATTTCCAGTCACTCTGCGACTCACTGCATGTTCCCAATGTCTCTGTGATGTCGGTCTATCCCTAACGTCCCTTTGCGCCATGCTCATGCGCACCTTATGGTCCATAATGTACAATCCTTTCCCGTCTCTTCATCTCTTCACCAGCTCGCCTTCTTAACACCTGGTATCCGCCCCGCCAACGCATTCATTCGAAATTGAAACTGTGCACTCATCAGCATTCACACTCTCCTCACACGAGACCCTCCCATCCCATATGCCCTCAGTAAACCTACCCTTGCCATCCTGAAATCCGCGAAAACACCCCTGCCCTTCCCACCCATTATACACCTATTCTTCGGCTGCGTCGATCGCGTATAACAATGCATCTGCGCGAGCTGTAATTGCGCCTGCGCCCGTGTTCGCTGCGGTAGGGAGGTATTGCGGATGATGTAGCGAAGGGCCTGTCGTTCGGGTTCGTGCTGCTCGAAGACTTTGCGCTTGGTGTGGTCGCGGATGATTTTGCTGTTGATGAAGCAGGATAGGTCGAGTTTCTTTGCGCGGAATTGGGCCATGATGATGGGTGGATGTCGTGAAGGGGAGGTGAGGTTTGGAGGGAGAAGGTCGAATGTGTGGAAATTGAGTTCGGGAGGAGAAGCCGAAGGCCGAGGATTTGCCGACTGGAACATCACTTGCTGGTAGCAAAGATCTTCCTCAGCCTGACTACTATTTCGCCTCAATTGTATCAAGGCTTCATCACCGAAGAGACGAACAATTTTATGAGAAGCTGTTCTACTACCACTTACAAACGGTATTACTTTGGAGCGTGGGTCATTCGGGCTCTCGCCACTATGCGCTCACGCCTTTCGTGGAAGGAGGATAGGTTCATACCGTTCTATCTAGATGTCCAACCCACTCTTCATCATCGCTGACTTATTTGACACCAGTACAGATGTAATAGCCCAAGTACAGCTTCGAGCAGTCGGAGCCCACATTCGGATTCCATTTCTCAATGTTCTTGGTGGTGGTGCCCTGGCTCTTGGCAATCGCATCGCAGGTATCACCAGACTTGACCTTGTAGAACTTGTCGCAGTTGTTCACCATGCCCTGCTCATAAGGAGTTGGCGTGGTGATACCGTTGCCAGGTGTGGTCTTGGTTGGGGTATAGTCGGTGGTGTCGACGCAGACGTAGTAGCCGGCCCATAGCGCATGGCAATCAGAGCCCACCGCAGGATTCCAAGAATAAAACTTCGCAAGAGGAATGTTGTTCGCCGTGGCAATGTTGGCACAAGTGTCCCCGGACTTGACCTCATCGAACTTGTTGCAGTTGCTCACCATGCCATCTTGGGTGGGAGTTGGCGTCGAGATGCCGTTACCAGGCTTGGTCGTGGTCTTCGTGGGAGGCGTGGTGGTTGCACCAGGGACGCCGACACAGACGTAGTAGCCTGCCAGAAGGTTCGCACAATCGGAGTCTGTCAATGCAATTAGTAACTGAATAGCAGAGCAAGAACATTATCGAAGAGCTGACATACTTATAAACGGGTTCCAGCTTTCAAATTGCGCAAAGCTGATGCCGTACTTCATATCGATGGCATCACAAGAATCACCCCCCTGGACGAGGTAGAAGTTGTTGCAGTTGGCTGCTAGTCCGGACTGCTGAGGTTGATGCTGTGCGGCCGTAGTCGTGGTCGTCATCTTCGGCGTCGTCTTCGTCGGGGTGGTGGTCGTCGAGGTTGTGGTTGGCCCTGTGGGAGTGCCTGTCTCGACCGTGCCGATAACACAATAACTCTGGCCACCAACGAGTGTGGGACAGTCAACGCCGGAATTTAGCGATTCAAATTGTGCAACAGTCAAGCCCCACTCGGCCGAAAAATTGTCACAAGTGTCGCCATCGTCAGCCGAGCTTTCGAAGCTGCAGCTGACATAGTCGAATTTATGGAATCGAGGGGGAACGTAGGTGGAGTTGGCAGTGATCGTGACCTCTGAATCCGAAGAGGAGGAAGTATGCGAATGAGGAATATGGCTTGAGGAGGTGAAGGTGGTGTGAGGGATGACGGGCGACGGGCGATGAGGAGTCTCGATCGAAGGTCTGTGAGGTAACTCCGAAGAGGGAATGGAGAAGCTTCCAACCGAAGGGACCGCTGGACGAGTAGTGTTCAAGAAACGAGCTGAGGTAATTTGCAACAGCAACGCAACGGCAGAGAAGGTACTTTTGGAGGCCATGATGGACGAGGGGTCTTGAAGGTGTAAGAAGCTGGTGAGTATGAACCGCTATTCAGTGGGCATCAATCTTATACCCATCTAGTTGCCAAGCCTCGTGGCCAACACACTTTGCACAAATGCTGGTGATCTGCTTCAGCAGAACACCTTGCGTCCACTCTTGGTGAATACCTCAGAACGAACGATTACCACCTTCGCTTCGAGCATGAGCGAGACTCGCTATGGGTTGTGGGACCAACTGTTGTCCCTGCAGAGCCATCTCTCGCTAAACCTCGCGAACTCTCCTGAATCGACAAGAAAACGAATGCGCGGGACGTTACATGCATCGCCCAGCAATGTTGCACCGAGCTGAGATGCACAAGCCCTACGGCTACCACGCAGAAAACGAGCCCTCGCAAGACCCATAGGTTCAGGGCGTAGCGTGTGGGCACTACGACGATCTCTCTGATCAAGCCTTGCACGTGTCGTTGCACCCTGCAGCCGTTGGATCTCAAGCCACAACAACATTCCGCCGTCTTTGAAGGAATGCTGAAGTGCGATGAAGCATCGCCAAGTGGTGTAGGTAAGCTTCATGCCGTTCATTGACTTTCGGTCTATTACAAAGTCATGCGGCACAGCCCGGCGTGGACCCTGCCCTGGACTTGCAGTAGTGCGGCTGGCGGTTGGAACTATGTGTTGGATTGGTTCTGCAGTAATTACAGCGCTAACGCAGAAACGCAGAGCCCCGGTGAGCTAGGAATTCCAACTCCTTTTCCTCGGCGGCATTTTCCAACATACTCCTCGCACTCGATTCAAGACTCTGTTGCATACTACCGGCACCGCTGTAGTACTACCTTCAGAATGGGATCACTGGCTTACCTCGCGCTCGCTGCGACCCTCGCATCACCACTTGCCCGAGCGGCAGCAAGTCCTGGAACTTTTGAAATTGATCTGATATTTCCGAAGAATGACACCTACGCCCCCGTGCAACTCATGCCTGTCATCTTCGCGCTGAAGAATCCGGCCTTGGCATCGCCACTCGACGTCCACATCCGCTGGCTGTTCAATCAGCGCGGCAACATCAATTCTCCTGGATCATGGTCGCACGACATCGATCTTCGCCACTTGAATGCTTCAACCAGCGATCCTTATCTTTCAATTTCCTCGATTCCCTCACTGTCTGGCATCGAGGGCGCATGGGCGCTCACATGGATTCTTACTACCGGCAACTGCTCTGGATCCGAGATGGGGGTGACTTCTTTTGACAACCAAGACAATGTCATTATATTCACAACACGTAATACTTCGCAACCACCAGACCTCGAAGCCGCTACCTCACCCGCCACCTGTGACAAGAGCCCGGGCACTGCTTTCAACGTGACGGCAATCGAGGAAATTACCATCCCGCAAAACTTTGATGGTCAGTCATCATGCGCGGTTCTTGGAGCTTCGCCTACCACTCGGGATCCCTGCGCCGTCACCATCAACCCATCTGCTGCTTCGAGTATGACTGCCGCGATTTCAGCTTCGGCCTGCTCGGCTTCAGTCATCACATGTCCTCCCAGTCCGTCTTCCTCGGCCAAGTCGGACGCAGGCAGACCTTTGCCGCAAGATGCGGCTTGGCTATTCATTACACTAGCTGCTTTGACAAGATTTCTGTCTGGCTGGGCCAGCTGAAGAGCGACCAACTATGTCCAAATACAGTGTGCGACTACGGGAGTGGATACCACGTGCATGCATGCGTTTGGTCTTGAAAGGATGAGATTGTCAGCCTGTTTAGGCAACGACTTCATGCAGCTTAACGCGCATAAAGTAAAGGCTTTACACTTTGTCATCGCTCATCAGCTGCTACCCAAACTCTACCCATAGCGAGAAACTCTGGTTGGGCCCGAGGGCCGGGTGTCCACAATATCGCCCTCTTAAGCGCTCCTTTCGCGCGCCGTCAGGCCCTTTGACGCTCACAATGGGTCATAGGCGCTTATGTGCAGTTGCACGACACCCTTGTTGGTGCCTGGTTCCTGGCACGCCGCACTATGGTGAAGCTAAGCATTGGACGATGGAAGGCTTGAGTGAGCTTCTCTCAGCCCCATGACCGGAAGGCTGTGACCCAATCGATGAAGCACGCCGACGAAGGATCACTTCCGCATTTGGCAATTCTCAAATCAGGCTTTGCGCTCTCGCACAATACACCGAGCGGGAATCGCAGTTCTACCACGTTGGTATATTCGGTACTCGGCAAGTGTGCTTCTGCATGGAGTAGGCATATTCACCTGGTTTAGGGCCATACAAGCCTACTGCAGGACTTCTCATGCAGAGCGATGTTGTCCTTCCTCTTTAAGAGCCATCGGAAGGAAGGTGGTTTGTTAGCACCACGCTATTGTGCGACGGTGTCGTTTTCATGTCAGTATCCAACATCGCAGGGACTACCAGGAAATTCAGTAGCGTTATCCACTATATTGACCACAGGCCAAGGGCACAACGAATTCACGTCATAGCTGAATTAATTAGAAATCCTTCTCGCTCAGCGTGGAACCGATGAAGCACACCCTTTGGCCTGGACCGTGATGGCGCCGAGGGACTATGTACAGGTGACCAGCTTGAAATGTTTGGCTCCAAGACTGAGGGATGCTGCACTTCAGTGTATGGCAAATATGGACTTATTTGGCAAGTCTTGCGCAGTGCTCATGCGCTGTCCCAGAGTCTCCCTGAACAAACTTGAGCTACTGTGGCACCAGCCATCTTCTGGAAAGCTGAATTTGCCCTGTCATAAGGCGAAGCGAGGTGGAAGGGCGCATTTTCATAGTTCTGTACGCGGACCGCAATGCTCTAACGCTGCCTAACGAACACACGGCGGAAACTCAAATCGACTCATCCTGGCTGCCAATTCCCCCACCATCAAATCCACGTGTTGTAACGGGTTCGGTGTTGTGGTCGGGGAAGACATTGTTACTACGAAGCTACGAAGGCGAGGAGGATTCTTAGTATTGAAGCAACAAGAATATCCGGATCAGGCTGCGATCAACGCGATCTACAGTTACAGTGGGGGTTCATTTCTGCGAATGTCGTGCATACCAACAAGAAGAGACCCACATATTGTGTTGGGATGAGTCCCTGCGTGGTGTTGCTGGACGACTGGCGATGTATCCCCTGCTGCATGTGCCTCACCCTGCAGCCGCGCGAACGAAGCAACTTCCGAGGGGGGCCATGGCCAAAGAGGTTGGCAGGACGGTGACCATACCGTGACAGGCTCAAGCTGAGCGCCAGCTGAGGATTATCAAGTCTTTCCACTCATCAGTGGAGGGATCTCGCAGAGTGGCAGAGCATATAAGACATATACCATCCGTATCTCGGCTTTGCTAGGCATTTCTTTGCCCCTCAAAGTCGCTCATCTTTACATTGGCTGCCACTTTTGCTTCTGTGGAGGCATGGGGTCCAATTCAAACAATGCTATCCTAACGGCCGGGCTTCTTGCCCTGGCCTTGGCAGGTCAATCTGCCGCCGCTCGTGTGAGCACACCTAACTTGCGACTGGCAGTTGGCCCCAGCTACAAGAACCGTGTCGTTTGTCCAGCGGCCTGTTACCAGTCTGGAGCAGTCTCAGGAAACTGGTCACTCTATCACAACCTTGCTCAGATCGGTTCCTGCGACGAGCCAGTTTGGTATGACTTCACCCTGCTTGATCCCGTCGACGACCCAGATCAGCTCCACCGTATCTATGCCTGTACCAACTCTGGAAATGACTGGGCTCTTACCCAAGCCAACAAGACTGCCAGCCCTGGGTCTTCTGCCAACAAGACTACAGTCAGCTATGAGTATGGCTACTGGCCTGATGCGAATGGCACATCGGTCGCGGCTGGCTTGACCACTCTCTCCCAGCAATTGCAACAATACCTCGGTCAAGGCTTTGCTTCGTCCAACCGAACTACTCTTGCTTTTGCTTCCGCCGGCAGCGCCTCGTTGGGCTTGTACATCGGAAAGAATCTGGACAGCAAAGTCATCGGCACTTCTGCAATCTCCTACCTGTACAATGCTACCACATCAACGAGCTTCAACAACAGCGCTGCGCTGGCCATGCAGTACTGTGAAAAGAACCTTACTGCTGACAACATCTTCGGCTTGTTCGTCACTGGCAACAGCTCGTTCGCCGCCGTCCAGGAGGCTCTCTCTTCTTGGTCCAATGCAACTTGTTTGGAGATTCCAGAGACGAACAACTATACTGCTCCGATCGTGTTCGACACACCGATGATCCGTCCTACGAACGCTACCAGCAACTCGACGGGTAATGCAAACTCGACCATCAGTGCGAACTCGACCAGCAGTGCTACTATCGAGCGTCGAGGCGACTGCTCTACCGTTCAAGTCGTATCTGGGGACAGCTGTGGAAGCTTGGCCCAGAAGTGTGGCATCTCGGGCGCCGATTTCACCAAATACAATCCCGGCTCGAACTTCTGCGCCAACTTGAAGCCATATGAGCACGTCTGCTGTTCCGCCGGTACCTTGCCCAACTTCGCTCCCAAGCCCAACTCCGATGGTTCTTGCCACTCATACACCGTGGTGGCCAACGACAACTGTGCAAATCTTGGTGCCGAATATAGCCTCACCAATGACGATATCGAGTCATTCAACAAGGACACTTGGGCCTGGAACGGCTGCAACCTGCTCTTCGTTGGTACCGTCATTTGCTTAAGCAAAGGCACTCCACCTATGCCAGCAGCATTGTCCAACGCCGTTTGTGGGCCGCAAAAGCCGGGCACCAAGACTCCTCCTGCGGGAACGGACATCTCCAAGCTTAACCCTTGTCCCCTGAACGCTTGTTGCGACGTCTGGGGGCAATGTGGGGTCACGGACACTTTCTGTACTAATAGCTCGACGGGTGCTCCAGGCACAGCCAAGCCTGGGACCAACGGCTGCATCTCCAACTGCGGTACCAACATCGTGCGCAGCAGCCCGCCATCGGAGTATCGTAACATCGCCTTCTTTGAGGGATACAACTTGGGAAGATCTTGCCTCTACCAGGACGCTTCCCAGATCGACACATCGTTCTACTCCCATGTCTTCTACTCCTTCGGTGTCCTCGATACGAGCTACAACGTTCAGCTAGGAGACACTGAGAGTGCCTTCGAATTCAAGCGATTCCAGGACATCAGTGGAGCGAAGAAGGTTCTGTCTATTGGTGGTATGTGATGGCTGTGGCAGGACTGACCTTGAGAGTATGGAGACTGACGCTTGGCAGGATGGGCTTTCTCCACCGATCCAAGCACTTACATGATTTTCCGCAACGGTGTCACAGCAGGAAACCGCCAGACAATGGCTAATAACATTGCCAGCTTCGTCAAGTCGAACGGCCTCGACGGCATCAACATTGATTGGGAATATCCTGGAGTAAGTTCCCCGCTCAATATCTCATGGCCAAGACACTGACCCACTGCTCCTCCTCCTACAGGCACCTGATATTCCCGGAATCCCCGCCGCTAGCACCGATGATGGCGACAACTACTTGCAATTTTTGAAGGCTTTGAGAACTCTGCTTCCTGACTCAGAGCTCTCCGTCGCAGCGCCCGCGTCGTACTGGTACCTGAAAGGATTCCCGATCAAGGAGATGAGCGAAGTACTCGACTACGTTATTTACATGACGTACGATTTGCATGGTCAGGTAAGTGGTTCACCATCTCCTAAGTTCGCTGTGCGTTGGCTGGAAAATCTCTCTGCCGAGTGCCAAGCCTGTCTTTCCCAAATAGGAAGGAGCCGCTTCTTGCTACATTTCACCACCCATGCTTCATGAATGCTGATTACTCTTTCCTCAACATAGTGGGATGCGAACAACCAGTGGTCACAAGAAGGATGCCCCTCAGGCTCTTGTCTGCGTAGCGATGTCAATCTCACTGAAACCATCGGTTCTTTGGTCATGGTGACCAAGGCAGGTGTTCCATCGAACAAGGTCATCGTTGGAGTCACTAGCTATGGCAGATCATTCGCCATGAGTGAGGCTGGATGCTATGGTCCGCAGTGCACGTATCTCGGAAGTGCAGGCGCATCACAGGCAACCCCTGGAGAGTGCACCAACACCGCCGGATACATCTCCAACGCCGAGATCAATGCCATTGTTGCCAACTCCAGTCGTGTACAACAGCACTTCGTCGATACGTCAAGCCACAGCAACATCCTTGTCTACGACAATACTCAGTGGGTGGGATACATGGACGACGATGTCAAAGCCAGCCGCACGAATACCTACAAGGGACTTGCCATGGGCGGTGTTACGGACTGGGCTTCGGATCTGCAGAAGTACAATGAACCCCCAGCGCGTTCGAAGTCCTGGACCATGTTCTTGGCACGTGTCAAAGCAGGTCAAGATCCTTCAGACATTGGCGGCCGGAACGGCAATTGGACCAAGATCTCTTGTAAGTTAAGATCAGGGGATGAAGATTCTATCCCTGGTACAAATGACTGACCCTTGCTCTCAGGTGAATCTCCACTAATCACCGACGAGAGGCACTACTCCAGCCAGGTAAGATACTCGGCTCGTCAACGTCAGATGGCATGAACATGGCTAACAGTGTTGATCTAAGGATCGTTGGAATGACTTGGATTGTGTTGATGCCTGGAGTGACGGGCTCAACGCATGGAAGTACGACCAGGCCAACGACAAATACGACTTCAGTCAATCCATGGCAGACACATATAACGTTCCAGCCGGCGAATGCGGTCAAATTGCATCAAGCCAATGCAACTTACAGGAGTGTAATCAAGACGATGGGAGTGGGCCTGGTGGTGTTGAGATTTGGAATTCGTTCGTTTACATCAACACAGTAAGCTCCCCCTTTCCCTCGCACTGTCGTGTATTCCAGTCGACTCAGACAACGACCCTTGCGGTGGTCAATGTCCTAATCGGGGAGACGATGGAATGATATATAAGTACTAATAAAGTTGGCTTAGATGTACTCCAACTACTGGAAGGCGCTGGACGGCGCTGCGGGGACAACATTCTCTGCCTCCCTTCCAAGCTTCGAGACAACATTTGCACCAGTTCCACCGCCGAAGGAAACACCTCTGTGGGAAGAAATCTTGATTGCTATTGTCACTCTAGGCGCCTCCCTCATTGCCGCGCCGTTCTTCAACTCAAGTAGGTCACGAGTCGAAATCTGGCGTTGATTTGCGGCCATATGACTTGTATCTTGACTGACGCTGCTTCAGTATTCAAAACCTTACCAGCGTTTGTTGGCAACGGCAACACTCTGGGTGTATTCAAAGATACCACTAGTGCGCTCATCACTTTTGGAAGCAACATCGCTAAGGTATGACCGGCGACCATTATTGGATGATTTACGGCTGACGCTTGATATTTCCGCAGGACACAGTCACTCCTGGTCATCAGTGAGTTTGTCCAGATACGTGCTTGATTCGTTGTCATCGTGCTGACCATATCGATAGGGACTCGTGGACGCCTGAAGACCAAAACGACTTTTCTGCCTATTTGGGCCAAGTCGTAAGTATTCAATTGGATTGAAGCCCATGCGGATTGCAGAATTGGTCACTCTAACGTGTAAATAGGTCCAAGGATGGAAGGCGGCAACGTCAAACACGCTTAAAGCCATGTTCAACGGAGACGACGACTCTATTAAGATCCTGTCAACTCTTATCCAGAACGGAAACTTCATGCCAGGTGATGGAGGCAAACCGGACCTGACTCCAAACGATGAGACTATCGACGATCTTTCCAACGCAATCCTCAAAGGGTTCTACGCTTTTGCAATCCCATCCGTGTGGACCGCTGCTGGTTATGCGCCGTTTGTCTTGACAAACAACGAAGCCTGCGATTACCTGCCGCCGCCTGATGACTGTGGGCCGTCTAGTGGATGCACGGGAAGCAGTGACCCAATCTACAACTACTTGACCAACGAGGGAGCCATCGCAAACGCTTGTTACGAACCCACGAACACATTATACTACCTGGTGTATCCCCCAGACAGTGGCGACAAGTTTGACGCACTCCATGGTTCCGATGCTCTGGCCCAAGATCAGAACAGGACGACGCCATGGGGAGGCGTGACGGTCGAGGACCTCATCTTGGGATCACTCAACACATGGGCTCAGAATGGAATGCAGAACGGTGGACAAACTGCCGATCCATCAAATTCAGGGACACTGTCAGATCTCGAGAACATGGACATCCAAACGCCCGGCTACGTTCGACTGCCTGTGTGTACGGCCGCCACCGCCAAGGCTGCCTGGTCCAACCCATCACGAGTCGACAAGACTGATCCAAACTACCCCTGTGTACCCCTCCAGGGTATCACGGACTGCGATTCTTACCGCTACACCGACGCAACGAGTGATGCATCCCCTCTGATCTCAGATTGCCAGGACATCATCAACAACATTCAGGGCACCGACGGCGAATGGACGACTACGCTGAGCAGAACCAGGCAGTTGGTCTCGGCAGGCACATGTGCCCTTTCCGTCGAAGAGGATACTGGTGACGACAACGGCAACGGTTCTTACAAGGTCGGCGCCCAGGACATCATCACCCTGATCAGCAATTCGATCAAGATGTACGGGTCGAACGGCAAGGTGGGCGCTTCGGGTACCTTCGAGTGCAACGGCAACATCAAGAAGCAGCCACACTTGAAGTGGTACTTGTACCATACATAGAGTGATTGAGACTCCTTATCAAAATTTGACCAGATAGATATGACTTGAATCAGAAGCCATCGTTTGACAAGCTTCAGTTCCATCTTGTCCGATTCTTATCCGCCATCTTATCCACCAAAACGTTATATTGCCACTTGTTTGACATGGTCAACAAAGGGGCGCTTCTTTTGACCAATCTAAACCATGTGTCTGGCAATTCAGACATCTCCACTGGCCTATGTCTCCTGATGCTTGATGCACTACTATGGGACGATAGTTACACTAGTTGGCAGGGATGGCAACCAGCTGCTGGAGACGGCCGAGAATCGCAGAGTGGGAAGTCCAGCTGCTGGATGTGCAAAGAGAAGAACTGGCCCCACGATCCAAAGCAACGCCGCTGGCTGCGGACGCCAGCTGGTCTATCCGAACATGCAGAGGCCGAAGAACGCATCTGCGTCAACTGCTACGTGTACACAGAACGACGCATGAACCCGGAGAGCTGCCGCCCACTCGTAATCGGCAAGGGGATTTGGACTGCAGACGCTGTCGTCGAAGCACGAAGAGCTCCAAAACCGTTGGTATGGGACCAGACGGAAGCAGCCACAATAGGCACTGAGGCTGAAAACCTGGCGAGTCTAAGAGACCAAGACTTCACCTGCCCCGTGCGCGACAAACGGGAGCCATGCGAGACCTGGCAAGCCAATACGTGGCAGTCAAATCCCCTTGCGACTGTTAAGGGCATGTCGAAGGATGATTTTGCCCACATCTGCGCTGGCTGCAAGTCCCTGTTCTTCATCTTCTGCAACGGCGACGCAGATCAGACGGCGTGGGTGTCGCGTCGTCGGCGGTATTTGCGACCTGTGGGGAGATGGCACCACGAACCGCTTCAACTCGACCAAAGCACTCCAACGTTTGGCGAGAAATCTTGCCGACCTGAAGGTCAAGATGGCCATACTGCTTGGCAACGATGGCGATTGCACTTGCTGCAACGCCCACATCTGGGACGAGTCGGACCTGAAGCCTCCGGTGGTGACCATGGTCTCGCGAGATGATCTCCGAGACGTAAATCCCCTTTGCCTGCGTTGTTACAGGGCGCTTGCCGGTTTCCTCAGCCGCCAGGAGAGGACGAGAGATGAAGTGGATGCGTGGATCCAGAATCGAGCGGCCGCGGAGTATGCGCGAGGAATTAGAGAAGGGCGGCCGTCAAGAATATTGGAACAACATGATATGTGGCTGAGAAGGGCGAGGGAGAAACATTTGGGTTGGAGTCGAAGGGAGTGGCGGTCCAAAGCAGTTGCCAGGCCAACACGCCTCCGTTCGATCTTTCTGTGGCAATCTTCAATATCAAATTCTCTGCATTTTCAGAAGCTACCACCTGGTGAGTTTACTTCGTGACGCTTTTTGGAAGGCTCCTCTGCCCTTGCTGCACGTATATGTGTATCCAATGTAATAACCGCATATGTCACTCTTTCCCGTCGTTCTCAAAACCACAATGCCACGTCTCATATATGCACGCCGACTGATGTGAGATCTACTCCGTCTCTTTCTACTATGTCGTCTCAATGTCTGCAGAAGCTTTCTCTGATTGCGTCATACGCAGATACGTCGTCTGCAGGTGTGGTCGTTTGCGCGGCTTGAGTCGCAGGAAGAGCGGGAGCTTGTATTTGGAGATTCGGCGGTGATTACGATCTCTATTACGATGTCCTTCCTCTCTTGTATCGTCGATTTCTCGATCGAGGTGGCCGTGGTGGACTGAACGAGGAGTCGAGGACTGGTCCTACGATAGCGCTTGGCACTAGAGCGCGGTCAGTGAATGACCACACAAACCCCGATCAAGTCGGTCACCCATTCCGAGACTCTTGGTGATGAAGGGATGGAAGAGTGAATGTAAGATGTGAATGTAGAAGGGGGTATGATTGCGCAACGCATGCAGCCGTTTCGGCAAGATGTGACCATGTTCCATCTCGCTCGGTTGTTCTTCTTGGGGTGCACGTTCCAGTATCTCAGCTTTACCCTCGTGATGAACTATCGGGCTGCCGACGACCTCAAAACTCATCTTGCTGGTGGCAAAGGACGGTGATCCTGCGGCGGCGGAAACGATTGTCTATCCAAAGGCTGGCTGGTAGCTCGCAACGTGACCGGTTTGCTAGGAAACTTGGGTTAGAGACAGGTCCTACCCTCTTTAGTCTAGTTAAAGTAAAGCGTATCGAATTGGCGTCTCTCCGCCTTCTCTTAAGCGACAGCGCTGCTGATTGCATTCGAAGCTGCCTAGACGGCTTAGGAGTAATGGGGATAGATGTTCCATTTTGAGAGCCTGACTGCCAGCAAGGCGAGGCCAGCGGGCAAGGTCATCGCAGTACCTAGTCTTCGCTTTGAACAACCTCGTGGATATCTTGTGGCGATGTCGTCAAGGCGCAACCAAATGAGAAGCTACCTTCCGTAGCTAACTCTAGGAATGCATGTCGTGGGGCGCCTTCGATAGCAAGTGTTCGATGTTTTCGCTCCTTTGGCTCGTACATCTGGGGCAAGGATCCTGGATGGTGTTAAACGCCTGAGACAGTAGCCGGTAAAGTGCGTTGTGGTGCATTGCTCTCAATGCATCTAGCTTCTTGGTGTTTTTTTTTGTTCTAGATGATAGTGAGATGATGGAGGATATGGGCTTATAGAGCAGGTAGTGATATGTGAATCTGTCACTGACGCGTCGCGATCACATGCAATCTTGTTCATGCTGAACGAGACCTCTTGCTTCACTTGCGCTCTTGCTCCAGTCGCGCCGAACTGGATTCTATTCAAAGTGAGTGGCATGTGATTTTGTCTTCACCTTCTTTTTTTCCCAGCAGCCAGACTGACGCCACGACACGACCTCAAGAAAACTTCGAACGACCACTGAAGTGGCAATGACAGCGCAAGGTGCCAGTAGGCCATCGTCGCAGTTCGTTGAGTCCGAAGCCAGCGAGCAGCTGTTCGAGACGAAGACTGACTTTCATGGCCATGCCGCGAGCTGAAGTGCACACGGTCATCAGCCTCACCGCCGCCTGATATGCTGAACGGCTGCCAACGAGCGACCCTCAGCACACTGCTCTCGCCAACAACCAAGCCACAGTCATCGCCATGCGTCAAAGTCCGGGCCCACCTCCCAACATGGACAACATTCCAGCCCAGAAGCGATACTGGGTATTGCAGGTGAGACATTACCAGCAACTCTGAAGCCATGTGAAGCAACTACACCGCATCTTGAAGATCGTGCGCAAGATGGACGGTGCGAATAAAGAGAAGGTCAAAGCAGATAATCAGCATCTCACGGCTCGCGTACAGTAACATTACCAACCAGATCCTTACTGCTCTACCTACTTGCTAAGTTCCGAGACAGACCTGTTAGGACGGGCGAAACTTTCGAAGTTTTGGTAGATACAAATGGAATGCCTCGGGAGCTCTTGTCATTGATATAATACTGTACTATACATGCTGGTCCGTCTGGAAGCCTTCACTAGTTCGATCTCATGAGCTGTGACCTGCTCCGACGAAGTGAGAAGGCTCCCTTAGCTTGAATCAATTGTGTTTTGGTATATACAGTGTGCATATGTTCCCCGAGATCGAGATTGATTTGGGCAATGGGAGCCTTGGCACTCCCTGCGAGACAATCAGGCTGTACTAAGTAAGGTGTGCGATCAAGTCGGTCGCCGGACGCACAGCCGACTCCGAAGCAATACGGAGATGGATTTATGCCTTGCTTCCCACGTTCATTGACAACTTTATGCATCCACTGCACAGGTGCAGCAAAGAAATACATGTTCTCGCCTGTACAGAGGAGCGAAGAGCCGAAGAACGGCAACGTTGATACATATGTCTCTACGTCTCTCTTCCCAGCATTTGCTAACGTATACTGGCGCCAGACCAGCTTTTATGCTTACTGTAAGTCGTTATATATGGTTTGCTTCAAGTTCGCTAAAGCCCTGCTGCTGACCAACTTACTTAGACGGTAACGAGGCTTTCGTAAGAACCGCGCGAAGCTTTGGTGCTGGCTCTGAATGACCGAGACTTGCGAAAATCTTCGATGGGCCTTGGAATCTTTTCAAGACCCACCGTATTCCAAAACGCATCAAATTCCGTTCAAGAACGATGAACCTCTCGACCGGTAATCCAGCGACTCACGACATTTCGTCCCTTAACGACGGCATGGAGGGCTCTTGCTTATGCGGAAAAATCACAATAAAAATCACCCAAGAAGGCCTCTTCGACAAACCCAACGGAGGTATCTGCCACTGCTACAACTGCAGACAATTCAGCGGTGCAGCAAGCGCCAACCTCCTCCTCGTACCCACAGAGAACGTCCACATATCTGATCCATTCTCCTCCTTGAAGACGTACAACGACACGAATACGGCTTCTGGAAGGATGGTTCCAAGGTCTTTCTGTTCGAATTGTGGAAGCTCACTTGGGATTTTGCCTTTGTGTGGACATCCGCAGACGTCGATTGTGATGCTAGGCTTGTTTCCGAGGATTCCGGAGCCGGAGTTTGAGTGTTTTACGAAGCATCGACAGGGGTGGATGAAGCCGATGGTGGCAGCATGTGGGGAGAGTGAGTTCGGCGAGAGCGTTCTGAAGTTCAACGGACACTTGCTGCGATGAGTGGTTGAGATTGAAGCTGCAGACCAGAGCGTGAGTTTGATTGAAGATGTGGGGGTTTCTTTAGGAAGGAGCCAGATCTATCAGCATTAGCTAACAGTATGGATGCCTCCCTGCCGTGAAAACTGACGTTCACGACGCGCTAAACTTGTACACAATCTCATTGCGATACACCCCATCTCCCGGTCCATAGATCTGATACGGCAAACGACCCCATTGCGGATGATCAATTCCACTTGTCCAGTCCTGCGGCTCAACAGCCAAACAGCCATACGTAGGCACAAACCCATCATTCGCCGAGTCCGGCCCACCCTGAGTTTTCTTTATCGGCAACACGTCTTTCGGAAAGAAGCCGCAAGACGTGAATGCGAACCCAGCTTGGTTGCTGTACATGTCCCATTGGATGCCCGACCACTCGCTGCGAAGGCTGGCGACGGGCTCAGAGTAGACTTGAGGCTTCTTTGGGTCGAGATGATCGTGGTCGATGGTCACAGCACAGTCGTAGCCCCCAAATCCTGGCCCGCAATTACCAATCCAGCCTGCGGCGCTCGCATTGGCGCCGACTTGTTTCGGCGAGGACCAAAAGTCGTTGATGCCATATTTGGGAATTTCCAGGATTGTGCCGTTGACTTCGGCGACAGAATCGTAGGCCAGTTGGCGTTTGCTGAAGGGCATGCTGAAGGTGTGGTTCAGGACGGTATCGTTGAAAGGGTTCGCAAAAGCATCCAGTTGCCAGTAAGCATGATTCGTGAGCATGAGCGGAGTGCGGTGCGTCTTGGCTTCACCTTCGATACTGATGATCCACGTGTTTGGCTTCAAAGTGTACGTCACTCTGCCCAGGACCAAGCCAGGCATGCCTTTCGATGAGAAGGGCTCGTCACGGAGAGAGAATGTTATGCTGTCGTGGCAGACATTGGTGACGTTCCACACTCGGTACGACCAGCCATTCGTGCCGCTGTGCATGGTACTGTTTGGCTGGTTGTTTCGCTCCGTGTAGTATCGCACGCCATCAAGCTCATACGTCGCATTGGCAATTCGATTGGCATATCGGCCGGGAATGGCGCCGTAGTTTGGATGGATCTTGTCTTCTGCATACTCCACTGCGGTGTCATAGCCCAGTACGATATCTCTTTGCGTTCCGTTGCGGTCTGGGACGAACAAGTTGGTGACAGCCGCTGAGTATGGGATGAAAGAAGCCTTGATGCCTGGAGCTTGGATTGTGTACTTTCCGTCTGAATCGGGCGGTGGCACTTTGCCTTGGACGAGAGCAAGCCAGCTGAAAGCCAGTGTCCCAATAAAAGCAAGTGACTTCATGGCGGGCCACGTCCGATGCTGAACAAGCTGCTGGTTTTTCGTTTTGCCTTGTGCACAGTTCAGTGTTGTTTAGAGGCATGCAAAGCAACAAGAGAATGATTTCGCTCAGCTGGTATCGGGCGGTTCTTTCTTCCTCTCATGTGCGAGCACTGACTTCGCATTGATTGCAGTATGGGGCAACGATCAGCATCAAAAGTTGGAAGCCATCGCCATGTGGAGTGTGCACTACTGTCGCTTTCCCCTTCACTTCGCCCTTCACTTCTAGAGTCAAAGATGCTGTGAATCCAAGTTGGTAGTCTTTCACAAGGCCCGGTAGTCCCACGTCGATACTGAGTCGCTCACAGTGGAACGTGCATTCCCACTTCCAGCTGACAATCCGATAAACATATGGTGCCATCGTGAGCCTGGTCAGTTTCGAATTTTGCGAGAGACGAGAACATATGCTACGCTGAGCGCAGTATGCAATGTCCGCCCAATGCGCCAGTCCTGTTACCTGGCGAAAATTCTGGCCATTGTCTTTGTGTCTCGTACTGTTCCTTGCTTCTCTGATAGCTGTCGATCTCACACCCCCAAACAAAACCTCTCCAACTCCGGCAACAACGCATTCATGCGGAAAGGCTTCGTGATCACCGCATCGAAACCCGCCTGGAGCGCGAGTTCCTGCTGTTCGACTCGAGCATTCGCCGTGACTGCAATCATCGGCACCTCGCCGTTCAGCTCGCCTTGCCGCTCCATTGTCCGGATCCTCTGACTGCATTCGAGCCCGTTCATCACAGGCATTTCCACATCGCACAGGACGATGTCGAGTTTGACGCCGTCTTCCTTGGCGAAGTGGGTTGTGTTAATGTAGTCTAAAGCTTCCTGTCCGTGATTGCAGATTGCTACTGTGTAGCCTGCTTTCTGGAGCTGTTTCATCATAACTCGTTGATTCACGAGATTGTCCTCAACAAGTAAGATGTGGCAGTCTCTGGCTGACTTCGTGTTGGGAGACCGGCTAGTTGTCTTCTTAATGTCCTCAGACTCCCTCCTGTTCGTCCTGATACCAGCACTCGTCCATGGAATACTGTAGGTCTCGTCCTTGGACGCATTCAACTGAGTGGGCGAGCACTTCGTTGCCCGAATATAGAACGCTAACGTTGACCCCTTGCCTCGTTCTGACATGACGCCAATCTGACCACCCTGTAACCGTGCTAGTTCCTTGCAAATGAACAGACCAAGACCAGACCCACCATACTTGATGTGTGTTTTCGGGGACGCCTGTTGGAAACGTTGAAACAGGCGATCCAGCCCGGACTTGTCGATGCCGCATCCTGTATCTTCTACAGCGAGGAGGACATAAACAATATCGTTGCCGCGAGCCGGGCTGACAGCTCGCTTGGATGACGAGCTCAGGTAAGAAACTCCCTCGACCGAGCGACTTGGTCGCTCTGTTGTCGCCGCGAGACTGACAGTAATCCGTCGGCGAGGCTCGCCCTTTGTGAATTTGATGGCATTGGTAAAGAGATTGATGAGAATCTGGCGAAGTCGAACGGGGTCAAGAAGAACACGACTCATCTCCTGGCGATGATACGAGTCCGTGACATTGAAATCGAGCTCAATGTCGGCTTGTAGAAGCTCAGGTTCGAAGATCTTGAGAGCCCCGTCGACTTCCACTACCGGGTTGACTTCTACCGGCGATGTCTGCAGCAGGCCGGAATTGAGCTTGCTGAGGGTAAGGACGTCGTCGATGATCGTCTTTTGATGCGCAACACATGCCATGATGGTATTTGCGCTGTCCAGTGACGATTCAATCGTGTCTCGAGAGATGAGGAAACGGTCATCCGGCTTCTGCAACATACTCTCGTACGTGTCAAGGATACTTTCCACGGACAGAGAGATTGCTGCCAACGGGTTTCTAGCTTCATGCGATGCCATGTCCATAAATGCCTCCTGCTGACGTTTAAGTTCTAAGGCTTCTGCCGTACGTCGTTGTTGGAAGCCTTCCATGAATTTGTGGCGACTGATATCGGCCACGGTACCGACAACGTTGAGCACTTTGCCGTCCTTGTACTCAGCGTGTGCCGCGGCAGCTACCCACGTCTCTCCCTCCAACCGCTGGCCGTCTACGAAGTCGTCCGAGACATACGGTTTCGACAGACGAATCTCGAATTGTAGCGCTTCGCCTTCCTTCATCAAGGCCCATTTACCGGCAAACTTGTCCCGGTCATCCTCATGAATCACCCTCACCCAATCTAATGCCGGATGGTTGCCACGCGGATAGCCAGTCAGGTTGTACCAGTATGGGTTAGCATAGTTCAATTCACCAATCGCGGAGACTTCGAACATGCCAACCATTGACATGTCAGCCATTTTGCGGAACCGCATTTCTCTGTCTTTGACGTCTAGCTGGGAGACAGTCAACCGCTCCGTGAGTAGAGCGTGCTCGTACGTGGTAAGCTCAGCCTCCATGACCATTTGTCGTGCTTCTATTAAGCAGACTGAATCCAAGGACCTGCGGAGCTGACTTGTCACCAGCATGGTGAACTTCTCATAGTCCTTATCGTATCGGCAGCAAGGGTTGAGACCAAGCAGCAGAAATCCCCTGTGAGATCCCCGATCGCGTTCTGCCAATGGTATGATGAGCGCCGACTTGCATAAATCTCCCCATGCTCTCGAGTAAGCTTTGCCACTCAGTGTGGACGGAAACGAGTTGTCGCCATTGTCAACGTTGAGAAACTGCACGCCGTTTGTGTCAATCGACTGTGCAAGCATCGGCCCAAATATTTCAATTGCTAGATCCCAATCCATAGTAGTAGGCAAGTCAAGTGTACTTGACTCCATCTCGAGAACGCCCTCCAACGTCCACTGTGACGAGGCAAATGCAACGCTTGCGGCGATCGGTGTTCCATTGAGTGATCCTAGTGCGGAATGATCTCTTGCGGAACTTCGATTAGACATGGAGTACAGAGCCGCGAATGGAATATCTGCGGAGTTGGATTCCAGCCCTACGAGAACACTTCGAGACCAATCTTTCAAGTTGGTGGCTTCGTTGCTGGCACGCTCAACGGCAAGTAGCGTCGCCATCCGCCTATCATAAAGGACCTGCTTCGTAGTCTCTGAACAGGGGTTGAAATAGGCAATGTTCTCGGACGGCCCCATGATGGGGATCAGTGCCCAAGAGGCCCACACCTCCTCCTTAAAGCCAGAGCGGTCCACAAAGAAGCATGTATCTCCGCCAAATGTAGGCTGGCCTGTGGCATCCGCGTGATTGAAAGCTTCTCTCAGACGCGCAGTATTCGGATCCTCGTCAGGCCAAACTGAAGTAAGGGGCTTTGATAGCGCCCAGCTGTGCCTTTTCCCAAGGATGTCTCGATAAGCGTCGTTGTAAAGGCACAGCCGGTTCCGACCCCACCAGAGGGCCACTGCTCGTGGATCTGCCATCATAACATTCACCCACTGGCGTAATGCATGAGGCCATGATTGTAATGGACCCAGCTCCGTTGATGGCCAGTCATGGTTTCTGAACCGTGCGAGATGTTCGCTCAGCTCATGGCTTGCGCCGAATGTTGGATTCGTCACATCGTGTAGTCCAAGGACCGTCGACTCCGAAGTCGAATGTCGTTGCCATCGATCCAAAAGTGTTGCTTCTAGCCAAGAAGGGTCAGATCTTTTCAGCGCCTGATATACTTCGTCCAGTGTTGGAGCCTAAGAGGTCCCCATCCGAGTCATCTTCGCAGGAGGGTCGGGCCATAGGCTAGCAGCTCACCAGCCGATTGCCCTTCTGGGTGTGCCCTGTCACGATCGGAGTATAGGGTGCAGCAAGCGTACACATGATGATCGTGGGAAGAGGAAACTGTTGACCGCGAGTCGCATCCTCCGGGAGTCTGGATCAAGCCGCGTGACCGCATCGATCCGATCGCAGCAAAGTTCAGACCGTTGCTCGGGGCCAACCTTGATGTGACACGAACAGCAGCTCGGGTCTCCCTCCTATCAACCGCAGACGTGTGGTGATAAAGGAGTCGCGTTGATGAACAAGACATCGAAAACCATATCATCGGCACCCAATATCGTTGTCGTACTTGTACGCCTCGACAGTAGGGCGCCATTGGACCACCGGCATCGCCACCAAGCTTCGAGCTGATTTCTTTGCCCCGCAGAGCTGAGCTCGCCTCTCATCGCCAACAAGAGCCTTCCAGTTCGACCAACATTCTTTGGAGAAAGACCCTCATTTCGACTTGAGTACTGGAATGTTTCCGCCATGGACAATCATGCCTCTCTTTTCCGCTTTCCGCGAAGTCTTCTCGATCGGCTCAGCTCCCAATCGACAACCACCACCATATTGACCGCTACGACTGCTTCCACCGCACTTTTCACAGCATGGGTCATCAGTGACTATCGGGCATGGAAGGCGCTGGGCACAGGTGGTACTCCTCCAACCCCACAAGGCTACTGGCGCATGACGAAGTTGCGTCTCATTCGCGCATTCTCGTTCGACAGTCTACGCGACGCCTCAAAGCTCCGCGAGGATGGCCCCAGCTACCTGAACATCTGGCTTCCGAATCGCTCCAAATCCAGACCGAAGTCACAAAGCAGGACGATGCCTCAGCGACAGGTGCCGGCGAAGTTGGATGAGACTGTGAAGCAGCGCCTCCATGCATTGCCGAAGAAATTTTGCAAAGAGAACCCGACGCTGCTCAAGCTCGATCTTTCGAATGTGGAAGGCAAGTCTTCTGACGCAATATACGCCTTGCCAAACCTGCCGAATCGGCATCCCAGTGCCACAGACCGAATTCTCAAGGATGAGATAGCGCATGCACATCACGCAGAGAACAGCCTCCACGTGTGGCTGAGCCAGGCAGACGCAAGAAAGGTGGTCGAAAGCGGTTGGGGCGAGAGGTTTCCCTTGAGCGCAATGGGAATGCTTCATCCGGGGTTGACGTTTGTATACGCGCCACGGTCGATGGAGGATGTCGATATTATCGAGGACATCATCAAGGCAGGGATTGCGTATGTGACCGGTGAAAGGATATGAGGGTTGATGTGGAGGTGTGGTCTGGTGTTGGATGCGTTTGCTGAACGGCCTGGTCTCGTTTGTTTGGATTTGCATTGCTCTGATGGCGTAATAGTGGTTTGGATTCGAAATGATGTATTAGTACAATCGAGCAGCTGGTATAGCCACTACGGTTGCCACTCCGCTGGAGTAGTTGTAGAAGATGATTTCCGTCTCCCCCCAGGCGATTGGGCCGAAGCCAATGACTTTCTGCCCTCCGGTGATCTTGACGAGACAGAAGACTTCCTCTCAGAAGACTTTCTCTCAGGACCTGTCATGGCTTCCACAGTCACCTTCGCCAGATCTCTCATATTCTGAAGATCGTCTTTTGTCTCCCGCCCAGCCTTCAGTGCATCTCGCCACTGTGTTAGTTTGGCAGCCGTCTCGGCGCTCCCAGTCGTCTCGTAGTGCTTGATCATCCTGCTGGTATCTTTGCCCGAGCTCATGAACATGCCTTGACTTTGCTGCGCCAGCAGAATCCAGATGAGGTTCTGTAGGACATCGGAGCCGCGAGTCATCTTCTGCATGGACTTCGCCGCAGTTTGCAGTGTCTTCAGTTTGACCTTCTGAACCATGACAGGACTTGGAGCGTCGAGCTTCAGCTTTCTGGACAGTTTTGCCACCGCACTTTGAAGGTCGGCGAAGGTATTGGTTTCAGAACATATCTGCTTGAACTTCTCAATGTCCTTCTCTTTAGCTCTTTCTCTTAGCAGTTTCTGCTCTCGGGCAGCTTGGATCGTTTGTGGAATGACCTCTCGACGAAAGTGGTCAGCAAGGAAGTCTTCGAGGTGTTGCTTCAAAGTCGAGTCGCCGACGCCATCGATGCCAGCTGTATAGAGCTGAAGAGGAATGGCAAGTCTAGCCTCGACCAGTTGTGCAAGCTTTTCGTGCTCCTCCCTCTCCAAGTCTTCCAGCTGCTTGCGTACAACACTTTCCAGCTCTTTAGCATACACGCTACGGAAGAGGAGTTTTGCAAGCTCACTCTTGCGGGCTACAGAGAAGTCATCTGGTGTGAGGCTTTTGATCACAGCCGCTGCGGTCAAAGCTCGTTCGCCCTGTCGCCACACATTCACGGCATGGCACGAAACAGCTGACTTCATGGCATTGAGTTCCTGGTCCAGAGCCGCCGGTGTTGCAAGAACTTTAGTCTCCCCCTCAGCCTGTATAGATTTCGTAGTCTTGCGAGCACCATCAACGACTGTTATAATCTGCACATTCACATCATCTGGCTTGCCCTTGCCATATCTTCGCTTGATCAACTCCGCGGTTTCCTCTTCGCTCTCGAAAGCCGATCCAGACTCATCCGTAGCCTGCGGGTAGACAATACAATATCCGTGATCCTCAAGATGCTGGACAAGCTCTGCGATCCGCTCGTCTCGCATTTGCTTCAGTCGACCTTCCACGGCAGCCGTGTAGTTCGCCGGGACATAGACAATGTGGTCACCTTCCAAGCGAACCTCACCGCCCATATCAGACGCTACTTCACTCGCCAGCCTCCTCAGGGCGAGAAGAGGCACCTCGTCCGCTACAGCCGCTGGCAAATCACAGATCTCTGTCCCAGAAGAGCCTATGGCATCCCGAAGTTGGATTTTGACAGTGGCCGCGACCTCGCTTGTGCAGATAAAAGACCTGAACGAATCGCTGAATTCCTTGTAGTCTCTCCATTTCTCAACTTCAATGAGCTTCCGTAGACTATCGAGGGCGATATCCCACTCAGAACTGAAAGTGAACAGATCGACGAATGTCTCATCGGCTCGTCTCTTCAAGGTCTCCAAGATGTTGTCGGTTTCAGATGTCGGCATAAGCCATCTTCCATTCTTACTCTCATACAACGGACGTGACAGTCGTTCAAAGACAGTCTCCTCAGTGCCATCCTGCACGCCGAGTAAAGTGGCACAGGCCTTTTCAATTCGTTCTTGCCCTTGGTCCAGCAGATGCTCCAATTTTGCTAGGGCTTTGTCAACTCTGACAAGGCTGTCGCCGGAATTACTCTTCACGAGCGAGGGACGATCCTGGAAGAGAGAGACCGGCTCGAAATTGGCCACCAAAGATGCAATGTCGTCAGAGGTGAAGATTGAAGTCATGTTACCCGACCACTCCTCGTCTCAATGTGTCACAAAAGAAGCGTGGTCCTGGACAACTTCACGTAGCCACGGTCATAGAAGAATCATCGAAGGAATATGTTGATTTGTTTGGTCAGACTCTTCCTTGCATACAGAAGGTTGGAGACTTGAAGCCAAAGCAGTCCCAGTGGTTTCTTACATCGAGCTTGCGAATGCCGAGCTCCGATGATGGCCCCGAGAAACAGCCGACCGACTTCACCTCCTGAGCTTCCCAACAACGACGATTGCAAGAACGCATCGAAACAAAGTGATGCTTGAGGCACGCAACGAGGCAGATGGTCCGTGAAACGGTACCAGGCTTTTCTTGCACGCATCTCAAGCGTGAAGATGTTGTGCCGTGCCGCTTCTATGAGAGCGGCAAATCCTCCCGTCCGTCTATCGAACGAGCCGCTACGGCCACATGTACCCAGGGGCCAAGATGATCTGTACCTCAGGTACCTTTCACCTCGTCGCACGACAATGACAGTATCCACGTCCCTGCTCTGATGCGCTACTTTTGAGCAGACATTGGCGACGCATGGCGGTCACTGGGAATCGAGTGCTGTCATGGAGACTTGGTTGCTTTGCACTTCTTGGCCTCCTCGTGTTGACGTTCCTTATCAATGCGCTCCCTCAAAAGACGACAACTGTACCTTCAAACATACATGGACCTGTTCCTTCGCCTTCATTGCAAGAAACGACTCACTGGCGTTTTGGGAACGCTACTGCATATAACGAGGCGATCGATGGCCTTACTGACGCACAATGCACCGCTGAATTTCCTGATCTGTACCTTGACGTGGACCGCGCCGTGAATTATTGGAACGATCCGGCTAGAGCAGGACACATTACAGCATCCGACGTCGATATCTCCGAATCGCGGGCGGCCGTAAGAGTCCTGATCCACGAGAACAAAATACGGATACTTCATAGTATCTCAGCCGTATCTACCAAGTGGACTACTCCGGAAAGAACGCTTGCGGTCCTCCATATGATTCAGCGGGTCTTAGATGCGGCGACAGTCGTAGGGGATCAACTACCGACTATCGAGATCGCTTTGAATTTCCAGGACGACGCTGATCCAGTCACCGGCACGCATTCGTTCTGGTCTTTTGCTCGAGCCCTTGGCAAAGAAACTCATCAGCAGCTGTGGCTGATGCCAAACTTCGACTTCTGGTACTACGATCCGCACGGATCATTCGCCGATGCAAAGTGGCTTGCAATGCAGCATGACGGAGCTTTTGCTAGCAAGATCCCCAAGATTGTGTGGCGAGGCAACGCGAACTTTGGCGCTGAAATACGAGCGCAACTGGTCCAAGCCGCCAAGGGACAGCCATGGGCAGATGTCGAGGCTACAGATACGGTTCAGAAGGATCAGAACTCATGGATGGACCCCAACACCTTCTGCGACTACGCTATGACGGTCTATACCGAGGGTGCAGCATACTCTGGGCGATTGAAGTTCTTACTGAATTGCCAGTCATTGCTCTTTGTCCACCAGCCAGAGTATGTAACCCATTACTCGCACTTACTAAAAAGCGACGGCCCCGAACAAAATTGTGTTCTTGTGAAGCGCGATTGGTCCGACCTAGAAGAGAAGGTTAAATGGTATCTGGATCACCCAGACGAAGCAGAAAGAATTATCGCAAACTCCCTAGCTACTTTCCGGAGTCGTTACACTACCCAGGCCGCGATCTCGTGCTATATCCGACGCCTGATCCAAGGTTACTCCAAAGTAGCTTTTACGCCTGAAAGTCATGTCCCGTTGAAGGAGGGAATGGGTACCCGGCTGCGTGGTTGGTCCTATGAGAAGTACATTGCCTCATATGAAGACGGTGACTTCGAGGAAGAGGAGTGATTGTACGCCAATCCTTGCATCGACATCGCCGCAGGCGACAGATGGAGCTACTTAACCATGTCACATGGCCGCTCTTCGTCACAACTGCACTGCCAATCATCACAAGCTCACCAAGCACTCCAAGCCCTGAAGCCTTGCCCATGGCCATTCAATCGGCGGATGGAAAATGTCCCAAAAGGAACAGGTAGCGCCCTTGCATGACGTTCTTGCTGCAATCGCAGCCCTCGGCCCCCGTGCTACGCTACACTGCCCTACGAGAATCCTTCACTCAAAGGATCTGGGTGGCATGTGATTGGCCAAGGGTGATGCGAGCGAGACCGAGATTTGCGATCCCGAATATTAGGGGCAGTGTGAGGTTCAATGGGGAGGCATTGGGAGAGCGGTGTTCGTTGTGGTTGGCTATTCATTTCGCGTATACCGGTCGTCGATGGCCGCGGGGCTGTGGCTGCTGTGGGTTGATCGTAGGCTGTGTTGTTGCGTGCTTCTTCGACGCATGGCACATTACGTAGAACGGCAAACCCATGTGCGGTGAGTGAAGGCAGGATATAAGTACTACTAGATTGACCATCATTGTCCTTCTCCTAATCATCGAACAACCACCACATCTTCCAACGAACCACAGTCAGCCTCACCGCCACCAATTCCAACGCACAAACCCAACAAGCTACTTCAACTCAATCATCCACCAACATGATTCGCACCGCAGCCAAATGGGGAACGATCGCATACATCGGCAACAAAGCCGCAAAAGCATATGGCGAGCATAGCAACCAACAACAACCGCCAATGCCCTATCCTCCACAACAAGCCTCGTCGAGTCGCGGACCAGGGACTCAGATTCGTGAGGCAAATGGATACTTGCACCAAACGTAAGTCTTGCATTCTAGAGAGACGCCTCATTTGAGGACTGCGCTGACTTGGATAACTGCAGTTGGTGTAATGGACAATGCGGTCTGCGTTGCAACGATGGCATGCAAAACAGCTCGAGGGATGCTCCAGTCAACGTTCCGCGTTTGGGCGAGGCTGAGGACTATTATGGCGGGTTCGAGACGAGAGGCATGAACAATGGCAACCTGCCAGAGTACAAGGAGTCGAGAGATGTGAGCAGTGCCAACTTGTCGTCGGGCAAGAAGTAGGACAGGCAGTTCTCAAGGCACAACGGAAGGACGAATGTACAGTGGCGTTTCTCGGCGGCGTACTTTCGTATCAAGATAGCAGAGAGCACAAGGCGTTTTGGCGAATGCCTTTATCGAGAGCAGCGTTTCACTCGAGTCTTCACAGAAGAAAGTGCTTAAACCACTCCATCGTCCTCGTTACGAAGTCAAAGAGCGCCGGCATTTGCCTCACACCATGTCCTTCCTCTGGGTACGTCAACAGCACACTCGGCACACCTTTCTCAACAAGCGCCTGATGAAACTCCTGCCCCTGACTCGGCGGCGTATAACGATCAATGCCACCCACAACCGTCATCGTCGGCGTTTTGACCTTATCAACGTGATGAATTGGCGAGCGCGTGAAGTACTTCCCCTTCGGATCGTGAGGGCTGTCACCTAGAAAGTCGTCGAAGAACCGACCAATGTTCGAAGTATACTTCGAACTCACCCAATCCGTGCAAGGCGCTACAGGCACGGCGGCGGCGAAAGTATCAGGGGCTTGGGTGACGAGCCAGCTGGACATAAAGCCGCCATAGCTGCCGCCCCAGACACCGAGTCGCTTGGGGTCTGCTAGGCCTTGCTTGACGAGAGACTCGAGACCGCTGAGGTAGTCGTATGTGTCTTTGCCGCCCATGTCACCATAGACGTGGCGGATGAAGGCTTGGCCTCTTCCGGATGAGCCTCGTGGGTTGGGTTTGAAGATGGCGATGCCGTTGGAGAGGAGAGCGCGTTCGAGGATTTGTTGGCCGTGAGAGGCGATGTAGCGTGGTCGCCATTGCCAGACGGGACCGCCGTGGACGAAGAGCACTGTAGGAACAGGCCCGGTTGCCGAAGAAGGCGAGATGAAGTAGCCGTGGATTTCCAGTCCGTCAGGGGCTTTCCAGCTGAGATTCCGGGATCTTCCCAGGGCTTTGATCTCCTCGTCCAGTTGCAAGGAAACAAAAATCTTCAACTCGCGCACTCCTGTCTTGGTGCCGTAGACCAAAGTCGGCGGACTGAACCACCCATTCTCAACAAACGCAACCTGCGCTTCTCCATCGACGACTCTCGCCGCAACCTCGCCAATGTAGGAACCACCTGTACTGTGCTCTCGACTCTTCCATACCTCCGTCATCTCGTTATCTTTCCCATCAAACTGCACAATGAGCTCTACGTCAACCCTCGACCCAGTTACAACAATGCAGTCCTCTCCAGGAAACACCACCGATCCTCCAACATCCACCTTTTTGGTTTCAGGTTTCTCAATCTTTCCAGTCTTTACATCCAGGAGGACTAAGTCGCCCTTGAGAATCTGTCGATCACTTGCAATCCCGTTGGCAAAAGCAATCTTATTCCCACTTGGAGATGCTGCCAAGCACTCGATGGGCACATCACTCGAATACAGCGTCCGAGCAGTCTTCGTAGGGAGATCAATCTCCCTAACCGAAGAGATATACCATGCTTCCTCTCCTGGCAGGTCTGAACAAATGCCAACGACAGACGTTGACGACACCCAGACAGCCTCCCACACATTCAGGCCTTCTGGCGATGCTTGCGTAGCATTTCCCGATTCCACGCCATAGATCCAGAGCGTACGGTACTCGTCTGGCGCCGCTGCGCGAGCAACCTGGGGCAACCAGCTCTTCTCAGCCTTCTTGTCGGGATCAAGGGGCATACCACCGCCGCTGCCACTCTTGTCTGCTCCGAGGCCGGCCACGGTGAGCAGGACTTGGCTGCCGTCTTGAGACCAGCTCTGCCGCTCAATGGATCCCTTGACATCCGTCGTGCACTGCGTGACGTCTCCGGTTTTGTTGTCCAGGAGAAAGAGCTGGTTGCTCTGATTGACTTGGGACAGAAAGGAAATCATCTTGCCATCAGGAGACCATTTGGGAAAGATGTCTGAGCCTTTGCGTTTCCCAAAGAGCTGTAATCCAGCGTCTTTGACCTCTGTATCGATCACAACCAGCCGGGTCGTCGGCGATCCTTTCAGCTCCGTGGTCATGGTGGCTACACCAACGATGGACTTCCCATCTGGTAAGATATCCAACTGCACCAGATCAGATGCAAAACCCTCACCGGGCCGCAACACCTCTTCATGTCGGCGTTGAATCTCCAAGAACGCCTTCGATTCCGAAATGTCTCGTTCGATGCAAAGAGAAGGAATGGGCGTGTTCTGAGTCCGGTTTGTCTGAGACGACATATCGTCTCGGGAGGCGATCTCTAGCATTTTTGGAGCCTTGACGTTGCAGATATCGAGTTGGCTACTTGAGATACATACGACAACTGCTTGTCAGCTTTATGGTTGTAGCATGTAGAGTGGCACAGCTCAGCTCGATACAATATCGGCATTGAGCTCAAGATCGACAACTCCGACTCCATGTCGAGCTCCGTTTCGGCCAGGAAGAGGGCTGCAGTGCTGCGGTGGCTCCGGTTCTGGTTATACAATGAGCAAACTTTGACAGCAGTTACAGGTTACTGTCAGCCCAGGCCATCTTCTTCCCGCCAGATCAGAATCTGACAACGGTACGTGATATGGCTTCGTCAGCCCTGTCGCTCGATCTCCCTACTAAAATTACAGATTTTCTGGTTCAGCTTCTCAATGTGATCCTTACAAAAGCAGGATCTCGCAACCTGCCAGTTTTACGACCTGTATGAACAAGCCATGCCCATCTATACATCCGTCTCTATCAGCTCTTGCCAGCTTCTTCTCTAACCCATTCCTAGAACAAGCCCCTGAACTCCATACCTCGAGCAGGGCGTTCGCAACTCTGGAGGTAAGATGGTCGTCGCCTCTCTCTTTCCTTCTAGTAAGGACACCAACACTCTCAAAAGCATCGTAATTCTTCATTTCTCCAACAATGGCTGGCCCAGCATCGACACTTTCTTCTATCGACAGCATGTTGGTCTAAATCGCAGCTCGCTCCTCCGCCATGGAAACATTCAGCCTCGTCCACATATTTCCTGCCGAGAGGTCGTCTTGTCCACTATTACACCATTAGCACTGTCGTCAAAGAAAAAAAAAATCCTTCGCGGTGAAGAACGACTTACTCAAACTTCTCCGTAACAGTCGGCTCCGTCTCTCCCTCCGCCACATTCGGATTGCGGAAGATAATGTTTCGTTTCTGCTCGCACACTCAAAATCAGCCAAAACCACCCTCCTCAAACCCACTCCGTAACCTGACAAGCACTCACCAACCCCAAGCTCAAATGTATCCCAGCAGGACCCGGTGTATACTCCTCCTTCGCCTCCTTCCCCTCAATCATCTCCACAAGATTCCTGGCTACAACGCCCGCCTGCATCGAACCCGGCCTCGCGGCTTTATGCGCCCCTGAGTCTGCGATGTCGCCTACCGCGAAGATGTTCGTGTAAGCTGGGTCGTCGAGTTGGAGAGTTTTCCTGACGCGGAGGAAACCATTCTTTTGGTTGATGAGTCCCTTGGCAGAATCTGTGGCCGGGAGAGTCTGGATCAGTTGATTATTGGGTTTCTGGCCCGTGGCGGGGACGACGAAGTTCGTCTTGAGACTGTCGCCATTATTCAAGTGGAGCGTGAATCCCTCACTTGACGCTTCCTTGGGGAAGCCGCCTTCTGGAACGACAGCTCTCGCCCCGGAAACCACTCGAATGTTTTGCTTCTCGAAAGTCTCGCGGAGGAGTCGGTCCAGCCCCTCGTGATAAACCGGCATCAACTTCTCCCTCGACTGCACGAGCACCACCTCCTTGTTGGGATACAGTTCCCTCACATCCAGCGCCATCTGCACGCCCACCGCACCACCGCCTACAATCGTCAAAGTCTCTGCAGCCTCGATCTGGCGTTGGTAGTTCTGGATATACTTAACCGAGGGAGTCTTGGTGTCGAAGGGCATCATGGAAGGCGCTGCGAGAAGAGTCCCTGTTGCGATGACCAGGTAGTCGTATGAGAGGTTCTGGGTGCCTTCGAAGGGAGCGGAGATGGAGATGTGGTCTTTGTGAACGCTGGTGGCGCGAGCTGTGATGAGGGCATGCCGGGTTGACGAGTTGAAGACTGCGGTATATGGGACGAAGGCCTTCTGTTCGTGGCCTGGGAGGATCGCAAATCGAGGCTGTAAATTTCAGTCCCTCGCTCTCTTTGGGATTGTAGTCCGAGTATGTGGCACTTACGAATGTGAAAATATGATTAAAATGAGAATGCGGCTCCACAAGCAACACCCGATGCGACGCAGGCACAATCTTCATCAACTCCCTCGCCGTCCCCTATACATCATCAGTCTCCATCCAAACCATCATAAATGCCACCTCCGAAACAAGACTCACCAAGCCCACATAACTCCCCCCAACAACAACCACATTCCTCAACGCAGGAGACATCTCAACTTCGCTTCTCCTGAAACCAGCACAATCAGAGTGAATCCCAAAGTAACCAGAAGTGTGATTTTCGAAAGTCCAAGGAACATGTGTTGTAGTTGTAGTTTTTTCTTATCAGATGGATTGATTCCGCCGGCCCTTTGGAATGGGGTGAGAGCCGCCGTTCAAGTCCGTCTTACAGCCTCGTACGACTATCCCGTGGCTAAAAGCCGGGCGTCGGCTTAGCCGCACGGCATCCGCGTAACTGCGATATCCGGTGGGGGATGAAGAATCATCATCCTGGGACCTCATCACGGACTTCACGAAGGGTATTTTCGAACGATGCGTAGTGTTTGTTTCGAGACCCGGTTGCCGAAGAAGACGGCCATGGCCAAGAACCGAGTTTCTCATATATCTCTTTTCTATGGCAGATAGTACTTCTACAAGAAACACCCCAAAAATCTATCGTGCTCAACTGGCCAACCTCCAAGCCTTCAATGGCAAGGCTTGCAGCTTCAATGCCGCTGGCTTGATGAAGCCCCAGAAGGTCACGATGCCAAATAGCACGCATAATATATTTACAATGTAGTAGCCGTCCCGCTCGATGTTGCATGCGCCTCCGCCGTCGATGCAGCGGTGCTTCTCGGCTTCCGCGACACAGCTGAAGGCCTGCGTGATGAGGTCGCCTTTGAGGGCGGCGGGTGGTGTTGACGGTGGTGTGCAAGTGGCTTTGGTGAAGGCGTCGACGAAGCGCAGGATGAAGTAGCGGGGAAAGGTGCCGCCGAGGTTGGAGACGCTGCGAAATAGCAAGTCAGTGAGAGGCTTCATAGAAGGGTGTGAAAGGGTAAACTTACGTTGCGAGAAGCGTCATGTACGTGCCACCTATCGCAGGATCCGAGATCTTTGCGTGGAAGGCCGAGATGGCGACGAACATGACGGTGCTCATAAAGGTGCTGAAGACGTGCTCCACGATGATCAGGATGAGATAGCCTGTGGTGGTGCCTGTTGACGGGAAGAACATGACGACGATCTGGGCGAACACAGCAGCGACAAGACGGCCAACAAATGCCCAGCACCAGACTCTGACCGGTTGGTACTGTTCACTCCATTTTCCAGCGTAGTAGCCCAGTCCCATCTCGAACGGAAAGTCGATGAGGACAGTCAAAGCCAGATCCTCCTGACTGAACCCCTTATCCAGGAGTTTGAGGTTAGTGACGGCGTCGTTGGCTTGGAAGCCAATCTTGGCAATGAGGTGGATCACGATGAAGATTTGGATGTTCCTCAACTTGAGAATTCCACCCATGATCTTGTACACATCCCAAATGCCCTCCTTCTCCTTGGTTCGATCCTCTTTCTTTAGAAGTGCAAGTCCAAGCGTCACGGCCAGGTAGAACCAGCCCCAGAAGGTAAGGTATGAGTTGAGGGTCATGAGACCATATTCAAGGGGCTGCGATCGGAAGTATTTGTTGGCAAAGTCGGGCGAGTTGAGGGCGAGGAAGACGGTGAACGACAGGAAGTGGCCTCCAGTCAGGCCAACAGTCTGCGCGGTACTGGCGTATGAGAGGTTGCTTTGAGACAGCAGTGTCAATGCCCAGCCTAGAAATCAATGTCAGTATATCCCTCAAAAATTCACATCCACCCAGCTTACCGTCAACCGCAATATCCTGAGTCGCACACAAGAACACCAGCGCAAACCACCAACCCGTGAAGCCCCAAATACCCGCACCACCATTCTCTCCCGCCTTCACCATCATCTGCTCAGCCTGTGTCCCCAGCCAAATCATACCAAACCCACTGATCATCTGAATCGGCAAAATCCAGCTCTTCCGCCTCCCAACCTTCCCACTCCACACAGCATCGACAATCGGACTCCACAGCAGCTTCAGACTGTATGGATACGACGCCAAAGAGTAAACACCAATCTGACTGTAACTCAAATGGCTCTTGAGCAAGAACGGTACACTGCCTCCCGCCAAGCCCATGGGTATCCCCTGCAAAAAGTATAGCAGCACCAGCAAGAGAAAATTCCTCCTGTCTTGCACGGGGAGATCGAAGAAGCCCTTCTGCTTGGTCTCTTCCTCTTTGTTCGGCGTCGCAGGCGGTATATCGTCTAGACTGAAATCACTCCTCCCCATCAACCTTTCCCGCGCGTCTACCGAGTCTTCATCGTGGATGTCGAGGGATGCGTGGTGTTTTCGGCGCTGTTCGATCATGGAGCCGTTCATGGTCTCGCTGTCGGCGGTGTGGCCGTTTGCCAGGGACGAGATGGAGGATTGCCGTGAGAGAGTGCCGTTCTGGCCCCGTACGCTGCCGCGGCCGCTGCCTCGTGGGTTGGGCGAGCGGGACTTGGATTTCTTGTGTGGCATCTGAGGGTCTGTGTCGGAGGCAGAGAGGTCGTCGTATTCGATGAACGGGATCGTCTCAGGATCGTGCGCGTCGTCTGAAAGTATCTCTTTCCCTTTGCTTGTGGAAGAGGTGTTATGGTAAAACTCCTGCAGCTCGAGACCTCCGCTCTCGAGATCCAGACGTTGTGCGAGGTCGTGTTGGGTTCGCTCCTCGCGGGTTCGTGCTTGGTGGATGGGCAGGACCGGGGCGACTTCAACACTGCCGGCGACGACCAGACTCACACGGGGCTGATGGTGGTGGCGGAGGGGTTGGTCGCCCATGGGTTCATCGCCGCTCATGGCCGACTCGAACTCTCGCCCCTCAGGACACGTACGGTGGATCGTCCCTTCTTAGCGTTTGGAGAAGATCTCGGCCCGCTGCAGGGACCGGCTCATGGAATCCTTCGAGAACTCAAAATGATTCTAAATTCTGCAACGGCGACGACACAACTCAATATTCTCTCTACACCTGCAGAAGAAATTCGACGTGTTGCAACGCGTTCTAACTTCATTGAACATCGGATTGAGTCGGTGGGAGTAGTGGATGCAAGCACGCCACGAGCATCTCCTTTGTCTGCCGGCCATCAATAAGGAAAGCCGAATTCACTTTACCGAAGAAATGCAACAAGCTCACGCAAGGAAGCGAGGGACAATGTTCGCGGGATCATGGCAACACAACAGACTGATGAGATACATGGTTCTGGAGAGCTAACCCTTGATGCCTTGTGGCCTTACCAGCATTGTCGCGTGGTACAAAATCCTACTGCGCCAACATGATCGACTTCAGCTCGTAGGCTGTGAGCTTGGCACACAAGTCGTATTCGCGGAACACATATATACGTATGACCATTCATTCCTCCTTCATTCACCCTTCATCACCAACTCACAAGAACCAACATGCCACACCAAAACCACCAACTCCTCGACCTCCATTTCTTCACTCTCCTAGCCATAATCCTTCCATCCATCTACATATGCTTCACCTACCAACAAAACACCCTCCATCCCAGTTTAAGAAACACAACCATCCTCACCAACCCACCAACCTGGCTTCTTCGTCCTACCCTCCCGGCCCTCTACATATCCCTCTACAAGCTCTCCGACCGCGGCCGCACCCCGACCCGGTCACAGCACCTGGCTCTGCAGTCCTCGACGATCGCGGTATTTCTCGTGGCGAATGCAAAAGGTGATTCGCTTCAGACGATGTGGTTGATGTATTTTCCGGGCGTGTGGTTGGTGGCGCTGGTGTTGAATGAGGTGTGGTTTGGTGGGGTTGAGGTTAAGGAGAGTGCAGCATAAGGAGCAGGTGGAGGGTGGAGGTGATATGTTAGGGGTGGAGGGTGGTATCCGCGGAAAGAAGTGAGGGATGGCGGTGATTGGGGCTTGGGCGGATTTCAGGTTTTGTTATCTTGCTCTATCGGTTTATGGCTGTGTACAGCCCAAAGCACGGGAGTCGACCGTGCTCCCGACGTCGCAGCGGGCTTGTTGCTTCTGCCGCATTTCGAGGAGACAGCTACATGTACGCAGGCTGCCAAGGGGTTGACCGGTGAGAAAAGGGCTCGAAAACCTTCCTCATGCCACGACAGCCGAGCGAGGCTTTGGGTCAAAGCATTTTGCGAGACAATTTCCGGCGGCTGCTGTGCGGGACGGGTACGATTCCAGCCCTCGCTTCGATCCAGCTTGGTCAGTCTTCCTCGCGCCCATCGCCACCATTTGCCTGGGCATTCGCCTTCTTCTCGGGCTTCCCTTCGGCCTGCTCTGGAATGAAGTAAACAGCAACATTTAACAGCAACGAAATGGCGACCAGGATGAACCAGACCAGATGGCCATCGGCCCACCGGCTCTTGACACCAAAGGCATAAATGCTTGTGAAGAGTGCCGGGCTGGCAGCGCGAACGCCGCTGTTGACGGTCAGGGATAAGGCGTTGACGGTTGCGAGGCCTGTTGGTGAGGGCGAGATGTCGTTGACGAAAAGTTGAACGCAAGCTAGAGCAAACATCAGTCTCGTTCGATAGTAGTGAGAGAAAACAATACTCACCAAAAGCCATGCTCACGCCACTGCCAATAACAATGGCAATGGGACCAACAATCCAGAATGCCTTGTTCCACCCGTGTCTCAGAAACTCGTTCAGAATCGGATAGGTAGCCATCATTAAAGGCCAAACGAAAGCGCACAATCTCATCAGAGATCCGGTTCCTATCGTTCGCTGTAAAGCCGGGAAGGCGAGAAGCATCCACAAAGCTTGACTTCCCCCAGCCACAGCGAGGAAGTACGAGATGAACTTGGGACTGAAGCCAAATCCACCTTTCTCCACACTCGTGTAGAGGAAAACAGGGGCGACGGCGGTATAGGCGAGTGCGAGGAGCATCGTGTGGCCGAAGAGATAGAGAACGAATGGGACACCGGGGGATTTGAGGACTTCGGAGGTTGACATGGGAGGCTCTGCGCCTGCACCGCCGTCTTCCTTGCGTTTGAGGGTCTGTAGTACATGGTCAGCGTGTGCAGGGGTTTTCGTGTTTGAGGACAAGCGTACCTCTTTCAGGAAGAACAAGCTGCTCAAAGTGCCAGTCATACAGACCGCACCAGCAACGAATGTTGCCAAGGCATACGGATAGTCGATGAAGAACTGCAGGTGTCCAAATGTCTCGGGAAATTGCTCTGCTGGGTTCGCAAGTCCACCACCTATGACAACTCCGTAAGCATGACCGAAGTCTCATATGTTTCAATTGAACATCCACTCACCAACAAGCGGCCCGGCAAAGATGCCCAGATTCCTCGTAAACATATACCAACTGAACGCCCTGCCCTGGGTCTTCTTATCCGTGTTCTCGCTCAGCATCGTCCTCACGGTAACGACACTCCCCGCAAAAACGCCCGCCAGACACCGAAACATGATCATCTGCCACAGCCGCTGACTCAGTCCGAAAAGCGCAGTTGCGATACTCACGCCCGCCAAACTGAACACCAAGACCGGTTTCCTGCCCAATCGATCTGCCATCCGGCCGTAGAAAATCATGAGCACCATCTGGACGAGCGAGAAGAGCGATTCGATAAGACCAGACCAGAAACCAACGTTATCCTCAGGCACGCCGCCGGTGCGCGAGATCATCTCGTTGATGAACGGGAAGATGGCGAAGTATGCCACTGGTTCTGCTAACGATGCGTAGCAGAGAAGAAGAATTTGGATATACGGCATGGGCTTCTCCTCCGCTTCTTGAGGAGCATCGTGAGGTATTGTATCGTAGTCTGCAGGCTTGCCATTTGGTGTCGCGTGTCCATTGGTTTTATTCCGTGCAGGTCCAGATTCTGGCGCGAGGAGAAGAGGTGTTGCTTCGTCTGCTGCTTCAACTGAAGAGCCATTTTTTGTGGGATCGGCCGGCGGTGGCATATTGAATGTATTCGCTCAAGAGCTCTATCTCAACAAGTCGGGAGAGGTTTGGAGGACAAAGAACAGAGAAGAATTGGCGTAGATACAGCCGCAGACAATGCTTACGGTGAGCAGATAGCAGATGACATGGTAGCCGTCAGATGGTCAAACTTTCGTATGTCTTGACAAAGCAGATACGGAGGACAAGTGAGCGTTCGTCAGATGGCGACGATGATGATTTCGTGCTGGAGGATGCATCCATCGCGCTCAATGCCAAAGAAGGCTTGTCCTGGAGCAAGGGTCCTACCGAACCAGGGAAGGTGCATGTCGATCGCCGCTAGCGCCGCGCCGAGGATTTTCCACATCTGCAGTAGAACATTAAGTTCGCGAAATTGTTCGCATTTCTAATAAATTCAACAACCACCGCAACCATGTCGCAGGACGAACCGACTTCGAGAAAGGACAAGAAGGCGTTGAGAGATGCTGAGAGGCATAAGAAGGGCAAGAAGAGAAAATACGCCGATACTGAAGAGCAGGATGCCGCTGCTGTCGCGGAAGACCAGCAAGTAGAAGAGCCTGCAAAGAAGTCGAAGAAGCGAAAGGCCGAGGATACCCTGGAAGGCAATGAGGCGGCTGAGACCAAGGATGCTGCTGGGTTTATCAAGGAGAAGCCAAAGAAGCGCAAGAAGCAGCGCACAGAGCAGACTGAAGGCGGCGAAGAAGCGGAAGACACCAACAAACCAGCCAAGTCGCGCTTCATAGTCTTCGTCGGCAACCTGCCATACAAGACTACCGACGATTCTCTACGAGGGCACTTCAAGAAGCTGCAACCCTTCACGCTTCGACATCGCACAGACCCAAAGACGAGAAAGAGCAAGGGTTTCGCATTTCTTGAATTTGAGAATTACGATCGCATGAAGACATGCCTGAAGCTCTATCATCACAGCATGTTCGACCCCGAGAACGTGAAAGAGGACGGTGCGGACCTTGAGGCCGTTGCAGAGCAAGAGGAAGTGAGCAACAGGAAGAAGAAGAAGACTCAGGCGAGGCGGATCAATGTCGAGTTGACAGCTGGTGGAGGCGGCAAGACGGATGCTCGGAAGGAGAAGATCAAGGTGAAGAATGAGAGGTTGGAGGACCAACGGAAGAGGAGAGCTGAGGTCGAGAGAAAGGAGAAGGAGAAGAAGGCGAGGAAGGAGCAAAAGAGTGGAAAAGCAGGAAAGAAGGAAGAGCCGGAAGAGGCAGCGACTGCTGGCGCTGAGGCTTCCCACGGGATACATCCGAGTCGGCTTGCACAAATGTCTCGTTGAGCCTTCTCGTTACTGCCAGCGTTATTGGTCCTTTCCATACCTTCCAAGTCATGTTGGACGAACAATTCTTTCCGCATTCGAGAGGAACAGCCACCTCTTACATCTTTCGCGACCTTCTCGCACAGTCTCCACCTTGAACCACATCAATACTTTACAGTACCACCACCAGCATTTCATTCGAGCAACGACTCTGGCCGCCGCAATGTCGCAATCCCGGCAGGATTCTCTGTTTCCTTCCCATCACGAGGTGGATTGTCACGATCATAAGCGGCAAAGAATCACCTCGCCCAATCCCAGCATCCCATCATGCTCTGCTCCCGAATGGCACGATGAAACACAGACCGCGGTCGATATCAACATACCCAAGGGGTGCTACGGAATTGACTGTCCCAGAGCATACACTCCGGCACTGACTCGGCATGAGGAGGCGTCTCGCTCTTTGCACAGCAGTGGTCGTTCCGTAGTGTCGCATACCGACTCGAATATTTTCACATTCGATCCATCGTCGCCGTTCGATGTGAGCACCCCGTCGGATTCGTTAAGTCCAGAACTGGAGGTTGGCTCGCCGCCACATCAAGATGAGCTCTGGCAAGCATTGGTCGCCGTACGTGCTAGACGACAAGATCTGGAATACCCCACTACAAGCACTAGCAAAAAGAGGGCCGCAGTGTCTGGAAAAGCAATGAAGTTCTACCCTACAGTTCTCCTCCCCTCGACCAAGACGCTTATAGTCAACATGTTCGCAAGCCCCAACAAGACGCAGAGCCAATGGCCAGACATCACTCAAGTCCCCGAGATCAGGTTCCTCCACCCCGCCTTCACCCTCACGCTGTACATCGCCAACGACGAGCTGACTTTCAGCTTCGCTCTCGGGTCTTTCACCAGCCGGTTCAGCTCCAGACAGCAGGCGTGCTTTGCGCGGGGAGCTAACAAGATGGTCGGCCAGGCTTTGGTGCAAGGCGTGCAAAGTGTGCTTGGCGAGGTGTCGCTTCTGCCGGCTTTTGCGCACATGGTGTATGAGTGGTTTGATGTCATGGGAGTGGAGGTTGGGGTTGATTGGATTCCAAGCGAGGACGAGTTGGTGAGGCATTGGATGGTTTGTGTGAGGTATGGGTGGACTTGTCGGAGGGTCGTTTGAGCGCAAGTATGGAAGATTATTGGTAGCTGAGGCTTGAGAGGGGACACGAGACGTTCGATATTGTTCGAGAGCGAGAGCGTGCTGTTGCTCGTTGGAAGGTCGATGTTCACTCTTGCCTTCAATTCAGGTTATCATTCTTCTTGCTTTTCTGTCTCAAGGAACGAATCACAGCAAAGAACTCCCACTGCTGATGTGATAGCAGTAGACCGAACGTCAGATCACCTGCAGATTCGAAAGCCACTGGAGCGCGTTCACATGCAAACTGGTCCGTGCGCCTTCCGCTCGATGGCTACTTAAGGCAGCACTTGCTCCTTACAACTTCGACAACCTACACCTTTACACCACATTCTCCAGCAACTTCAACAACGAGTAGCTCCCGTCCCTCGACATCGTGACCCAGACATCGTCGAGTAATATCAACGACGAGCCGCGACACAGCACCCTCGACGCGACACCCTCGGTACACCACCCGCAGCACGTCCACCAAACCCACATCCGACACATCACAACTCTCCACACCAGACAACAAGATGCCGCCAGAAGAGCTCGTTCTAACCGAGCGGCCACGCCACCCCCAACGCCCCAGCGTCGACGGTGGCACCGACTCAGCAGGCGACACTCCAGCTGAGAAACCAAACCTGAACAACATCGCCCAAGAGATCTTCGATTTCATCATCGCCGATGTCGACCTGGAGGATCTTCGAAATCTCCGACTTGTCAGCACGGGCATCAACGTCAAGACTCTGGACATCTTCACCAAAGAGCATTTCACCGACTACTCGCTGCTTCTATGCAGCAGGGAGAGTCTTGAGAATGCTTGTGAGGTTGCGAAACATCCTGTCTTTGGACGTGTGATTGAGAAAGTTACGGTGTTTGTTGACGAACTGCGCATCGGCGCTCGCGTTGAGGACGACACCAACGGGAATATCTTCTTCAGAAAATGCAATAGCAAACACGACATGCTCCGGTTCGGGAAGATCGCGAAAGAATGTCTAGAGAAGGTGGATGAGCTGTACGATGCTCTGACAGACCAGCACGCTCTGCGCACGTCGGGCCAAGATCGCAACTTACTGACCGACACATTCGCCTTTCTGAAAGACAACGCCCGAGTTCGAGAAGTCAACATCGACGTCTGCTCTGACTTTCAGGAGGAAGGGCTTCGCCAGGACAAGCCTTGGTGTCGAAACTTGCGCATCTATCAGCAGCTTAAAACGACATTATGCGAGATTTACGGACCCGCTGATTGAGGCACAATTTGGGTTCGTGTCACCGGGGTTCGACTACAACGACAACGGGCGCATGATTCATTGTGTGCAAGGGCACTTCCCCTTTGCTTTGGTCATGCAAGCACTGCTTCATAGTGACCTCAGACCCAAGGATCTCTCGAGCGCTGCAGATTCGTGGCTTTGGAATTTGGACATTGACAAAGTCTTACAAGATCCAGACACGTTCGTGGCCTGCCAGGCGATGTTTACAAACTTGGAACACCTCGCTGTGGGCATCTCTCGTCTGCATGACTTGTCCGACTACGCTGGCTTGTGGGCAAGTGCCTCGAACCTCGTCTCGCTCACGCTATGGACGCAAGACTCTAATCTACTGCGCAATGTCGTCGCAAAAGCTGTTTTTCCGAGTCTCTGCGTCCTCAAACTGTGCGGAGTCAGCATTCCACTGGCGGATTTGCACACGATCGTCCAGGGCTTGGTTGAACGCAATCCCGCGCTCCAACAGCTTCACCTACACGGTGTTGTATTGCTCTTTTGCGAAAGTTTCGTCAATCAGGCAGACAATGAGACCGGCGGTGCAGGCACCGTAGCCGATTTCAGGAAGGGCTTTAGCTGGGTGACGGAGGAGAATCTCCTCGGAAACGCCTTGCGGAAGCTATTGGGTCTCTCGGGCGAGTATATCGAGGTCAGGCTTGACCTCAGAGATTTCCATAGAGTATGGCATCGACGAGTCCCGATTGAGCATGGATAATGCACAGAAGTCGAGGAGACACGGGAAGGGATAGGTGATTTCTGTGTCGGACGCCAGCTCAAATTCGAACATTCGCAGGATGTGCGAGCTGTTCAGGCAACCTGGAATATGAATGGGAGCTTCGTCGCCTCAGTGAGCGCGAATACGATTACATGCGTTCGACTCGGAGCGTCATAAAGGGGTTGGTCGAGTAGACGCGGGTGAGGGCCTAGCGAGTGATACAGTTGGATACCACTCCCCAGTTGTCAAGGAGTGGTGGATTTCAAGTAATTGAAACGGAGCAGCGTCAATTGCAAAAGCATCATCGTTGTGGTATATGATCACGCGAGTCGGAGAATGTACTGTACACCCGAGCCATAGCGCCGAGAAAATGCATCGATGCTGCAATCCTGCCGCTATCAGAACCTCAATCCCATCTGTGTTGCAAGTTAGCTTATGGCCATTTACGCATCGAGTTTACCTTGTTGTGCACATACCCGACGTCTTTCTGCCGTACTATGCCGCCCTCGTTTCCTTTTTGCTTGCCAGTCTTTCCTCCTTCCACCACTAACCGATCCAGCTGGAAGAATTGTGATACAACCGTTTGTCTCTGTCATCAAATAATCAGCCAACGTTCATCTCTGCCCTGACATAACTCCTCCATTAGACAATCGCTCCCCCATCTTGCCACCAAACTCATCCACCTCATCTCCAATCCACGTCTCCCTTCATCCATCTCCTACTCACCTTCAAAACCTGCAACTCCTTCAACCCCTTCTGCACAAGCTCCTGCACCCTCCTCCCATCCGTCTCCGTGCTATGCTCCCTGAACGCATCCCTCGTCCTCCTCTTCGCATACTCGCGGAAATTGTACGCGGCAAACTGTCGTCCCTGCCGCAGCAAAGAACGATATAACGATCGCACTTCGAAGGCGGTGGTCTGCGACATCAAGGTGCTTGTATGTCGGTCGAAAATGGGTATCTGCGGGGGCTGGCGAGATGTATGGGGTGATTGCGATAGGTAAGGTGAATGTTTCGGGCGAGAACGATTCGACGGAGAGACGTCATTCGCTTGTGAAGTCTGTCGGGGTTTGCGCCGCGGAGGTCCGATCGGAGCCGATGGGATACGCTGGCCTGAGGCAGGGATAAAGTCTTGGCATTTTGGGAGCGACCTGGACTTCACGCCCCAGACCCTCGACTTTCATCCTCTTCACGCCCACTTCACATCCATACCACGCGCCGTTTGGATACATCCGCATCCTTCCCATCGCCATTCATAGATTCTATCGCCAGCGCATACACATTTCACCCGCCCGTGCTGTGAAACCCCCCAACAACACACGCGGCTGCGAGGATCCGCTAATCAACAAATGGCGAGCACGGTACGTCCACACTGTTTATGCTTGTCAGATGCTTGAGTTGTGTTAATCGCGTATCGTTACCTTGATTTTTGAACGCTTGTCCGTGTGATTTGGTTCTCTCGTCCTGGGAAATGCTGGGGTTTCTGTACCTCCCCGGTGCTGCGGGACACAGGGAAGCATAACATGGCCGTTTCACGCGCACTGGGTGTAGCCAAACTCAGTGCCGCATGCAATCGCTCCTACTACTTACTTTCCTGTTGCAGTGCCTTGCCACCCGCCGCCTCGACCGCCTTGCCACTTAGCGAATATCGTCGTAGACCATATACACTGACATGTCTCTTCTTGAACAGTACCGCCCACCCGGCCGCAGCAACCGCTCTGGCCGGTCGCAAGCTGATAACGACGTGTTCGAAGGACTGCCGGTTAAACAATGGAACCAGTCATTCTCACGGGTATCTCTTGCGCCTCCAGTGTCAGAAAGCCAGAATCCGGAGGACCAGAAATGGGCTGATCCACCTATGCCACGTGACTATCAATTACTCAATCCTTGGACCCAGCAGCTCCTTCGTCTGGCTCGATCTGGCAAAGTCGGAACCAAGCGAAAACAAGACCCAGATGCCGTTGACGACGACAAGCCCGAAGACGAAGTTGCTGAGGAAGCTTCCAAGAATCACGTCGATGAGCGAGGATACATCGCAAAGAAATGGCGACAAGTTCCCGAGCATCTCTTAGAACCAGAGCACAAGCATTTCGAATTCCTTGCCAAGCGAAGGAGAGGACTTCCAAGTCTGTACGGCCCTGAAGTACAAAACGGGGCTAACATTGCCATGCGTAAAACCAAAGTACAGAGGACGGGCGCAGATGGAGAAGTTGCGGTCTACGAAGTGCTGGTTCCAGAAGGGCAGGCTATCGAGGGCGAGGTCGCCGAATCCACCGAACTGGCAGAAGTCAAGCCGGTTGTAGCAGCGCCTGGCACAGCTATCGAAGGCCTGGGAATCGCAAACGAAGAGGGTGTGCTTGTCGCGGAACACCTCAAACCGGCCGTCGCTCCTCGAAGGAATAGGCCTCCTCCGAAGAAGAAAGGTGGACCGGGACGAGGCAAGAAGCGCGTCACGTTCACCAATCCAGATGGAAGCACGTACACGACTGTTGTGCCAAACGCTACTAAGATTGTTCCTCAACCCGGCCAGACAGTTAAGCACGTGGCCAAAGGAGAGGAAGCTAGTGCGGATGTCACCGCGGAGCAGGCTGCAGCACATCAAACACCTAATCCTGAAGGCGAAGAGGGTTCGGGTAGCGATGATGGAGAGGATGATGGCGACGATGACGACGATAGAGAGGAAGGCGAGCTCTCAGAGGACGATGCGCCTGGGACTGGAGTCGACACGCCGGCGAAGCCAAATACACCTGCCAAAACGGCGACACCAGCACCTCCAGCACAGGTTGACGAATCAGACCCGATGGAAGATGTCAAGCCCACTGATCCTGCGCCGGCAGAGCCAACAGAGGCTGCGAAGGAGGATGAGCCCAAGGCAGAAAATGTCACTGGCGAGACAGAGCTTTCTGCCGCAGAGACGGAGCCTGTTGTCGAAGATAAAAAGGACGCATCAGAAGAACCGTCGTCCGTTGAGCCGCAAGCAGACGAACAACCTTCAGAGCCTGCACCTGCTCCTGAACCAGTATCAGCACCAACAGAAGATGTTGAGATACGAGACGCTTCGAGTTCTCCAGAGCTTCCCCTGGCCAAGACAAGCCACAGCAGAAGCGGGTCATTGGCAGATCCTCCGCCAGTGTCTTTGGATGAGCATGCCCCACCACCAGAATCAGAGCCTGCAGAGGAAGCTAACGTAGAAGCGGTGGCTGAGGCTGAGGTAGACACCGAGGAAGCAAAAGAAGCGGAGGCGCCCAAAGAACCTAGGCCTGCTGCTGTTGAGGAGCCCACGCCTGCTGCTACTGAGGAGCCCGAGAAAGCTGACGACGGCGAGGACGATTTGCTAGGAAACCTCGAGAAGCATCTCGGGGGAGAAAAGGAGGATGAAGACGCTTAGGAAGCCCAGCATCATCCGGAATCAGCGAAATCTGGGGCTGAAGGCTATAGGCGCAAAGATTCTTGCGCCTCTGTGTATCGATAATTGAACATGGCATGTACACTTGTAAGCATACATATACACATTCACACTCATCCATGAATCTTCAGAATGCAGTACAAGGACGTGTTCCTATTCGTGGATCCCACGCTTAAGCTTGAAAGTTTAGCGCGACCAGGGGTTCCGCAGGGTCAACATCTCCTCGCTTTCCTTTCCCTCTTCGCCACAACACGAACTTCATCAAACTCGTGGCTTGCGACGAGGACCTGTCGCACACGTCTACGCGTGGGGATGCGACGACCAGTCATATCATTGGAGGCCACATCGTTATTGACATAATGGTCTTGACTGCTTGCGCAAGATCCCCCGACTGGACGAACGAGTGGTTTGAACTGATGAGTCGACTTTGTATGATACGCAAAAGGACCCGGTCAGACGGCGAAAATAAAGTCTATTGTTTGTCTTTTTCCTAGACGCGTCGACCTCGCCGCTAAGACTTCAGGAATCAGCAACCCTCATCTGACGTTGCCCAGCAAAGCTCAAGCAGCGGGAATTGAAGGCGTTTTATCTTGGCTTGCCTGCCTGCAGCTGACAGTCAAAGGGAAGGAGAACTTTGGTGGCTCACGTATCTTTCCGCACCGCACCGCCGCAGGTTTTCCCTTTCCAGGCTTTCGCGGTTCTCAGAAGCACGTGGAGTCGAAGATCATCTCCAGATCGCCCTGCAGTAGCAGCCGTTGGCGCGCCATGGTTCGTACGCTCGGGCCATCTTCTAGACTTCTTGTTGTCTGAAAGAGCAAGATTGGGACGGCAGACTGACCAATGCTTGTGTTGGGATGGATACTGCATTGAGTCTTTCAGCTGAGTACCGTACCGCGTTTTGCTGCATACCACACTTGGGCGTTGTTGCTGCCGTCGCTAATCGACAATAGTTCTTTGCAATATGTGTGTACGAGGCGTCGCGAACTCATTCCGACCAATCGAGCTTGCAACTTCGCCGTCGTGGCTTTGATGCTTGAAGATTCAAGCATTCGACTTCGATAGCTCAACATCGCAAGGCCTACCCAATCATGTTATGCGCTTTCTGCACTCGTTCGTCGAAAGTGGTATACTTTGGACGTTGACAGCGTAGTAGTGGGATCCACCAGCCGTTGAAGCCTCCCCAGAGCTAAAGCAAAGCATATTCGCCTCGACCATGGTGGACCGCAACGGCCGGGGCGATGAGGCTCACCTGATGATTCAGAGCCCTGTTATAAGACCTTCTTGCCATCCTCCTGCTTTGCCTTCAGCAGCAGCAACAGACTTTCGAGAATTTTCAGCGATTCCGCTACCACACTCGTTTAACCACGCTCTTTCACCACATTCGTTTTCAACTCACGCATTAATCGCCCACCAGCTTCTACAGCTTCAAGTATAATATTCAAAGTCGTCAAGATGCAATTCCTCGCTGCCACCGTCGCCCTTTTCAGCCTCGCCGCCGCCCTGCCAGGTGCACCGACCAGCGATTGCCACACCACCAAGACCTGCTCGGCTGTCTACCACCACTCGACCAAGACCATCCCTTACGAGGCCGTCAAGACTGTCACCGTGACCGAATACAAGCCAGTTACGAAGACCACTGAGGTCGCCAAGCAGTACACGGTCACGAGCTACAGTAAGAAATCTCCATCTTATGAAAATCGATTTCAACTAACCACTCCTCCCAGTCCCATCCACGTACTACACCACGAGCACCTGGACAGAGACAAAGACAGTCCCATACAGCACGTATACTGTTTCCACGATCTGCACGACCACGACAATACCAGTTACATCCAGCTACACGACCTGCGTTACGGAAAGCAGCACTTGCCCCATCAGCACGTCCGTGCCAACCACCATCACGCAGAGCACGTCCGTTCCATCCACCTACACCACCTCGACTCCATGCCCGAAGGCAGAGACGAAGACGTACTCAACCTACTCGACCTCCATCTGCACCGAAACCTCCACCCAGTGCGCCCAGCAGACGCAGTGCACCGCCAAGGCCTACAACTAAACCTGCAGAGATTTTGGAACGGGAGTCGCCTTCAAGCCTTTCTTCTTTTAACGAACGTGACATGACGGAGCTTTTGTAGATGGGAAGCAAAATCCAATCCGGCATCTTGGGAAAGCGAGCGGTATTGTTGTTCGGTTGTTCCATGTTTGTCTGATTCTTTTGACGCTGCGAACCGATCTGTAGTTTTTAATTTGTAATGGCTGGAATCGCAGGAACGAGACGGCTCGATTCTCGCGGCATCTCTTCTGCTATGCACAAAGTCTTCAACTTTTCCTACTACCATGCATCCCGCACTCAGCTATCTTTGTTGGCCGCCATGCTGAAACCCTCTATGCAGGAGACTTGAGACATCGAAACGTCTCAGCCTCGCCAAGTTTCTAATCTCGTCTGTCAACATCCGCCAAGCCAATATTGTGGAGATTTGTGCAACGGCTATGGATGCAACAACGTTCACGGCAAACCGAACTTTGGGTTGTCGAGACATGTAAGCGGGAGTATCTCCAAGCAGAGTTCTTGTTCTCCCTGAAGATAAGAAGGCGATGTGCCGAGCGGTTTGAGGAGTGGCTGGTATAAAACAATTGCCAACAGCTGGATTTTCGATCGTTTGTTGGGTGCGGAATGAGTATAACTTTCTACCAGCATGAAGGGAGAGGCCCTGATTGAAGAATTGAGCATGCAGCACACATCACTGTCTTGCGCATAATGTGTAAACAGGCTAACGATCGTCAGAACCCGGACTTCGCATGTGTTTCTTGGCCCTGTCGACTTTCAGCATCATCACGACAAGGCTGATCAACAACTCAGAAGATCTCCCACTGACACAAGAAACTTCACAACAGCAGACTACGACCGTCTTTTGCATGCGTCTCACAAGCAACGTGAAGTCGCTATGACATACCGCCCTAGGAAAGCAATTGCCGAAGTCGAGCAGGCTAGCGACGGAGAAGGACTTTTCTTGGCCCACTCTGCTCCACTCCGGTATCAGCTCGACATCTCTCGACCACTTGACAGCCGGGTTGACGAACAATTTTTGCATGCAGGTATGGCTCAACAATTTCTCTCGGCCGAAGGGTTGTAGAATGATTTCTTGAGTTGCTTTTTGTCCTTCCCGAAAATTTTGCTTCTTGCTATCGTCTCCCCTTTCTTGGTTTGACTCAAAATGGCTATTGAAGAGAGTGTTGCAGTCGCTGCGACTGAGCAGCTCATGCAATCTGATGACCACGAAAAGAGAACGAAGGCTGGCACTTTTTCTGTCGACACATCGGAGGTCCAGGAGGATAGACCGCGCAAAATCGGAACAATCGTCACGATCGTTGGCTCTGCCCTCGCCAACTTATCCGATGGCTATCAGCAGAACCTCGCATCTTCGACCAACGTCGTCTTCAAGCACCTCCTTGGCAAAGCATATACCTCTGAGATTCAGACACGGATCTCAAATGCTCTCCTAGTTGGCTCCGTGATCGGCATCCTGGCCTTTGGTTATGTGGCCGATCGATTCAATCGCAAAAGCGGCATGCTCGTCACCAGTGGTCTCGTCATCATTGGCTCGCTCATGTCGACTCTGGCCTTTCAAGTACATGGCATGCAGGACATGCTCTGGTACTTGACAGTCGCTCGAGGAACAGCTGGTGTTGGCGTGGGAGGCGAGTACCCAACCAGTTCTGCTGCAGCATTGGAAGGCTCCAACGAACACTTCGACTCCCAGCGCGGGCCGATCCAAGTCCTCATCTCAACAGTCATGGCTACATCAGGCAGTGCACTGTGCACATTCGTCTATCTAATGGCTTTGATTGGTAGTGGGGAGAACCTGAAAGTCGCATACCATGCTATCTATGCAATTTCGACGATTCTCCCCCTTCTTGTCGTACTGGCTAGGTGGCGAATGCAGAACGGGAAGCTGTTCAACCAGAGTAACTTCCAGAAGAGGAAAATTCCGTGGACACTAATTGTTAGGAAGTACTGGCTCAGGATGCTGGGGACTTCGACGGTGTTCTTTTTGTATGACTTTGTGAACTTGTGAGTCTCCAAGTCTCATTCAATCGAGAAAGAGGTGCTAATGTTTGCAGTCCCAACTCCATCATGAGCTCCGTCATCATCAACGGCCTTGTACCAGGAAGCGACGTCCGCCAGGTGGCTCTATGGCAACTCTACTTAGGATTGATGCCCATCCCCGGTGCCCTCGCCGGCGCGTGGCTCGTCAACAAGATCGGACGTCGTTGGACTGGCATCACCGGCTTCCTACTCGGATATGTCGTCTGCGGCTTCATCATCGGCGGCCTCTACCACAAACTCACAACCGAAGCCTTGCCAGCCTTCGTCGTGCTATACGGCCTCCTACAAGCTTTCGGACACATGGGCCCCGGGGCAACGATTGGCCTGATCTCATGCGAGTCGTTCCCCACGGCGGCCAGGGGAATGGGATATGGCGTTGCCGCTGGGTTTGGAAAGGCGGGTGCTGCTGTTGGCACGCAGGTGTTTACCCAGATCCGGGCGGCTGCTGGCCCGGCGTCGACGTTCTGGGTTGCTGGCGGGATTGGAATCTTCACGTCTGGGGTTTATTACTTCTTGCCGGAGGGAAGTCAGCTTGAGCTTGAGAAGGCTGATGAGGAGTTTGAGAGGCTGTTGCTTAGTGAGAAGATATATTGAGTGTGAAGATGTGCTGCTGACAGATGTTTGTCACAATATGTTGCTAAATGATATTTTCAGGTATTGTTTCGTCCAACAATCTCCGTCACAAGTTGATGGACCGCTATCTCAACCTTTCCGGTGTCGTGGAACATCATCTACCAATGTTGACTATAGACGACCCGCTCGAGCTCGAACTGGAAGTTCCATCTGATGAACCCGAAGAGCTGGATGCGCAACTAATAAGATCTGAGGATGTCAGATCAAGCCGATCTCTCTGGAAAAGGGACGGGACTCACTGCATTCGCTCGAGGAACTGCTCGAGCTGTTTCCAGAGGCTGCCCCGGCACTTGAACCGCCAATGAGGCCAATACCGAGGAGACCAGTACTTGATGATCCGGTCGATGCAGTCTGTCGTGGTTCGAGGGCGTCTTGCATCGGGGTTGCAATGGGTGCGGCGGTGGCGAGAGCTGTGAGCGCCGCGATGAAGAGGAATTTGTTGGACGGCATGATTCTTGGGCTGGTTTTCGAGTTGCGGGTTATGTAGTTGTGGCCTTGCTATCGCTGTCGTGTACAAATGAAGTGTATCTCTGGTGTAGAGCTGTGTCGGAGTAGAGTGGGAAGAGGTGCTCAGAAGAAGAGAAGAAGCGTCTCACGACTTGCACAACAACGCTAGGCCAAAGCTTCAAGGCCTGTTTGCAATGACAATTGCTGACCCAGAAGGAGTCGAGACCGTTGTCCAAGATGAATCACGGGTATCTCAACAAGATGGCCTTTCGGTCTGTACTAGTCACACCGCCTGAGTCTTTCCGCGGTGTTGCCTGTGCCCGCTCAAAAAACTTGTCCTAGAGCGAGAGCTTCAGTGTTCAAGCTAAAGAGCTTGCAGTAGTCTTTGCCACAAGTTGCCATCTTTTCCAGGGAATTGTAAAGCATCAAGGTCGTCATACCAGTGAAAACGAAATGCTTTGAGGCAATATGAGCACTCGAATTGTCTCAGGCGAGGGACAAGGCAAGACCTGGACAGCCTTGTTTGAATTGAGGATTTCGTATCTGGAACTGATTTCGAGAACTGGCGATCTTCCCTACGATCAATTAGGTGAAGTTTAACGATTCTGCAAGGCCGAACTCTCGCGGGCGACGATCAATGTTCGACTACCTGGGTAGCAGTGTCTGCGATCTAGTCTTAGGTTGTTGCATGCGTAGCCTTCGCAAGCCGCTATTTCGAGTTTGCGGAAAGGTCGATCGAACAACGCTACATGTCTTTCGTGGAACTTCGCTCCTTCCATCTTGAGCACATTGCTGACGATCGCTGGATGTGGCAACCTTCTTCCTGGCTAGCGACTCATTCCACGGGAGACCTCAGTCGTCTTGAAAGCGGCGCGTGGGTAGTCAACATCTCACAATGCATTGGTGTCTAGCCGTTCCCACCATTTTCTGCTTTTCAAAGCCCGCAGTGCTCACTGCCCGCGGCCGGCTCAATAGATTCTCACCAGATCCATTTCGCATCGCACTCGAATTAGTCTCCAGAGTCGTGCCTATAGCTGCGACAAGCTTTGCAGATTGCATACCGAAGGTGCATCAAGCATTACTGTGTTCTCGACAAGAGCACCATTGAGTCCTTCGAAGGCTATAAGGCTTCAGCTGGCCCCGAATCTCCAGATAGAACATTGAGATCTCTCACACCACAATTCTGCAGCCGGCACCGCCTGATTCACTTTCTGACAGCATATCTTCACGATGCATCTCACCACCATTCTTGCGACACTCCTCTGCACCCTGGCTGCCGCCGCCCCAGTGCCCCAGAACAACTCCGGATCGACGTGAACCTCAACGACAAACAACAGTGGCTTGCTCGGCATCGGGCTCGTTGGCGGTAAGTTCATGGAGCACTCATCAAGATCATGAGATCCGGTCTAACATCTCTTCTAGGGGCTGCAAGTGCTTCTGAGGATGGCCAGAGTACCAGTGCTGGAAGTACTTCAATTTGTGGTAAGATTGTAATCGTCATGACTCATTGGTGTTTCGATCTCTGACCTATATGCAAGGCCTCCTCTCCTGTAGCGCCAGTGGTGCCTCTGCTGGTCCGAATGGAACCAGCTCTTCGAGCTCCTCCACTCAGAATGGCAGCTAGAGATTGGCCGTGAAGGAGGAAGGATATGTGATGTGGTCTAGTTCCACCCCTATTTCAGATCTCAAACCACATAACACAATGCAAAGATCACCACATCGCCGCACCACCACAAACAGAAATCGTATCCCCATTGATCCACCTCGCACCACCACCACCTTCAGCAACAAAACAAACAACATCAGCAATCTCCCCAGGCTGGCCAAGTCGTTTCTCAGCCGTGGCATCATTTTTCACCCGATCAATCATAGCCTGCGGCGCCGTGGCGATCATATCCGTCTCAATACCCCCAGGCAAGACGTTATTAATTGTGATCTTCCTCTCCGCCGCATGGGCCGTCGCCAAGTTCCTAGTCATATGCTCCAAGGCTGCTTTGCTGGCTGCGTAGATGGTAGCTTGTCCGCCTAAAGCGACTCGGGCCGCGCGAGAGGAGATTTTGATTATGCTGCCTCCCGGTTTTATCACTGGTAGCGTCGCTTGGATCAGGAGAAGTGGTGCCAGGACGTTGGTGTCGAAGACTGTGTGGTACGCTTCAGAGGTAAGCTGTCCCATCGGATAGAGATTCATGAGACCGGCATTGTTCACCAGGATATCGACGCCATCGACTGAGAATGCTTGTAGAGTCTTTTCTATGACGGACTCAGCGATCGCGGTATCGAAGTTTCCAGGAGTCTGTATTGCTACGGCCTTGGAACCTGCTGCTTCGATCTCAGCTGCAGCGGATTCCGCGGCGTTGGCGTTAGAGAGATAGGTGAAGGCGACCTTCAGTAATGTCAGTCAAGATTAGTGGTACCATGGAGGCACTCTTACGCCTTGAGCACCTCTCTTTGCAAACTGAATAGCTATCTCCCTGCCGACACCTCTACTTGCGCCTGTGACTATGGCAATCTTGCCCTCAAAAGAGCTGGAGGCCATGATGAATCTAAATCGAATCCAGGTGTATTAAGACAGGTTCGCAAGCATGCCAGGACACCAGGAGCAGGCTATAAATACTGGAAATTATCTTTATTTCCGATGGATAATCCGTAACCTGCAGGAATGCTGACCTACGTGAATGCTCAAAGAGGTAATTTCGTCCGTGAGCCAGCCTTGCGTGGCCTTCCGGTCCGGCCGTTGGTGGATACGTGAGTGGATATAGAGTAGTTAACGAGCTGGCGATGGAGCGAGACACTACTGAGAGGTGTAAATGTTATTCTATTGGCGACGTAATGGCCTTCATTGGAATCTGCGTATCGTCATGAATCAAAGACCCGGAAATGCAGACTTTGCCACGACTTGACATGGTAAATCGTACTCCAGAGTCGCTGTTCCCAGAGTCTCGCCAAGCGATATGGGACTCTGCAGGTAAGGTCGTAGGTCTAATGAAACGAGCCTCGAGTATGATAGGTTTCGTCCCTTCCCACCACATTTGCCTTGCCTTCGAGCTGGGTGAATCCTGGTCCTTCGCAATGTCATCTCGCAAGCATTCTGTGGCCAGAGCGACCAGATGGTTGCCATGTGCGATGACGGACTTGAACCCGAATATCTTAGCCCCTAAGTGCGAGACGTGGATACGGTTGTAGTCTTTCGTCGAAGCAGCCCATTTGTGTGGATCGCTCGTTGCGAGACGAATTGTATGGGAGCCACCATCCCCTACGTGGTCTTCCAGTGCTCTCTGGTCTTGTTCGCCTCCATCTGGTATGTATCGTGGCTCGAACGACTTGGTCAAAAATTGTAAGACCCAAAGCTCCTGGGTCACAATGATATCCTCGCCGAACAGTACGTCAACAGAGATGCAGAACTCCACACCCCTTTTGCGGCGATAGCCTGGCCTATCGAACCCTCCAAAGTAGACTCTGTAAGAAAGCTTCGACTCTTCAGAAGCTGTTCTCAAGGCGCTGATGTCTCGAGCTAGCTTGGGCCGATGGATTTTGAATGTATTGCGTGTGTTGACAGTTCCTAGGGGTAAGATCGGACACTCACGATCGGCGAGGACGTGGATCAATAGAGGCAGAGTCTGCGCGATCAGAAACATAGGACTGATCGTCTTGTCGTCCGCTTTGGCCTTCACGGCTTGAGTGTATAGCTGCTCATCATTCTGGTCAATGTTCAGCAGACCTTGCATGTAGATGTACGGCAGCTTGAGTCTTTGAGCGTGTCCGGGCATGGCCCTCATGGTAGGTATATATCCTACAAGAGTCAGAACATGTTTTGAAGCAGCCTTGAACGCCAGTAGGCCAATCTCTGTTCCTGTCACATGGTTTGGGCTTTTTGATAGTCCGATCTGGAAGGATCTCTCCAGAGACAACTGTCGGCGGCGTCGAGCAATGGAGATGAGTATGACAGTCAGTAGAAGGCCTGCGCCAAACCAGATGGGTAGTGCCGAGGCCATTGTGAGTGCTCGCAAACACAATAACGTGTTCAGAGTGTTGTCCCGACAGTTGGAAACAACCTTTCTGCTGAGTTTTGACGCCTTGACGTCATCGATGCAGGAACATATTCTGCCTCTTCAGCAGCCACCGAGTTCATGCATTGTTCATTTCCCTTCCAAAATCAGCCTATCGGATCCCAGTAAGAAGAACAACAATTTAAGTCGAAAGTGCAACTCAATATGTATGCAGTCGACAGCCAATCACTGTTATGCAGGGAATGTTGTTACGCCAGCATTGCCTTTCCGCTATTGACTTTGTCGCCTACGAGCCACCATTGGCATACCAATGCCCAGGGAAATTGGCCTGGGTAGCAAACTCAGTACCATGAGCCAAGCTTGCAGCGCCCATAGAACGCGTTTCGGGGTTCTCCACCCGATCATAGCCAAGAAGTCCCGAGGACGATTCTATTCGCTTCGCTTTTGAACCATGGAGTCAATTTACGCAGCCCTGCAAAATGAAGTTCACTAACCCAGTCGAATACAATCTCAGCGCGAGGCTGTGCCATTGACTTTCGTACACTCGCGATTAACAACAGGGGCATCCCAGGCGCCGATGAAACACCGGACGCTATACATCTACTGAGCTCAACCTCCATCTCTCGTATAGTCGTATGAGGAGAACACCTTCTGTCACCACACATGCACTCGACAACCAGTCAGAGTCCATGAACAGCGCAACACAGGGTGAGAGCAGCCATTCGCCCGAGCCAACCGAGAACGGAGCACAAACGATACTACGTAATCGGCGAGCCGCACATAGCAAGTCTCGATCTGGTTGTCTTCGCTGTAAGAGGAGGAGAGTGAAGGTATGCAATGCAGATTAGAGCGAGGTCCTTCCTAATGCCTTGGCTAAGATCGTGGTCACTACAGTGCAATGAGGCTTGACCGAAGTGCCGTGCATGCGAGCTGCGAGGCGAGACCTGCCGGTATCCAACCGCGAAGCCATGTACAAGTTGCAGCCGCCTTGCTTGTGTCTGCTTCGATGGTAGCGTTCCTGAACCAAGCTCACCGGATCACTGGACCGAATTCGAATGCACCTTCCACTATGCTCGACATACATACGACACGCTCATCACGGAGCCGTTGCACTCGAAAGCGAAGCCCTTATTGAAACCACCCGAATGCCTTCGACATCCATTCCTCATGGATCTACTACTCGGTCTTTCAGCTGCACATCTTGCGGTTCTCAAACCCGCGGAGAGCATGAAGTACGGACTTCGTGCTGTCAACTATCAGAATCGAGCTCTGAGCGGGTTCAATATCATTCTGCAGGATCCCAATCCCGACACTGAGAGTCTATTTGCCATGTTCATCTTCTCTGCTTTCCGGGGCATTCTGGAAGTTGCCATTTCCCGCACAGCTGGAGCTCAGCAAAAGCAGTCTTTCGTCGAGACCTTATGTGCCTTGACCAGGCTGTTCAGAGGATCAAAATTCATCATGAAGAAAGCCAGAGAGGCAATGTCTGATGAGACTTGGAACTCCATTTTCCGCGACGAAGACTCCAAATTGAGGATAAGGCATCTCACTATTGATCATGACAGCTTTCCGATGCCGGAAGGGGAGCCTCTGGACGACATGCTGGCCCAGATCGACTTCTACATCCCGCCGCGTGAGGTCGGCCACGAACCAAGCAGTCATAATGCTCACCTTCCCGATGGCAGAGACCAGGCCGTCAAGTACTTGCGGCGATTGACCGCCATCCAGGTGCCTGCCAATCGTGCAGGTCAACTGCTCTCCTGGCCCGCAATGTGGACAGACGGCTTCATTGAGGACGTCTCCGAGGGTGAACCAAGATGCGAAGCTATCCTTGCTTGTTACGGTCTAACATTGAGGCATTTGAATGATCGGTGGTGGGCAAAAGACTTTGGCAAAGATCTTGTGCTTGAGGTTGCGTCCGGTTCGAGCAGTGCGATATTAGGACCATTCTATGCCCAGTTGCTACAAATGATAGAGCCTCCAAGTCGCTAGATCCTCGATACTCCACCCATGCCTTTGGTATTCGCTGTCAAGTTTGTCACGCCGGCAAGATTCTGGACACTCAACGAGGTGAGCTGGCTTGAGAGATCTTCTCAGCTGGCTGGTAGACACGCCAAAGGGAACTCAGGCTGGACCTGCCACTCGCGGATGTCAGGGACACTGCAGTTCGCGGTACGTTTTACTGTAAAGTACTCGCATTGTTGAGAGGGTTGCTGACATCGAGGAGGAATAATGTGGAGAACAAGATAGAGGTAGAAGAAGAGCCGCTCGGTCTAAGACATGTCGCTTGCCTCCAGCATGGGTAAGAGACGGCTAAAGTACGGTTGGTTTCTCGTAAGATGACATACATGGAGAAGCCAATATATGCGAGAAGGAGTGAGACAATCTTGGGATCTTGCTGACTGAGCACACAGCTGAGTTCTTCCTCACCGGCTTCGAGAAAAACCTTCACCGCCTGCAAAAAGTCAGAACAACGACGACACATGTCCCTCGCGAAGACAAGCAACTTCATCTGTACGCATGCATCGTTCATCATCAACACGATGAGAAGTCCTGATAACAATTCACCGAACTACGGCGCACGCACGAGCCCCCATCCCCGGCTCCAGAGATACTTACAGCGGCTCAGCCAATGAAGTTCCAACGACATGCCCAAGTTACCTAATTGCCCCCAAGAACGACCAGGTTCGCGATGCCGTTTCTGGTGCAAGCAACCGTGCAACCCCAGGTTTTCCACGCACGGCGAATTCAAAGCCTTGGGTAGCCGATGGGGTGCTGGACTTCACTTCACCTCACCTCGTCGTCTTAAGGGATGAACCAGCTGGTGACCGGCCGAAATCGTTGGCGTTGCAAGGTCTAGCTTGCCATTCAACCACCTTGTTTGACTGAGCTCTCAGCACGACTTCGAAGATGCAGGAGAACGACGAATATGGCGGCGCCGAGGAATGGAAGAGGCAAGATTTCTCTCTCGACGTCGAGAAGACTCACTCCGTCACCGGGACCCAAGAAATCGACTTGTCCGGCGGACACCAACTTGAACGCGGTCTCAAATCCCGGCACATCCAATTCTTTGCCCTTGGTGGTGCCATCGGGACGGGACTCTTCGTCGGCTCGGGCGCCATCTTGAACACAGTCGGTCCGGCTCCGCTGTTCATGGCGTACCTGTCCATGATGCTGGTGGTGTGGATTGTGATGAACGACTTGGCAGAGATGGTCACGTATCTGCCGTTGAAGGGAATATCGATTCCGTACTTTGTCAATCGATTCGTGGATGAGAGCTTGGCTTTTGCTGACGGGTGGAACTACTGGTAAGTCCCAGGCAGTCAATCATGATGACCATCTGACTGATGTGTTCAACCCTTAGGTATGCATACGCCATTCTCGTTGCCGCTGAAGCGACAGCTGGGGCCATAATCATCGAATACTGGACCACGAGCCACTTGTGATATTGCTCCAATCGCCATAGGATTCGAACTGACCATACGCCCCAGAGCCGAGGGCATGGACGACTCGCTCTGGAACGCGCTCGCGATCGAAATGGATCAATTTCTTGCGGCCTGACGTATCTTCGAGGAGGTTATAGCCTCGAGGCCCCGCACGAAGGGAATTGGACGTGTTGACTTGCACACCTTCGCCGGTGGTTTCGATCTTGCCGTTAGTCGAGTATGCAGCGTTGTTGAGCTGGTCGAGCTGTCGTAGGTTCAATATACACGAGCGTTGCGCAGCGTTGTGCGAGAGAGCCTACCTTCTGCTGGGTGACATCCTGAGACGATGCCAACTGCGCGGCTAAGCCAAATGCTAGAGTGGTGACGGCGCCTAGCTTCATGGTGTGTGTCTGAGATCAGAAGAGACAAAGATTTTTGGCTCCATCAGGACTGGGTATTGCTCCTTTCCTTATGTAGTCCATTCGTGCTGCAAATGCGGGAGCGACATCGATTCCAACAATTCGATTCCAATTGGCTGGGTGGCTGAATGGTGAGCGCATATTGATTACAAGGCTCCAAGTAGGTACTATCACTGCATTCGTTAAGTTAGACATAACAGTGCTCGTCTGGACCTGCGCGAGCCCCGTGATGGAATCGCGGATCTGCATCTTCTGCAGTTACAATGTATCCGAAAAGGGTACTTCGTCCGTGGTCATAGTCTAATGAGAAAGTAGGGGTAAGATAATGCCTGCTTACTGCGAGATGGAATCCGAATGAAGTGGACGTTAGAAGTATGCTCAGGACATACTGATTCCATGCAAACCGCAAGCTCGAGTTTTGACTTCGTGGGGCGTGGCTGTACGAATCCTGGCTGTGGAATCTTGCTAGCAACGCAAGACAAACAAGGAAGACTGAAACAGGTATTCGCCCACTATAGAAACAATGACATTGAGATCTTAGTGCTCACCCAGGCGCCGGTTGTGATATGCCTATACGACTGTCAATGCATCGTAGATCTGATCAACGTACTTAAACGAGACTCTTTGTGCCAACCTCTCCCTACAACTTCGATGTCTGCCTCTCTTTCTTCATTTCCTCTGCTGCTCTTTCTCGTCAATACTGGAGTGTGGATCTTCATCATACTCGTCGTCATTCTCCTACTCAACATCATCGCTGTCGCCTTCTTTGGCGAGGCAGAGTTCTGGTTCGCCTCGATCAAACTCCTGACTATACTCGGCCTGATCATTCTGGGCGTCGTTCTCTTCTTCGGTGGTGGGCCCAACCACGATCGCCTTGGCTTCCGATACTGGACGTACAAAGATGGATATGGCGCTTTCAAGGAGTATATGGTACCTGGGAATACTGGAAAATTCCTAGCGTACTGGACGGCCTTTGTCCGCGCTGGATTCGCTTTCATTACTTCACCTGAACTCATCGCTCTCGCGGCTGGTGAGACTGTTGCACCGAGACGAAACATTCCCAAAGCTGCCAGACGATTCGTGGTTCGTCTTGCGATATTCTATGGCTTGGGATCGCTCGTCATCGGCATCATCGTGCCTTCCAATGATCCAAGTCTCCTCGGCGCATCGAACGCCAGCGCCTCGCCTTTCGTCATGGCATTCAGAATGCCGGTATCGAAGGACTGAACCACGTCATCAACGCCGCAATATTGACATCAGCATGGAGTGCTGGCAATGCATTCTGCTATTCAGGATCCCGCATTCTGTACTCCTTAGCTTTGAGCAACCAAGCTCCCGCCATCTTCAAGAGTACCACCCGATTTGGAGTGCCATGGGCTGCTGTACTAGCAACATGGCTCATCGGATGTCTCGCCTTCCTGAACGTCTCCAACTCTGGAGCGACGGTTTTCACCTGGTTCAGCAACATCAGCACAATCAGCGGTTTTATCGCTTGGATTGTGGCTATGATCACTTACATTCGCTTCCGTCAAGCCATGATTTTCAATCATATGCTCGACGCTCTTCCTTTCAGGACACCACTGCAGCCATATGCTTCTTACTTTATGGTCTTCTTGATTAGCGTACTCACCTTGACCAATGGGTTTCAGGTTTTCTTTCCTTCGGAGTGGAATGTCTCTGATTTCCTCGCTGCGTATATCACTGTATGTCATTAAAACTGTTGGCTGTTCAGGGACGACGACTGACATTGATTTAGCTTCCTATTTTCCTTGCGTTATACCTCGGCCACAAGGCATATTTCGCCACAGTGCATGTCGTGAAAGACATGTCGTGGAATGGTTCGTTCCAACCTTGGAAGATGACAAAGGCATGGTTCGGTGCATGGAAATTCGCCCACGAGCTGAGTGAGATCGACGTTCTCACCGGCAAGAGAGAGATGGATGAGCTCGAAGCTCTCGATGAGCCGCCTGTACCAAAGAACTGGCTGCAGAAGGCGTGGTACTGGCTGGCATAAGACCATATGACAGCATTCGTAGATCTTTCTTCAAAAGAGACCTTCAATGAGCTGGCTCTCATCAACATCATCTATCTCATTCAGCCAACTTCCTCAATTCCTTCACTACCTCAGGAAACCTCTCCTCAAACTCCTCATCAAACTCCTCATACCTCGGCACCCCATCCTCCGCGATCCTATGCCACGCCGGTCTACTCTTCACAAAAATATGAATCCCCACCTCCGGAATCCCAAAATCACTCCTCACCACCGTGCCAGCCGCAACATGCGTCTTCTCGGGATAACACTCATACTGCAGACTCAAGCCCGCCCCGCACTTCTCGCAAAACCCTCTGGTGGCGATTTTGGAGAGGTGGACGTGCACGATGGGGCCGGAGAAGGTGAGGGTTGAGCGGGGAACGCCCATCCAGGCTATGAAGGGTGCGCCGGAGATTCGTTGGCATTGGATGCAGTAGCAGTAGTCGAGGTGTGTGGCGGGGGAGGTGCTGGTGTAGGTGCAGGAGCCGCAGGCGCAGCTGCCTGTTAGGTTCTTTTCTTGGTTGTTGGATGTTGACATGTTGATGGGTGCAGATGGTGGGAGAAGAGGGAGGCCATCAAGGTGTTTTGCGCACGTTGGAAAGGGAATTAAGTGAATGATTAGGTTCGAGCAGAGTCCTGATTGGACTGCAGGATCGAGATCACGCCATCTACGGCAGACCCAATCGGCAACATCACCCGATCGTTTCCCTCAGTGGGCTGCAGCCTCGCTGGTGGCCGTGACGACTAACAACTGGGACGATATCAATTAAAATCCTTCGTATCCAACCCATTCGTCTCCCCCCTAAACAACACCCTCGCAAGCTGATCAATCGTCTTCGCCTTCCTCCCCAACAACGTCTCCAACGTCGGATCCAAAAAGTTCATCTCTCCGTTCTCCAGCGCCTCGCCCCAAGTCGTCCAGTCGCGAAGAAAGCCCTCCTGCTCGGGAGGCAGAGAACCTCGCTGCTCGTGGTACTCGATCGCCTGCTTCGCGCCGACTTTGCGGAAGGTGATGGGAGGGCGATTGGTGTAGTTCGTGTATTTATTGACGATGTCCTCGACGGTGAGGAGTTCGGGGCCTGTGAGGGCGATGGATTTGTTGATGTAGTTTCTCTGGGGCACACAGTCAGCGACTCTCCCATCCACGCTTATCATCAAGATCATCACCTACCCAACCCGCAACAACAAAAGCAGTCCCCTCCCCCAACTCCCTCCTATCCGCCCAACTAACCCTCCCATCCCCCGCAACCACCACCTCATTAACCCCCTCATCCCCAACCCTCACAAACCCCGCGAAATTATTCCACAAATGCGCATACGTCGCCTCCCTAACCACCGTCCACGTCAACCCACTAGCCTTCAAATACGCCACGGTGCTAATATGCGCCTGCATAACGCTTGCATGGCTTTCCTCGCCGTCCAGACCGCCGAAGAGCAGGGACGTATAGATAATATGTTTCACACCCGCTTGCTTCGCGGCGTCGATACACGCTTTATGGTACTTGTATCTCTCGAATCCAGTGGAAGGATAGGAGGTTAAGTACAATACTTCCGCGCCCCGGTAGGATTCCAGCAGCGTCTCCGGCTTGGTCATATCGCCGTAGCGGATTTCGATCCCGGCGCTGCGGGCGAGGGCGTGGGAGGGGGAGGAGGGATTGGCGGAGGAGATTATGATTTCTGAGGGTGGGAGGAGGTTTTTCGAGAGGAGAGTGGTGAGTAGGGGGGCGCCGAGGCCGCCGGTTGTGCCGGTTAGGATTATCATGTTCGATGGTAGGGATGAACAGAGGTTCTGGGCGAGTTTCTTGAAGGAGAATGGTAATGGGACGCTTTGGAAGGCTTCGACGAGGCTGTGGAAGAGAGTTGTGACGCAGGCTGACGAGATACACTCAGCTTTGTGCAAGGATATTGGCGACCATTTATAGCTGAATGGGCTCGCATATACGGCGCTTTAGCAGCCTTGCTTAGTGGTCGACAGTCGTGCTCAAAAGCTTCATTTGCCGAAAGAGGCAATTCTGGTCAGTTGACGACAAATCATGAGCTAGCTGCTGAAGAAACCCGTAGAAGGCGAGGCTGGTTAGAGCTCTTGCGTCTCTGCGTTGTTTGGGTAATCCCCATCTCGTCAAATATGGTTGCCATTAGTCACTTCCGTCATACAACACATCGTTCTATTAACCCGCCATTCCTCGACCACCCCCTCCCCAACTAAAACCTCCTCCCCGGCAGCCCCTCCGTCCTCCAATCCCTCTGCAAACTCGGCTCCGCCCTCCACTCCACCTGCTCCGCCCTCCTCAAATTCCTCAGCGCCTGCCTCTGCGCCTCCGTCGCCCTCTGAACCTCCGGATCCGGCGGCTGCACATCGCTCGTCGGCCGATCAATCACTTTAACCTCATGCAAACGCCCTTCGTCGTCGCGATAACTCATCCTCGTGGCGGTCGTCTCGCTAGGCGGGGCGTGCTTGATCTCCACGCCGTCGGTGGTGGAGGAGTGGCCCATTTTCTCTGTCGGGGCGGAGGGGTCTGTCTCGTGGACTTCGGTCGCGGAGGCGGAGAAGGAGGCGCGCGGGTCGCGCATGTGGAGGATTTCGTCTTCGGAGACGGGGTTCTCGGGGTCGATGACTTCAGGCTTGATGGGCGCTTTGCTCTCCGCTGAGCTCGTGCTGAGCGGGTTTCCTGTCATCGTCGCCCAGAGGCGTTGCATCAGGCCTGCCATGGCGGGCATGCAGGTGCAGATAACGGAGAAGTTGCATTCGACCGAGCTCCAGATTGCCGTGGAGGTGTAGTCCCAGGTCGGGTTCGAGGAGAGGCCGACTTTGACTAGATACTGAAGCCGTATGATCGAGCAGACTGTGACGAGGAGGCCGACCATGAAGATCAGGCAGACGCCCATCTTGCGGCGCCAGGAGATGTTCAGCTTCAGGAAGTTGTGGAGTGGCAGGACGAAGACGAAAACGTCGTAGGCGATGTTGATGGCTCCCAAAGCGTAGATCTGGCCGGCTCGGTTGATGCAGTGTCCGTGGTGGAGGCCGTCCCAGTCGGTCCAGGCGTAGCTGACTGGAGAGCATTGGAAGATTAGGCTGATTACGAAGGCAAACATTGTCGTGATCAAGATCCAGATGAAGGCCCAGCAAGCTCGACGAAACCACATAGAGACTGCTTCTTCGGTCCAGATACGCAAATACAGTTGCAGAATGGAGACCTTGGTCGTCATGACGATTAGGGTGTAGATGATTTCGAAGACGTAGAATTGCTTTACGTCACAATCAGCCAACTTCGCCCACTTGATCCATCGAATGACATACCTTCAACATCTCCGTGATATCCTCAGCAGGCAGCGTATAATTGTCCCTCCCCAGCCCTTTATGCGTCATCGTCTGCACCAGGACATTGAGCACCAGCAGCAATGCCGTGCAAACGAGAATCGTCCAATCATCCGTTCCATATCCACTCCCCTTCAGCCTCTGAGGTCTCGCAATGGCTCTCGCAGCGACGAAGACAATCGCCAACCCAAACAAGACCCATGTGACTCGTCTAGTAACACCAGCTTGATCGCGAGACGCAGCACCACAGGTATCTTTCGAGAATTTCTCGGCGACTGTGCATAGCATCAGCATCAATTCGACCCAGCGCAGTCGGGGACGTGACCTACGAAGCTGGTCTGGTATAGTACAATTCGAATACAAACAAGCCTGCACATCGCTCGTGAGGTTCGTATTCGGACAGATACACTGCACACTCGACATTGAGCACTCGTACTGGGGAAGGATTTGGGCGAAGCAGAGTTGCTACAGACATTCTTCGTCAGCAAGGCGACCCCGGCACAGGCACCGAGAGATGGAGATTTGGCTCACTCACCGCACACCGGGGGATTGGAAGATCCGTCGAGTTGTCTAGGGCGGATTGGCTGGTGTTGGTCAGAGTTGTTTGGGCTGTCGCGAGTCCGCAGACGAGAGCGATGGAGGCGAGGAGGTGCATGGTGAGGTTTCGTGCTGTGGCACCGATTCTTTCTTTCAAGTTGTAAAGTCGCAGGAGCGAGCAGACCAGATCTCCTCTTTCATACCAACCCTCAAACACCCAGCACCCATCACGTCACGGCTGCGCACCACCATCGCGTCGATGCTCAGGTGGTGCGGCAGTGGGAGCGACTCTCTGCCCACGTTGGGTGATATGGGAATCCTTGTATAGACACCCAGGCGTTCGGACGAATATGGTTGTTCGTGCTATCTTGACTCGTGAAGCGAGTATCACATCCGTGCGTGCTGCACAGACTGCATGCCGTGACTCGGTTTTGGCTTGCAAATGGGTGCTGGGAACCGATCGACACACTTGCTCGATTCGAGACTTTGCTCAGAAATCTCGATTCTCGAATCAGGATACACACGTCGATACAAGCGTTGTTGTTCGTAAAGCTCGTAATTCTTTTCACAGACTGCGATTTTGTTTCGTACTTCGAACGCCCTCGATGTGATTGTTATGCGGACTGCACTAATTCGGATATTGTCTGGCGGGGTGTAGTCCTTGCAGCGTACCTGTGTAGGGACCTGAAGGAACAAGACGCAAGCTGCAGCCAGACTGTTTGACAGAGGAGTTCGGTAAGTCATAGCGAAGGATATAGACTGGGGACGGCCTAGCCAGCTGCGTGGAGATAGCGTGGGATAGGAAGTGATGATGAAATGGCGCGCTGCCATGAGTCGAGCAACAACCTTGGAAGTCTTCGTTAGACAGTCCAAGCTTCCGCTCTTGGTTGACCTCACTGTTTGAGAAGGCATTTAGGTCGAAGGAAAACGAGTATGAAGTAATCGACCCTTCACGGGGAAGCTTCTCATTACTATACACTATGCACCCTTACCAGCGAACCGCATACAAAAACGCCCAGCGAGTGCTCCTTGCTCCAACGCTGTACTCTACACGTTCGCCCTCCCGAATGCAAGAAGAGGTGCGCACACCTCACACATTGAACCATCCGTATCATTGAATCCCTCAAACGCCATCGCTGTAAAAGTCTCGAACGCTCACACGCGCACTATGCAAACATTAGTCAAAGTCCATCAAAGAAACAATGGTCAGCGCGGCGTGATGTTCATGGCACTGGGCGGCTTTGGCGGCAGCTTCTTGTTCTTGTCGACGTCGAGATCCAGTTCGGCTTCTGTTAGTTCGTTGCCTCGTGGCCTGTCGTTGTCTGGAGAAAGCTGTTGCATCTCGACGCCATTGGCGTTGTCAGTCGCACCATCTCCGCTCTTCTGCACCGAAAACCTCTTCTTCATTCCCTCCACTCGACTGTTCGATCGTGCATTTTCCAGTCTCGCCTCTTCTTTGCGTTCCTTTCGCGGCATGGTATGGCCCAGACGAACATCACCTGGAGCGTAGGCGTGCTTGAAAGACATGTATGAAGGCGGGCGTGGACGACCAAGTACTGCAGACCAGTTCCAAGCAAATGAATGCTGTGAGAATGGTCGATGGCGGTCTTTCGGTAGGAATTTGTGCGAGTTGAGATATTCTCTGGTTGTTTCGCCTCTTGCGATGAGGAAGAGATGGTAGACGAAGAGCGACCCCGGATACGGAAGGGCAAGAACAGAGTAGATGAACATGGCGAAGGCCATCCGCTCTTGCGTGCGACCAGACAAAGCACTGCCAAAGGAGATGTCGTGCTGGTTCGCGTATACTCCGATGTGCGTCAAGCTGAAAGCGATGAGCGCCATCGCGAGTAGAGATGCGAAGCCGACGTAGGCAAAGAAGTAGCGGTAGTTGCGACGGCCGACACAATTGTTCAACCAGACACAGTGATGATCCTGGGTCTCGATGCATGCATCGCACACTCGGCAGTGATGGGCTCGTGGTGGTCGCCAGATGCTGCAAGATTTGCAGTACTTAGTAGGCACTTCCATTTCAGTCGTTCCACCCTGGCCGGCGCCGTTTTCTGCATTGGATTGCGCAGATCCCTGCTTCCGTGGAGAGGGAAATGTCTTGACCATGACCCATTCGGTGGTCGCCGGTCCAACTGTGAGAGGATCTCGGTCTTCGTCTGGATTCGGTGGGTGCGGGTGAAGGTTCCTCGGCAGGATGCTTGGGTCTGAGAATGCGGCGTGAAGGAAGGCCGAGACTGTAACGTAGAATATGTAGGCAAAAACGATTGGTATTGCCGGTGAGACGTGATGCCACAGCCAGGGTGCGCTGAAGCCGAAGAAGAGCGCAGCTGGCAGGACGGTCAGAATAAAGGTTGCGACATTGAGTGGCTTCGCTTTGGTGTTGAGGCATCGTCCCGAGAGGAAGAAGAGCATGTTACCAGCGAAGTATTCGTAGTTCTTGCCTTTCGATGGGCCATCGTTGTGAGGAGTAGAGTTAGAGCCGGGCTTCTTCTCCTGAGCGGGGACGACAGGCGTTGATGGATTGGAGTAGAGTTTCTCATGCGCTCCAGAAGGCTTTCGATCATGGATGTCGCGTTTGCTTGAATGTCTCGAGCCAATGCCAAGAGATGCTCTGAATGAGCGAGGCGATTTTGGCGGTGGTGTACCATTTATTGGACCCAGCTTGCTCTGGTCAGGTTGCTGTAACCGTGTATTCAACGGCGTGACGCTGTTCTTGCTGATGACGCTTTCTGGCCCAGGCACAGCACTTCCATCCCCAGCTGAGCTCGTCCCTATCGACATGCCTCTGCTCGTTGGCGGAGGTCCTGCTTGCGCACTCTTCCCTGTCTGTGGTCTATCTCGTGCTGTATTGACCGAAGCATTGCTGTATCGATGGCTGCGACTGTCTGTCTCTTGCTCTTCATCCAAACTCTCTTGCGGTGGAAGCACTGTACTTTGCTGACCTCTGCTCGATGGCGGTAACACCGTCTGTCCTCTCTGTGCCTGTAGTTTTTGTGGGCTCATGGGCCGGAAGAAGCCTTGCGCTGTCAGACTTGGGACGTGGGTAGGATTGATAGCGGAGTTCGGCCTGCTCCCATCACCCTCTCTCCGCGCAAACGGGGCAAAACCTCTGCGCGAAGGCGGAGATGCGTACGATGCGCGACTAGACGCTCGTGGGTAGGAATTCTCGTTGGTTGCGTTGCTCTGAGGTCTCGACGGAGGCAATCCCGGCTCTCCAACTGGGCCAGTGCTGGATGCGATGTTGCTGTATCGGTTGGAAGCGTTGTCGAATTCGGAAGTCGCGTTGGACGAGGAGGTCGTCGGACGGCCATCGCGGGTTGCTGGGTATGGGTCGTGGCCCAGGAAGGTGGGAAAGGCGGACGAGCGCTCGTTCGGGTCGGAGAAGTTGGCCATTGCTATCGACTGCCAGCGCGGCGCAACGGACTGGAGGTGGTGGATGTCGCCCAGGCCAGTCGCCGATTCATAGTCTGGCGAGGAGTCCGGGAGGCGACGTCCTGTATTTGATTGATTGAGGATTTGATTAGCGGTGTCGTTGGGAGGCAGCCAGCAAAAGTCACTTAGAGTGTTTCTGCCCGCTGCCCAACGGTGATCGTCGCTTGATTGAAGTGCACGCGAAAGGGGCGTGCGGCGATCGATGCGTCGCCGGCTCCTCCCGCTGCCGACCTCAAGCTTCAATGTTTCTTGACATCACCCGCACTGAACACCACGACCACCAACCCCAACACCACCCACCATGTCCATGATCGCACGAAGAACCGCCCTCCAGGCCACCCGCCTCTCCTCCCGCCCTGTCTTCCGCCGAAGCTACGCCCAGGCCGGTGCTGGCCCGATCGCAGAGACCCCCGATGTGGTCAGTGTGGAAGAGGAGAAAGTCAGGATGGGATAGATACTCATACGTCTACAGGCCAAGAAGGATGTCCTCCAAAAGGGTGCTCGCCGTGATCCTGAGCTTTACGTGCGTCAAACACCTTTTTCATTCTGTACAATGGCAGCAGCTGATCGATCTGGACACAGATCCTCCTCACCATCATGACCGGTGCCTTCGCCCTCGCCGGCTGGCATTTCAGCCGCAACCCTACCTCCTCATCGTCCGAGAACCCCGTCGCGAAAGCCAAGGACAGCGAACCTTGGAAGACCGGCTCAGATGCACGCTACCAATACCACCCCGGAGGTGACCCCAGCCGAGGCCGCAAGGACGCGCCTTCAGCTTTGAACGAGGTCATTATTCCAAACGTCAACCTGCCAAAGGTATGTACAAAAAGGCTGGTGGATATGAGGAGGACTACAGGGCTGATTGGACACTAGGAGCTTCACGAGAAGTACAACAAGTGGGGAAAGGAGGGCTACTAGATGGAATTGAATACGGAGGCATCACGCGGCGGCAGCATCCGGGAACAATCTGCTATCGAACTCGGGATTGTGCAATAGAAAGTGCCCTGAAGGGTTCAGGTATACAATAATCTCTTTTGTTCCACGTGACTAATCCTCATCACTCCACCGGTGGCGTGAGCGTCTAGTGCAATACCATGCTCTCGGAGGCCATGTTAGGACAACGGTCTGACACGCTGTCTTTGCGACTTTTGCAGTAGTAACTAAGTGCTAGCCCTGTTCAAGTGGTCCGCAATCGATACTGCAAGTCCCAGCGCGCCTCGTACTCGCCCAACTCTCCCACCAATCTCTTCTCCTGCGTCTCCGAAAGACTCCACCATTTGGCTTTCTTGGCATCCTCGACTTTCAGCATGAGCTCATTGATGCGCTGTCGAACACTCAACGGCAATTGCTGCCACGATATGCCGTGCATTCGCTTGCCCAGCTTCATAGACTGCAGCCTGCAAAGAAATGGGTGGACCATGTCCAGCAGAGTCGCTGCGGCGTAAAACGGACTGGCAGTGCGGACCTGCGCAGCCATAGCTCTTGGCGACGATGGCTCAGTCTCGGAGTCCACGGCAGCTTTAGGTGCATGAGGTTTGGGGAGATCTCCTTCTTGCAAGTCGAGTTCTGCGGCTTGAGCGTGGAAGTTGAAGAGGTGCTCGTAGCCTGCTTCGCACACGTCGGCAATCCAGGTCGCGTCGGCTTCGCGGGTACAGAAAAAGCTCGTCGCTAGCAGCTCTTCGAATTTGGCGTACCATTTCTCACTGAAGATGGCGGGCGACATGGGCTGATTTTGTTGTTTAGTGTGTTTTCACAGCGACAGGAAGAGGATCACTCACCGGACCATATTGCGGCGTCGCGCCACCCTTTACTTCCTCGGGCGTGCCGGCAAGTGGGTGTTTTTGACTGGTTAAGCAGGCTTGTGAAGTTGAAGCTGACTTAAACAGCAAACGCAGGCGATTTGGGGTCTATTCACTTGAAATTACTACCTCGCCGGACTTTAGCCGCCACGCGTGAAGACACGGACTGGTCGCGGCTGTTTGCTTCACTATACTACCTGGGCATCGACACACCCAAATCAACCGCCTCAGTTCTCTGCTTCCAACGACCCCCGCAAAGCACCCCGAATGAAATCACCATCGACCCTCCACCACCCCGCCTCTTGCGCCTCCTCCACCTTGGACAGGAGATCATTTATACGCTACCTGTCAATCAATGGAATGGTCTGCCATGCCAATCCGCTCGGCCTACTGCCCATCCTTCCACAGCTTCAGCCTCTCCAAAAGTCCCGCCAACATACACATCAGCGCCTTGGCACTCACGAAGGGGTTCGCCTCGGGTCTCTCGACGCCGCCTGTCTTGTAGCGGTGGAGTTAGAAGGTGCGGAGTTTAGAAAGCCAGTGATTTCTGAAGATGGTGGTAGGTATGAGCTGCATGTGTGGATTAGCTTTCTTTGTGTTTCCAGTTGAGTATGGTCGGGATACGTTGTTGGACCGTACTGTGGCGATGCGAAGACGTCCTTGCTGTTCGACATGGTTGTGTGTCTTGCTACTCGTAAGCTGAGATCAAGAGTTGCCACGTTGCGTGTGGACTATGAAGAGGCGTACTGTACGTTCTCATGAAAATTCAAGCGCCTGCACTGGTCTCTACCCACTGCAAGAGCATGGGAAGAGGTTGTGGGCATTTGTGCTAGTTCATTTCATTCACTTAGCAATCTCGAGCTGACCGACATCTTAGCGCCAATCCATCTCGAAGTATGACCATCTCATGGATGGTCTCGTCACAGTGCCTGTAACACTCCCAATCTATGGCACATAGACGCCCCGATCCTTCTCATCCCTGATGATCATCTCCAACATCTGCTCACGCTACGAGTCATAGAGAGACCACCGACCCTCCGCCTCCGCCTTCGCAACCCACTGGAATAGCTCATTCATCCTCTGTCGCCAGACAAGCGGCAGCGCCTGCCACGGGACTCCTCGCATCGGCTCCCCATTCTTGACCTTCCGGATCCAGTACAGCTGGACGTCCGCCACATACTGCAACCTCTTGGCTGCCTCGAAGGGGTTCCACTTGGCTACCACGGCAGCCCGCAGAGCGTGATCTGGATCCTTGAGGTTGACTAAGGGCGGCGTCTCCACTGGGAAGTCGGCTCTGGAGAGGGAGAGCTCTCCGGCTTGTGCGTAGAAACTGATGACGTGCAGCATTTGGGCGTGGGTGATCTGACACTTCCACAGGATGAGAGGGCCCTTCGCTCTGGCTTCGGCGTGCTTTTCGCTATAGCGATGGAGGTCGCGAAATTTCGACAGCCACTTGTCGCGAAAGATGGCGGGCGACATGATCTGTTCGCCCCCGTTAGCATCACTTTGCGACTCGACTGATCTTGTACGTACTGGGCCGTATTGCGGCTTCGCTGCAGCCCGCTCCTGATCGGTCTTCGCCATGGCGGGTTGTGTGGTTTGTTGGCGTGCGACTTCCAAGCGGAAGTGAAGTGAAGCGAGAAAGGCAGGAGCCACGCGTGACTCAAGCGACTTCACGTCGTGCGTGTCTATGGGAATACAGCTCATTCACTCGCTTGCACCGAAATTCAGCCGTTGCCTAGCTATACGGAAAGAACAAGGCGATTTGGGAACTTCATCTCTTTCCACCGTACTACTTCGAGCTGGACCACCAACTACCTGTACCTGCTCAATGTCAATGACATCGGCATCCTGATGAGTCCAGCAAGCATTCCATGCACCAACACCGCCACGACCAATCCCAGCATCATCGCTCCTTCCACCCCGCCGTCAACAAGTGCCGAGTATGCTTGCTAACCGGCCCCCGCCCTCTTCCTCCATCATCTTCCGGACATCAAGTACCTCGTTAACATACTGCCTGGACGACAACGGAAGATCCCGACACCGAACCCCCCGAATGACCCTCCCCTGCTTCATCGCCTGCAGTTCCTCGAGGTACAAGTCCATCATCAGCGCCATCGTCGATGCCGCCGCGAAGTGATTGAGCTTGGCCATCATCGCTTCGTTCTGAATGTGCGGTCGTCCGCTGTCGTCCTTTTGCACGGGCGGCTCGGTGGGGAAGTCGCTCCGTTGTAGGGAAAGGCCGCGGGCTTGTTCGAAGAAGCACTGGAGGTGGGCGAATTGTTTGATTGCTATCATGCATAGTTTGAAAGCGGTGTCGGTGTCGGTCGAAGAGGACATGTTGTCGGCAATGCAGTAGGTGAGCATGCGGAATTTGGACAGCCACTTGTCGCGGAATGTGGTCGGTGTCATGGGCTGCGAAGGTTGGTTAGTAGGTGCTGAACTTGTGCAGAGAATTTTCAACACACCGGACCGTACACCGGCTTGGAGACCGCTTCGCCCTTGGGTCCCTCCATGCCAGCAAGCGAAGTTGTTCTTGGGTGGATGGAGACGGAGATGAGAACTGCAGGGTCTCGAAAAGCTTTGGGTGGTGCGCCAAGCCTCACATGCAAACGGCGACGGCTAGCGCGTTTGTTTCAGCGCTTGTCTAATTTGCGACATATGTTACAGTGGTAATTGTACTAGAATGCTTGAAAACTCGCTCATTTGGTATTTTTTACTTCTATTACTTATCTCAAACTGTTCTAAGACTCTGCGCTCCCGACCTTGCATCCAGGAGCTAAGTTCTGCGAGAAAACGTCGCAACTGATCTTTGCTCCCAACAGGATCGACTTCAATCCGGCCTTTGTCGTATGAGGTGATTTACCAAGTCTTCTCGCCCTGCTTCCGAACCCTCTCCCTTACCTCCTCCGTAATCGGCCACTGACCTGATTTCACCTTCTTCGCCCGCATCTCCAGAAGATCCTTCACGCGTCTCCGAACACGAAGAGGAATATCCCGCCATGGGAAACCGCAGGCAACCCGTCCCAGCTTCATCTGGTGCAAGATAGTAATCAATCCAGAATGTGACCTGCGCCGCGACTGTGAAAGGATTGCTAACCTCAAAAGCAGGTCCGACCCTCTCGCCATACTGCTTTTGGAATGTAAGGCCAAACTTGCTTGGGGTGGCTGACTCAAAGTCGGTGTTTTGTAGCTGCAGGGCTTGGGCTTCGATGTCGAAGTGCTCGAGGTGCGTAACTTGGTTTGGGAGGTGCGAGGCGGCTTCGAGGGGAATGAAGGTATTGGTTGTGATGTTGGGGTGTGGGCCTTCGCGGTATAGGGTGCCGAATTTTAAGAGCCATTTGTCTTGGAAGATGGCGGGTGACATGGGCTGGGTGTCAGAAGTTTGTATAGAGAGCCTGGCGGTCGCGGACGAGACGTACAGGACCAAAGACCGGTTCTGCAACACAGCGGGTCGTCATACTTGGGGTTGTGGTTGTGGCTGTGCGGTGTTCAGACGCAAATACTAGAGAAGCGAAAGATTGACTTTTTGGGGTCGCACGCCAAGCCTCACATGCAAACGATGCAAGCTAGTGGGCTTGTCTTGGCGTACACTGTTCTGGGTACCTGATACCAGCAGCTGTCAGAAAATGCATGGTTTGGGCTGCTGTCACGACTGAAATTTTTGAAGTACTTCGCTAACGACATGGAAAATCACAACTGTATCGCCTGCAGCTCCCCGACCGTCACGTAGCCGCACCCCGAACACATGCCTCATAGAGGTCTCTATCCCAGAGCAAGGATTATCTCGCGCAGCTCCTTAATAATCGGCCATATTCCAAGCTCCTCCATCTTCGCTCGGCTCTCGAGCATCTCATCAATCTTAATCCGCACCCGGTGCGGCAACTACTGCCAACGACAGCCGGCAAGGCTGTGCCCAAGCTTCATCGACTGGAGTCTCTCGAGGTACCTATCCAAGAAACAAAGAACCTTTTGCGCTCCATTAAAAGGGTTCATTTTCGGGACGAAGTCTTCGGTCATGGCGAACGTCCAGTTGCTGGGCGTGCTGGACTCGTCGGGTATAGGCTCTGCGGGGAAGTCTGCTTGTCGGAGGGAGAGTTCTCGAGCCTGCACAAAGAACTCCTGGACAAACATCCACTGCTTAGCGGTGATGTCGCAGAAGTCTTCGATATCAGTGATTGGGGACATGTAATCTTCGGTGACTTCGTGGATGAGGGCGCGGAACTTCGCTAGCCATTTGTTCTGGAAGATTGGAGGTGACATGAGCTATTGTGAGTAGTTAGCTTTTGCATAGAATTAGGAACAAGAAATTTGTACGGGACCGTAACATGGATTGGTCGTGTTGACTTCTGCTTCGGTCATGCTTTTGCGCTCGTAGGACGTTTGATGCGTGCTGGTAAGCACTAAAACAACGAAGGACTGGGTCTTGTAGTGTCCGCCAAGCTTCGCATATGAAATAGGGAATGCACTAGTGCTTTCGGAAGGTCGAGCAAGCACAACACAAGACAGGCATAGTTGTTAATCTTATCAGGGTGACGCTTGAGACTGTTCTTTGTCAGGCTTTGAGTTCTTCAGCTGAGTGTGTTTTCCAAACTTGATTGCAATGTGCTCTATGCACTTCGTGTCTTACCAGGACAGTGGACATGCGCCTCAAATTGAAGGGGATGTTCTGCTCGCTCGGTTTGTCGATTGGCTTAAAGCGATATGGCTGGCACCGAAAATTATACTTCCGATTGCTAGAGCGACCAAGCTCTAAGTAGTACTCTGGATTGCGTCGACAGTCTAGAAGCAGTGGAGATCTTTCCACTTGGAGCGAAGCGAGGATAATAGGATCTACGATTGTGTCTCATTTGCAGAGTATGCGAGGACTCGAGAACGCCATTCGACCCGCTCAGCCTGTATGCCATCTGCTGTCTAGCGCCAGCATCCTTTCTGGTAAAGATCTCCTCGCTCCACTCTCAATCCTTGTCAGAGAACGACCAAAATAACACTAGCCTTTCCAAGATCTCGAAACTAGTAAACACGCTTCTTCTCCAAAAGCTTCGCGCCCTTCTCCCTTATCTCCTCCGTAATCGGCCAACTCCCATCCTCCAGCGCCCTCGCACGCATCAAAAGGAGGTCAGTAACCCGCTGCCTCACAGCAAGAGGTATATCGTGCCACACGAACCCGCTGATCCTGTCTCCGCCCCTCATCTCCTCAAACTTCTTGAGGTACCAATTAACGCCCATCAACATTCTTATCGCAATAGTGAAGGGGTTGGCGATGCCGAGGATTGGCTCGATGCCCTTCGTTGGCTCTTCGCTGAAATCCTCCTGCTGGAGAGACAGTGCGGCGGCTTGGGTGTCGAAGTGCTTCAGGTGAGTGTATTGCTTCGAAAGGAGGTCGTAGGATTCGAGGGGATGGAAGGTGATGAACTTGGTATGGCCAGCTGCTTCGGAGATGAGGGTGCGGAATTTCGAGAGCCACTTCTTTTGGAAGATGGTGGGCGACATAGGCTGAGTGGAGGAGGTTAGCATCTCAAAGACAGTCGCCCTGCAAGGGGGTAACACATACTGGTCCAAATACCGGTTTGATGGTGATGCCTTGCTCTCTATCCATCGCTGCGATCGTATATCTTTCGTGGCGTAAGACAAACACTGAAGAAGTGGATTGATTAGGTTTAAGTAGACTGGCCAGGCTCTCCACGCAGACGTGACACGCTAGTGCTGCGCCTGTGGCAAACACTTCGATCCGGAGACCTGCATGGAAGCCCGCCGATGCGGATTGATTTGGAGCCTCCTTTGATTACGATTCTCCATCGATGACTTCTTCTTGGAGGACACAGGGACTGAACAAGACGATCCGCTTACGCCCTCATCCTTTGTGACGCTCAAAGTGTGGCGTCTATCTCCAATACTCTCGAGCTGCCTGAGCACTGCGAACCACGATTGAGAGCTCGGTGGTTGCGAGAACTTGGGGGATGACAATGCTGTGCGTTCCATTTTGACTAGGACGACGAAGGCAACACTGGCTGTGATTCCAAATCTCAGCACTCCTACTACTAGTCGCTCCAACCTCTCTCCCTGAGAATTTCCATACACGCATCGTGATCCTTCTCAGAGACACCCCGCCAGCCCGCCTCCCTGGCCTTGTCAACAGACTCAAACACCTCGTTCAAATTCTGTCGCCACTCCAGAGGAAACGACTGCCATGGCATTCCAAAGAGCTTGCCGCCATAATTGACAGCCTTAAGCCTCGCCGTGAAGGTGTCCACCAACATCAACACCGTCATAGCTGCGCGGAAAGGGTTATACTTCATGGAATGCATGTCCGCCGCGGAGAAGAAGGGGTTGTTGAGGTTCGAATCCTTGTAGTCTTTCGACATGGGTGGCGGAGTGGCAAAGTCGAGAGGCTCCAGGTCAAGCTTGATGGCATCCCTGTGGAACTCGGTGATGTGCTTGAAGCCTTCAATGCACATGGCGTACATGAGGTGAGATCCGAGGCTGGGGAGGTTTGGCTTTGATCGAATGTTCCTCTGGGCGATGAGTTGTTGGAATTTGCTTAGCCACTTGCTCGAAAAGATCGCCGGCGACATTGGCTGTTCGTGGAGAGCGTCAGCGGGCTCAGGAATATACAAGAAGCTGAGATGGGGTTGTATACTGGTCCAAAGAATGGTTTCCCATCCTCTGCCGTCATGATGAGACGTCCCATTTCGTTCGACATGGTAGGGAGGCTGTGGTGGTATTTTGTATCTTTTTCCAAAGAATTGGACAGAACTTCGGAAAGAACAAACAAGAGTTAGCTTGCGCTAGCGGCTTCTAGCGTACTTTGGGCTGGACGCCAAGCCTCACGTGCAAACGGTGAACGCTAGAAGCCGCTAGTCAATGTTTGCAGGCGAGCAAGCAACGTTCCCATGTTTTAAGCAGCAGTTACCCGCTTATACTCCCCGTCATAGCTGAAAACGCCTGCACCTACGCCGAGCCTGTCCAGACATGGAAGAAAAGCATGCCGAAGCCCCCAAGGCGTTCTACGGGCCCGTACGTACCCTGTTGATAACGGCCAGCAACGAATACTTCGATCTGACCATGGAGACTAGGTTATGTCACCCAAGATCTTCGCCAACAAATGGCACGACAAGTTCTGCCGTCTCTTGAATGACTACTACCTGCGCCCACAGCAGCAAAGTCTCACAGATCCATCTTGGACGTGCGTCTTCTGCACGGAAGGAGTCGAACACATCTATCAATTCTCGCTCCAAACCCGAGAGCTCGGCCTGCAGTACCAGGACTACTCCGCACTTCGGCCGCGCCAATCGAACGACGAGGTGCGACCGCAGCGGCGCGTAGCACGACAATCGGCAGAAGCGGCGTAAGCGATGTGCAACGGGAATTCGTTCGTGGAGGCTGCGGTGGTGACGTTCAAGGTGGACATGTTTGTGTTTAAGTTGCAGGAGGTTAAACTGGGCGGAAGCTTAAGGGGGTTGGAGACGTGGAACTCACTTTCGCTGCGGTGGAGGCAGGGTTTGAATGAGGTTTTTGTGAGAGTGGAGAGGGGAAGAGCGGAGGGATGGTGGAATTTGCCGGATTCGTTTCGGGAGGAGTTGGAGAGGAAGTATGTTGAAGAGGTGGCACAGTCCGCTCGGTAGCCAAGATAGCATGCTCGAGATCGACGAGGCTGGGAAGATCCATGGGCCTATTTGGTTGTCGGAGACGCATGGAACACCACGAAATTCCAAAAGTGCCTTCTAGTGAATGAAAACGAATCCAACTGACTCACAAACCACGATCCCTTTCCTCCTTCTCGCTGAACTGCTTCGCGACATCCGTCCTATACTCCTCCGACACACTCCACCATCCACTCCTCTCTGCATGCTCGACAACCCCAAAAACCTCCTCCATCATCCCCCTCCAGACAAAAGGAAACTCCTCCCACTTCAACCCATCCAACGTCTCCCCAGCCTGCACCACCCGCAACCTCTGAATGAAACCATCCACAGTTATTGTCAGCATACTGGCGCCGAGGAACGGATTCGTCTGCATCGATGGCAAGTCTGCGGGGGAGTAGAGATGGGCGTTCGTGCTGATCGGTGCGATTCGTTCGGGGGCGTCGGGAAAGTCACTCGTGCTGAGGGAGAGCGATTGGGCTTGGCGGTAGAAGTGGATCAGGTGCTCAACGGTGTCGTAGCAAAGTTTGAAGATCCAGATTGGGTGCGGTGTTGGTGATGCTCGAAGAGGTTTAACGAAGTGGCTGTTGAGGCGGTTGCGGTGCTTGGAGAGCCATTTGGAGGCGAAGATGGATGGGGACATTGGCTTTTGGGGAAACTAGTTAGTGATGCCTCAAGATACTGGGGGAATTGGCCCTTACCGGTCCATAGATTGGCGGTGTTGGCTCGTCTGCCATGATGGGAAGAGGCTTTGTTGAAGTCGTCTTGAGAGGTGTGACTGAGCTTGGCTCTATTCTTATGATCTCTGCAATCAGACGCCCTCACAGACAGAGACACATCCTCTGAGACACCTATCCTGAGACTATGAGCCTGCGCCTTGTTAGTAATGCCGTAATGGAAGAAGGCTGGAACAGTGACCCTACGCAACCGTATCTTCATTGTCCACCGGAGCAGCGTCGAAACTGGAGTATTGCACGACTTCGCATTCACTGTACTCCAACATCTGCCCAGCTGCGTCTCCAGTATCTACATCTCGTCCGTCTTGAGCTGCCCAGCCATGACCTTGCAATCCTCATCGCTTGCAAGCCACCAACCCATCTCCTTTGCATCCTCGACCCCCTGAAAGGTCTCATTCAATGACTCTCTGGTTCCTAAGGGAAGCACCTGCCACGGCGTTCCGAATATCTTCGTCCCCTGTGTCTTCATCGCCTGGAGCTTCTGCAAGAAGACATCCACCAAAACCGTCGTCTGGGCAGCGCACTCAAAGGGGTTGGTCATATGCGTCTTCAGGTCTTCTAAACGGCAGGGGCTGGAATCTAGTGCTAGAGACGATGACTCCGGGAAGTCGGCCGGGGAAAGGGAGTGCGAAGAGGCTTGGCTGTGAAAGTTGGCGACGTAGGCGAATCCCTCTTTCGCGAAGTCGGACATCCATACTGCATCTATGCGGTCTCTTGGCTGGAAGTAGCGGGAGAAGAGGAAAGCGCACAGCTTGTCCGTCCATTTGGTCGCGAAGATGGCGTTTGACATCAACTGTGTGACGCGCGGTTCAGCGTTTGTCCTGTAATGGGTTATTGGCTGCGAGATACGTACCGGTCCGTACGGCTGCTTGGTCTCCGTCTCTTCAAATTGCTGTTGAGGCATTGTGCGGTGGCGACTGAGGACGCTGGCACGTAGGTGGGGGCGGTGGTAGTGATGTTGTTGGAGAAGAGAAGTTGAAATCCAAAGTAACATGTGACTAGCGCGTTCCATTATGCAAGCCTCAGATCTGCAAGTCAAGGCAGGCGCGTTGCAGCCGCGACGTGCTTTCCCTAACCATCAGCCTTGAGTGGAAAACACCACCAGATGCGCGCTCCTCTCACACTTCACACGCAGCTTCCACACCAAAGGCTCATCTTGCGCTACAACTGAGAGTCTCCCATCGCTAACCTCCCAAACTCGCCTCCTCCTCATCGAGACCGATATCCACTTTCTTGCTCTTCGCAGCCATACTCGCCTGGATCATCGCGGCAAACTTGTCCGGCTTCGGGAACAACCACCAACCCGTCTCCCTCGCCTCATCGACCTTCTCAAACAAGTCATCCATACGCAGTCTCCACCGCAGGGGTAGATCTCGCCACGTCATCCCCTCCATCGTCTTCCCCTTGATCTTCATCCCCTCGAGCTGCTCCACGAACCGATCCAGCATAAACAGCATCGTCACCGAGGCTTCGAAAGGATTCACCACAGCGATGCCGAGGTGCTCGACGGGGAGCACGCAGTTGTCTTGCAGGTTGCTCCAGGGAGGAAGGGGCGCTTCTTTGGGAAAGTCCTTTTGAGAGAGGCGGAGCTCAGTGGCTTGGGCGTGGAAGTGGAAGACGTGGTCGAAGCCTTCGGAGGTGAGGACGCAGAGTCGAGGTTCGTGGGCTTTGTAGGAGTGGTTGCGGTGCCTATGGAGGAGGAAGTCGCGGAATTTGGCGAGCCATTTGGTGGCGAAGATGGAGGAGGTCATTGGCTTTTACAGTTTTCATCAGTGCCTGGTCCTCAGACCGCATTTGTTCAAGGCACTTACCGGGCCGTAGAACGGCTTGACGTCTTGTCGTGTCTGCGCCATGTCGAGAGTAGCGTACACGTACGGGCGGGAGGATGGACCTGTGCCTTTGTCGTGTCAAGTCGAGGGAGCAGTGCCGATGCAGTGGCTCGTCAAGGGATGAAGATCGGGGGCGGAAGTACTACTTATAGGCTGATGGTGCTGGTGACTCGGGAAAGTGACGCACCGAGCGGGCGCTCCCTGTGCTGTTCACGAAACGGAGCCTTCACCAGCTGCATAAGTTGATGTGAATGCTAGGACGCTATCCTCACAACGCTAGGACAAGTGTGGGCGACATGTCATTCACTCACAGCTAGTAAGAGTCTAAAGCTTTCACATGCTTCTTGGCACCTGCACCGCATCAGCCAAACACCATCCCACCCACAAGACAACGGCTTTGCATACCTCATCCATCTACCAAGGATAAGTCCCATCAACATGCAAAAACAACCCATGCTCCGCATCCCTCTTCCCCTCCAGAATATCCAATATCGGCTTCGCGCCCTCGCTCACAGGCTACACCACCATCAACATCAGCACGTCACCACAATACCAGTCAACAGGGAAAAGTCAAACGGGAAAACTCACCTTCGCCCCATTCCCCACCGTATTCATCCCACTCAACCCACTCTCCGTAAACCCCGGACAAAACGCGAAAACCTTAACCCCCTTCTCCCCGTACAACACCGACAAATCCGCGCTGATCATATTCATCGCCGCTTTGCTGGCGCGGTAATGCACGGCGCTGGTCTTGTACATTACTGAAGTTGGGTCTAGACGGCGGGTTATGGAGCCTGCGCCGGAGGAGACGTTAACGATGCGTGGAGTGGCGCCTTTGAGGAGGGGACCGAAGGCCTCGGTGGTCAGGAGTGTCCCTGTGGCGTTGGTGCGGAAGCAGAGATCCATGAGTTCGTGGAGGGGTGTGTCTTCGCGGGAAGGCATGGCGACGCCGGCGTTGTTGACGAGGTGGGTGATGTAGCCGTGCGAGGCGGTGACCTTTTTGGCGGCGGCTGTGATGGAGTCCGGGAAGCTGACGTCTAGGTGCAGGAGTTCGACGGTGCCGGGGAGGTTGAGGGATTGGAGGGTTGAGACGGCTTTTTCGCCTTTGTCCACGGAGCGCGAGCCTAGGAGGACGTGGGTGTCTTTTGAGGCGAGAAGTTGGCGGGCGACTTCGTAGCCTATGCCGCTGTTTGCTAGGGGATGTCAATTAGCGGAGCTGATGTTGGGGATGGTTTGCTGTCGACGTACCGCCTGTGACGAGGACGATGGTCTTGGATGCTGCCATGGTGGATCTTCGAGTTTCAAGCCAGGTGCTAGAATACGGATGTTTTGATGACTGGCTGTTGTCGACGGCGCCTTGGAGGAATATATATCTGTGTCGTTGGAGTTGATTAGCAAAGCAGGGCTGAAGAGCTCCCTTGCGCAGCTGCAGCAGCCTTCGGAGCTATGTCATCTGGACCCGCGTGGAGTTTCGCATAGAAGTCCTGTGCTGGCTGGGATGAAGCTCGCTCCCTCTTCACTTCCACATAGGGCTGCGTACATGTATCTTCGCTTGCGTTACATAAGGCTGGAACGAAGAGCCTTGGCTCCTAGAAGGGTGAGGTATACGCGCGGAATATCGGCAGCGGAGAATCTTGTCATTCCATGCCCGCTTGTTGTCAATGAATGTGACAGTCGTTCTGAAAGCAGCCTTAAGGCCGCTGTTGTAGAGTGGTCTTTTTGTACAGGTATCTATCACACAGGTGAGCTATTCGACATCACAGAGCATCTTACAGCCAGCAAAGCTCTCCCCTCGCCACGAACGCCAAACCAGGCTAATCTTACAGATATTGAGAGGTGAGTTGCCTCGAAGCTCTTCCCAAGTACCATATCTCTTTTATACACCAGAGCTCTCGCCCAGACTCCACAGTACACCTTCGTACACGCCGAACATGATAGCCGCACTGGGCACCACTCTCAGCATGTGAGGGACCAAACCGCCGTACAAAGCTGGCATGCCTTCTTCTCTGAAGACTGTGACGAAACAGCTCCAGAGTCCAGTGTATTTGACTCGTCCAGAAGCATCCACTGGCGCCTGCCGTAATCTCGTCCGCACAACTTCGTGAGGATATGTGATCAAAGCAGCCACAAACTTGGCTCCACCAGCTGCCGTAAGTTTACCAGTCCATTCAACTGTCTTATCCCAAGCGGTCGGCTGGCGATGTTGTGCTTCGATAAGTGCTTGTCGTCGGGATAGCGAGCTTTTCGCTTGTTCATAGAGAACCCATTGGAGAGTACTCTCGCTCACACCCAGGTATGATGCTGAAAGACCCCTGTACAGTCCTCTGATGCCCTCCTGCCGCACTGTTTTAGCGACACAATCCCATGCGTTGCGATACTGCCTCCCTTGTCCACCAGGCCCTGCATTCTGTTTATCCAGTTGTAGCCTCGTCTTTACCAGCCAGATAGGGTTCGTAGCTGTGCCCGTGATGATACCCGCGGTCGCAGCTGCCAGCAGATGCACGCCAGCGCTCTCTTGTCCGTTGAAGAGCCAGTTGCTGTACACTCTCTTTCCATTTCCATACGCCCAGAAGTTAATTGCTCGAGCCGGCACCACACCGATCAGATTCGGTCCCAACCCCTTGAACAACGCCCTCCAGCCCTCGACTTTCGGTATTTGTGCCAGAATCTGTCCCGTCTCACTGATGTGCAGCCAGCTCGCTCTCAGAAAGCTCATCTGACTCGGCGGTGGGATCCCCTTTGCTGCTCTGCTCGCTGCCAACTGCGACTGATAGAAAGTGCTCTGTAGCCTCGTCTTGAGCACGTCCAGGGGCGATGTGAGTGTCGCCGCGGTCATCCCTCCTGCGCCGCCCGCTACGAGATGTGCCCATGGTTTGCGCTCTTTCAGATTGCCTGCCGCACCGACAGGCGGACTTGCTACCGCTGCTCCATCCTGCTGTGGGGGTTTGGGATCGACCTGGCCGAGCTCGCGGCTTTGGTCGAATGTGGCAGATGCTATGGTGCTGTGCGGGTGCGAGGACGTCGCTGGGAGGGAGGACGGTGCCACCATTCAAGATGTTGTCAAATTGGTTTGACCCGGGAGATCAAGCAAGGCTGGGCTGTTGTGGTTGTGCTCGTTTCGCTCAGAGTATAGAATGTCGGTAACGGAGGTACAGTTTGCGATGGAGACGATTTGATGACTCTCCTTAATCAAATTGATGGCGGGCAAATAAATCGAGTTTGTCGCTACACAGGACGGGCATTTGATGGAGGCTCAACACTGACCAATCACAATCCCCGCTGGAGTCCGCAATGGAGCTCTCACCAACGTCACCATCGATCGATGTCACTTCGTCGTGTCTCTGCTTGCAACATTCACCGCGCCAGCATTGATCCAAGATGTTGGCAACACCAGTCCGCCTGGCCAGAGGCCCTCCAGGCTTTCCCAGCTTCTGGAGGCGATCCATGGACGAGTTCAAGCGCCAAGCCACCATCGCCATCAACATGGAGGGACTACGCGAACCTACGAAACCTTTTCCCTTAATCAAATTCGACCAGGAGAACAGCATGGCCAAGTGCAAAGTCATGAGCGATCAAGATATGGGTGGATTCTCCAAAGCGAGTTTGACATACATTCCTGGGGCAGCACACCATGAACGAAATCCCGAGAAAGAGGATGCACAGAAGGGCGGCATCATCGAGAGCGATGAGGGTGTTGAGCCTGCACATACGCTGTTCAAGGGCAGTATATCGACGGAGCTGCCACCCAACAAGCCGGACATTCAAAGATCTGGTTACGCGGCGTGGAGGACAAGAGACCGTGGCATGAGTCTGTTTGGGAAGCTCTTGTGGGATATCGATCCTTATTCCTATCTTGCTCTGCGGATCAAGTCTGATGGGAGGAAGTACTTTGTCAACATCCAGACCGAGTCTATCGTGCCTACCGACTTGCACCAACATCTATTACCAACATATACAACAGGTCAGTGGGAGACCGTCATAATACCGTTCTCGCAATTTGTGCGAACGAACTATGGATTCGTGGTGGAGCCGCAGAAAGAAATGATGAGGCAGAAAGTACGGAGTGTGGGCATTGGACTAACGGACCGTGTACCTGGACCTTTTGAATTGAGAATCGCCGACATTTACGCAACGAACCGACCACCTGCGAGGGAGATGGGCAGAGAGGAAGCTGGATTCGACTTGGAGGAGGAGAATCATGAGGGCGGGACTGGCATGATGGACGAGATCGAGCCTAAGAGGAGGAAGGGCGAGCCTGAGCGGATTCTGATCTAGGCCGACCACTACCACCCAGCCCTAATGCGTGCACAATTGACGCCCTCATGCCAATCGATGTTCGAATGTGTTTCGATACGCACGGAACAGCTTCGACCCATCTTCCGAGGACATCGTATCTGTACAGTCCCGGCGATGCCCTAATACGACATGGATAACTCCAGACAGATACCAACGCTGGGGTGGATCAACGTGGGAAATGCCTATCCCAGTGACCAGGTCCACGTTCCGCTCCTAAGAACTCGTGGAACGCAGCTAAACATCAAATGATCGCCCATGGCGAGTCACGTACTGCTAGCTACCGCATTGACCGGAGATATGGTGCACCACAAGCGCCTGCAGCTGCGGCATGGACTGCATCCTGCGGTGGCAGGTACCGGTGCACTATGAAGGCCAACGAGCCATGCAATATCTTGCAACGGCATCCCTAACACTATACATGCACGTGCCCTGTATGCGCACGTGGAGTGTCTAGCTACCTCCCTGAACCCGAGAGTTATTCCTGTGAAACACAGAAAGGCACGAGTCAGTCCCGCGAGGCAAATCGATCGTCGTGTAAGAGACCAACCCTGTCTTCCACGAGCGTTTTGCGTAGGCTTTCGGGCGTGGCACATATGGGGCTCTTCGGGTCTGTCTGGGAATCAGATGTGCGCAAATTGCCATGTCCTCTCGACACGAGTGACGAGTCTTGTCATTCCGATATGAGGTAGCAAGATCTCTATATCTCAACCATTGAATCATCGCTTCGAGTCACGAATATTTAATAGCTACAGCTCTCGTTTCCTCGATTCTCAATTTATGATCTGCTGTGGCACAATCTCCCGCCAATTTATCCTCCTCGCCCTTTGACCACAGCAATGCACGTTCGTCTCCTCCCCCTCGTCCTCCCCGCCGCCGCGGTCGCCCTCTCAGCAACCCTCTACCACGCCACGACCCACACCTGGTGCATCCCCCAACCCGTCACCGGCGATAAACAATCAAACCTCTTCTCCGCCTTCCAACACGGCGCCTGGTCCGGCGATTCCCACCTCATTGAGAAAACGTTCAACAAATACATCGTCGAGGACTACATCCAACACAACCCTTTCCTGCCTCAAGGCGCCGCGCCGGTGGTGGAGCTTCTGAAGGGGTTGACGAAAAGTACGAGTTTGGAGGCTGTGAGGATGGGGTTTGATGGTATGTTCACATCTCACATATACTACGAACCTGTGTGTGGTGGGTAGAGACTCATTGATGTGGAATAGGTGGTCTAGGTTGGGTCCACTCCCGCGGGAGTCCGAAACCGGGCCATGAAGACGAGGGGAAAGTCACGGCGATTGTGGATATCTATCGCATGAATGGGAGTTGTATCGTGGAGCATTGGGATGTTATGCAGGAGGTTGCGGGGAATGCGACGAACGAGTTGGGGATGTTTTAGGGGAGATGAGGGGAGATGGGAGTGTGAGAAAGGCCACAGAGTAAAGGGGATAGGGGATGGAGGCATGAAGGGTGGAAGTACGGATACTCAATATCTCCATTTTCGTCCTCTTCATCAATACGTGCATACTACTCCTCATCCAGGCCGTCTCGAATGGGTCCACGCCCCGTTCTACATCTGCGACTTGATCCATTCACTAAATACCACACATTAGCACTCCACTCCCCAACAACAACCTCACGTCAAAAGTACTCACATCCCCCCAATCAAATTCCCCACAAACTGCTGTCCCTCGGGCACAGCGGGGATAATCCAGAAATAATGCCTAAAAAGAATCACCACAACATCAGCCCCCATCACCAACAACCACCACCCCTACCCCTCTTCGACGACGAGTCAACTCACGGAAATCCTTTATAGTAATCATGCTTCGTCTTCACGCCGGCCTCCTTCAACGCAATCTCCATGATCGTCGCATCGTCCCGGAGCGGATCGAACTCGCAGCTGGCGAAGTACGTTGGCGGGAAGTTCTTGTGGTTTTCTTCGGCGAGGATCGTGAAGGCGGTGGGGTCGTTGGGGTCGGCGCCCGCGTGGCTTTGAAACACACAAAAATATCAGTCAGACGTCATGGATGCTTTTCTCTCCTTCGTTATGTTCCCGCCTGGGGCATGTCTGTGTCTGTGTGTGTCTGTGTGTGACGTACCTATAAAAAATCTCCATACTCTCCTTATCAATTATCGGCGTCCCCTTCTCGTTGTCCTTGTAGGCGTTATACTTGTCCTTGTACTTCTGGGGCACGCTGGCCCAGTGCGCGGCGATGGGGACGAGCGCGACAATGCCCTTGAGGCTGGGTTTGAGCTGCGGGTCTTGCAGGACGGCGTTGGCGACGGAGAGCGCGAGGCCGCCGCCCGCGGAGCCGCCGATGGTGTAGAATTTGTTGGGGTCGCCGTGGAAGGATGAGGCGTTGGCGTGGGCCTGTGGAGGGACGTGAGTTGGTGGTTGGTGTGGGGTGGGAGGGGATATAAAACGAACCCAACGATAAACCTTCAAACTATCCTCCAACTGCGTAGGCCACTTAAACTCCGGCGTCAACCGATAATCCACATTCACCACCGCACTCTTCGTATTCTCCGCCACCACCCCACAGAGCAAATGGTCGCTGTTCAGATCCCCCGTCATCCAGCCGCCGCCGTGCGTCCAGATCGCCACGGGGAATGGGCCCGTCTCGTTTTTGGGCGTGTAGATGCGGTACTTGATCCCCTCGACGTCGCCTTCTTGGACGTCGACTTTTTCGCTGAATTTCGGCATCATGGGGAAGAGCGCTTGCACCATGGCGTCGTACATGCCTTTGATTTGGTCCGCGGTGCCGTGTAGGATTTGGCGGCCGCCGGAGGCGGATTCCCAGTCGAGCCAGGATTGGGCGTATTCGCCTGGCATGGTGGGTGGTAGTGGTGGTCGTCAAGTTTTGGTCTTTCTTGTGCTGTGTATGTGTTGTTGAGCGAGGGGGAAGTATGAGAAAAGCAGAAAGATCTTGATCAACCGATCCAGAAAAGTGAAAGTGACTGAACCTCACTCAGCAGCCTCCTCACAATATATACCACCTACCTCGGACCACGATCCCCATAAAGTACCCAGGTGATGTCGGCAACGTGGAAAGCTCACCTCATTTCTCTAGAGCCGTGAGTGATGCAGGGCGACAAGCTGCGACAAGCTGCGAACAGCCGCAGCCCTTTCTCGAACCCCTCCACCTCCTACAGCTCTACGAGCTTCTGCAGCTGCATCAGGCAAAGCTCGCGCTGTTCGCGGGAAACTTGTCGCTCTGCTGAGCTGTAGCCGAGCGTGCGTACGGCTGACGAACAAGCAGTCTGAGAAGTCCCCGAGAGAGTCGCGCATGTACGAGGTGAGAGTGCTCGTGATCGGAAAACGTTTCGAGAGACCAATAGAGAGGAATCGGCAAACGTGTGGATTAGTCTCGTTGTTTGTGGTGATGTCTGTTATTACAGGACTTTGATGGCATGACCATCGCTTGTGAAGAGGCTTGCGTGAGGCCACCCATGTCAGGCCACCATTCGACATATCCAAGAGCGCGGCGTGAGCGCTGGGCATCTCACTCGCAGTCAGTCCATCAGACACAGTAACTGCCAATTGCGGAGACAAGTCGTCAACGCTTCATCATTCGATCTTCTCCCACTTCAAAACAGCCTTCGTTTTGCTGCCATCCTATCAGCAGCGTCAGCATCCTGAAACTCGTATCACGCGAAATGCGAATTCTCCCGTGTCGAGAAAGGCCAAGAGCATACATCAGACATCCTCTCCTCCACCGGCTCCAAGACCATAAACTGCTTCCCACCTTCCTCAGTCAACAACGTAACGTTCCTCTCCTGAACACCTCCCATCCAGCCCGGATCACTCGCAATCTCCACCTTCGTCTGCCAATACAATCGCCCATTCTTGTCCTTGAAAAGCTGCAAATACCCGCAATACATGGACAGCCCCCGAGCGACATACGCAACTTCCTTATCAGGCGCCGTCTGCCACGGCTTGCCAGATCTCAGTCGATGCATCCGTTCCGGGCGGGCGAGATGTGCAGACAGCCATCCTTGAGGTGATATCGACACCCGCCCGAGCGGATTCTCGCCGTGAGGCTTCGCGATAAGCGTCTTTTTCGGTCCGGTCCCGTCGAACATCTCGAAGGATACGCATTTCCATACGCCGGAGATGGTGTCAGCGTACTCGCTCCAGACGTTTTCTTTTTCCATTGTCGCAGGAAAGTAGATCTTGGCAGTGGGAAGATATTTTCTTGAAGGAATGGAGTAATGACATGAGATTTTGGAGGTGGGAGATGAGGTTGTGTAAGGCGTCAGCCTCAAGGTTTATCAGTTCGTCTCTTGCACACTTTCCTGGTTCCTTTGCAGCTGTTTCCATTTCTGGCCCCCGCCCTCCTCCTCAGGGCTCTCGGATAAAGAGGCTTCTCGGGAGGAGGCGCCAGCCTTGAGGCACAGCACAGAAGGTCGTATAGATATTGAGAGAGCAAACAGACGACAAAATTTTGTCGGAGAGGCAAAAACGCGGGATTCGTGCTCAAAACCAAGAGGTGATGTTGATGAAGAAGTGGTGCAACTCCGGAAAATGCCACAACAGAGATGTTGCGTTGAGTTCAGAACGTCAGGCGTTTTCATGAAACTGCTATTTTTAGAACGCTATATCGCTTGGTCTCCCGAACTTTCGTTTTCTTTGGTATACTCTTTGAATCAACAATCCTTCGACATTATTTATATCAATACAGACGAGCCTGCCTCTCTTCTCGCCAACACCGTCGAGAATGGGGCACCAAGAAAGCTCACAAGCCGGCCTCGATTGGGCTCATAAATTTTCCCTTCCGGAAATTGCCTCAAGCCTCAAGACCCGAAGCATCAATGGACTGCATGATATCCATTGTCGACAAGGCCCACTGCTCGATTGATCGCTCATCTTCGGAACTCAGACCGGAGGCCGCGTAAATGGCCCTCTGCTGAAGGGCAAGAGCTATTTGCTGGCCAACGCTATCATGTCCCCCGAGCTCAAAAGAGAGATAGCACCAAACAGGACAAGTACCCCGCCACGATTCTGGCTTCTTCAAGATGACTCCAGGCACGCCGTTCAAGCTGTCAGTTTCGAAGAGTCGACTTGGAGGTAGATAACCCTCACCGGACCTTGGAACGGCGATAGCGGGCATCTCCTTCTGTTGCATGTTTCCAATCTGCCCGAAGAGAACCCAAAGCATGGCCACTCTAGGTTGGAGGATCTGCCTGTCGCTCTTGAGCCATTCCGAATGGCCTGTATTGGCTCCTGAATGCGTAGTATGTATGCAAAAAATGTCCTGTGAGATAGCCGCCGCCGCTATTGCTCTGCCACCTAACCTCTGGAACCCTGCGATCGCAGATCCCAGACAATCGCAATCATGTGCCGACCAGAAGTTCAGCGAGAACACTTCAGCACCCGTTATATCAGCTACAGCTGCCAGAATGTGGGCCGCCGCTTGGGTACTAGTAACGCACCAGTACGTGCACTTCACTTGCCAGCTAAGCTCACTCAACCGGCTTTGGCAGGCGAGGAACACTGCCATAGGCTCTTCCGAGGCCGATTCTGTGACTTCATGCTCTATCGAAATGTGCAGCAAGTCGGACATACTCCTGAGGCTCATCTTTACAGTATGGCTATTATCAGTGAGCGTCTCCCAGAGCAGTTTAGCCGTTTCTTGGACATTTCCGCGAATGCAAATGGCTGCAAGACATTCCAGCATGGACTCCTCATCCTCGGGAAGCGCGAAGTGGTTCCACTCATTGACTACTTCACGAGCATTGCGGACTGCAGAGAACGCATCATCACCGCCCTGGAGTCGTGATTGGGATTCCCCGAGACCACGCTGCATGAGCTCGCTCTGAGAAACATTCGCATTTACCAGAGCTCCATCTCCGACATGTTGCTCGTCATTCTCTAAGCGGGATATAGGCGGCCTCGACGATCTAAAAACAAGAGATGTCGACCTGGTAGGAGGAATTCTGTCGTTGAGATCTCCTTGAGAAGAAAATACCGTGGATGCCGGTGTGATCTCTCTTGCTTCCAGTCCAGAGAGGCATTTCAGTATACCCTTTCGGTGCACATCCTTGGCCCAGAAGCAAATCCAATCGACTATAAGTAACAGTTGCAATGCCTCGTCCGCACTGGACATGCGTCCGTGCCAGCAATCGATGATTTTCTGCCGAGATCAGTCCGTCGACTCCCAAACTTTGCAAGGATGGCTTCCTTACCGTTCTGTCATTGACTGGCAATGCGATGTACAATCTCCATACATCGCCCCTGAAGCCGAAGAACCAGACGAGAGGATCAAGATTCCGATTCGACTCAATCTCTAGGCTTGTCTGGATCTTCAAGCAGGTCCGAATGCTGAGCGCTGTCTGTTGCTCGATAACGTGGAATCCGTCTTCAGACTTGTCTGACTTGGCTTCCACAACCATGAACGGGAAAATTGTATGTTTTCCGAAGAAAGGGCTGTACTTTCCGAGGCGATCCCCGAACAAGTCAAATGAACCGGTCCGGCTTAGGCCATATACCCGATCAGGTCGTTTGTACTTCTGGTCGAGCGTGACTTTCTCGGTTCCCGTAACGTCATGCATGACCTGTTCGTCTGACTTGTTGGAGAATATGGAAGGCGAACCTGGACGTACTCTGTCTGCGTCAGATGCGAGCGCATGTTCATATGCGGCAAACTCACCGTACGCCAACCGCCCTTCTAGCCATGCTGCAGTGACAGATCCTCCGTGTTCTGTATTTCTCGGAGAGCCGCTGAGATGCGACGGCATCCCTCGGGTGAGCAACAAAGTCTGGCAGCCATAAAAATTCGTCACATATTTGGCTCATGGAGCGTCAGCATGGGCCAGGCCAGTATAGCTTGCACTCACCACTTGAATTCGAAGCCGCTAAAGCTCTCGAACACGAGGCTCGCAACGTTATTGATCCAACCAGCCTCATTGTCCCTCTCTCTTTTGCACCGAACAGCGTTTGCTTGCAGCCTTCTGACAAGCAGCTTCTTCTGGAAACCCCACTCCTTGTTTGAGTGCGTATCTTGAGGATATCTGGTGAAGGCAACTGTTTTGATCTCCAGAATTTGCTGGAATAGATGTTCGTATGGCAAGCGTCTGGCTTTCCACTCGTCCAGGGTAGTCGCAGTGTCAAAGTCGATCTTCCAGTCTCTAATGACTCGGCGCAGCTGCGAGGCTTCCTCTTCCGTATGCTTACTCCTGCGACCCATGACAGTCCGGGATGTGAATTCAAGACGCAGCCCAGGGGAACAGAGTTATCGGCTTGCTCACGCGTGCCGGCTATTCGAAGGTACTTGAATAGCTATGGAGCAACGCAGCAAGCAGGGAAAAAGCAAGCGGTGTGCGGATTGGCCCAAAGGCACAGCTGGGGAGCACTGCCTCAAGCACCTCAGGATGCAGCAGTGGGTCAGTGCTTCAAGCAACCATCGCATGCAGCTACGGGGGGCAAGCGGCTAAGATGATGTTCTCAATCACTATCTGAAACCACTAGGTGCGGCTCAGCAACACCACGCAGAACTACGGCTTTCACTAAGCACACAGCCTCCTCGTGAGCCTTGTGTCGACGCTCTGTAAAGCCTCCAAAGTCGACACCAATCTTGGTAGCTGTTATCTGGCTGATACCAGGGAACAGTGTTAGCCGAATGGTCGACTCAGACGCACGTGTGACCCCCTTTCCAACACTGATAGTTGTCATGCTTTCTCGATCGAAGGGCGTCGAACACTCAAACCACACACACTCATACTGTCGACCTGTCAAGATCAATCGACAGTGTACATCGATTGCACTGTGGAACACACCACTCAAGTGGCCCGCGGTGTACTTGCCAAGCTCTGAGTCGGAATCAGATCCATCCGCAGCCTTGCGATCTAGCTGACACAAAGGCGCCAAAGTGTCTTGCAACCTGCATGCCAGTCGTTCTCCCTTCATTTTTTTGAAACGCTCAAATGAGGCTTCAGCTGCTACTGTTTTGTGAACAGTCAAGTCGACAGCTCTTGCAAGCGGTGGGTCTATCAAAGCTGGATCAGCAGGTGCCTACTAGCGGAAGAGATTCGATACACACCGTTGTGCGCAACGATCTGGATGGCTTCTCTGTAACGATTTGTCGAACCTCTTGTCCGTATGCTCTGGTACCTATCGAACAAGAGATCTGCTTGAGGTTGCTGAAAGACCCATCGTGCAATGGCTGCTCCACATAACGCAAGGAGGGCATGCTGTCGTAAGCCAGGACTACCACACCAACGTTTCAGCACTTGCATTGCTTCTTGAGAGTCTGGCTCAACTCCGAAAGCTTGCTCGACAAGGAATCTCAGTCTATGATCTTCGGGCAACTCGGGCAATTCGTCAATGGACGAGAATTCGGCATCTTCCAAAACTGCCTGCAGCCGAATCCGCATGCTTTTCATCAGCGTTGAAACGTTTACCTCGGTCTCTTGGGCGGGTGCCATGTCCATGGTATTCTTCATTTTGACAATGTCGGCACGCGAGTCGCGTTCGAGGAGGAGATCGTCCAGGAGAGCCTCCCGCTCTACAATATCATGGCCCGACACCTTGCCTCCTTCCAAGCTGCGAGTGGCATTTATCCCCGCTACTAAGGCAACGTTGGCCTTCCGCAGCCCCGTCCGATCTGTTTGCGCTTTGCGGTACTCGTCTTTCCAGAATTTTATTTCTCGACCTGAATCCCTTCTGACTGCCCTGAGCTCTTGTTGAACAGCTTGTAGGCGATCTTCCAGATGCAAAGTTGCTGGAGACTGTCCTGATTCAGCGACGCATTTACGAATTCTGCTTTTCGAGGGGCACGATTTGCCAAGGGGTGTGTTCGGAGCTTCGGTCTCTGAATCCGCCAGCTGTTGGGAACGAAGCCTTCGTTTCCTAATCGGGGGCAGCTGGACCTGTGCAATATTCCGTGAGCTGTCTCTCTCCCGAATCATGTTCACCGTAGGGTCAGCGACGTTTTCGTCGTTCTCTGTCCTCGCGGACTCGGTGTCAGACACCTGGGAGGTCAGCCACGTTGGCAGGTCTTTGCAAAAAGCAGACAACTTTACCTCCTGACGATCCTTGGCCTCAATGCTCTGCCTCAAAGGGTGCTTTTGGGGCGGCCTGGATGCTCGTGTGTGCTTGGCGACACTGGTGGACGCTGAAGCTACATCAACACTCTTCTCTCTTGCGTCCGGAGCAACGGAGCGGGACCGGCTTCCAGCTCTTGTCCTCCGGGGTGAGTGCAAGAAGTCCCATTTCCATTTGTGCTTGATCTCCTTCGCTCTCCGGGCCATTCGGATCAGGCGTTCGCTGTCGTCCGCCCAGTCCAAGCAGGCGAATCCTTTTGTATAGATGACGGTCCAGTTATCGCTATCGGTCTCGGATCTTCTCCTTGCATGGAACAGTCGAGACAGCTTTCTTCGGATTTGCTTTGGGGAGTAGTTGTGACACTGCTCCAGCGTTTGCTCTCCGTCATCGCTCCTGTGATTAAGATGTCGCGCTACATCTTGGTCGAGGGATTCCAACTCAACTTGTTTCAGTGATTCTGTACCGATTTCCAGCAAGGCCACCTGAGAATTCAAGAAACTCAGGAGTTCATCGACCACACCGTCAGGCCAGACTTGGTTGAGTTGATGGGTCTTTTGCTTCGATCGTTTCCTCTTGGTACCCATGGTATACTCGCAGGCTTGATGGATATGCCGAACACAGTTCGACGAGAGAATTGTACGAGACCTCGACAGAGGCAAAAGCTGTGCCGTGTGGCCTCAGATGCTTTTAGAATTGCATTGCAGCATTCTGAAACATCCATTGACGCCTATGCATGAGCGGAATCTTAGCCTTGCATTCTTTCGCCGATAGAGTAGATCAGCTTGCCGCCCGGATCCACCTACAACACGAGGATCAGCCCCTTGCGGTCGGGACAGACGGACCTTGTCGAAAGCCGCCAGCGCGGTTCTCAATCATTGGACAGCATGCTTGATTCTATCTTCGAGGACGGTACGCGATATTGTGAAACCAGAGGCCGCCCCTTGTAAATGCGTCGCGCCGCGCACGGTGCGCTGGGTCGCAGCCATACTTCTAAAAATGTTACGGCACAGCAGACTACTGCCTGGCGGGTGCCTGGTATCAAGATATGGTGAATGGCGGTGAAAGAGCCATCATGAAGCGTGCTAGCTCTTCTCATCATGGCCATCGTCGTCCAACTCAGACGAGCAGCATAAGTCATCCGACAAATCATTACATACTGAACGGCTTCGTTTTGACACTGAGCGCTCCGCATTCGAATGTGACCAATGGGGTCAACCAACGAACCTTCGGTACAACATCACTGGGAGCTGGAGCCAGTCTTTCGCCGGGTCGCCCATACTGCTGCTACGGAACCGGCAGCAACCAACAGCCTCGTGCAGCCTACCAATGTTGCACAGGACCGGTTTCAAGCGAGTCCGGTCCGGCAGCCCGTCGATAGCCGTGCCGTAGGACATGCTACACCTGGAACAGAATCGACATCAGTACAACGCCGCTCTCGTCTCATCATTGCCTTGGACTTCGGAACAGCCTACTCCTCTGTATCATATGCGAGAATCGATCCCGGAGTAGACCCAAAAGCAATCGCGAAGGACGAGATTCGATGCATTAACAATTACGAGAGTGCCGACGGAGGTTCAGATGCACGAGCGAATGCTCAGGCGGATAATGTTCCTACCAAGCTTCTCTACCTTGGCCAGAAGGTTCCTGGCCTTAGCGATTCAGAAACCGATGAGGACTCGGACGACGGCTACCTCAGCAACATAGACGTTCAGCCCGTCTCGCAGCGTGAACATGACGGTCATGGACGGCGAAAGCGAGGTAGAAAGCCGGCTATCTGTACCTCAAGGCGCAAATCGAAGCCTGCCTGGTCAAGGCCAGAAGGGCTCAATGTGCACTGGGGATTTGTTGTGACAGCCTATCAAAACAATCAGCACGGACTGGCACGATACGAACAAAAGGAGGCCGTAGAGTTGATCAAGCTCACACTAGCACGGGACAATGGCCAAGACGAGGAGCTACAATCCCAAACTCGAGATCTCGCGGCGCAAATTGAGCGACTGAAATCAAGATCCATTGTTGAAGACCGAGACCACTTGATGTGCGATTATCTCGCACGGCTTCTTCAGCACGCCAAGGCTATACTCCTTGGGAAGGGTCTCCTGGAAGGGGCTCAGCTGGAGTATGTCATGTCTGTCCCTGTCGCTTGGTCTCAAAGCGCCTGTCGTACCATGCATAATGTCTTGGCGAGAGCAATACAGAGTTGTAGACTCGATACGCTGGCACAGAACCTCATTCCGGACCTTTTCATCGTGTCCGAACCAGAAGCGGCGGCACAATACGTGCTTGCATCTTTGGGTAGTAAAGGTCGACTAAGACAGGGTGAAGTGTTTATCATACTGGATGCTGGCGGGGGAACAGTTGACATCACCACCTACCAGGTCACCTCGAGTAACACAGAACCACTCAGACTGCAGGGCGAAATGATTCCACCAGATGGAGCCCTCTGCGGTTCGTCACTGATCACGCAGCGATATCTCCAAAAGCTGAAAGCCAAGTTGTACGAGATTGACCCATGGGGAGATCGAGAGCTTTTGGAAGGATCGGCTGTAGCCATCGCAAACAGGTGGGATCTACTCGACAAGCCCTATATCGATGTGGCGCACAAGAAGGGCATGCGTCTGAAATATGGCGGGAGACAAGTGTATAAACAACGTGAGATCAAATGGACGGAACAAGAGATTCGCGAGGTCTTCGAGCCGTCTCTGAAAGGCACCATCGAACTCCTGCAAGGACAACTCCAGCTGGCCAGATCAAAAACCTTGATCGTGAGCAAACTCATCACAGTGGGGGGATTCGGAATGTCTCCTTCTCTGCGAGGTCGCATCCGAGAAGTCCTGGCCTCCAGAAACGACAGTGGGGAACAGATTGAAGCCATTTGGCCCCAGGAATTTTCTTCTTCAGCGGTGGCCAGGGGAGCGCTTCTACGTGCTCTAGACAAGCGAAATGGACCAAGTCGAATCTCACGATCAAGTTTTGGGTTCCTACGCCACGAAAGATATGGTGATGCGGATGAACATAAAGAGGCGGGTGCGGCGAAAGAAATGGACCCTGTCGATAACATCGAGTATGTCCGGAATACAATACATTGGGTAATACAGGCTGTGAGTCACGCTTTCAATTGCCTTACCCACCATCATGGAAATCATCAACTGACTTATTTGAGCTCTAGGGCGAAGAGCTGCCTTCTCCATTCGAGACCGAGCCAATTCTCTCGTGTCATACATTCAACTCGTCAGAGACCAAGCTGCAATGTGGCGAAAAGCTATACGTGTCCCAACGCACCCACCGTTCGCATTTCAAATTCGATCATCCCCAGAACCAGGGTGAGTTGACCCTGCCTCTCTCTCTTCATCCTTATGCTACGGGCGCGCCGCGGCCGCGAGAGCGATAAATGCTAATCGTCGTCATCCACGCAGGCGCCGAGCTTCTCAGCGACATCGTAATCGACGTCAGCGATCTCAGGAGGGAACTCCCACTGGAACCCCTGGAACCCAAGGCGGACGTGGGCGAGCGGACCAAGGTCAAAAACAAGAATATCCGAGTCGTTAGGTTTGATCTTGTCGTCAGTGTTGAAGGGAAGCAGCTCAAGTTTGAGGCGCGGTGGCCGCCGGGTGCGCGAACGCCTGACGAGGTACGAATCCGCAAGTCAGGCTATGTCAGTCTGGCACCAAGCTTTTCGCCTGGTGTAGCGTAGTACCTACTCAGGCAGCGGCATTACGTTCGGCTCAGCTTGATCAATGAGCTGATGGGAAGGATCATGCTTGAGTTGAACCGACAAAACATGTGTAGTTAGATCGAATCTCAACCTGTTGTCGAATTCCACACTTCTATATCAACACAGACGAGCCCGCCTCTCTTCTTCTGGCCAATACCCACCAAAGTAATGCCAGATTACACGCTCCTCCCAACATGATCAGCCCACCAAAGAGCTGCAAGCCAAGGTAGTTCGTGTCGCCACCATGGCTCGACACTGCTGCCAAAGCCGCACCAATAGGCGCACCTATCAAACTCGCCACAGACCCAATCGCCTGCGCCATGCCCAATCTCGTTCCAAAAACCTTGGGATCTGGACATACAACCGGAAACACGCTCGGCGGTAGCGGGATCAAAGCGCCGCTGAAACAGCCGTAGAGTGCTGCGATAGCGATGAAGGAGCCGAGACTGTGAGCTCCTATCCAGGCGATAGAGACTGCGCCACTGCATGCTGCGCAGATGATCCAGGGGATGAGGACGCCGATTCTTGAAGCCGAGTATCCCGCAATCAGACGGCTGAGGATGCTGCTTGCTTGGGCGATCATGGCCACGTATAGGGAGAGGCTGCGACTGATCCCCAGGACTAGTTCGCCGTAGGATGGGATGAAGTAGAACGGGATCATGTATCCGCAAAAGATGAGGAAGTTGCTGGTTGAGTAGGCCCAGAAAGGTGCGTTCGTGAGCGCCGTTCGGTCGAAGAGTTTTCGTGGCGCGCCGGATGCCAGGTCGCCGATGTTCTTCGCTCCCCAGAGAAGGAGTGGAAAGGACATCAAGTAGGAGCCCAGCATGACGAAGCCCATAATCCGCACTGTCCAGCCGAAAGATGTCTTGGAAATGAGCTGTTCGAAGACGAGAGTGTAGATTACTCCACCGACTGGAGCACCGCATGTCGTGACGCCCATGGCAATGGCTCGGTTCTTCTTGAAGGACCTTCCAACCAATGCCAGGCCTGGAAGGTAGAGCAGTCCATTTCCCAAGCCCTGCAAGACACCTTGTGCCAGCATGAAGTGCCAATACTTGTCGCATACGCTCATCAGCATCACGCTTAGCGTCTCCATGAAGGCGCCCGCCAGCAGCATCGTCTTGAAATATCCGAGGTCAAACAGCGGGCCTGAGATGATGCCAATGCAAATGAGGAGAAAGACCGTCACCGTTCCGATCCATGAGATGGCCGATGCTGAAGTTCCGGGGAGGTAAGTGAGTTCGTAGTAGGATTGGAAAGATCCGAAGGCGAAAGTGAAGCCCCATAGGTTTGCAAAGACCAGAAATGAGCCCAAGACTTGAAGCCATGCTCGAGTGCCGCCGTCTTGGAGAGGCGGTGGTGCTGTGAGTGGAGTAGTCGTCTCAGTGGCGACCTTCTGGTCCAGAGTGGACGGTGTACCTGCTTTCTCGTTGTCCATGTCCATGTCGGTGTTGTATTGTTGTTTGGTCTCTAGAATTTGGTGCTCTTTCTCCGAGCCGCTCTCGCTGTATGAGCCAGCCATGTTGTAGGTCAATCACCAGCAAAGTCACGGGTCCCAGAGGTCAAATGATTCCGACTGTTCTGGCATCTGAAGATTCACACGAGGCAAGAGAAGAAGAAGAAACAGAAATGACGACAAATCAAAGTCACAAGAACGGACATAGTTACCTAAAGGCCATACTTACCTAACATCAATTTAGTGCGAAATCGAAAATGCGCCTCTTGCTTCTCGACATGCGCCCTGCCCGCACACGCGCATAGAGCGAGCGAGTAGTCGAAGGCGTGCGAGAATGCGGCAGTTCGGCAAAGCTTGGCCGGGGAGCCGGTATGCGGTGAGGAGAAGAGACAAGAACCGTGACTGGAAACGGACATATTGCGAGAACGAGGCGAGAATTGAAGAGGTGTAGTGATACTTTGTGTTTCGTATAACGATATTGATGAGTGTTGCACATGATGATACTGGGATTGTTATCGGTGAGAGAGAGAAGGGAGGACGGGATTGAGTTTGGAGAGCTTACTCATTCACTTGCCCGTTGCAGACCCGCTTTTATTGGGACGTTGATTGGTGATGGCCTAGCGGCGTCTCTTCTCTTCGCTACCACACTTCATCAAGACGTCCTCGTGCGTGTATATCTTCGTGCTGCTGTGCAACACTCCATCATATTTTATTGTTCATTTCAACTTCGAAAACGAAGTACATGAGATCTTCAGGTGTGCATCTTGCAATCGACGTCTATTCCGACGATAGTCTCACCGCCGCAAGGCCATCCCAGCTTCGAACATCCCAGCGAGGAGACGAGGGCGATACCCGCGGACTGCGACAATGTCGACTCAAGATGAGGCTTCTGCTGTACTGCTATTGCTATCAAGCATCGCCTTGCATGTGTACTCGTCCAGGTGTCCCAAGCCAAAAGCTCGTATAGTCAGTCAGTCCAAGAGGCAGGAGGTGAGAATACTACAGCTTCTTACATCAACCCATCGCCTGGTAAGAACCTAATTCTCAATCCTCTCACTTCTCACATCCTTCACGCAATGCTTCTCTCCACAACACCACTCATCTACCTCTCCCTTTTCCCCACCGCCATGGCCGCCCCAACAACATATCTCCCACCCCGGCTCATCGCCCTAGAAGAACACGCCCTGTTCCCCTCCCTCCAACCCATCAGCGCCTTCTACAACGCCACCATGAGCGCCGACCCATCCCCCCCTTCCAAGCTCCAAGACATAGGCGATGGCAGAATCGCCGACATGGACACCGGGCACATAACAACTCAAATCCTCTCCACGATCCCCGGCATCGCATCTACAGACCCGCAAGGCTGCATCTCCGCCAACGACGCCCTCGCGGCTGCGATAGCTAAACATCCCACCCGGTTAGGAGGTTTCGCCGCATTGCCTATGGCGCACCCAGACCTCGCAGCGAGCGAGCTCCACCGTGCGGTCAAAGACCTAGGCCTCGTAGGCGCCATGATCGACAACCACCTCCCCAACAGGTCCTACTACGACAGTACGACCTACGACCCCGTCTTCGCCATGGCCGAGAAGTTAGACGTCCCAATCTACATCCACCCGGCCCCACCCACCGACTCCCAAATCCAGTTTTACCAAGGGAACTACCCACCCCAGACAGCCCTCAAACTCGCCGCCTCAGCATGGGGATGGCACGCAGATGTCGGACAACATCTCATCCGTCTGTACGTTTCAGGCCTATTCCTGCGACATCCGAATCTCAAGATTGTGATTGGTCATGATGGCGAGACGTTGCCGATGATGATTGATCGCGTGGACGATAGTAAGCTTCGCACGGATCAGACGTTTCGGGAGGTCTGGGAGAGGAATTTGTGGGTTACGACGTCGGGGTTCTTTCATCTTAGGACGTTGGAGATGTTGATGAAGGTGACGAAGATTGAGAGGGTGATGTTTAGTGTGGATTATCCGTTGGTAGATATTGCGAAGGGGTGGAGGTTTGTGGAGGAGGTGGCGGGGAGTGGGATTTTGAGTGAGAGGTAGATGGATATGTTTGCGTTTGGGAATGCGGAGGGGTTGCTGAAGTTGAATGGAACGAAACGTGGAGGAAGTTGAGAATGCAGTGTGATTTCTTGCTTTCTTGGGTTTCAAAGACGAAGCCACTTTTGACCTCGTCTTGATCTGCTTTTGTGGGTGGTCTAAGGTCGTGTTTCTTGTGCACTGAATCACTAAGGAATTAATCGTCCTGGGTCGCGGGGGAACAGACTGGCTAACCGCACATTTGGCAGTCCTAGCCACAGCATGACAATACGCTCCAGTCCGATGCCACCACCCGCGTGTGGGGGACATCCATACCTGAAAGCATTGACGTAGTCGCGCAATCCGTCGCTCTTGGGGTCGACTGGCGTAACGTGCTCCTTCATGCGCTTCTCCAGGTGTGTCGCATCATGGATACGCTGCGCTCCAGACATGATCTCCTGACCACGCATGAAGAAATCGTACGAGTTGGAGTATCCAGCATTGGGTTCTGAGGCGTTGTACTTCTCCTGAGTCTCTGCCGAGGGCATGGTGTAGAATGGTCGGATGGCAAGTGGGTAGTTGTCCAGGACATAGAAGTCAGAGCCGTACTTCTCAAGCACAAGCGCGCCAAGTCTCTTCTCTTGAGGTGTGCTCAAGTCGTCGAAGTCGCCAATCTCCTCGCCAGCGTCGCGGAGCATCTTGATACCTTCGGCAAAGTGGAGACGTGGTACTTTGCCAGCTTCGGGCAGCTTGAACTCTTCCACTTGATACACAGTGCGGACGTAGTCGGTTTCCTTCTTGTAGCGTGTCCTGAGGCCGTTGAAGATGTGAAGCATGAGTTCCTCGAGCATGGTGACGACCTCGTGATAGTCTTCCTCGAATGCCATTTCCATATCGAGACCAGTGAACTCAGTAAGATGACGGGCAGTGTTGCTGTTCTCAGCACGGAAGATTGGACCGATCTCCATCACACGCTCGAAACGTGCAGCGATCATCATCTGCTTGTAGAGCTGAGGTGATTGCGCAAGGTACGCCTTTTGATCGAAGTACTTGACCTCAAACACACTGGAACCACCTTCTGACGGTGCACCGAGCAATCGTGGAGTGTTGATGCCGATGAAGCCTCGTTCAAGGAGGAATTCAGTAAAGAGCTGCTGTACGCCGAACTTGATGCTGAAGATGGCGTGGTTGAGGTTGGCCTTCAGATCGATGGTGCGGTTGTTGAGTCGTGTGTTGAGAGCCACAATAGGCTTGCCGTCATCTCTCACTGCATTCTCCTCGCCCTCAGCTGGGATGCGGCCCTCAGCATCAGCGACTTGCAGCGGCAGCTGTGACTCAGCTCTGCAAAGTGTGTACAGCTTGGTGACGTGGATTTCGAGGTTCTGAATGGTGGTGCTCTTGACAGGCTCGCGAGGCTTGTTCAACACACCGTGTACCACCACTTCGCTCTCAGTGGGAATGCTGCCCGCAAACTTGACCATCTGCCGGCTGAGGGTGTCGCTTGCGGCCACCACTGCCTGGATGGTGTTGGACTGCTGGCTGAACACCAAAAACGAGAGCTTCGCACTCTGATTCCGCGCATTCTCCACCGTTGCTCTGAAGACAACCTCAGGCCCATTCTCGAATGTCTCGTTCTCGTACTTCTTTGCCAGGTCCACCAGCTTCTCGTGCTTGACACCCGAAGGCTTCCTCACGAGCGGGAGTTGTCCGTAGTCGTCCTTGCTCACATCATTGGCCTCCTGCTCTTTCTTGCGCGCCTCCTCTTCAGCAGCACGCTTGGCTGCTTTCTCTGCCTTTTCCTTCTCTTTGGCCAATTTCTTGAGCTCGTTCTTGGATGGACCCTTCTTCTCTCCCTCGCCTTCGCCCTTGGGCCGCTCAGGGATTTCCTGAGTCTGGTCGGCCATGTTGTGTTTCGGTTTTGTTATGGGTTACAAGCAATGTTTACTCATTCTACAAATTTCATGGTCGAAGGTGGGGTGTTTGGTGGGATGCACAAGCTTGAGTCATGAAGTGACTGTGCCCTGACTCATGCTCAAACTTGAATGTCACGTGGTTGGCGACGTCAGGCTACCAAATATATTTGCCATTCCATTACACTCAACCTATTCAAAAGCCGTTGGGTTCATTTTTGGAGCTCCATGCTAGCTAGAATGCTGGTCAGTCCGATCCAGCGATCAATCTGACCGTCTCCGCCTCGATTCTCCTTCTAGTGTCACCCAGGCCTCAGGTCTTCAGCCCAATCTTTCCGCCAAGTGCCGTGAAACAGGTGAGGTTAGGTTAAAGTTGCTCAAGACTAAGCGCGACGGTTTGTGTTTGCGGAGGCGGTGTCTTGAGAACCCCAATTGAGAGCCTGGATCCAAGCGACACGTTGCTCGACCCTAGGGTGGAGTAGACATGGACCTATTCTTGGCTGGCTTCCAGAACAGCTCTGGAATGTGAAGCCAGCCAGTCAGTGCATATGACCTTTGAGTCCATGCAGACGATCCGAAGTGATGTCGGACAGGAAGGCGGCGTAGTTCTCGCTCTGGATGCGAACTTCTTTCACGCAGCCTGGCTCTTCAGGCTGGTTGCGATTGGTACTCGTCTACAGTCCTTGGTACTGGCTTCTAGAATCAAAGGTAGGCATGGTAAAAACAACAAGCTTTGCCACGCAACAAGTCTCGTCTGAAGCTTGTCTGTATTCTTGACATCACCAGTCCGGTTGCAGGGACATATTCGAGCTGTTTTCATCCATGATTCAGTGCAGCTACCGGCCTGTGCATTCCGCTGGACATCACCGTCGCGGATGGGTCATGTCCGTACCTTCTGATGGCAATGTTGATGACATACCCTACCAGTGGCAGGCCGCGATTCTTGATTCCACCATGTATCTACCAGAAATGGAATGATCGCCTCGTGGTACGCCTGTCGATACCGTGAGATGTTGGAATGCTGCTATTGATAGCCATTGTCGGTTTGGACGTGTATAAGAAGGCTGCAAGTAGTCGAGAAGTGTAGGTCAAACACCAGCTAACCAAGCGAGATCAGCCATATTCCGAAGTCACATCAACATGCAGCTGAAGCAAATGGCCGTCCTCGTGTTTGGCATGGCCATTACCGGAGTGATGGCCAATCCAACCCCCAGTGTATACGACCTCCACACCGCAATGCATCTGTGACTGACACGGTACCGGATGCTAGACTTGAAGTCCGAGCTGAGCAAAACGAGCAAATGACCCAAGTCGACCATGCCCAGAGCGTCCAGAATGCTGCTCAGCATGGTCAAGCCGATCAAGACCACGCAGACAAGCAAGGTGGCCAGTGGTGGCCGTACCCTCGTCCTCGTCCTCGTCCTCGCCCTCGGCCAAACAATTGGTGTCCGCCAGGGGCTTGGTGGTGTCGTCAGCCAGGCCCTCGTCCCAACAATGGATGTCAATGGGGTGGGATATCTCAATGTGTTGACAACTGTGAGCCATCAAAAGTGCCATTGACCAAATCACGACATCCGGCTGACATCGCTCAACCAGATTGCAATCCGGTCTACTCGAATTTCATGGACAGGTACGGCACTTGTACGTCCGGTGCCTATGCCGGTTGCCAATGTGATAAATGCGGTGGCTGTAAGTGAAGAAGCTCCCTACATCACTGGCGATGAGAGCGATGCTGACTTCGATCATAGCTAATGGTGGCCATGTGGGAAGTTGCTCGGCGTCCGATGGTTGTTTTGGCCAGAATGGCATATGTCAAGGCGGAGAGTACGCAGGTTGTCCATGTAACCAAGGTGCCTGGGTGTGGAAAGCGTGAAGGTATCGGTCGGGATGTTGTGGTGGCGCTGTCACATCTTCGAGACCGTACTTCATCGACGTCTGTCGTTTCAATGGCCTTTGGGGATTTTGTAGTTTTGCACGGTCCAATCGCTTGATGAGTGATAACCAGATGATAGCTTTACCACACCTGGAAAGTTTCGGGCGCTTCCCATGCCGTCTCAACAGTAAAATCCACCTCCCCTGAGTCCAGTAGTTCGGAACAGCACCCATAGCCCACCAGCTTGTTTCTTCCAGTGGATCGCACAGACGCTCTCCCTCGAAGCATCATCCGGCAGTCCAGGAAGTCCCCAAGCTCGCAGAGTCATCCAGACCATTGCTCTGCCGGTATATCTGTTGACGTGCGCAGTCGTATTGTACACCTCAATGCGATACTTAGGATTCTGCTTCCGGTATGCCGCAACATTGGCAAAGTGACTGCTGCTCGATTCAGCTTTCAAGTTGGGCGTTTCCGCGATGCTGGACTCGGACTTGTACGTGTCGGCGAGATATTTCCGGGCGTGAGGTTGGGACAGCGGGTCTTCTTCGTTGAGGAGCTCCATCATGATCTTGGAAAGGTATTGCAGTTCTTTGGACAGGGCCTCATCTTTCGCTTGCTCTACTGACGGGTCTTTGTGAGGACTCGACTTGTGGCGTTCCTCTGGGACGTCCTCCAAGTCTTCGAACCGGATGGGACTTGCGGGTGAACTGGATGTGGCCTGCCCAAGCAAAAGTTTGGAAGAGTCCTCCATCGCACTTGGATTGGTATCAATACCGAGTCGTTAAAGTGAAGAAAGCCATGAAGAGTTTGGGAGCATCTTTGAAAGTTGATGACATGGGGCAGAAGTGGCATGAAGTTAGATGAAAATAGGATTTAGCTTTAGCCTCCGCCCGAGGAGGTCATGTCTTGGGATGCCGCGCGAGATATGCTCTCGCCAACAAGGCGACGCCGAGCATCATATTCTCTTGGTTTTGAGATGACAGCGCTGCTGGGGCCAGTGGCGACTCTGATGAAAGATATGTCCAAGAGGAAACAAGGAAAAACGTTGTGCCGGGTCCAGGACTGAGTGAGTGACAACCTGATCAACAAAGCCGTGGAACTTCGTGACCAAACGTTTAACCGAAATTACAGCGACAACGACCACCACGCCAACCCAACTTCACCTCTTCTTCTTCTCTCCTTCATCCACATAGACAGTCCTCTTGTCGCCCTCTCTGTCACCTGTATTCACCGTTCCAATCTTCTCGACCACCAGAATACCCGTCTCAGAATCTGCCACCGGTCTGTGCTGCACTCCCTTGGGCACGCGAAAGAGATCTCCAACCTGCAGTTCCACGACATCGTTAACACCAAGTTTGTCTGCTTCTTCTGGGCTTTTGGCTTCTGTAGACAGCTCAATCTTCATCGGACCACCACTGACGCAGTAGAAAACTTCGTCAGCGTGGGGGTGCGAGTGCCAGATGAAGGAGCCTTTGATTTTGGCGATTTTGAACGAGTGAGAGTCATCAATGGTAAGGAGGTGTTGGGGACTCCAGTGTGCAGTAATGTCTTCGACGCGCGAGCGGAGATGGATAGATTCTGCCATTCTGGTGGGCCTGACTCGCAGCTGATGTTCACGTGCTTTTGCGGGAAACGTTAATGTGGCGATTGTGGCTTCTCAAAAGGCTAGAGGGCGTCAAAACGACTACAAGTATTCGAAGGTTGCTGATTGAAACCACTTGTAGCCCGTAAGGCGTAGGAGAAAAAGGCTGACTCATTGATGCAGGTACAAAGCGAGCAAAGCGGGCGTCAGCGAGATTAGGCATACGCTTGTCAGTTTCAAACAAAATTATCGTCTGTCTTACGAATCAAGCTGCAATTGGAATCATTGCCTATCATCCGACTGTGCAGGTCTATCAAACTCCTCAACAAATCCAGATCTCCTGGTTTCACGTTCGCTCGGACCCAGCATGTGTTCACTCGAAAGCGGTACTTCTTCCGGCGCCTGCATAGGACTGGTTGGTGAACGAGGGCTGTCTCTCGACCGTCCGTGTAGCTCATATAATGGCGCTCCAAACCAGCTACTATCCTGATCGACTGCTGCAGGAGTCCTTACTCCAGCTTGAGGAGACGGCTGTCCGAACGGCGAGTTCCTTCCAGAAGTACCCAGCGGTGGACTCGGATGGCCTATTGGCGGGCTCGGCTGGTCTGACATCGGCGGGCTCGGCTGGCCAAACGAGTTTGAAGACACCGTGCGATTGTGACTGTACCGGCTCATCCTATGCCTTTCCTCCAGGGGTGATATGCTCGCTCTCGACTGGTCACTTGCTCTTCGGACGCTACCGCCCCACAGCTCATGCCTCTCCGTTGGCGCACCGCGAGCAGTGACTGTGGCATCCAATTCTGGCTTGAAGCGATCGAGTTCCTCGCCGGAGACCTCTGCTGGTTTGTATTGCTCGACTTGCTGCATCTGCACTCCGTCTTGCCATTCCGCGATTGTGGTGTTGTCGCCAATGCTGGATGTTGCGAGTGTGCTTCTGCGCTCCTTCTTCTTGCCCTTTCGCTTCCGCCAGCAGAACCACCACAGCAACCCGCCCGCGATCGCCAATGCTGCAACGACACCTATCACAATGCCTGCTATTGCACCTCCCGAGAGACCACTTTTACGCGGGAATGTCACTGTTCGAATATCTTGAGCACCAGAACCGAACGTTGCCGGCGAGACATGGAACTCTTGGTTGTCATAATCGGCCGCGACGTACCTAGGGAACCAGTCAGTACATGCGTGATCAGTTTCTTGCTTGCTTGCTTCAACTCACGCTTCTTGTAGAAAGGTCCGCCCAAGGTAGTACTGATCATTGGAGTTGCCTCTCTTCAGTGGAAAGTATCTCATTGATCTTGTCGAATCATTTCCATATAGCGCCCCCAAAAGTGGATAGCCCACGCTCAGATCCCATGCTGCGTAAGGTAGAGTTATATTGACTGTAGTCCGGGTATCGCCAGCGCTGGCGGCTAACGAGAAAATCACAGATGCATTGCGCGTGGTCAGTCGATTATGCAAATCATCATCCACCAGGTACATCCCCACGGTATCATTCCAGACGAGGCCCAGCTCATTTTCAAACTCCCTGCATAAGGCTTCCGGTAGCCATATCTCTGGCACAACACTGTCGATTAGCGCGGGAATTGCTGCCGTGCTGAGAGGTTGCAGGACATCGCTCAGACTGGTCGACACGATCTCGAGGGTCAGACTACGGTTAGTATCTTGATCCATCGGTACCGTCAAGACATTGTCGACATTCCCTGCGTTGGCATCGTAGCCGCCGAGCGTTAAGCTACCAAACGAGTCGCGATATATGGCGCCCGCTGTGTAGCCCCAATATTGGCTTGATATGGCATCGATGCTTTGCAGCGCTTCTAGCACGCTGCGCTCTGGTTCTTGTAGACTCACGACGGTCTCATTGGCCGATGCTAGGCCCAGCTGGCCAACGTAGGGCACCTTCGTCGCATATCCGACAATGAGTTGATTATCCAGTGTTGGGGCGTCGTTCGAGTCGGTGCCAAAGCCTAGAACGTCGGTCCCTGGCAAGGAAGCTCCAGTGTAATTCAATGCTGGAGGTAGTAACGGACTAAGGTCTTCCTCGGGTCCAAAATTGAGCTGATAAAACTTATTAGGGTCGCCAACCCGTTTGAAAGTCGACGAGAGGCTTGGATCAAAGACTTCTCCTCGGGTTGTATTGCAGGTACTTGGATCTGCTTCTGCGCCGCATCCTTGAGGCAATACGACCCAGGTCGAGCGTCCGGATGTCGAAGGGAGAACGAAAAGCGTCTTCGGCGGCGTGCCTACATTGATCGCAAAGGTCGACCAATTTCCATCGTTCCCCAACCAGCGTTGACTCGGACTTATACTCTTCGCCTGGGAGGTCATATTGGAGCAGCCGCAAATGGTGTGGACTAAAAGCAGCGACGTTTCAGGGGCATGTGAAACTCTTCGTATTCTAGAAGATCGCACAAGGACCTGGGTGCGTACGCCGATGGCATGGAAGCTCCGGATGTCCAGCTATTCCATCCAGCGATCAAGGATTCGGCGGCGCAGCAGCTACAAACTAGTGGAGGCTGGACGGCAAGGAACTCTACGGCTCTACTACCTGGCCTGCATGCGACGTTGCTTTTCTTCTATTCTGGACCGACCTCTCTGCCTAGGGCTCGGGACCTGGGCGTCTCACAGTGCGGGACAAGAGGCTCTGCAAGTAGAGAGGTGTTGGGTTGAGAGACGCGTTAGGCAACTTGTCCGCCCAGGAAGGTGGCGATGGGTGCATTGCACTTGAGAGTGACTCGTCCGTCCTGACGCACTGCACAAGCGAGATGCATGCAGTCGGGCCGCTCTACTGGGGAGCTATGCGTGTGGCTGCAGCACGAGTTCACGGCAGCCTCATACATCATGAAGTCCGTCGATTCAGAGCGTGGATCGATCTCACAACAGAACACCATGCTCAAATACTGTTCTCATCCACGACACCATGCTTACTTTCCGCCCCAGGGCAGCGTGGAGCCAGCGAAACACCTCGCACCGGTGCTCTAGAAAGGCAGCCTTAGAGGATCAATAAACTCTGCACCCACGCCGCATCCACACATGTTCGCAACAAGCGGATCAATCAAAACTTGGCGGCCCTGCCGTCTGGTCGGCCAGCCCCAAAGCTTCCTGCAGCCACAATGCAACTACGGCACGACAAGGTTTTGGCCCCATGTGCCATGCTCCTCATTTGTGCAACATCCTGCAGGACAACACATCCAGAGTCCAGTTCGGTCGCTCCTCTTGCATGCCATGCACCACTCACAGACCTGTCTGGCAGCCATGCGCACATGTGATTGCTCACTGCTCTGGCATCACCGCCTACATTGGGGCTGGATTTGGGAGGTGCCGCTACTTCCTCGACTCTAGTTCCTCTGCTCGTGCACTATACTTGCTTTCCCCGCCACCGGTGAAGAAGCTACGGCTGCTGGCGACGCGGAACGGCGCAGACTGCACGATCGAGTACCCAAGATTGGGGACAACATGTCTCACCTCCACGCGTGCGTCGTCTTCATGGCCGCAGCTCTCAACAGCAGTCTATCCGGTTCGGCCTCGGGTGGGCGCAATGGACTGCAGACGGTGAGGCTCTGTGACAGCGATGGAGGGTAGAATAGGTCCCGTCTACCCATGCTCGGCTCCAGACCCCAGCAACCTCACTCCACCCTCGCTCGCATGACTGCACGCTGATAACATCTCTTGGTACTGCTCGAACCGAGAAAGATCAGCTGTGTGGGCCGTCTGTCGTTCTTGATTGAGGTAATTTGGGACTGCAGCTTGCTTGACCCGGACTCTGGCTAACAATCAGTCCCAGGAAGCATTGCCTGGTTGACCATTTTCAGCTTGCTTGAGTCGCAATGAAGGCCACACTTGCCCTGCTCGTCGCTGTTGCTGCCTCTGCCAAGGCCAACCCCGGCGGAGGCGGTGGATGGGGCGGCCAAGGGGGTGGCGACTGGGGAGATCACACTGAATACCAGACGCATGTCGTAACGTCCGCGGTCGTGTCTCAGTGGCATGAGGTTAAGCCTTCGATCTGCGAGACATGGTCGGTATCAAAAGCGCCACCTGTGACCACAACGATTACGACCAAATCCGTCTGGAAGGAGCCTGGACAAACGGTAGAGCGCACGAAGTACGTCCCATGCCCAACGACCCTGCCTGGAAAGGACATCACCGTATCTATCACATATACGACAGTCACGACCGTAACACATGAAACGACAATCTACAAGCCTTACACTACTACAGAGACGTTAATAATCACATCGAATAATACTATTACCTTGGCCACGACGATTCCGACCACTCAGACTGTTCCAACGACAATCCCGACGACCCAACTAATCTCATTGACGGACTATATCCCAACCACAATAGAGAAGACCCAGCTTCTGCCAACGACCTATGTCCATTACTCCGAGGTTACCAAGCAGGGATCAACAGAGACTCTGGCTTTTACCGAAACCTCAGAGGTGACCATTCTTCAGACTGTGCCTACGACCATTATCTCAGAGAACACCCAGTTGATCTCGACCACGATCACTGCTCAAGGTCCAACTCAAGTTCAATATTCGACCGTGAGCCTGAGTGGCTCAACTATCGTTGTAGAGAACACTGTGACGGCTCCAGGCACAACTCAGGTCCAATATTCGACAGTGTCCCTGAGTGGCACCACTCTCGTTGTAGAGAACACTGTGACGGCTCAAGGCCCAACGCAGACCCTAATTTCAACTTTGCCTGGAGAAACGATCGTTGGCCCTACTCTCTCAACGACTCTGCTGGAGTACTCAACAATTAGCTTGAATGGAACTACTCAGGTGATCACCCTACCTCAAAGCACTGTCATTGACGTCGAGTACTCCACGCTACCCGGAGAAACGATAATCCAGTCGCTGCCTGGAGAAACAGTAATTTACACGGCCTCCGCTCCAGCGATCATCTCTTACGTTACGATAACGCAGCCAGCGGTTACGATCACGGAAGCTCCACCACCACCTGCAAGTACTTGCAATGCTTCCGGTTTCTTCCCGGGTCCTGATGGGAATGCGTGCGGTGGCGAATCTTGCTATCTTGACCTTGATCTGGGAGCCGCTGTCCACTGGGATACGGTCGACCACTACCCGCGTCTGCTCACGGTTGCACAATTCGAGAATCCTTCGGCGAAGGCTACGTGTATCACGACCATCTGCAATACCGCAGCTTTTGAGAAATACTATGCAACAAGCATTCCGAGCTGTAAGTGAACGACGTTAGCCATTAATTGATTTGCTCAGTGGCTCACTTTGAACTAGGCGCACGTCCACCATGCCCATCCAACTCCCTTGATTGCGATTGCAATATCGTTGTTGGGCCATTGGTACTTCCTGGTGGTCAAACAACTTCTGTGTAGGTCATTCTCGTAACTTGCAGACTTCTTAGCTGACCATCTCGAAGCACTCAAACTGGGACCGAGGGCTGGTATCTCAACTTAGGCCCAACAGCTACGGCTGTCAATGTCCCAAGCTGTTCCTCTGGCTCGCCTCAATGTCTCACATCAGTACCAACTACGCGTCCAGAGCCGCTTCTCTACACAGGCAGGGTGATCCCAGAGACAGCTGCAAACATGAGCAACGCCACGCCCACGCAATTTCTCCTGCCCGATCTGCCGGGGTACTTCCCACCAGATTCCCCATTCGGAGATTGTACCACTGCTGTTTTCGATCCAGTGGCGACGACAGCAGCGCCAAGACTGCGGAGAGAGCATCTTCATCGGCGTCAGCAGCAAAGGTTTGCTGATGCCGCTTCCTTCACTTGGCCCGCGACGGACGGTCTCACGGACTCTACTACGTACACTGCTCAGGCCTTGAATGCGCCTTCCGCGCCGACATCGCCCCTGGGTGCGACACAGCCTGCTCCAGGACCTTCGAGCACGGCAGAGAATTCGCCTCCTCCTTCTGCTTCTCCCCCGACGGTCACGGCGCCTGGTGTCACTGTCATCCAATCACCGCCGCCAGAGCAGACGTCCGCTGGCGAGCCGTCGTCTCCTGCACAAACGTCTCCCTCATCAACCGAACAACCTCCTCCTGTCAATACCGAATCTACTCCGCCGCCAGCCTCAGGTCCGACATCGACGCCTCCAAACAATACCCCAGAAAGCACAACATTGCCTCCTGTTGTACCTGCCACTTCTCTGTCTGCAGCTCCAAACACCGAAAGTACGACTGGTATCAATCCGACTGGAGCTGAGCCGTCACCTGCCAGTGCAGGCTCCACGTCCGCATCTGAAGGAGTTTCAATTGGCTCATCGACCGCCACACCGACGTCAGTCACCACTGGACCAGATGGTATAGCGACTGTTACAGAGACTGTCTTCTACAGCATGATCTCGTCTCCGGGAAGCGAGAGCCTGTCAAACGCTACGTCTGCAACGTCTAGTGGTCCGGCGACACAGACATCTGGTGTTGGGTCGAAGCAGAGGCCACGATGGCTCGTCGTATCCTTGAGCTTGTTAGCTGCTCTGGTATTGCTTGTTTAGAAAAAAAACATGGGCATGGGTCAGGCGTTTTGTGTACATGTCGATTGCTGAGAGACATAGCCTGTCTACAGCTCCACAATGCCTGTCATGCGAAAACGAAAACAGTTGATTGTTCATCCTAGAAATCATCTCCTTTATCACCACCACTTTTCTGTGGCATACTTGCCAACCCTTGTCGCCTCCGTCCACCACCGACTCTCAAAAGGCCTATACTTACTAAAAGCCACCGCACCCTCCTCCAACTCATCAGTCTGGCAGACCTTCTCCCTAATCGTCTCCCCAAACTCATCAACCCACATGATCTTCAAATCCTCGTCCACAACCCAATACACACCGCTAACCCACGAACCCTTATCCCGCTCCTCCCCTCGAGCCTCTTCAACATCATCAGGATCATCAAAAGCAATCAAGGAATACACCCTCTCCGGCAAAGCATCCAACTCCTCGAAATCCCGTACGAGCTCGCCTTCTCTCCACTCCGTCATCCACTGAATCTCATCGTCCGTCAAATTTCGTTTTCGCTTGGTAAATAGCACCCTTCCCACACCGTCGCTGATCCAGAAGGCTATTGAGGACTGTTCCGATGCTCGATAGGAGAGGATCTTGCTTTCTTCGTTGTTTACGGAGTAGTCTTCGGCGAGGGCGTGATATTTCCATCGGCCGCGGAGGCCTAGTGATATGAACTCGCGGAAGATCTTGTTGCGGCGGGCGAGAGGGGGTTCTGTGTGTTTCGACCATTGTTCGATGAGGTAGACTTCTGCGGCGCGGATTTGGGGCATGTTGGGAGTGGGGATGAATGAGTCTTGGACTTAAGCCTATGGATTCTGGTGAGAAGAATAGCTTGAGATCAGGATGACTCTGCACTTTGTGGCATTCACTCGATGTCTTCGAGTTTGTTCAGTTGTTGAAAAAAGAATTGCTGTACAATACGAAGTGGCTCGAACGAATTTTGTTCATCCATGCGATGTTTCTGGTCCAGTTGACACTGTTTTCAGATGATCAGTGATGTGACTCAAAACGATGTAATATAAGTTTTCCGGGAGTCGTTGCTGAGTGAGGCTGTGTGGGTGCCTCAGGCCAAGAGTCAGCGAGACGTATCCATCTCAATCCTTCGACACTCTTGCTTCTTTCCTTGCATCTCTCCCATCAAAGCTAACTTCTCTCTATCATCCAACGCCTGCCGACCACGATGAAGCTACGCAACTCCTCTTCATACTCCCTACCAGCCCGGCTGTTCTGATGCCTCCTGAGGCTTCAAAAGCAGGCCGGCGCAGGCGAGTCGAGATGCCCACGACGTTGCCATCGCCATCGCAAAGACGACGCGGTCGATCGGATATTTCAAGGAGAAGCAGTAGCCTACCTTAGCATCAGGCCTGTTCACCTGGGCGGTTTCCACGAATCATGGGCTGAATGTCGACCAACAGAGTGAGAACGCTCTCACCCACCGGCGCCTCCGGAGGGTTACTACTGCGAACGTCACCTTTTTGCCCCGCCAACGACGCTATGAACATGTCACACGCTGCAACGACAAGACTGCGAACCACATCTGTCATTCATCTCCGCAAAAGACCAATATCTGGGGCTAGTTCGTGGGGCAATGAGGGGTTCCCACACGAGTTTCACCGTGACTAGAAACCCTGGACATTGACTGATCCGGGGGAATATAAAGCTTCAGATCTTGAGTCGTAAGAAGAGACAGTATCTTCATCTCTACTCCTTCATCTCCAAAACCAGACGTCCCAACATGGCGTCTCTGCTCGCCACATTCGCGCTTTGCTCTTCATGGGCATTGGGCTCTACGGTAGTCCCTCGTCAAAGCTCCAGCAATACCGCCGTTGTCGATCTCTCGGTAAACAATGGTTCACCCAAACACCTTGCCAGTGGAGTTCTCTACGGCATCCCGGATACACCAAATCAGATCCCGGACTCGCTCTATACGGACATGGGATTCAACTATGCTCGTGTTGGAGGTGCTCAACTTGACGCTGGCGGATGGATTTACGGATTGAATGCCTACTACGCCAGATTCAACTCGACAAAGAACAATTACTTCACGGCTAGGAAGTATGGTGCACCAGTCATCATCCTACCGCACGACATCTGGGGCACTGACCACGCCAACTCATCGACAGTCTGGCCAGGAGACAATGGCAACTGGGCCGACTATGACAAGTTTCTCAACCAGCTGATTTCGGACTTGAAGGCGAATAACATGCTGAGCGGCTTGGTCTGGGACATCTGGAACGAGCCTGATGGTTCGGGATTCTGGGCTCGATCACAACAGCAGTATCTTCAGCTCTATGTTCGAACTCATCGACGTTTGAGGCAGGACTCCACCCTCAATCAGGTCTTGATCAGTGGACCTGCGTCAGCGAGTCAACCCTCATCCAGCAATACATGGTTCAAGAACTGGCTATCTACGGTTGTTCAAAACAACACAATTCCCGACCAGTATGCTTGGCATGATGAACCTGGGGATCTCAAGAACGATATCCCGGCCTTTAATGCTTTGTTGAAGCAGTACAACGCCCCTGCAAGAACGATTAACATCAACGAGTATGCCACTTTCGATCAACAAAACTCAGCTGGCGCTGCTTGGTGGATCTCGCGCCTGGAGAGATACAACGCCATCGGTCTAAGAGGAAATTGGCTCAGCGGATGTCAGCTGCACGACTTTCTGGCCAGCTTGCTCGGCAAGAGTGATACGAATTCTTGCACTGGAACTGGATACTACGGCAACGGGGAGTATCAGGTCTACAAATACTACAACAAGAATATGACGGGCACACGGGCAGGCACTACTGGCAGTGGCGATGGGAAACTGGACGTCTACACCACGATCGGCTCGAGTACTGTTCGAACGTTGACGGGTGTGCTCACAAGCACTGGCACGTGGTACATTACCATCAACAACTTGAGCTCGGTTGGCCTCCCTACCTCTGGATCATTGACGATACAGACTTGGGGCTTCGACGATAAGGGACACTTCGGCAGAGTGGATGCTCCTTCGAATCGCGGTGAGTGAAGAAGTGACGTGACTTTAGAGACCCAGACTGACAAATGGCGCAGGCACATATGCTCACACTTACTCTGGCAACAGCGTTACGTTTCCGGTCTACCAGACGAGCGCCGATAGTGCTACCGCATGGGGATTTGAGTTTCAAAGAGCCTAACATTGGCCTGTGCCATAACAGTGACAACACACATTGTCCGACAGCAGTAGCAGCCTACAGTACATTTCAGCCGCTGGCATCGACCTCTCGCACTTTGCTGGTCTCCGCCGCCATCTTTCCATCTCCTTGAAAGCTTTGCCTCTCACTATCTGTATCCAGCCGAACACCGTGCACGACAGCTGGAATACTGGTGGCTTTGTCCGGAAACATCCAGTGCAGACTGACATACATTATGATCGAGAGAACGAACCCGTAGAGCCAATTAAAAGAAAAAAGGCGCTCCAGCCCAGTTCCGATTTTCACACTGGACGAAATTTTGTTCGCCATCCCAGGAATCAATGGCCCAACGACCACCATCGTCGTCACAAGTGCTCTCCAGTTAATGCCGTGCCAATACGAATATATTCCTTTAGGGTCGTACAAAGCTGGCACGTCATATCTTCTCCTCTTAACGATCCAGTAGTCTGAAAAGAGGATTCCTGCGATAGGTGCGAGAAAGCACGCATACGCAGACATAAAAGAAAGCAAGGCATCGGCGCTCTCGACAATGATCCAGGGACACCTATGGCTCATCAGCTGGGCTCTTTGACGATGATTCCTCTACTCACAGTGCCCATCCTCCAATGACAGCGGCAAAAATGACACCTCGCTTGACGTTGAACCACTTTGGTGCGATCGTTGTGATGTCGTTGCCGAATGAGACGGAGTTCGCGCTGACGTTCACACAGATTTGTGCCAGACACCAGACAGCAGAGGCGAAGAATGCTGCTGCTCGGCCTCCTGGACTTCCTTGCCCTGGCGAACGTCAGTAAGCCATGGATCAAACTCCAATTGAGATGGAACAGCCTACATACACTTTTCAATGATGTCCAGCGGCGACCACAACGCTTCACCATACAACTGGACAGCGGCACTGGCTGAAACGACTCCAAAGACGCCAACAATGCACTTGAAAAACGGAATCATTGGCAGTTGCCAATAGTGCGCTGTGCGTGTTTTCGAGAATCGCGAAAAGTCCGAGATGTTGACAGCCAGAGTCGAGAAGCCTCCCGTGATCGATGTCATGCTGCTCAACCAAAGCCTTGAAGAGGTCAGTAAAATAGCTATCCGAGCAGCCCTGAGACGGAATGACAGAAACACTTACCAGGCTTTCTCTGACCCGCTGACTCTCGCAGGCTGATTGAAGAAGTCACTCCCATTTCCAGCCTTTACAGAGATCCAAATCACCATCGCGAGAGCAGTCGGAGCAACAAGCACCGTCTTGGCCCAGAACATGTATTGCAGTTTGTGCGTCGGTATGAGCATGAATGGCAACTGCAACAGCCAGTACAGGAAGTACGACACCATTCCTTGTGTCGTGATCCCAGCAGATTCTGGCAAACGGTTGGGGAGGTTCGCATAGCTGGGCCAGGTGGCTGTGACCATTCCCGTGATACATTGGCCTCCGTATACACTCTGCACGCCGAACCAGAACAGTGCAAGAATCCCTCTTGTCACGACTGTGAAGTACGAAAGCCAGTAGCCGTAAGATGCGCGGATGGCTATTGGGAAGGGGATGTGAAGATCAACGCCAATGGCACTATTCACAATGTCAGACTGGCCTCCATCACATTGAATTCTGCTCAACTCACCCATTCAACACTGTCGGGATCGCATTACACAAAGCAGCCACGAAAGTCACAAGAACTGCATCTGTTGCTGAGAGGCCTGTTGCCACTACGCTTGCCGCTGCAGACCATCCTGCCGCAGTCACTAGGTCTGAAAACCAATACCAAGTGAATGACCAGCCTGTCCAAGTCTGTTTCTCGGGTGGGACTGGATCTTGATCTGCGTTCGTCCAGACGTACGACGGGGCGACTGACGATTCTTGCTTTGGGAGTTTCCAGCTGGAGAAGGAGGTGAGTCTGGTTTTAATCTTGACTGCTGCACCGTTTAAACGCTCGCGGAGTGCCACGGGGTTCATTGTCAATCTTGTTTCTCAACACGAGGGTGCGAACTCATGTGGCCAAAGTAGCGGGCCACCTGGACGACTTATCACAGCATCCATGAGCGAAACATGTGCTGGCCAACAGTAGTGCAAGAAACTCTAATCTCTCGCAGGTCTTGGCACTTTGCGTATGCCATGCAATCGCTGCTCGAATTGATGGGGATACTCGCGTAGATTGCGAGCCTGCTCGGAAGGTTCCCAGCCTAGGACAATGCGAAGTCATCAACATTGAGTTCAACAGACTGTGGGGAGAGTTGCGCGTGGGTGATCGGCCACGAGAGTTGATGGGGAATCCTTGGAGATAAGGTCAGTGTGAGGGCGAGATAAGGGTGCAGGAGGAGCCGCCGGCGTACCTGCGGGGTTGGAAGGGAGTGATATGGGACCGGGCAAGGGAGGTATTGTGTGTATGTGAGTTCGCAGCTCGCCTAGATGTTGATTGCGGACATGCTGATAGTCGAGTTGCCTGTGTTCTTGGAAGTTTGACTTTGACTTCACTTGAGCAAGCCTAGGGGAGATCACCGTCGCAGCCTTGCGCTCTCTCTCCCGTCAGAGGAAAGACACAGCGCCAATCATCATGTCAGCCACCACAGAGACTGTTGTTGTTGAAAATAAGCAAAAAGGTCCTTCTGTCACGTTGAAACCAAACCAAGGCCCCCAAAGTCATGGTCGAATGGTACCGATCAAGCATCCTGCTTCAAGCAAAGTCGACTTTGGCGCTGAAGTGTACGACATTGATCTCAACAGCTTCACCGATGCCGATTTTGATTTGATTTCTGATGCATTGCATCGCCATAAGCTTCTGGTGTTCAAAGAGCAGCCGGCGATGTTGGAACCTCAGCAGCAATATCGATTGACGTCGCGGTGAGCGCCAAACTATCTAATAGGTCGCCGTACCTTCGTGCATGCTGATGTAAACTAGCTTTGATCCCGACGACACGAGCGGCGGCTTCGCTCATGGCGTTGACCCCTATCTGACAACCTATAATGGCATCGATATATATGGGACTCCAAATAGACCTGCTATTCCCGTGCAGCCTCAAGTACATATTCTGGGGCGAGGGAAGCTGCCTGAGAACCACTATGGATTCCCACCTAACTTCGAGATGAAGAGTGTGGACCATGTGAACTTTCACGCTCCGCCCCATATCCCGGACGAGGAGAGGGAGAACGGTGCGTCGAGATTTTATCAATGGTGAGTGCCAAACCTCCCCCGAGGAGCTTCTGTACTGAGTTGAGATAGGCACTGGGATGGATCGCTATACAACATCCCTCCACCTCGAGTGGGCTGCTTGCTAGCCGTGAGGACACCGAAGGGACCGAGTGTCACAGTGCGATGGGACGATGGCACGGGCACCGAGATGGAAGTCGCTCCAGGAGCAACAGCAATGGTGGCCGGGTCCCGGGCACTCGAGCTTCTCGACGAAGACACCCGTAACGTCGTGATGAACTCAAAGATCGAGTATGCACCTCATGCTTTCAAGTGGATGTCGACTGCTCGATCGACGAGGCTCGGGTATACCTTGGAAACCGAAGGTCGAGAAGTACTACTCGACCAACTACCTCCTTGGGAAGAAGACAAAGTCTGCGTCTATCCCATGGTCTGGACCAACCCCAAAACTGGAGAGAAATCATTGCAAGTCCACGGCCAAGGGGCGTTCAAGCTCTACTTGAAGAGTAGCCCAGATGGAGAAGAGACGATCGTGGAGGATCTCGCGGAAGTCAGAGCGTTCATGCACAAGATCATGCGGCCAGTCCTCTCCCCAGAGAATATCTATGCTCATAATCATCAAGAGCAAGATGTGATCTTGTGGTATAATCGAGCGCTGTGGCATAGTATTACCGAATTTCCGGAAAGCTATGGGCCAAGGGTCATGCATCAGTGTAATGTTGCTGCTTCGGATCATCCTACTGGATAATCATACTTTGCGATCATTCAAACCGAAGCAAGAAATTTTACTTCTGTTCCAGTACGATGTACGACTGTGTACCTCTGTACATCGTACCTTGTTAGAGGAGCTCTCGAGCTTGGCCGACTGATAAGGCCTGATCCTCCGCCTATCAACCAGAACATGATCCTCATCCCTGGCCAAGCAAGCATATCAGGGCAACTCTATTCGATAGTCCAATCAGGTCTTTGCTTATCAGTTGAGGATTGGAGCTTCGAGCTCTCCACCTGACGGCGAGATGCGATGACTTCGGGTTGTTTGAGAGGCCGAAGGGAAGTTGTTATGGGAGATAACAACTTCGACGACAACTCTTTGAATTAGGAGTCAGTGTAAAGACAGCGACAGTGAGACCAAGATGGCGCCAGGTACTCTACTGCCTGAGCCGGGCTTCACCATTGAGAAGTTCGAGAAGGGTCCAAAGGAGGAATACAATGTGAGCGTGCTCTTCAACAGGTCGAGAGGATAAGTGCTGAGCAGAAGTCATTAGTTCGGTGCTATAATCACAGGCTTAGACCTTAACGATGTCTCCGGTCAGGTCGATGAGATTCCCTCCTCGAGCGCTCGTGCTGACTTCACCATATAGATGCGGATATCAAGCATTTACGAGACGCAATCTGGACGCACAAAGCAGTCGTGGTGAAGGGCCAGAAAGACTTGGACCCGAAGCGACACTGGGAGCTCGTCACACGTTTCGACCCGGAAGCACAGCAGGTCCATTCTCATGGCGACATCAAAACGTTCCAAAGCAAGGGAGGAATGCTCTCTGTACGCGCTTAAAATGCCCTTCAGAAGCTTGACCATCGACTGATCTTCGTCAGAAACAACGCCAAGTCCACGGCATTCCCGGCGCAGAAAACGTTCGTCTCATTGGCAAAGGTCCTCAAGGCCCGGATCACTACGGCCTGAAAGACCTCAACATCAAAGGTCTCTCCCACGACTGGCACGCCAAGCCACTGCCGAATGAGGACTTCGAGCAGGGCTTTACGAGGTTCCAGCGCTGGCATATAGATGCTCCGCTCTACGATCGCGACCCCGCATGGTTTACGACGCTGAGATGTTTGAAGCAGCCGAAAGGAGAGGATGTTACGATTAGGTGGGATGATGGGAGTGGACATTCTATGAAGAGCCCACCCGGGAGAACAGCCTTTTGGAGTTCCAGTGAGTCGTGAGTATTTGAAGCTGACACGGATTGCTGATGGTGTGGTTTGAATAGGCCAGTTGTATAGCTTGCTGTCTCCTGACGAACAGAAGATGGCTGACCATTCTTGGGTGGAGTATTGGCCACATCCGTACATGGCGATCGAGAACTGCAAGGGGAATCCAAATGGCCTTGGTCTCGAGAATCAGGGCAAAGAGCATACCATTGACGAGATTGGAGACTTCGACGAAAGCAAAGTGAAGAAGGTAATCCCGATCGTTTCTCCCCAACCTTTGGACGAGACTGACCCAACGACCAGTACCCCTTCGTCTGGGTGAGCCCCGTCACCGGCGAGAAAGCCTTCCAAGTCCACAGCATTTGCGCCAGAAAGCTATATCTCCGCAGCGGACCAGACGAAACCCCTAAAGTGATAGACGACCTGACCGAAATCCGCCAGTTCCTGGCAGATATCCAGCTGAGGATCATGAAACCTCAGTACATCTTTCTGCCGCCGGTCGACGAAGGTGATGTGTTAATGTGGGACAATTATGGCTTGTTTCATTCGGCGGTCGATTATCCGCTGGAGAAGTATGGGCCAAGGACGATGCATCAGGCGAATATTGGAGCTAGCCGGGGGCCTGTTGGGCCTGTTCCTGTTCCTGTTGCTTGATGTACGTAGGTATCCGTCGGGAAGAGAGGCAGCCGAGCACATGTCTCACCATGCAACACCAGAATCTTTGTCTGTTGAATCTCCATACAGCAAGATATCTGCATCGTACCAGTGGAATATGTTGTCCCAGGCATCCAAATTGCATGGCTCGGTGCAGCATCCAGCGTCCAGATTCAGAGCATGTAAGACATATTTGCTGGCCTGTAGACCGTCCTTCTCGTGATATTTAGAGCCGACGTGGCTTGTCTGTTCAATTCTTCAGAGACTGAATTGAAGTAAAAATCCATCAACGCAAAACAAGAAGCCATGGCAAAGAGCATGCGGGTTTCTAAACCAATCTTTGGACCAGTACGATGTTTCCCAGATCTTAGACGGTGCATTTCCGCTGACAAACTTTCTTAGCCAGTATCTCGATCCATTTTCAAGGCCAGATGGCTTGCCAAGTTCAACGCAATACTGGAATCTATCAAATTCGGAGCGAAGTACATGACCTCTGCTCGATTTGATCACCAAGACTGTATCCAGACTTTCGATCTGATCATCGCGTTCGCCCAAGAGGCCAGAGAGCTCGGCTTGCAAGAAGACGACTTCAATACGGACCCGATACCATTCGAATTCGTCACGGACAGCGGCTTATTTCCCATAAGACATGTCAACCCTTTCGAAGCCGCCGAGCATTACAGCGAGACTATGGAGGGCATCGCCGTGGAGAGACGGGATATCAGGCAGCACCGGGAGAAGAGGCTGGCAGGCTGGCAGAGCATCTCTAACGAGGAGATAGCTGACGTTCACAAGCTCAATGTGGGAATCGCGAAAGCTAAGGAGGATGGGCTTTGGCCGAGAGAGCGGATGCCTCGCCGTCGCCAGATCGTGGAGGAGAAGGAGTTCATGAAGTGGAAGGCCTTGGATAAAGCGGGCGCAATGGCGGCTTTGAAGAAGAATTGATGTCGGAAGCGTCGAGCTTAACTGTTGACATGTGCAAGCCGGACTTGTTTGAGGGGAAATCATAGTTTGCTGAGAGACACTGTGCACAGTCTCTCGAAGGCTAGAATTGACGCATTGCATCAACTCCAGGAGGCCCCATCGTCGCCCAAAAACGAACAAGTTGCCACTCATTATCGATGATCTCGAAAGCCATGACTCCCATAACACACAGCACAATTCCAGGCGGATCTCCCGTCACAGCATGCGGGGCGTGGAGCATTGCAGAATCAGCCGTGGCCCCAGGCTGGATGCTGCACTCGTTCAAGTCGATGTGATAATTCGGACTTCTCGCTATGATTGCTTTGATGTCATCCAAAAGCCCTTGCAGGTCGACCCGATACTTCTGCTGATTTCCGCGCATACCGCCTCGCTCAGCTATGAAGTTTTTCGCGCAGTTGGCCCAGGCGGGCGAGTCGATGGAGAGATCGCGGGCATTGATGGCGTCTATTTGACGCTGTGCGATATGCTGGAGATGTGCGATCGTCTCCTTGGATAGTGGTGAGGTATCAGAGCTCATGTTGTCAATCCATGTCTATCTAGTTCAAGAGTAAGTGGAGCCCAGTTGTGGTTGAGATCGGATCGGAGGAACATTGCTCCGTGGCGTAAACTTCGGTTCGCTGTGTGCGTCTGGTTCTCCTATCCATCGTCAACCACTACAACGCTCATCTCACGTCAGGTGAACACGATGCCTCCATTCTTCCACTCAAACATCCATCCGATTACCTTGGCTCAAAGAGTTCAGTCGCCGAAAGAATCGGAACCCTTCAAAAGAGAGGAAACGTTGACCAGTAAAGCCAGCGCAGATCATAAGAGCTGTAGGGAATATCTCTGGATCTTTCCTGTCGTAGCCGCCGTGGGGTCCTGTTCTCGTTGTTTTTACCTCTTATGTGGGCAATCGATAGCCCACTAGCCAACTCAAGTCTCTCGAAGACTACCCGTTCACCAATTCCGACCTTGCGGCTCGTCCCACGAAGGAATGGCACCTCTTTGCAAGTATATGGATCGGAGCTTCTTATGCTGCAACTTTTACTGGCATTTACATTGTGAGGTATGACGATCGGCTGTACGGGTTTGACGAGGATTGGCTTAGAAAGGCCCTGATGCGCGTGGCCGTGGGCGCTGCGTATGTTGCTGGGATCTTCCTCATTCTGGCATCATTATTCGACATCGTTCAATATCCCGGCACCCACCTAGTCTTACTGCACTGCTTTGTCGCTTGTTTCATTGGCAATGCCTTTATCTTGAGCTGTATTTATGCAAAGGACACTTTGCCGTACGAGTTTTTGGGCAACGAGAACAATTACAAGCAGTGGGTTTTGGAGTACAAATTCTGGGGAAAACGTGAACTGATACCTTGTAGTTGCTTCATCTCTATGTAGTGTGGATTTTTGGTCTCTGCTTTGTGCGTTTTGTTCCTGGCGTGCGAGGGTCTCGCTTCACGCAAGACCAGTGTTGAAGTAAGTCCGGCGTCTGAAATGAGGCTTGTGTCATAACTTATACTGCAGCAGCTTTTACAGGTCGTGGTTTTTATGATGTTCTTATACTTGCTTTTGGCAAGCGCATTTTGCCGGTATGTCACCCATCTAATCGTTTGCCAACCACCTGACGACAAGCATAGACCTCCACTTCCCGAAAGGAAGCTTGAAAAGCACGAGTTGGTTTCTGAAGACATATTGTCGCGCATGAATTTCAAGACCCAGCGCCTCATTAGACGAGCGTCAACGAAACCCTAGTAGGTACGATGGCCAGCAGTACTTAAGCGAATGAGATTGGTCATATGGCCTCCCCGTTGATTGAAGTGGTAAAGGCTCACGATCAACACTTCGAACTCTGTCTTTGAGCTCGGGCAACCGGTGGCCTATCTTGTCTTGGCTGCATGACAATAAGACACCATGGATCGACTCATGCTTGACATGAAGAACATAAATCAGTGAAGAGATTGAACGAGAACTCGACTTGCTACTCGTTTCCTCAGAACTTTGCAGGCGGACATTGACAATGAAGTTTTTTTCGACAAGTTTGGTTCTGGCTGCGGCCGCTCAAGCTGTGCCAGACACACAATATTTACGCAGAAGCCTCAATGCAACAGCAAGCGACCGGCTTGGTTTGAAATGGATGGGCAACGATACTAGTCTTCCAAAAGTCCTTGTTCTCTTTACCGGAGGCACAATTTCCAGTGGCTCGTCTTACAGCGCCTTGGATACAACCGATTACGGCCAAACCTCAATAACCGGTGAAGAAATCCTTGCTCGAGATCCCCTCTTGCAGACGGTAGCACAGCTTACGGTATCGAACTGGACGCGAGATGATGGAAACTCGACCGGGACCAGCGATGCTCTGGTGATGAATATGACTAGATTCGCCCACGATGCCTTATGCTCCCCGGATAGCGACATTACAGGAGCCATCTTCACGCATGGTACCAACTCGCTCGAGGAGACGGCATTCCTAATGGATCTACTGGTGAACTGTGGCAAACCGATTGTTGGAGTGGGCGCTATGCGGCCTTACACAGCCTTGTCATTTGACGGCGATGCCAACTTCTTTCAATCGATCGCTTTAGCTGCTAGTCCGGATGCAAGACATCGCGGCGTGCTTGTGGCATTCAGCGACCGAATCTTATCGGGTTTCTGGGTTACCAAGCTCGATTCAACTCATCCTGATGCTTTTCATCAAACCACGAGTGGAGGAGACCTTGGTGAATTCCTCAACATGCGTCCTTACTTCTTCAACTCGTAAGTGTCATGAAAGACCTAGAGCTTGATCCCAACTAATGGTCCCAGCCCATCAAGGCCTGTTCCAAAACACAACTTCAACATCTCCCTGGTCTCAGAGCATCCCTCCTATCCAGCCCTGCCTCACGTCGACATTCTCTACGCCGCTCGCCAATTCGATGCCAGACTGGCCCTCAACTGCCTCGCCAACGGTGCTTCAGGGATTGTCATTGCCGGCACTGGAAACGGTGGGATTCCAAATGGCTCAGACATCATAGCCGAGGCGGTTGAGAAAGGTCTTCAAGTCGTTGTTGGGACCAGATCGCCATATGGCGCAGCATCGCCGCAGCCGGATTCGACTTGGGCGAAATCTGGCTATGTTCACGTCATTCAATCCAGGATCATGCTGCAGCTGGCCATTGCGTCCGGATATAATCAGAACCAGACGATTGAGTTGTTCGAGGGAACAGTACGAAAGGCGATCAGGCCATTCGGTCTCTGATTCGCCAGACAAAAAATCGACAGACGAACGTCCAAGAGTCAGAAAACCAGCTTTGATCAGTCAACGAAAGATCCTGGTAACGAGCTCAGCCGAGCCATTCCATCTTCCACCCACTCGTCCTCCACCACCTCTGCGCCATCCTTCTCACTTTCATCTAGTCATTGCGAAGCCTTCCCCTCCTTGATAGCATCGACATCCTTGCCCTCGGCTCCATCAACAGTCTCGCTGGGCTCTTCCTCCACAACGCCCGTCTCTCTGAAATAATACCAGTAATGCGCATACGCCACCCCAACAGCCACCACCAACCCCACAGCCACAGTAAACCCAATTCGCCGGTTTCCAGAAGAGCTCATCATCCAAGAGCAGATCCATTTCATCACCGGTGTGACGAGAGCTTTTCTTTCGGTTTCCATGTCCGGGTTGTTGGTGATGAGGAGCATCAGCGTGGCGATCAGCAGCAAGAACAGCAAGATGACAGTGGCGACTTGGATCTCTGCGAGGAGGAAGGTGATGTTTCTCGTCGTTTGCAGGACTTCGAAACCTTCGGCCACCAAGGGCGTGACCTGGTCGAAGGCGGCGTTAATCTGTTTGCTGTAAGGGATGCCCATGGTGACGGCTAGAGACCAAACAAGCTAATTTGATTCTGTACAGCGACGAGGATCCTGGGCACTTGTGCTCTCTAGAGTGCTTTTTGGGTCATAATCGATGCACAGACAGAGCTATATGAGCATTGAATGCGGTGGACTGACAGCTCGATCAGCATGACGTAGGTCGATTCATGTCGCTTCAAGGCTGCATGAGTGGCGGCTGGAAGCGAGAAGGATTCGTTGACCACGACATCGCAGACAACACCAGCTCCCCGTGTCAAACGACCAAAAAAGCTGCATCTTCATCATACTATCGCCATCGACTGACTCAGGGAGCTCTTAAATACCACAACCTCCCCTTCCGCAGCCTTACCAGTATTGCCCAAGCTACCGAGGAGTTGACGACCTCTGTTTACGATCGGCAAATCCTCCAGACTTCGTCCTACTCCTGAGTAAGAGTAGCAAGCAAATATGGCACACACCCGCATCCGCAAATTCAACACAAAAGACACCTACCCGGAGCAAAACCTGGACAACGACCTTAGCCAAGCCGTGGTCGCCAAAGGTACCTACATCTTCCTGCGAGGCCAGTGTCCACAAGACCTCGACACAGCCCAGAACATCTCCAGCCATGACCCAGTCGAGCAGACACACAAGGTGATGAAGAACATCCGGCAGCTCGTCGAGGAAGCGGGAGGGAAGATGGAGCATGTGACGAAGCTTGTGGTATATTTGACGGATGTGAGGCATCGCGAGCCGGTGTATAGGACGATGGGGGAGTATATCAAGGGAGTGTTTCCGGTTTGTACGGGGCTGGTGGTTGTTGCGCTTGCGAGGCCGGAGTGGTTGGTTGAGATTGATGCCACCGCGGTCATCCCTGAATCTGAATGATAGGTCGGCGGTTCTTCAGGGAACAATTTGGGAACGATCGTTCCCCGGCAAAGCAGACAATGCAATGATGAGTTCCCTGGCATTTTGAGATGTATGTTGAGATTGCGTGCATGCGGCTAATGGGGAGTTTAGAGCATTCACTCACTCAAGTGGACCCACTTACCCTTTTCGTCTCGGCCCGAGACTGCGGTTATGTTAAACCTTAATCAGCATTTTGACTGGAAGCACAACGACACACTGGGACTTACATTTTCATGATGCTCACATTCAGTACAGACTCGTTTCTTTTGCCTTTCGCGAACCGCTTCTCGTGGCTTGCGATCCCCGGAGAAGCTGGTTGTACAAGCTAACTTACCTGTGTTTGAGTTGGCGAGTACCTGCACTGATAAGAGAGCTTTCTGAAGCACCTTCGATTCGTCTTTGCCATGTCCGGTCAAGTCCTATCAAGGTCCACGTATAGCCTGGTTTCGAATTATTTCAGACAAAGCCGCTCCACAACCATGCCCATCAAATCGATTCTCCACAAAGTCGCACATCCCTTCTCCTCAACCAGCAAAGCCGCCTCATCAATCACTTTTGACAAGTTCTGCAACATAATAGACGGCAAGCAACGAAGTGGCGATCAAATCCACAACGCCATCAACCCCCGCACCCAAGAAAAACTCTGGGACATCCCCATCGCCACAGAAAACGACGTCAACGATGCCGTCAAAGCCGCAGAGCGAGCGTTCCAGGACTGGCGCCCCACACCCATCGAAAATCGACAAAAACTGATGAAGGAGTACATCCAGCTCTGGAAAGAGCACCACACGGAGATGACCGATCTCCTCATGGCGGAGAATGGCAAAGCCCGCACAATGGCCATCGTCGAAGTCGACAGCGTGTCGGCGTTCTGGGAGTACTTCAGCAAGATCACCTTCCCTGTTGAGGAATTCGAAGACGAGCAGAAAGTCGTCAAGACGATCTACAAACCCCTCGGCGTAGCCGTAGGGATCTCACCCTGGAATTTCCCCCTGTCCCTCTCGCTGGCCTTCAAAGTCGCCCCGGCCATCGTCGCAGATTGTCCGATTATCATCAAACCCTCACCTTTCACGCCCTACACAGCGGCAAAAGCTATCGAGCTCGCTCAGCAGATCTTCCCGCCTGGCTTGATCCAATGTCTCGGCGGCGACGACAGACTCGGGCCTTGGCTAACAGGCCATCCCGACGTGAAGAAAATCTCCTTCACGGGCTCCATCGCGACAGGCAAAAAAGTCACGGAAGCCTGCTCCAAGGACCTCAAACGTGTCGTCCTCGAGCTCGGCGGCAACGATCCCGCCGTCGTGTGCGAAGACGTGGATATCGAAGCCACGGCCGCGGAGTGCGCTATGGGGTCGTGGTTCAACACGGGGCAGATGTGTGTCTGCACCAAGCGCATTTTTGTGCATGAGAAGATCTATAAGCCTTTCATGGAGGCCATGATTAAGTTCACGAAGACGTTGAGTTTGGAGGCTGAAGGGGAGGGAGCGCTGCTCGGGCCTGTGCAGAATGAGATGCAGTACGAGAAGGTTTTGGAGGTGGTTGAGGATTCGAGGGTGAAGGGGTATAGGTTTTCGTTGGGGGGTTGAGGAGGCTAAAGGGAGTGGTGGGAAGGGGTTCTTTATCAATCCGACGATTGTGGATAATCCGCCTAGTGATTCGATTGTGTGGAAGGAGGAGCCGTTTGGTGAGTATCAACCCTCAACCTGCTGATGCTTGGCTCTGATTCCTCTTCGTAGGTCCTATCGTCCCAGTCCAGCCCTGGAAGGACGAGGCAGATGTGATCCGACGCTGCAACGACGACAAGACTGGCCTTGGTGCTTGCGTGTACTCCAAAGACATCGAGCGAGCGGAACGTATTGCCGCCAACATTGATTCTGGGTAAGTCGTCTATTCTTTTCAGATCGCTGTTGCTGACCCCGTCCCATACAGTACCGTATGGGTCAACTCATTCGAGAAACCTGTCCCAGAGGCATACTTCAGCGGCCACAAGATGAGTGGACTCGGTGGTGAAGGCTCGGTGAAGGGGATGCTGGCGTATTGCAATGCGACTGTGAATCAGCGGTACAAGAAGAATGTCAACTATGCGTGAGGTGTTGTGAACTGGTGTTGCGGTGAAGAGTCACTCTGGAACTAATCCTCTTCTCAGCTGAGTAAACGATGAGTTTGCAGGGGGAGAACGTCTCTTCTATAGATGCATCTGCAAATGCCATGGGCTGAGCAACGGGCACGTCACTCATAATCGAAACCTAGTCGCTCTATGGCCTGAAGTTGATGATTAAGTGCGAAACTCGCAAATCTCGCCCTATTAGGACCGTATAGAGACTTCTGGAGCCTCGCCTAGGTACCAGCTGAAACGCCAGAGCCAAGAGCCGAAGGATCTCTCGGGTGTCGGTAGCTCTTTCTATCCATGCTACCAGAGTTCGGCCCTAATGCAAGGTGTTCCTGCAGATATATACGTAGACTTCACTCCTCCAAAACTTCTTTCCACTCACGACATTTCGAATTGTTTGCAACAATGGCTTCCAGAACGGCGCCAGTTTTCATTTTCGACAACCCACGAACGGGATCTCAGCTTCTGAATCAGTACTTTGCGAAGCATCCTCAGCTGGAAGGGACGCCCGGGATGATATCTTCGTGGCTTTGGCCAATGTCTGTGTGTGGGAATGAGAGGTTGGCGTCGAAGTTGGAAATTGGTCCGGAAGCTGTGGAAGCTGATAAAGTCCTTGAGGCGGAAATGGCGGCCTGGTACAAGGAGAAGGTGAACGTCGATCTAAACGCCATGTTAACGTTTGAGAACGTTAAGATGGGGTTCGAATACAACGTTGCAAGGGTCTTGGGAGAGGTGTGTTGTTGTAGGAGTCCCCGTGTGGAGGACTTGCTGACATTTGTCCAGGGCAAAATCCCTTTCTCGAGAGAGCATCGAACAAGCATGCTCAGACAAGATCTGCTCCAGGAGCTTGTGCGCACAGGCTTCATTGCCAATCCACCGTCAAATCCAACGTATATGCCAGACGCTCTTTACGCGACCATTCGCAACCCGGTCATCCTCATACGCCACCCGGCCAAGGTGATCCCCTCCTACTACCGCTCTCAGCGTGAGAAGCAGAAGTATGCTATCTCGGACGAACCAATGCGAGCTTGGACTCGGCAGAAGATTGGCCGATTCTTTTACGAGCATCTGGCATCCACGGATCCGGTTATCGTCGACGGAGATGATGTGATGTCGAAGCCAAGGGAGCTCAGTAGGAAGTTGTGCGGTATCTGGGGCCTCGACTTCAAGGGCTGCCAATTCGAGTGGGAGGAGGAGAATGATCTGATGAAGAGCTTCCCGCTGAGTACCCCTTACATGAGCACGATCTTCTATTCGACGGGGATCCATGAGAAGGAGACCAAGGTAAGCCGGGCTTTGTGCACGTGAGTGGCTCAAGTGAGCTGACGTAGGAGCAGGAAGTGAACGTCGATGTCGAGCAGGTGAAGTGGGAGAAGGAATTTGGGGAAGAAGTCGCCAGGGGTATGAGAAAACTGGTCGATGAAGACTTGGCGGATTATGAGCATTTGAAAAGTAAGAAGTTGCAGGTGTAATGAATGCACCATACACTAGGGCAAGCAGTGAAAAGCTATTCTGTTGTACTGCAGTCGCACCTTCCGCCAAGCCTCACATGAGCAAACGGTGTGAAAGCGCAACTCGCCCGCTTCTCTCTTCAACTTCGACCACATCAACCACCACCACCACCCGGTATCTACGGTGCACTCCACACACTGGACGCGACAAACATGACGCCCAAGCGAGAAGCGACAGAAGATTCGGCGCCGCCGCCAGCTACGAAAAAGCTGAAGTCAGTTAATCCCCAACACTTCGTGGGAGACCGAGGCAGCATGATCGCTAACGGATTCGTAGAGCGAGCTTTACCTGCGGAGACTCTGTTACCGTTGTCGTGGGCAAATACATCCAAAAGACTTTCACGATTCACAAAGACCTGGTCTGCGCCTCATCCAATTTCTTCCTCGCAGCAACCTCCGATCGATGGAGCAAAGCAGCGGACAAGACTATCAGGCTTCCGGACCACTTGCCCGACACGTTTGAGGTATATGTTACGTGGCTTTATTATGACACGACCGATGCCCTGGAGTCTGTCCAAAGACTGCGCCCTGTCCGAGCAAATGAGACGGAGGATACGAGATGCCAAGACGACGTCTACTACATGGCAAAGGCCTGGATACTGGGCGACTTCCTTGGTGACTACGCCTTCAAAAATGCCGTCATGAAGAGTCTCTTACAGATGCGTGGTGTCGATGGACCTCTCAAAATCAGTCCGGTCACTGTCAATCTCATACTCAAGAGCTGTCCGTCCGGGTCGGGTCTGTATCGGTGGCTGACAGATATGTGCTGCGCGATCTACAAGCCTGCCTTCATCGAGCAATACAAAGAAGTGGCTCCTGTGGAGTTCTGGCACGACATGCTGAGAACTTACATGGCGGCGCCAAGATTTACATTCTACAGCTCTCTTTTGCCTGGCCCATTAAAGCTGGGCCAGTACGAGGAGCATGAGGTGGCAAGCAAGAACGAGGAAGGCGAGAAGAGCAAGGAGGAGGCACAGTCTTAGCTGTTGGAGAATCCAGGCCTACATGACGAAGTGGTTGGCTAAGCACTGGTGAGAACGTGATTTGCGATTACCTCCAGAGTTGAGGTGCGTGTCGAGCGGTCAGAATGGATGTGGAGGGAGCTGTTGATACTACAGTAGCTGATGTTAGCTGCGCTATGGAGAAAACCACTCTTCTCACAACTATCGTTCAAAACCATGTCTTTCAGTTGCTGCCTAGTCCTCAAGATTGGAGTCGCTAGTTCGGAAATAATGACGCATACTGCAGTTTTGCATGTGATACCGGTGGCTGATGGGCCGTGAGCTGTCACATCGAACTGCCAAACTCACGGAGTCCGCGCAGAGAATCGACGCGAGCCTACTCGAAGGCAGCAAGCCAGAACAAGACGCATCTTGTCTGGATTTTATGGTCAAGAGCTGGATTCTTGGCGACTATCTACAAGAAACATCTTTCAAAAACACCGTCATGTCAACCATCATGTCCCTCCAGATCAACAATGCATCCAAGATACGGGAGGACACCATCATCACCGTCGCCACCAAGTGTGCTGTCTCCTCCGGGCTATATCGATGGCTCGTGGACATTCTGGTATGCACTCATACAACTCCGAGTTTCAAAGAACAGAGAATGGGATGGCCAAAGCAGCTTCGGTGTGACATCTCCGAGAGTGTCATAGAATTGGCGGACAAGAGCATATTCAAGAAGAAGCTGTCACTCATAGCGGACCTTCCGAAGTACGTGGAGAGCGATTCCAAGAGATGGTGATACGACGCCGAGAGTCGGGATATCAGGATTGCGAGAATGGCTCACGCAGTTCTACACATCGGACGGTCGGCCAGACCACGAGTGACGATGGGCGAAGCGTGCAAGTAACGGAAGCGGCTCACGAAAGGGGCCTCGAACGAGGTTGAGCATACGGAAAACGGCACATCCAGCGCAGCGCAGCGGCGATAGAAGATTAGATTGACATGACATCATTCCTATAGTTCGAGGTGAATGCAAATGTTAGAGCGACATGTGAAGTCGCCAAGTAACTTTGCAGCCTTGCTCACTGTAGCGCGCCTTCCCTTCTTTCGAGCTTGCCTTCCACAACATCTCACTTCACAACTTCAAGCTTGATCTTCTCCTAACAATAACAAAGAACACATCCCCCTGACAATGGCGAAGCTGACCACCCGCAAATCAAAGCGTTTGAGCAATAAACAGCAACTTGCGACTTCATCACCGCCACCGTTTCGAGCATCACCTGCAAAAGTCGCATCTGACAGAACCGCTGCGACTCGACCAGCATTAGCGACAGTTGCGTCAGTAGCTCTTCCTTCAACAGAAACAGTACCAGCGAAACTATCATCAGCTCTACCAGCACCACAACCGCAAGTTCAACCTACCATATGACGCCACCTCAACTAACACCCCACAGAACCACCGCCCCATCCACACCCCACCCGCTCATCATCATAGCCGACCAACCCCCCTACGAACGCACCTTCTCCGTCAACCGCACCCTCTACACAACCCACTCCAAACTCCTGCGCCGAGCCACCTCCGAAGCGCCCAGCCCTGACCTCGCCATCGCCCTCCCCGGCATCCGCGCCCTCGACTTCGAAGCCTACGCAACGCACCACAGCCACTTTCGTCAAGACCTCGCCATTTTGGCGGACATGCAATGGGAAGCGATCAAGCCGAAAAACTGCATCCTGACACCCGCGCAGAAGACGCATGTAAGGGTGGCGACGTTGCTGGGGTACTGGATCATGGGGAATGGACTGCAGGACACAGAGTTCAAGAATGTCGTTATGGACGCATTGCTTCGCGAGGATCTTGCGGGCGATGGAGGAGCGGCGATCGTGCAGAGCGCGGGGTGTATTCTGAGTTATGGACAGACGGGCGCGGAGTCGGGACTGTATCGGTTGCTGCTGGATGTTATGGCGCCGATGGTGACGGAGGAGTTTGTGGATGAGTTTGCGAAGACGTGGTCGAGAGACTTTGTGGTGGATTTGTTGAAGAGGGTGGTGGTGCGGAGGGGTGGGCAGGATGTTGAGGTTTTGCCGACGCTGGCGGACAGGCAGAGGTATTATGAGGTGGAGGCGAAGGTGGCCGAGAGGCTCGTGGGGGCGACTGAATGAACGTATCGGCTTGGGAAGCGACAGAGAACCGTGTGTCGAACTGGGCTTCACGATACCGGCCACAGGTCGAATACTTCGAATGAGCGATGCTTTTTGGAGATCGGATCGAGAGTGGTATCGGGTTGGATTCTATCTGTACAGTATGGTACAAGCACAATGGCCATATCCGTGCAAGTCGTAACATCTCATGACCGATCGATCTTCCCTTTCCAGTCCGAGATATGGTCATTGATGACCTTCGCCGCCGCATCAACGGTGAAGTTTCGTCCAATGGCCTCAACAAAGTCACCTTCAGGATCTGTTCAATGGTCAGCATCAAGCATCCAATCCCGCGACCTCTATCCAACTGACCCATCAAATAAAAGTAAATACTATGATCCACCAAATAATCCTGCCCAGGCTTGACATCCGGCGGAGTCGAAAAATACACCCGATACACCTTACACACATCCTTCACCTCCTGCCACGACCCCGTCATGCCCAAGATATCCCCATGAAACTCCGCCAGATACCGCTGAATCACCTCGGGCGTATCCCTCGCAGGATCACAACTAATAAACACAGGCCTCAAAACCCCCTTCCCATGCTTCTCCTTCACCCGATCAATCATGCCCGCCATCTTATCCAGCTCTTCGGGGCAGATATCCGGACAGTGCGTGAAGCCGAAGTACACGAGGCTGTACTTGCCCTTGAGGTCCGCGTCGGTGAAGATGCGGCCGTGCATGTCGGTGAGGGTGAAGGGCCCGCCGACAAGGGGTTTGCCGATACCTTTGTTCGCTTCGGCGATGCGGAGGCGGGAGATGCGCGCTTTTTCGTAGCGGAAGTAGAGCGTTAGGCCGAAGCCGGCGAGGAGGAAGAGGATCCCGGCTTGCCAGGAGAAGGGCTGGAAGAAGAGGGTTAGGGATTTGTGCTGGTTCGGATGGGATATGTGGGTAGACGTACGCCTAGTTTGTGCTTTGTCTTTGCTTCTTCTACAGTTTTCGCTACGGAGCGCTTGGGCGTCGAGACGAAGGTTCGCGATGGCTGGCATCTCGGTATAGGCGATTCTCTCGTTCGTTTCGCGAATGCGCTTGTGATGGGCGTTGATCGGGTCTCCGACTTGAGATTTTGCGGGAGGGATGCGAATGTTCGGCGGGTGAATGACGCGGCGCATTGCTTGCACATTCCCTGCTGGAAAGTGCGCATTGCGTTGAAGAACGGCGATGCCATTATGGTGATGTTGCGGGTTTGTGGTCGATGATGCGAAGAGGTGAGGTGCCGCTTGGGCTTTGATGTTCGGGAGCTTTGACTTTCGCCGCGGGAGAGAGGCTTGGCATTTGAGTGAATCCAACCTCCACCCTTCTTCTTTCCTCATTATGCTCCTAGGCATTATCACGAAAGTTCTCTAGCCATCGAAATGGACGAGACGGGCGACCATATTCAGTCGAAATATCCTCCAAGGATCCTTGGTAACATATTCGCTTTGCCGGAGAAGATACCTAGCCCCATAGCAAACCCTCGTTTTTCCAAAGGGACTTTATAATTGCAAAGAAGAGCGAATGCGCTGCACGCCCAATTCGTGCCTTTAATTGACAGTGACGCGCTTGTCTAAGGTCATGCCAGACGAATTCATACCAAAGAACAATCATGGATCTCATGTCCCTCGAGTTTCCAAGACGTTGTCGAAGAACGTCAGAGGAGAGTAGAAGCCGGATGGAAGATCTGCGAGCCTTTGGTTAGCCACCCTCGGGCACAACAGAGTGAGCAATCCTCACATTGATTGCTGAACACCGTGCCAAAGTCACTCAGAGGCATGGCATCAAAATCCGCCAGGAAGTCGTAAGAAGCCGTCGACCCGCCAGTGTCTTCAGAAGATGCTCCTGTGTTCCCAAGAACGATACTCAGAGCCTTGGCGACTTTCCCAGCTTCAGCAGACGCAGCACTCATTTGAAGCCAAATTTTGTGCGAGGTTGTCAGTCGCTGGCGGATCTCTTCAGCTCTGCTTGACGTCCACGCTGTCTGTTCTGGGGTGTTTGGAGGCGACTCTTCAAATTTGTCGACGTCTTGGAGATAGAGGCAAAGCACACTCGTCGCTAGCAGAACATCTTGATTGAAGATGTGGGTGATCTTCCATCTCAGCTGACACAAACGACCTAGTGGTTGCGACTCTTCGTGAAGCATCTGCTGGAATGACAGTATCTTGAGCGCGGATTCGAGACAGATTCGCACCGACTCCCTATCTTGCTCTTTCGCCTGTTGGCCCTGGTAGCTGATCAAGGCTCTCCGATACAGCAGGATGCGTGCCTTGTAGTAGGTTGTTTCTACACTGACCCGCTGCACCACAAGAGTTGGGCTATCCGTGATTGGGTGTGGCACAGTCTCCCAACGCAGCAAAGGCGGAACAGCACGCTTGTGCACATCGTCAAGGAGTGCGTCAATCTTGATGATCTCGTCGTAAGAAGGAGGGCTGATATCTGTGTTGACGTCGCAAATCAAGCCAAGAGCTGATATCAGTCGAGCTCTCGCGATCAGAGGAAGTATCGGTGTCCATTCCGTCTCTGGCCTCGGCGGAGGCATGTCGGTCGTCTCTTCGTCGAAATCGCTGTCGAGCAGATTTCGGGGCGGTTTGGTATCAATGTGCGTGTTCGTTGCACTTCGAGGGAGACCCATCTCTAAAGAAAGAACGAGGTCTAGCTGAAGGATTGCAGTCCAGATGCGTCTACGCATCTCACCCTCGAATGGTGATATTCCAGGGAAGTGGTCTGGATCCCGGTGATAGCCCATGCGCATTGCAATGTGAAGTATCATGCTGATCAAAACCCAACCATCGGTAGCGCTCTCCTTCAAGAGCACGAACTCTCCAGTAAGAATTGTAATGAGTGTCTCCAGGACATACGGTCCCCCGGTAGTATATCTAGCCAGTGCTAAACACTGGACAGCTTTCTCCCGGAAGGCGTCCTTCATTGTTAGGCATTCCGCCCTGAGCGAGTCGGCGCGTCCGTTGATTGAGTCTACGGTGAAGGTCTGCAGCTGCGCGGCGATAAAAAGCATGGAGAACATGAGACCGATCCAAGCGATGGAAGCTGCTGACGGGTCTTCCCAGAAGGCTTCGTACTGATAGAGTGTTAGTTTGCGGAAATGGGTGGCTCAGAAAGAACACACTTCTTTGAGAAATTTCTTGCCATGTATGAGATCTACAGCATGGTCAGTGCCGTTGACAATACAAGGAAATTTTGATTGAGCTGACATTGAGTGACAATGTACGAATCAAAGTGAAGCGCCAGGAGGCGGTCCACAACCGGACGAGGAGGAACAGCAGCAAGTATCTCATCTCGAGTCGCTTGACGATTCGGGCCGTAGAACAAGTGCGAACCCGGCGGAGGTTTGCTATCAGTTACCAAGTCTTCCTTGAGTCCTCGTATTTTCGTAAGGATAGACTCCCAATGCACACTCTGGACATAACTGGTCCCAGACTCGCGCAAGTTCAGAGTGCCAGGGTCTGCAGGAGATGGAGTGTCATCTTCGGGTTCATTTGATCTTCCAAGCTCAGGGAGTACATTCGCTAATGACGGGTTTGGTCTCGGTGATCTCGTTGCGGGCGAAGTTGGAAGCGACTGGCCTTTCATAAGGGTCACGACAAGGCTTTCCAGTTCTGAGATCCTGCCATGGAGGTTCGTGGTATGTCGAGGAGCACTAGCCGTGGAAAAAGGTGCTGCTGCATAATTGCAGGCGCTGATTACACCACGCTTTGTGCAAGCTCCGCAAGGTGTCTGGCGGTCACACTTTAGCCTGGCACGCTGTTGTGAGTATGCACGGATTTATGATGACGGCGATCGAGCACGTACTTTCGGTGTCTGCATGGATCGCAGGAAAGCTGGACTTTGTCTCTGCGGCGGTTTGGCGGCGGACGCGGACGATGAGCATTGTCGGCCATGGAGAGACGGACTGTGGCCTGGTAGAGGTGGCCTGGTAGAGAAAGAAGATGGTGTAATGGTGAATAGGCAATGGAGGGAAGCAGCGACCGTCCGGCCGTCCGACCCTCCGCGACGATCATCCGTTGTCAGCCTAGCGCAGAGTCCGTCAGCAGCTCGTCTATGAGGATCGCCAATCACAGCAAGCTTCAATCCTTCTGCAGCTTCCTCATCTGGACAACGCAGCCTGATGCTCCGACCCTCCGCAAAGTTCTCTCTAAACCCTACTTCTGTCCACACAACCTTCAATCTATTTCCTGGCGTTATGCAAGACGCGGAACCGGTTGCTTGCGCAGCCAGGCTTTGCACAAATAACCGCGATATATCTATGGCTCATGTCTGTCTCTCTTCTTCATGGCCGTTCAGCTCTGCACGCTAAGTATGATAGCATACCATGGGTACCGACTTGGAATCTCTTCACGAGAAACGGACCGTATGGGAAGATGGCCATGGTGAGACACAGTCCAGCGAGCCTGATCGAGCCGCGGACGAGAAAGAGGTGGAGAGCAATATAGTCGACTGGGATGGGCCACAAGATCCCCAGAACCCACGCAATTGGCCAACCTGGACACGCATGATGCAGGTTGTTCTTGTCAGCGTCTTCCTACTCACCGCGTAAGGCAGCCAAGCTAAATCTGCAGATTCGACTGATATACATACAGTAACCTCGCGGCCACAATGTTTGCTCCAGGAGCCGCCGCACTCGCGAAGGATTTCGACATCACGAGCTCCACCACCGTCAGTCTCACAGTGTCCATCTACCTTGCAGGTTTCGCCGTTGGGCCAATGCTCATAGCACCGCTTTCCGAGCTTTACGGAGTCTTGTGATCTACCACACCTGCAGCGTCTTTTATATTGGCTTTATCATCGGCTGTGCACTGAGCAAAGGCACTGGCATGTTCCTAGATTTTCGGTTTCTTGCTGGATGTGCTGCTTCTGGTCCTACTGCAGTCGGTGGTGGAACTGTCACAGATGTGGTACCACCTGCCCAGCGTGGAAGGGCAATGTCTCTATTCTACTTTGGGCCGCTTCTGGGGCCAGTGAGCTGTTTTGTCCCATATCGTCTATCATTACACTGATGATACCTGCAGGTATTGGGTCCAATAATTGGTGGCTTTGTGTCTCAGTCCATTGGCTGGCGTTGGACTTTCTGGCTCATTTTGATCATGGTGAGGATACTCCATCGCGTATCTTCATGATGGCTAATAGTTTGATATAGGCAGGTGTAACCTTTGCGCTTTCGATCATATTCCTCCGCGAGACCAACGCCGGTGTTTTACTAGGACGGAAAGCTGATCGCCTTCGGCGAGAGACTGGCAATCCCGCTCTGGTATCGAAGATGGACCGTGGCTTGACTTCTCGCCAGCTCTTCGTCCGCGCCATCGCCCGACCCATAAAATTCCTCATCCTCTCACCGATCGTACTCCTCCTGACCCTCCTCTGCGCGTTTGTCTTCAGCCTCCTCTTTATCCTCTTCACCACGTTCCCCGCCGTCTTCGAGGAACAATACCACTTCTCGGCCGGCATTTCTGGCTTGTCATACCTCGGCGTTGGACTTGGAATGGGCTTCTCTCTCGCAACCTTTGCCGTCGTCAGCGACAAGCTGCAAAGAGCACTCGGAGACTCTGCCAAACCTGGAGAACGCCTGAAGCCCATGATGTGGATCATGCCCGCCGTGCCAGTCGGCGTTTTCTGGTATGGCTGGGCAGCTGAAGCGAGGACTCATTGGATTGTGCCCATTCTTGGAACCTTTGTCTTTGGATATGGCATTCTCTGGGTCCTGATGCCCACTCAACTGTACTTGGTTGAAGCTTTCGGCCCCGAGGCTGCCGCTTCTGCGTTGGCGGCCAATATCATTCTCAGACTCCTTTTTGCGGCTTTCATCCCTTTGGCAGGGCCGTCTCTGTACGCAGATCTAGGGTTGGGTTGGGGGAATAGTGTGATGGGTTTTATTGGCGTGGCTTTCCTTCCAGTGCCATTCTTCTTCTACCGCTACGGAGGATGGCTCAGAGAGCGATTTGCTGTGCAGCTTTAGACTTTATTCTCGAGATGCAGGCAGTATAAAGACCTTGCGGTCTTTTGTAGGGCCCGAGGTGGAATTGCTGCACTTGTTCGCATGTAGTACAGAAGCTGCAGACGATCGTCGATGTGCTGTGGAGCTGGAAGGGGAAGACAAGCTGAGCTGAACCGATGACAACGCATGTACTTGGCTTCCGATTTTCTGTGGCGATTAAGTTAAATATGCCAGCAACTGACACCGCAGATAACCCTCAGGCTTCGTTGTAGCCCGACCTTGGCGAAAGTACATGTAGTCATGGGCGGACTTTGCACCACCAAATGCTCTCGCTACGAGTATTCACCTTTGCGAGGAGACGAGATCAGATTCGTGCGGCTGCAGCCTGGGTCGTTTGATGATGTTATACGATTCGAACTTGTTCACCATCCTCTGCGGACTCCAGAAGAACAGCTCGAAGCGGGCTTGTCGGAACAGCAGCAGAGGAAAAGAATACCACGAGGTTGGCGTGAATTCAAGACGCCTGAAGGACGCTCATTCTACGAGTGCTACAGCACTCGCTCTGAACCTGAGTCTGTGACTTACAACCACCCTGAGGGAATTGAGGAAGACTCGACGCCTCATGAATCAGCTCATTCTCAACCCTACGAGGCTTTGTCGTATACATGGGGTGATACGTCCTACCAACAGCTGGCCTTCGTTCTGAACGGTGACGAGGATCCAAAGACAGTATCGATACGCCGGAATCTGGCGACCGCTCTGAGACATCTGCGCCTGAAATATGAGGTACGAAGTCTTTGGGTAGACGCAGTGTGTATCAACCAAGACGATCTCGACGAGAGAGCGGTCCAAGTCAAGCGGATACGCTACATTTATGGTTTGGCCTCGAGAGTCGTCGTCTGGCTAGGGGAGAGCTCTCATGGCAGTTCAGGTGCCTTGAAGACTTTAGAATATTTGGGCAGACAGACCGAAATCACCACGGACGCCTGGATTTTTCGAGCCTTCGATCCTCCAGCTTCAGAGCCGTCATGGATTGAAAAAGCAACAGAGCTCCCGTATACTGCGGCCGATTGGCAAGCGATTGAGTATCTCTTCGAAAGGTCCTGGTTTAGCAGGTTATGGGTGCTGCAAGAGGTGACTGCCAACCCGAACACCACCATCCAATGCGGTCAGGACTCCATCGATTGGTACTTTCTCCGTCGAGCAATCATCGGCCTCGACGAAAGGGTCGGCGTACCGGCAGAACTCAGCTATCGTCTCAACGGCAAAGTCGACATTGCTTTTGGGAGCAGTGGCGCTTTTGCAATTGTGCACTTCGTGGCTCGTCAACACCTATGCCAAGATCCCCGGGACAAGTTGTATGGGATACTTGGACTTGTCGGGCCAAAGTTGCAAGACAAGATCGTGCCGTCATACGAGAGGACTTTTGAAGATTTGTACAAAGACGTCTTCTTGCTGCATAGTGAGATGACTGGGAGGCTGGACCTTCTCACGCAGTGTTTCGTGAATGAAGAACTTCCTAGTTCGCCTTCGTGGGTCCCTGACTGGAGGGCTTTCCCCTACGCATTCCGAGTTCCAGAGCCTGGGTACCAAGCGAGTGGCGCGTCCAGGGCGGAATTCCGCGAGCTTCCTGGGTCACGACTAGAGGTCATTGGCATCCTTCACGACAAAGTGGTTTTCGCGCCCGACTCGTCAGAAGTAGATGCGAAGAGCCTGTTGGAATATATCCGTGCGCTTCAGCCGCCTGGGCTGCACAATGAGAGTTACGTGACTGGCGAGCCACTCCTGAACGCGTGGTTCCTAACTCTTGCCCTCGATTTGCTCCGGGAACGATTCCCCAAGAGATTCTTCCCTCACTATGCCCACTGGGAGAAGACAGTCTTAGAAATTCTTGGGAAAGATTCAGAGAACAAGTCTCTAACCAAGATGGCGAATCTCACGAACACAATCCGCGACACTCTCACTGATATGGGGTATTTCCGGACAGCACAAGGGTATATTGGATTTGGTCCATATGCTGTCGAGCCGGATGACCACGTGTGCGTCGTTCTTGGCGTGCCGACTCCTATGGTGATCAGACCAAGTGGCAATAATACCTACCAGGTCATCGGATGGGCATATGTTCACGGCTTGATGGACAGCGAAGCATTGTAGTCGACTTCTTTCGAAACACCGAGACAAGAGAGGTTATCAACCACGATCCGCGAATGACAGCGGAAGCACTTAGACAACGAGGCGTAAAATTCGAAACCTTAACATTTACCTAAACTACAACAGCCTACCCTTACCAAGGATACTGTCCCCCTTTCGCAAGAAATCCACCATGCTCCTCATCCCTCTCCCCCTTCAAAATCCCCACCATAGGCCTTGTCCCCTCCTCCGTTGTCTGCGCCCCGTTAGCCACCTTATTATGCGGCCCCAGATTACTCTCCACGAAGCCCGGCGAGAAAGCAAACACCTTGATCCCCATGTCGCCATATACAACGGCCTGCGTTACGGAGATGAGGTTAAGGGCGGCTTTGCTGGCGCTGTAAGGGAGACCCCAGAAGCCTTGGGCGTGCGTGTTGGCGAGACGCCGGGTCATGGAGCCGGCGCCTGAGGAAACGTTGAGGATTCTTGGGGTCGTGATAGAGGTTTTAAGTAGGGGGAGGAAGGCTTCTGTTACGAAGTACGGGCCTACGGCATTGGTGAGGTAGGTTTGGGGAAAAGCTTCTTCAGGCGGGAGGGCTGCGGATCCCGTGCCGGCGTTGTTGACTAGGGCGTCGATTCTACTCATCAAAATCAATACTAAGCTGCTCAGGGCTCCTGGAAATGGTTGAGACGAACCTTCCATGTCTCTCCTCAACGGTCTTCGCAGCTGCCGCGATTGATTCTTGGCTCGCTACGTCGAGTTGGAGGAGTTCGACTGTTCCTGGCAACTTTCGCGATTGGACTTCCTGTAAGGCTAGCTCGCCTTTCTCCAGAGAGCGGCTACATAGTAGAACGTGGTTGTTTGGGTCCGCGGCCAGCTGTACTGCGAGTTCTAGGCCGATGCCACTACTCGCTTTAGGATTTGTGTCAGTTTTTGATTTATCTGCCACGAAAGGTGGATGAGGACTTACCTCCAGTGATGAGCGTTATGATCTTCTTCGATTCCGCCATCTTGCTGCTCGATGAAATTGGTGTCTCATTGTTTCCAGACTCTTCATTTTATGTATAGATGTTTTGTCCATCGCTGTTGTTCTCCAGTCTATTTCCGTGATTCGTTGCGAACTCGGCGAGGGTAGCCGCAAAGAAGGCTGTGAAGCTTGTCCCGATGCGGCATGCTCGTTGCAACGACGCGGTTCGGATATAAAGATTGGGGAAGGTGTGCGACTAGGAGATGGAGATAGGTGTTTAAAGAAGCATGAATGGCATGATATGGATGATTTAAACGTTCATGATGTTTAAGAATGCTGCTCTACCCTTAGTATTCCGCTCAAAATAGGATATTCATCTCCATTACCCCTACGCCATCTAAGCAGCTTAGAGTATCCTTAGCAGCGCAGTCGCTAGTGAAAGGTCGGAGAGAGAGGGCAGCTCTAGATTTTCCACTTTAACTGGAACGAGGAGGGCGAATCGAGGTAGAGGTCCTGTCTGGCGACCGCAGATTTTAGATCCGTTTCTCCTCCTCCACAAACTCGTCTTTCCTCCCTCTAACCCCGCTACTCTCCGTCGCTAGCTCCTCAGGCTCGGCGAACTGATACAGCTCCTCGAATGGTTCAACATCCCTCCTTAGCAGATACTTGTTCGCATACCACGGCAACTTCTCGGTATAATACTTGGCATGCGCTCTGCTGCTCACACTAAATACGTTGTCGAGCTCCTCAAGAGTAAGATTCTTGGTCTCTGGCAAGAAGAAGTAGGCGGTGATCCAACCGAAGATGTTCCAAGCGGCGTACCAGGCGAAGCCACCCGTGGGCGTGAAAGCAGCGGAGAGGGCGGGCCAGGTCAGGGAGATAATGAAGTTGAAGCCCTGTGAAATGTCAGTCTACGTTGGTGTAATGGAGACGGGGTGTGTGCATACCCAACATGTCGCCGTGGCGAAGCTCATTCCCACATCTCGAATGTACAGCGGGAACGCCTCCGCACTGTATGTGAAAGGAACAGGCCCCTCGCCTGGAGAGTAAGCGACCATAAAGAGGTAGATTGCCGCCGCAATGCTTCCCAATTTCGCGGTGGTGGGTTCGCCTGTCGCTGGGTCATCAGGGATCAGGAATGAGAAGCCACACCAAAGCAGACAAAGCGCCAGGAGCGGAAAAGTCACCAGCAAGAGATTCCGGCGTCCGAAGGTGTCGATTGTATAAATGGCGGGAATAGCGAAGATCCAATTCGTAACGCCCGTTCCAAAGGAGACGAGGAGAGCCTGCGTTTCTGTGAAGCCGGCTTCGATGAAGATTTGGGTCGAGTAGTAGGCTAGATAGCGTGATAGTCAGTACCGCGATCAGATAGTGTGAATGACGCCGACATACCGATGACGTTGACAGCACAGAATTGCTGCATGAACATGACAAAGAACGAACTCTGTGCAGCTCGACGATTCCTCTTGACGAGGAAAAACTCCTTCCATAAGTTCTTTCCTTCGCGTTGGGCGGATTCGACTTCGAGAAGCTTAGAGGCATAGTACATGTCCCGCGCAGCTTGTATTTCGTGAGACCGGAGCTTCCGCATGGCATCGAAAGCCTTGTCCCATTTGCCTTTCTCCATGTACCAGCGGGGACTTTCCGGACACAGGTAAACCTGATTGAAGTTAGCTATACATTCGTGTCTCTCTGATAGTGTCTGTGAATCAACAATCACTTCATTGGCTGACCTGAATCATGACGAAAAGGGGTGGTATTGAAGTCGAACCCAGCATCCACCTCCACTGTGTATCTGCACCTAGGAAGTCAGTTCCTTGGAAGGCAACTGATACGACAAAGCCCAGCATAATGCCGAACGCGGTCCACCTGAACGAGTTTGTTAGCCTTTCATTCCGTTGCCCCCCCCCCCCCCCCCCCCCCCCTTTCTCTGATGGGGGGCCAATACAAAACGCTCCCACTCTGTGCTTCTTCCGAACGGACCGGTGGGCTACATCCGCCACAGTATTTCAAGTGTCAATGGGGATGTACTTACATCTGCCACATCATTGTTAGGGCGCCCCTAATGTTTTTTGGTGCCGATTCGGCCGCGTAGACAGGAGTTGTACTTGACTTGGCACCAACCGCGAATCCTAATGCAAATCTCGAGATGAGGAGGTTGTACCAGGAATCAGCCGCTGCCATCCAGATACCAGCCACGAAAGAGATGAAGCATGAGATGAAGATGGTCCCTCGTCGCCCAAAATACTTGTTCAGGGGTGCATTGGTCCAGCAACCAATCAAGGCTGAACACAAGTAAGGCGCGCCATTTAATAAGCCTCTCTGCCAGACCGCCTCCTCTGGAATTTGAAATGTCCTAAAGTAGAATTGTTGAGCACCATTTACGGACGTCTGATCCATCCCTTGGACGATTGCTGAGCCTGCACACAGTATAACCAGGAAGTAGAGCATGAAGGGTTGATGCCATCGGTGGTTGATTTCGTAGCGAAGAACTTCCTTGTCTCCTTCGGTCAACTGTGTCACACTCTCAAAGCCATCCTCTCGCTGATTGACACGAGCGAGCAAGGCGCCTTTGTGGAAGACTTCTCGGTGTTCTGAAAGGCCTCGAGCATCGACGAATGCGTCCACATCTCGTATGACATCTCCCTCGGTCATGCCCGTGAGTGGATTCCGAAGAAGGGCGGCGACACTCGTCCGCCGAGCTGGTCCATTGTCGGCCTCGGAATGCTCGTGGTAACCCTTGCTGCGATCATCCAAGGATGAAGAAGGCCTCTTCTCAGGCTCGATGTGCACAGCGGCCTCGTCGTCTTTTCTTGGTTCCGCCATAATGAATACCCTCGGTGTTCTGCTTAAGGTGGAACGTCTATCCCTATTACTCCTAAGCCCTCTAATCAGCCTAGAGTTCAATTAGCAGCGAAGTCGCTTACGAAAGGGTAGAGAGACAGTAGTTCGATACCTTCTACTTTGACCGGACCGAAGAGGGTTGACAGAAAAATGCGGGGAGAAAGACTGGAGGTGCGGGAAGACAATACAAGGAAAAGAAAACGCAAGACAGAGCAGAAATCAATACTTATCGATTCAAATCCCTCATCTCGCAGTGGTGTCCCACCACGTTGGTCACCACCATCAATCAACGACCGAAATCACAAGATCGTGTGCGCCAGGACGTTTGGCGTACGTATGCCACGAGCTGGTATAAGACTTCACAAGACATATCGGACGAGGCGAACCGGATGAAGTTTGTAGGGAGAAGCCCAGTGGCGGCCTCAGGTCGTCGTGCTAATGACGTGAACTTTTCTCGGCGTACAAGAACTTGGCGAGAAAATGCTGCAACTCAGCTTTGGGCTGGATGTGGAGTCTCCACAGCGCCAATGTCTTGTCTGCAGCCACCGCGTGCCTCTCACGTGGGGATAACAGATTTTTAGTGTCCTTTGAGCAGTTTGTCGCGCAGTGAGTCGGTTGAAGGGTGATGTTGTTGATGGGACTGCCAAGACTATGCAGCTCAGCTCATCCCTTGGAAGGTCGTGGCCACGAGCAGGATCCCAATCATGGTTGACGTAGCAGCTGGGAGAATTGTTTGATGGCATGGACAAGGTATCTCATCCATCGCAAAGCCTTGCCCAGCTGGTGGCGTGGTTGACAACGTCGTTACCCCCGGTGTCATGCTCTAAGTAGAGCATCTATCCCTATTACTTCTAAGCTGTCTAAGCAGCTTGGATTACAATTAGCAGCGTTGTTGTTTAGAAAAAGTTGAGCAGATGACAATTCTGTACGTTCCACTTTAACCGGAACGAGGAGAGTAGGAACGCCGTACTCGTTCGCAACTCTTGGTGCCTCTAAGGCGATCCAAGAGCATCTTTTCGGCTCGGCCGAGCGTTTCGGTCGTCTTGTGGTCATCTTCCACCAGTGAGTCACGTCGGTCTTGGACTTCGAGGTCGTAGGTTGGTATATGGTGGCGTTGCAAGTGAAGGACCATCTGAAGGTGAGTGAAAAGTTAGACCTGCCAAGCCCGTCGTCTCGGCATTGAAACCTGATGCACCCAAGCAACCGGCAAAACAGGTACCACTTCATCAGTAGGCACAAAGTGTAGTGTTTTCACCTTCAAGGTGTTATGCAATTGATTTCACCGTTTGAAGCTCGATGCTGTCTAGTCGAACGATACCAGAACAGGATCCGGCCTTGCTGCACGACAATTCTAATTACTAATGTCAACAGGTCTTCTTCCGAGTGTATTCGAGATCATGGCCTACCGTTTCTCTCTTCGGCATGTCCACTCGCAACTATGTACCAGAGCAGAGCAGCTGCACAATTGCGAGACTTTGTGAGGATCCTACACTTTACCTCGCAAGGAAGCTGTGATCCACCGTTGCCGATAAGCGGTGAGCAACTTGAGCAAGTTACATAGAGCACCCCAAGACCTTGCATCGTGAGAATACTATCGAGTGCAACAAATTACCATGGCTGAAGACGGGAGCAGCATCATCTATCGAGATGCCAGGATTGAAGACTTGGAGTCACTCGAGACAATCGTCCCACGCTCTTTCTTCGCTGTCAATCCATTCATGAAGGAGCTGCTACCAGACACACCAGCTATCCGCGAATGGTGGAGACGGATATACGAAGACCTGATATCGAACCCCAACAGCTACCTTCCCATTGCCATTGACTCAACCACCAACGCCGTCGTCGGTACCATAACACTCGACGCCGTTCTTCAAGGCCAGCCGGCTGGAGGGGCTCTGACAAGATATCCTGGCACCGAGGACCGCGGGAAAGGCTGGGACGAAGCGATTCAGCACTTTGCTGAGCATGACAATGAGGCTGTTGGGAGTCGGAATAGGTTTTTGGTCGAGATCATGGGTGTCGACTCGGCGTATCAAGGAAAGGGGATCGGTCAACGATTGGTGGCCGATGCGTGCCAGTACGCGGATGCGAAAGGATGGCCGATATGGCTGGAAACGAGTGCGGCGAAAGGTTTCTATCAGAAGCAGAAGCTGGGGTTCCAGCTTATTGCTAAGGACGAGGACCAAGGGGAGACCGGCGGCCAGTTGCTAAGGGAGCCTGGTGCCAAAGGATGATGGTGTCGATACGTGGAATGACCTGCGCGTTGGAAGGGTCCAATGGCGGTGTGTAGTCTGTCTCAATGGAAAGCAAGCCTTTCCACTGATCTTGTTGGGTGGCATGCAACTTCCGTCAAATCTTGCACTTACATGTCTGGAGCAGACCGTCGAGGTCTTCCAGGGACCGGCTGGTGTCTCCAAGTGAACACGATATGCACGATAAGGTACATATTTGTCTAACATCCATATCAACCCTTCTTACAGCACACCGACTAGGTGCCTTATGACCGTGCTTTGTCAATCTCTTCGTCTGCCTCATCGGCCTCGAATCCAGTGTGCGTTCTCCAGATCTCGAGCATGGTTCGGACCTGTGGTGCGGTGCTACTCAAACAGCTCTCCAGCCATAACGCTCTCAGGAAGGTCTCACCTCGAGTGCACTGGCATTCTGCAAACGTTCGGAGGCCAATCGAGTCACGAGTGGCTGGTACGGGAATGCCTCGTGTGCGGAAATTGTCGACGACTTGTTCGAGGGAGTGCTCAGCGAGAAGCCGGTAATGGGACCGTGGGGCGATAGTAGATGGGCGAAGCTGGCCGGCGGGTAGGTCTCTATACTATTGATGCGTGAGGGCGACTTTTGTAGGTGATGTTGTGGGTATCACGGGTGGTTGTTGTTGACGCTGAGGCCAAGTCGCGCTCGGCCCAAACGTCAGCTCCTCAGCGAATTCTCCCTTTCATTTTCATCTGCATCACTACATCCACAATCGTCTTCTGTGTTTCGAGAGAGTCGGGCATTCTATTGCAGAGAGAATCACATCCTCAGAAAGACCTCTTGATCAGAGTCGACCATGCTCGAACCTCATCCTTTCCAGACCTGGTCTTGTGCCCTATGGAGGCAACTTTGTCATAGTCGAGCTTCGAGCTTGGTAAGGTAAAGTGTGCGCGAGGAACTTTCCAAGTGCTGCGTGACGAAAGACTATTAATCCTCCTTCCTTTGCATCTCGTTGGGTCCTTCAATATCGCGTCTTCTACGCCTCACTTAAGCGGATCATCCTTTGAGCAATCAGCATTGGCGCAAAAAGAAAGACACACGGATCTTAAGCTCATCGCACTGGAGCTTAAGTCCAAGCCAGAAGACGACAGAAGTATATCTATCATGAGGGCAGACAAGAAGATTAAGGTCGCCATCTGTGGCGGTGGTATCGCTGGCTTGTGTCTTCTCTACGGCTTACTCAAACACGACCATCTCGACGTCACACTCTACGAAGCGTCTCCCGAAGTCGCTGGAGACGAAGGTGCAGGCGTTGTACTTTCCCCAAATGCGATTCGAGCTCTCAGATCGATCGCCCAAGAGTTGGTCACGGCCGCGGAGAATGCAGACAGTGTTTTCGTGTCGGATCCGATGGCTACGGCCGTCATGGTAAGAATACAATGCGCAATTTGGCAGTGCTTCTTACTGATGAAGAAGCAATGTAGGGGCGAGAACCAGGCTTTGGCAATAAAATCCTAGATCTGCGGTCTAAGACCGGTGAGCGAGGGTTTCTTTTCCAGCGATCGAAGTTCATCCAACAGTTATTCAAGCTGGTACCACCTAGTGCGTGCAAAACCTCGCACAAGCTCGCTTCGATAGCGCGTCAAGACGATGGAACTCTGGACCTGTCTTTCACCGACGGCACGACCACCTCAGTAGATGTTGTCATCGGTGGTGATGGTGTACATTCTACCGTTCGCAAACATGTCCTCGAAGATTTCCCAGACCAGATTGAACCCTTCTTCAGCAAACAGTACTTCTACGTCACTATGGCACCAATGGAGAAGGCTAAGGAGAAGATGCGAGATTGGTTCCCCAAGCTGCCCATTCAGTACGCCTGGTGTGGAGATCAAGGATTCCTCATGCACGATCCGGCCAATAGTGGTGAGACGTTACAGGTTCTTGCTGCCGTCCGGACGGATGAGACATGGGGAAGTGACCAGTGGACAAAGGAGAAGTCTTTGGAACAGATGAGAAAGGACCTAGAACCATTTCGTGAGCTGGGCAAAGCCTGTGGAGATGTAAGTCGACTGCGAAAGCACGCACAATTCACGATGAACTGACGAACGCCCATAGTTGGTTGCCGAACAAGGTGGCCCTCTACAAGCGCGCTCAGTATGGGAACACCCTCGTGCATCAACATACAATCGTGGTCATGCAGCAATCCTGGGAGATGCAGCTCATGCGATGCAGCCTTGGTGAGTAAAGCAGAATATTTTCATCGTGCGTCTGCTCTTCCTCTAACGATCGTTAGGCAAGCAGCTGGCGCCGGTCAAGCCATCGAAGACGCCATGGTCCTCACCACGCTCTTCAGCCAAATCTCACAGCCCCAAGATATCTCTGCCGCCCTCGAAACATATTCCTCCGTCCGCGTTGCCCGAACGCATTATGCTCAGGACATGAGTGCAGAGAATGGCGATATCACCATGAACGTGGGAAAGTTCAAAGGGCTCGATGCTGCGCAGCTGAAGGAGGCTTTCGAGCTCAGGTGGGAGGAGCTGTGGTATTTTGATCTGGAGAAACATCGCCAGGATGCGTTAGGAGAGTTTGAGAGGTTGAAAGGCGGGCGGTAGACCCCTTGCCTAAGAGTCAGTGTGAAGCACTAAATGTATCGTCTAGACCAGACCTTCACTCCCAGGATCTCGCCCGGCAACCATCCATCACCCTTCGCCACCCTGCCGAGACCCGCCAAGCCCCAACCCCAATTCCTAAGCTCACGTGCAACGATCACAAATCTCACTAATCGCCCTGCCGTAAACTTTCCAAGCCTTGCCCTAAGCGGCCATCTCTCTCCTAAAGATAGACCTAAACAGCTAACACTCTCCTAAGCTACGATGTACTTCATAGGGACTCGATCGTTTAGCTTGCGCCTCCAGAGATACGTCGCTCCGTTGCCTGGAAATCGAAAACTGCTGCGAGCGGCGGTGGGAGCAAAGATCGACAAGATCGTTGACTGAACTGCTTGACAATCCGACTCGTGACGTGGGAAGCGGAGAGATTGTTGGACCTTGTGGATTGATAATTCGCGGGGACGATGGAGGTGGGTAGGCAGACGATGGTGGTGGGATGGGTCGAGGGGACGGGTCGAAGGGGAGCATAAAAGGTGGCGAGCCCGCTTCAAGTCGATGGTCTCAAAACAAAGAGAAGACATCACAACCACTGAGATTTTCATTACAAGGAAAAGCAGCATCACTTGCCATGTCTCCACCACTCGTCCTCATCACCGGCGCAACAGGCCACCTGGGCTTCCGCACCTTGGTCCTGCTCCTTCGCACAACTCCCTACAACGCACGCATCACCATTCGCAAGGAAGCTCAAGAGTCCAAGATTCGCGCTGCAGCTTCCATCCAGCCATTCCTCTCCCGCATTGAATTTGCATTCGTCCCCGACATCACCGCCCCAGACGCTTACAACTCCGCGATCAAGGGCGTGAGGCATGCCATCCACATCGCCTCTCCAGTCCCCACGAAGCCGGAGAACCAGACTGGCGGGTGGAAGGAGATCTTTTATGATCCGGCAGTGGAAGGGACGTTGAGCATTCTGCGTGCTGCGGCCGGCGAGAATGGGATCAAGACTGTCGTTCTCACGGCGTCGGTGGGAGTTCTCGAGGTTCCTAGCGGGAAAGATCGTGCGGGACCAAAGGATTACGCTTCTCTCCCAGATAATTATGAGGATTTGCCCAAGGACGCGGGATCGACGGGCAAGGCCTATCGGACATCGAAGATCCTGGCGTTTCAAGCTGCTGGGGAGTTTGTGAGGAAGAATAAAGTCGGTTTCGCTCTGATCAAGGTCCATCCGGGATATGTTACTGGCCCGCATGAGTTGTTGGAGTCTGACACCGAGTTCTATACTGGATCAAACGAGGGCGCCATCAACGCTGCCTTGGGGAATCTCAAGCCGTATGCAAAGCCTACCTCGCAGGTCTTCCTTGACGATGCTGCGATGGCGCACGTTCTGGCTTTGGATCCGACGAAAGTCAAGGATGGTGACGATTTGGTCGTCATGGGGAATGGAGGGAGGAGTGTTCCTTGGGATGAGGTTGGACAGGTCGCGGCGGGGATGTATCCAAAGGCTACAGAGAAGGGATTGTTGAAACCGGTGAAGGGTCAGCAGACAGCGGATATGAACTGTGAGGTTGAGAGTACGGAGGAGAAGCTGGGGATGAGGTTCAAGGGGACGGAGGATATGGTTCGGGGGCTGGTGAAGCAGTACCTCGAGTTTCATGGGCATGCAGCTGAGTAAAGTGAGGTCCTCTAGCTTTTGGTATCAATGTCAGGGTGGTACTTCGAAAATTCGTTGCGTGACGATTTCGAAGGTGCAAACGAAGCTGAATCGTCCTTTGCCGAATGTGTCTTCTCGCAGAAACCCTTTCTGCTCCAATCACCTGATCAAATGGTAATGCAAGAGAGCAGAGAGTGCCAGCCAAGAGCAGCTTCCGAGGTCTTGTGCATCGCTTGTCAAGGGCCTGCCAGGTCACGAAGCGAATGCCCAAGGCTTTTCATCTCGCTAAGGTGCTCGCTTATTCTTGGAGGGAGAGATGTTGCTTCTGGGAGTTTGTAACGACTTCATCTTGAATTTGACATCTTCTGCAAAGAGCATACGGTTAATACAACCAGTCCATGCATACAACACACATACCGTTCGAAGAATTTGAGGGAGAGCATGACTGGACGCTATATCAGCTGGGCGGCCGGCAGTGCATTGACTCTGCGTTATGTCGGCAAACATGTCGAAGGCCGCTCGTGCAAAGCGACCCGCATCTCCACAACATACAGACAAGGAGGTTCCTGGTAGTTGCAGTTGCGGTGGACACATGCTGAGCAGGTAATAGACCTCAACGGTTCACGACTGTTAGGATTCAGTGGAAGGAGAGAGGGCTTGAGAACATGTCCGCACGCACGCTTCGATTCTCTTCACCAGAGACACGGAGCAACCTGCTTTCGGGGTGGTAAGTCGGCTGCTGAACTTCCATCGATATCCTAGAGCTTGATAGAATGCAAGAACGTTGAGATCTGGGGCAGTCCAGCCAGACGAGGCTACGCGAGTTCGGGAAAGGAGGATGTTGATGCTCGTGCTGCCCTAACCAGGAAGCAGACAAGAACCGCAAGACGATGCCGTTCCCTTTCGGAGGTTTCCAGATGTCGTCCTTGAAGCCGACTCGGATCTTCATGCCGTCCAGACCCAGTTTTATCAAGTTCCGAGCCACGCCGCAGAATTTGGTCGTCGGGAAGAGCAGACGGGCCGCTGGCGGAGTCCCACTGTTGCCCACAACGTTTATGTCGCCCTCCACTGCAAATGTCGACGATGGGTCGTGGTGCGTCGACGGGGCAGACGATGGTGTTGACGTTTGGGCAAGATTTCTGGAGCAAAGAACCGTGACATGTGCCGTCAAAACTGTTGTGCAGCGGTTATTAGGCCTTCATAGATAATTGATTACGGGAGCAGGTATCTACAAGGACTGTGAATTCAGAAGATGTAGCCTTCTTGGCACTTACGTGATCCCTAGGCACAATACTCCCCCTTAGCATACAGACAGTTCTTTCTTAAGCTGTCTAATTACTGTTATACGTGTCTGAGCTATTTATGTGACCTTGTAACCTTATTAGTGACTATATTATAAAGCAAATGACCCTTTAGAATACTTATAAGCAGGTTAGGTATTATATAGATTACTACGTAATCTCTTAAACTTTTAGTGTGTTAAGCTAGTAATCACCTAATCTTAAGTTCTGCCTATAAAAGAGTTCTTCTTCTTCTTTAAACTCTCTCTCTTATATATACCTATTCTACACTCTTTACACTATTTAAACACTATTCTACTTCTTTTATAACACTTTAGACACTCTTAGAACTTCTCTCTCTTAAGAGCTAAGGTATAGATTAGTAGCTTATAACTGTGAGTTAAATACTAACTTGAGCTTAGTTATAGCTGCTTAGCAGATAAGTAATAGATAGCTTTAGGCCGTAGTTAATAATACCTATAGTCTAAACTTTAACTCTGTTTAGTGTAATTAGGCCTAGTGTAAGTAGATACTAGAGGCCTAGAACCGGAATCTAGACTTCTCTTTAGCTCGTAATAAGCTTAGTATTAAGTAGATAGCATTCCTTAACGCTATAAACCTAAATCCTATTTAGATTACTTAGACTCCTCTCTTCCGTAGTTACTCTACTTTTAACTTAGATAGGAGTACTTACTACCTTCCTTGTATTCTAGCTAAGGTATCAAATACTATTATAGCTTAGGGTACTAGTTCCTACAGCAAGTACTAGCCTCTAATAGCTAGAGCTCGGCTATTTAGAGCTTGTTATAAAGTTCCTATCTAGAATGCTGCTAGAGAGGATTACTTTTAGAATACCTATACTAACTATGCTTTTAGGATTTAGTACTCTAGCTACTCTACCTCTAGCTACATACCTACTCTACGGACTCTAAAGAAACTTAAGGGAAAAAGTAAGGGCAAGGATAGGGACTCTAGGCTTAAGAGATCCTTATCTAACATGTCGCTTATATCTAAGGATTTAAACAAGTCTAATAGTGTACTACAGCTAAACTCTATACGTATTAATATAGCTCGTAAGGTTTAGGTTATAGGAGATAGCTCTCGTCGTAGTTAGATTGTTATTAACTTTAACTACTCCTTAACTGCCGGATATAAGCAGTATAAAGCTAAGATAAGGGCTGCTATACATACTATTAAGCTAGCTTTTAATTAGAAGTTTAAGAATAGTAGGGACTTTATAGGTAAGAACTACAGATATCCTCGTAGTAGATAGATCTAGAGTTTAGGATTAGTAGATTTAGTAGTGATCTCTACAGTACTAGCCCTGCATGTTGTTTTCCTTAAGTCTACTAGCTAGATGCAGTTTAGGGAGCTATAAGGGTTCTTAATTTATTTCTTTTATTAAATAAAAAGCAGGCTTAGGGAGGAGCTACTTATATTTAATTTTAAGATACCTAGGACAGGGTATATATATAGAGTTTTAATTTTTATACTATTATAGAATAAAAAGGCACTTAGCTACTAAACTGCAGGTCTCTAGTTTATAAAAGGAATGTTTAAATAAGTGTAGTATGTACGTAATACTATACTTCTATATTATAGTAGCTAGTTAGTCTTTCTAGCTTTTGTAAGAGTATTAGCTTCTTACTTTGCAGTCTTAATATACTTAATATTAATTACACTATTCTTATACTAATCTCTACAGTAGTAGTTTCTTAGGTTAGTATGTCTTAATCTACTAGATCTTTTATAATTCTCTACAAGACAGATAGCTAACTTATTATTAATATAAACCTTAAACTTAGTAGGAGGATCTTTAAGTAATAGTTATAGCTTAGAGAGCAGGTTCTTAAGCTAGTTAACTTCCCTACAGGTTTTAGTTAAAGCTACATATTCTGCTTTAGTACTTAATAGAACTACCTCTCTCTA